TATTAAATCATTTATAATTTCTTTTAAAAATAAAATGTTAATTAAATCTTTTATTTGAATTCTTAAGCAATAATTTTTGGATATTTTAATTTTAATTTAAATGAAATTTAATATAATTACCTTAAATATATTTCGACATAATGAAATTCTGTAATTTTATACAAATCCTTCATACTCTCTATCTTAATCTACTTGATATCTTAAATTGGAATCTAATTTTAAGAAATTAATGGAGCAGTAGATCCGATGTTTACAGTTTCAGCATTTTATTTTGAATCTAAAGAATGCTATGATATAATTTATTTCATCTCACTTTAGTTTGATTTAAATTTTTTTGAATTTTATTCAACAATGATAGAAAGAGAAGCTCTTCTGACTCTTTCCCATACAACTAAAAGTTTAATAAATTTAAATATTTCAGTGTTTTGCTTAATATTTATGTTTTATTTTTTGAAAGGCTCGTCATATTACTCTAAAGTCATATTTATGAATGTAGCTCCTACTATTTCTTTCAAAATTAAGTAGTTGTCAAGCAATGTTAATAGTAAACCAACTGAGTAAGAATCCGACTAAAAAAAAACTCATTATATTTATTTACAAATAGTAATAAAAATAATTACTTTTTTAGAATATATTTTATATTAATCATCTTCTTTAGTTAAAATTTCAGGTGCCGTGTACGCCTAATTTCCTATTATCTAAAAATATATTCTAATTTATTGATAGTTGCAAAATAAGTAAATAATTTACATCTAAACTTTCAATCTATTCAGAATCTTTTCCAAGTTAAGCTGATAATCCAAAATCACCTTATATTAAAATGATTAAATTATTTTTAGTAATTAAAAATTAAAATGTTAATTACATAGTTTGATTTAAAGTTGATTGCCTTCCAAACAAACCAAAAAATTGTCAGGTTTAATATCTCTATGAATAATATTGAAACAATGAATATAATTGACAGAATCAATTATTTGGAGTGCAATATTCAGTTTTTCTTCATCACTAAATTCTCCTTCTTTTGTTTATCTTTCGAGATAATCTTAGAGTGAACCTATTTTACAATAAATGATAGATAAAATTATTATAGATTTTATAACCTCAACAATAAATGTATATATTATTCCTGGCTATCATAACCTAATATGCTTCTAAAATACTTTAAGTAGTATATTTAAAATTTAGATTTATTTGAATAAAAAATTAATTTGCAGTATTATATTTAAAATATAAAAATTTACATGAACACTTTTCTAACTCAAAAACTACATATTTTTCAGGTGCTGTAACTTTTTCTATAACATAATTGTCATATAGCTAGACTACTAATGGAGTTTTTAATTGTTACATTATTCTAATTTCATTTTAAATTTCTTGTTCATTTACAATCTTTTATATTTTTAGTACTATTTCCTTGTTGTTCAAGTTAACTTTTTTAGTAGATAATACCATGCCAAAGCTTCCAAAACTAAGAATTTGGAAATTATTTACATACTTCTTATCATCATATAGACTTTTTAATAGTTTGGATAGTATTTCTACTTTTGTAAATTGTTTTTAAGTATCTTTTTTCATTATTTTTGAATCTGTGTTATAAAGCAGCATCTGTGCTTACTCTTCAAATTAAGTTTGCTTAAATAAAAATATTATCAAAACTTAAAATTAAAAGTTTGGAAGGAATTTAAAATATAAATATTATAATATTTTTACATTTTTTTGAAGCTCATTAATACTATTGAATATTTATTATGCTTACTATGGAATTTGTTCCTATGATTAAAAAAATAATAGTTAATATTTATTGTCTAAAGAAGCAATTTAATTTTTTTAGTAAGTCTAAAAAAAATGTTTAGTGTATTTTTAATAATTGTTTTTTAGTAAATAAAATTAAAAGTAAATACAGAATCCATAAATTTTGAAATTATAAATAAAAATCCTAGAAATATATAGTAATATTCCTTTTATTTAAAAAAAGGTAAAATTTTAGTATGTTGAGATAAATTTTTGATATAGAGTTTGCTTATATTATATTTAAATTTATCAAAATTAATATCATGATCGATCTTGTTCCATGAAACAAATATTTGCTTACATGAAAAATCAAGGAAGAGGAGGAGGGTCACAGGATGTGACTATTTTAAATTTAGAATTAGGACAAAATATTTTTGAATGAAAATTTTCCATTCTAAAATGAATGGGTCCCTGCTGTGACCCCCCCCCATTATTTGCTCTTTAAATATTTTTTATTTTATTTTAAGATCAAATATTTTACTAAATTTACTTTTATTATCAAAAACAAAATCTAAAATTAAATTAAATGCTTAATTAGATTAGCTAAATAAAAATTGATAAATGCATTTATTACTTCTAAAATCATAGAAGTTAGTGTGAATTTCAATGGTTATCCATGAAGCTTAATAAGCTCAGAAAGTAGGTCTCCAGAAGTTGTCCTTTCCAAATAATTTGGTTTTAAGCAAATCTAAGCTATTTTATAAATATTAGAATTTCTATCAATCTAATAATTTGAAGCTATTGATTTTCCTTAGTAAATCTCTCCTTTTGTAAAATAGTCAATCCAATTTTCATTTAACACTTTTAGATTATCTAGCTCAAGTAAAACTAATCCTAGAGAAAAGAGGTCCGACTTTTAAACATTAAAATTAAATTAAAAATTTAAAGATTAGTTTTATTTAAAAACCTGAATTCTAGACTATCCTTTTTCTACCTCAGGAGCAAAGTAAGCATCAGTTCTTTTCTATAGATTAAAATAATGTAAGATTATTTTTAAATAATATTTTGATTTTTACCTTTGATATGTAGTGACTTTTAGATTTCGTTACTGCAGATGCAAATCCTAAATCACCTTGATTTTCAATAATTTTTTAAATTGATAAATTTTGTAAAAATTCAAATTTTTTACAGAGTTTGATGGTAAATCCATAAGTTTGAGAAGGACAAACTAGGAAATTGTGAGGTTTGATGTCTCTGTGCATGATATTTTTAACATGAAGATTATTCAATCCTTCTAACATTTGAATAGCTATTATTTCTTTTATTTCTTTAGAAGGTAGCTATGTACTTCTTAAAAAATCGAAGAGCTGTTTAAGATTTTCTATTAATAAATAAAAATATTATTATTATTTAACAAATAAAAGAAAAATATTCAAATTCTTTGCTCTATTTGAAATTAAAAACTTAATTAAAGTTCAAAAACCTTTATAAATTAAAATTAATTATCAAAAATATTAGATTTAAGTATATAATTTAAGCTAATTATATTGAGTTTTTTTTAATCTATTATCAAATTATATATACTAAATATATTTTTTAAATAATTATTTAATTTATTAAAAATAAAAATGTTTTTTAATGTAATATTTGTTTAATTTAATTTATGTAAATTTTATTCATGAATTATTGTCAATTATTAAAAAATAAAATTTAATATATTATAAAATAAAATTACTAATAATATTGTTATTATTGGGATTATATATTATGAAATTTTTATTAATTAATCTTCTAGAATATTTAATTAAGAAAGAAACCTTCTAAAATTCAATGAAAATTTAATTAAAAAAACCTTATGTGTGGGGAATTTAAAAATTAAAAGTAATAAAATTTTATAAAATAAACTAATTCTATTATATTTTCTAATTTAATTAATTAGCCAGATTAACGCAAATTTATTTTTTCTTCAAAATTAATCAAATCCAAAAAAGACTTAGAAAAATTTTGAAAATGACTTTTTTAAAATGGCTGAACTTCAATTATCATAAAGGCTATATTCTATGAGCTTCTTCATGGTTTTAAAAAAATTGGGACAGGGAAAAAAATAAATGGATGAAAATTATAATTTTGATTACGCTAGCAAAGCTCCATTTCCATCACAAAAAAGGACTTCTCATCTGTTAAGACGACTTTTTTGTTACCATCTTCATCTTCTTCTACATTTTCTTCCATTAAATAGAAGCATTCATAGACATTTACCAAAAAATCAGATTAGCTGAATTTCTGAAGCATTTCATATTCTTTTTTCAAAGATTCGATGCCATTCTTATCCTCTTTGTTCGTATATGTTAGGAATTTAAGGGCAACAGTACGATTCTTTTTAGTGTTATAAGCTCTCAAGACGACAGCGTAAGCGCCATTGTTTAAGTACTCAAAATTTGAGAAATAGTTTTTCTGGTTGAACATAAATTTGATAATTTCTTTCAAGCTTGACTTTTGAATTTGGCAATCCTTGGAGACTTTTTCTGAAATTGTTTTGACTAATTAGATTTAGAATGCTTTTGACATTTTTTCTATTGATTAGCGTTATGCTTGGGTTGGGTTGGCTAGGTTACTAACTTACTAAGAGTAGGCTGAGAGGTTTGCTTTTTTACTAAAAACAAGTGTATTTATTTTGATATGAAATTTATATGCAAAAGTGATTTTGAGTATCACTATTTATAGTGATTAATTCAAACAAATTTGATTAAATTAGTCGATAAAAAAAGCCTTATCAAGGATATTCTTTTATTAGCTTGAAAATACACTAAAATCTCTTAAATTATATTGTTAATTATTGGCGTACAAACAAAATTTATATTGAATTATTATATTGAAATAAACCTAATTTTCAAATACCAACTAATAGTTATTTATATTATAAAAGTATGAGCCATATTTGATGATAAAATAAATTTATTTTATTTTATATAATTTGGTAAGTGTAACATAATTTAGGCTTAAATATTTAAATGCTCATCATTTAAAATATATTAGAAATACAAAATTAAGTATCTAATACTAAAAATATATATTAATGCCTCCAAAAGACTTAAATGTAGTTATTAACACCTTGATGAGCTTAATATTACTAGCTTTACGTATTATGGCTATTAACTTAAGCTAGATGACATAGATTTGGTTGAAATTTATTCGCTAAATATCCGCATACTTAGATTAATTTCTTTGACTCTTTATTTTTTTTGATTACTTTGGTGGAACAAAATTTCAGGCTAAAATTTAAAAATTAGGTGAATGAATGAATAAATAAATAAAAATTAATTGATTAATTGAAAAACCCTTTTTATTTTCATATAAAAATATTTATTATTAATTAGTATCTAAGGAAAAAGTTTTAACTAATTTCTGAATATACTAATATCTTTTGCAAGTGAATTTTTTCTTTCGCAAAAGCAACAAGCAGTTTAAAATATTCAACTAATATTTTGTATTTTTTTAAAAGTTTCATAATAAACCTTATCTAGGATAAGCTATTTGTTGGATTTTTTCTCTTTGAATAATATTTTTTTAAAAATAAAAATAAATAAATTTCATTTTCTTAATTAAATTTAATATTTCATCTCTAATCTATATTATAATTAAATTTTAGATGATCGAATATCTTCAAATCTCGACATTTTTTATACAAATATAATACTCGCAGCTTGCAACTTCAATAAGTATTAAAATAACAGTTGTATATAAAAACCATTAACCTTGTTATTAATTTCAAATACTTAAAAGAATCAATTCATCTTTTTAGCATTAGCAAGCACATATTTTTTATATTATTTTGTTATATAATTGCAAGAATGTATGTAGAATAATTTTGATATACTTCATCCTAAATATCTGCATAATTAGATTAATTTCTTTTGGATCTTTATTTTTTTCGATTGCTCTGATGGAACAAAATTTCAGGCTAAAATTTAAAAATTAAGTGAATGAATGAATAATAATTAATTGATTAATTGAAAAACCCTTTTATTTTCATATAAAAATATTTATCTATATTAATTAGTATCTATGGAAAAAGTTTGAACTAATTTCTCTATATACTAATATCTTTTGCAAGTGAATATTTTCTTTCGCAAAAGCAACAAGCAATTTAAATTATTTAAACTAATATTTGTATTTTTTTAAAAATTTCATAATAAACCTTATCTTGGATAACCTATTTGTTTGATTTTTTCTCTTTGAATAATATTTTTTTTTAAATGTTTCCAAAATATAAACAAATAAATATCATTTTCTTAATCAAATTTAATATTTCAGTTTTAATCTATATTATAATTAAATTATAAATGATTGAATATCTTCAAATCGTGGCGTTTTTTATACAAATATAATACTTGCAGCTAAAAACTTCAATAAGTATTAAAATTACAGTTGTATAGCTAAAAGCCATAAACCTTGTTATTAATTTCAAATACTTAAATCAATCATTTCATTTTTGTAGCATTAGCGAGCACATATTTTTTATATTATTTTGTTATATAATTGCAAGAATGTATGTAGAATAATTTTGATATACATCATAGATATTTAATGATTAAATATAAAAATTTTTAAGTTTTAATATGTTGAACATTAATTATAAAAAATTTAAGAAAAAAATGCCTTAATTAAAATACGCCTTAATTAATGAGCATTTACAGTATATACTCTCCAGATTAATTTTTATAATATGAGTGAAATTCGGCAAATCTACTATGCAGGTATCATTTTTATTTTTTTATTTTTTCTTAAATTAATTCTTTCAAAACAGGGTCTTCAGCTTAATGAGTAAGCAACATTGTTACAGTCAAGAGAAATAAATTAAATTCTGATTTAATAGAGTCAAGGCACTCACTTTTTTAAAAATGAATCTATAATATAAAAGTATAAATTAAAATGATATTAAAGAATTATTATAGAGATAAATTAAAAATATTAAGAAAAATGAAAAATATTTTATTTTATATGTTGTTTTGTGATAATTTAATACAATTTTTAGTCGAATATATTCAAATAAATATTCAATTTTTACAATATTCAAATATATAATTTTCTTTGTTTTTAGAAATAAATATTTAAATAATTTTGTTACTAATTTCAGTTTTAGACATGCTAAAGTTTTTGATAACAATAGAAAACACAAACTCTTAGTATCAAAAAATAATGAAAAATATTCTGAGAAACGATATTACTTTAAATTTAATTAATATTACCTTGACACTGAAAAAATCTTTTATGTATTTGAAATGGAATATTATGATTAATCCTTAGAAAGCTTTTAGAAATAATACCTACTCAATCATAAAACTATTAAGTCTTTGAAACAGGAAATTTACACTTACTTCTAAGAAAATCTAAATTTAGTGCATAATTTTGAAGACGCAAATTATGGAGATTGTCTTCAATTTTATGTTATCTCAATAAATTAAGATAAAATCCAAATTAAACTTAATTTGATTAGTCCTATTATTCAAAAGTAATCTTTTGAATAAGATAACTAACAAGTAGATAAATATGAAAGTGAAAATTAAAATGAAAGTGAAAGTGAAGAGGATAATGAAGATTATAATTAAATTGAAGAAGAAAATGAAAATGATTTTGAAGAAGTAGAAAATGAATCCCAAACTGAAAATGAAAGTGAAGTAGAAGAATAGGAAGAAAGTGAAATTCAAATTGAAATTAAAGAAGATAATGAAGATGAAAATGCAAATGAAGTTGGAGAAAAAGAAAATTAAAATGAAGTAGAAGAATAAGAATAAGAAGAAAGTGAAATTTAAATTGAAATGAAAGAAGAAAACAAACTTGAAGTTGATGGAGAAAATGATATAGAAGATGAGGATAAAAATGAAAATAATTATTGCAAAAAATAATTTATCTTTAAATCAATAATTTAAAAATGAAGAATATTAAATTAAATAAAAAAAAATATGTAACCAGGCTATTAAAAATAAGTGAAGAAAAATATGAGTTTTGAGAAAATAATAGATCTGCCACTAGAAACCTAAAGTAATGAATTTGCTAGAAAATAATAAAAATATTTAGACCAAATTAAGGATATAATTAATCTAGTTAAAAAATTAAAATACCCAAAAAGATCTTTCTAATGTAATTTAGATTATCTTTTCAAACATTTTGAATTTTCATCCCTTGTAAATTTTTGAGATCATTTAAAAATACCCAAAGTACAAAAGTTTTAAAGTTGTAGAATCAAATGAAAGTATCTTTATCTTAAATGTTAAAAAAGGGAAATAAACTATTTTTTTATGAGGCTACAAAGCTTGCTCTGTTGACTAAGCACAAAGTTTAGCTAATTAATATGAATCTATTGTTAAAAATTAGATTTCTTCAATATTTTTAAATATTGAATAAATCTATATAAATCCACAACAAATCTATATTTTAGTTGAAAAAACATTTATTGAATAGCTTAAAAAATAAGATAATATACTTTTTAAAAGAGATATAAGCTTAGATGATTTAAAAAAGTTTATAAATTATAGGAATTAGTTGTTAATTAAAAACGGTATTTAAATTACAAAAATAAACCTTGAAAATATACTTATTGGTAATTAATATGGCAGTGATTCAGATGAAGATAATGAAATTAAATTGAATGGGGATCTATATCATACATTCATTATTGATGGGCTAAGCATTTAACAATTTAAAACTTAATATACTGATATGAATTTGAGCTTCATAACTATGTTGATAAAGTATAAAATTTTAAAAATTATATTTAAAATTTAATTGAGATTGTTTTCTAAAAGATTTCTGAAATTTAGTTAGAAAATATTTCAGATGTTTTCAATAGACTCTAGTTAATAATTTATAATTTAATTTTTATGAGACGATAATACTCCTATACCTACCAAATTAAGATTTCAGAAAAAAATATTAATTAAATTTAAATAACTCTTGATAATAATAAGTACGGTTGTACTGAGACATTTAAAAAAATATTAGAATTAAGTAAAATAAGTCCTTCTCTTTAAATAATTTCTCTTGTAATTGATTACTAAATTTTCCCTTACTGTTTAAATTAACTTTTTTAGTAATTAAAGAGGAGAAAGTATGAAAATAAAAGTGTAGAGAAGGATAAATTATAGGAATTATTTTTGAAATATCAAAGTTTGTTTATTTAAGAATTCTTAGAAGATTTAAAAGTATACTCAATAGAAGAAAAATTTGGATAAATCACAGAAAACATTTTTGATGAATAGAATTAAAGTGATTAAATTTTAAAATCTAAACTTTTAAGTAAAATCAATAAAATTTGTTTTCTAAAAATTCTTCTTTCTCTTTAGAAGGATGGTTCCACAAACATCAAAAAAGTTTTTGAGGTTTTTAACGAAAAAATACTATAAATTTAAAACTCTGATTATAAATAAAAATCTGTAAAATATATTTTCATCCAATAAAAAACTATTAAAAAATAAATGTTTTTTTTCTAAAAAATAATAATACCATCTTAATAGATTTTAGAAAGGCATTTAGATATACTTGAAGTTATTTAATAGGAAAATTATCATTAATAATTCAAATTAAAATAAATTTATGTATTAATTTTAAATCTATTTTAAAATTTTTTATTAATTATGTATTATTGTTTGTTTAAAATATATGCAAATTAAAAAACTAGTGGAATTTAAAACTCAAGATTTTTTATTGGCATACTGCTACATATTGTCAATTACAATTAATAAAAAGAATGCTACAAATATTAATATTAATTTAGTTTAATAAATATAAATATTGAATTATTTTATATGAATCAAAGAGTAACCAAATTTTTTAGCTTTCTTAAGAGTTTGTACTTTTATTTCTTCTCAAATTCCAAATTTGTATTGTTGTCTCTATTTTATTATTAACAAATTTAATACTGATAAATAGAAATGTTAAATACAGTGCTGAAAACTTCAAATATTTAATGCCTAAGCAAAGCGCTAAGGAGGTAATAATGATACTATATCCTATTGTCTGAATGTAATTTCCACTTTTATTTTATATTAAAAATTTTAATTTTTTGTTTAGAAAAAAGTTACTTACTCTAGATTTAAGTTAATGCTTTTAAGATTTTAGCTAATCTATAGAGCTTAGCCTAACTTAGAAATATTTTCTTCATTAATTATATTATATCTTTTTAATAGGATTTAAAACATTTTTATTAATTTAATAATATTAATCTTAGTTTTTAATATATTTATTATTTATTGAAATATTTTAATAAAGTTTTACCTAAATTGTAAATTCAAGCTAGTAATTTCTTTGCAATTTTTAAAGAGATCTTCGAAAATAGAAAAGTTTTAACCATCGATATCATTTTTACTATTTATCAATTTATACAATTATTTTAATAAACGATAAACTAAAATGATTTACTTAGCTAAAAGATCAAGTTTTTAGATATTGCCGCACTTTGAGATTCCAGTTATTAAATCATATAATTCTTCATCTTTGATATTATTATAACTATTTTTAATAAGAATAAATTATTAATTATTTTGTTCATTAAAAAATCAATACTTTAAGTTTAGCAATAACTTGCTAAGACTTTTTAAAGATGATATTCCTTCACCTATAACTTTGAGCTCCTTTCCAATAGATTTATTATTTCTAAATATAATAATAGTTAATTTCTTATGGCTAGAAATATATTTCTTACTCAAATTTTAAATCTAATGAAATTAGATTTGGATATTGTTGTATTCCGATGCCAAATTAACAATAAAAGTTGTCGAATAATTGAGAGCCACTTTATAGAAATATTGAATACATAATTTAAGAATAGAAAATATTACTCAAATTCAAAAGAGAGCGCTTTAAGATTCTCATTTGTTTAGAATTTATATTCAAAGCTTTCTTCTTTAATTTCATTTTCAACAGTTTAAGTACTTTAAGCAAGATAAAAATAATAAATATTTTAATGAAATGGGCATTTTAAATATTTACTTTGCTTAAATTTTTAGAGAGTTAAGATTTGTGTAACAAAATAGGCAAGAGAGCAAATCTTAAAATGATTTTTTGTTTACTTAGTTTCCGCTATCAAAATTTTATTAAGAAATTATTTTTACAATAACAAGACAAATTATTCTTACCACAAATTAAGTGTGAGCTATTAAAGATTCTTCTTTTGTTCTAAAAAATGGCATAAATAAGAAACTCCTTCTTAGGTAATTTAATTATTTCTATTTTTATTTTTATAATATTTTATTATAAAATAAATATATTGGAATATAAAATGAATTTATTATTAATAGGGAATAAGCTAATATATTTACGATAGGTCAATATTTAAAAACTAGAGTTCTTTATAGTTTGTTAAAGCAGCCAAGCACTGTGAAATTATTAAATCTCCGATTTTATTATTCCTTTTTTATTCAAATTTATTTGCAATTTGATCATTTTTTAATGCAAATAAAATATTTACTGAAAATTTAACTCAAGGCCAGTTATATTATTAGATTTTGCCTAAATGAACTTTTTCATTCAAAAATATTTAAATATTACTAACAAATTAGTAAAGGAATAAATACTTTTTTGTAAGATCTAAAAGAAATCATTACCTACAATTGCTTTTTTATTAACTTTTTTTTAAATGTTTTTTTTACCAATTTTTTTAATCAAAATTTAGATTGTTTCTTACTTATATATATATGTAAAAGATACAAAATAAAAGTTATTAAATTTTCTTTTCTCAAATATACTTAAATCCTATAGCGCATTTAATTAATAATTGAGAAAAAAATATTTTCACAGTTTTAAATGACTTATTATGTAATATATGTTAACCACAAGTCTATAAATAAGATTACAGATATGATTCCAAGTTATGAAATAAAAACAAATTTCAAATAAAACTCACCAAAATAAAAATTTTATTAGTTTTCTAAATAAGATAAAATAATAAAAGAAATCCTAAATTCTTTGTTGAAAAAAGTCGCTCTTTCTTCTTAAATAAATTAAAAAGACAGAAATCTTTTTATAAATGATTTTAGACATTTTTATCAAATGCTTGAATCTTTTTTCAATAAATAATTCTGATTATTAATTTCACATAAATTTTTATAGGATTATAATTATTTTAACTTACATCATATAATGATTAAAAATATAAAATTAATCAGGTATATTTAAAGTCATATTTTTAATTAAATTTTCTGCTTAAATCTGATATTACAGAAATTAATATATGATTTAGGTTACAAAAGAAATCAGATATTTAACAGAAGTATTATAAAAAATAAATTATAGTTTGAAAGTGTTATATTAAAGGCATTTAATTTTGAAAATAATTTGACTATTACAATTATTTATTTTAACTTACTTCATTTAATAATAAAAAAAATTAATTAATTAGATTTTTTTAAAGTAATATTTTTAATTAAATTTTCTGCTTAAATCTGATAATACAGATTACAATATTTGATTTAGGTTACAAACAAAATCAAATATATAAGTAAAGCATCATAAAAAACAAATTATTTTAGCTTGAAAGCGTTATATTAAAAATATTTAATTTTAAAAACAATTTAATACTGGATGGGTTTTTTATAAATAAAGACATATGTAAAAATTGTTTTATTATCAAAGAAAATTTATTAATATGAATATGCCATAATAGTACTATGATTAGTACTTACTATTCATTTAATATTATCAAAATTTATAAATTCTACTATTAATTCATTATTATACTTTTGTTTTTGTTGGTAATCAATTTAGGTATTAAAGAAATAATGCATTTATATGATAGAGCATAATTTATATGAAAGTAGATAATTAGTATAGTTGATTAAGTCTATGTTATTATAGAAAAAAAATATATGATAAATATATGGAAAAATGGAAAATATTTTTAAAAATTTAATAATTTTTTTATGAAATTAATTGTACCAAAAATATTTCAATATAAATATTAATATTTGCAAGTATAGATGGATAAATTATGGTGTTAAGATAAAATTAATAAAAATAATATAAGATTTTTGCTAATTTGTTCTTTTTATTATATTAATTTTCTTTTCTATATAATTAATATATTTACTAAAAAATACTTTTTAAAAAAATAAATGATAAAAAAAAAATCAATTTATTCTAAGGTAGAAAAAGTAATTCAAAAATTTTAATAAAAACTCATAAAATAAACTATTTTAATTTAAAAAAGCTTCTCAGTTCTACACTTTTGTCTCACACTAAACTTGTTTTGATGTTTTTGTAAGATTAATAAAATTTATATTATTATATCTAATTGAGTAATTTTTACTCATATTTAAATTTCTTAAAACTTTTCAAAATTAATTTTTATAAATTTTATTTTAAATTATTTATTTATTATTCATTACTTCATAGTTAGATTAATTCTATCTAGTAAATTTATAATTCATATACTTACATGTTATATATAAAAAGCCAATAAGTTAGAACCTCAGATTTATACAATGCTTTAGCATAATGTATTAATCTCTAAACTTTATAAATCTCCTTTAGGTAAAAATTAGTTATCATTTCAGTTTATTTCAATAAACCTGTTAAACAGACTACCAAATAAGATTAATTCTTTTTTATTTTTTTAAATTAAAAAATAATGAAAGTCAAAACTAATTTTGTACAGAAAACTCAAAAAATTTAGCTTAGGCTTTACAAAATTGTCCTAATTTATAATAATTTACAATATTTTTAAAGTAAAATTTATTTTTTAATTAATTTTCTACATCAATTAAGTTTTTAAATTTAAAGTAGGTTTTTTTTCTTGATTTTTTCTGAAAATTATTTAAAACTTGACATTTCATAAATTATTACAAAATTTAATTAAAAGTTCGAATAATATTGATGAATAGGCTGTAAAGGAATTAGTAAATGGTTTATCTAATTGCAATAATCTATCTAAATTATGTCTGGATTTTAAGTAAAACAAAAGCATATTTTTTAAATCAAATATTTATTCTAAAGTTTTATTCTATTTAAATGTTTTTTAATTAGAATTAACTATCAAAATATACTTTTAACAAATAGTTAAATTTTATTTTTTTAAAATTTTTTTCTAATTAATTTTTATAATTAAAATATAATAAAAGCTAAAATTAAATTGGTTAATAAGATTTATCAGATGTATTTGATAGTTTAAAAAATTTCTCTAAGCTCACTTCATTTTATCTTGGTCTTAGGTAAAATTTATTTAATATTTTTGAATTAGTTGATCTATTTCTTACATTTTATTTCTTTGTTTCTTTTGATTAAGATTAATTAATCAACTCTTTTTGATCTTTTTTTAAATATTAAAAAAAATACTAAAAGTACAAATTAAATTAATGATGAAAATGTCCAAATTATTGGTAATGCATTAAATGCTTGTAATAGTCTCTCAGATTTGATACTAAGTCTTTGGTAAGCTTAGATTATAATAAAATGAAAATAATTATAAAACCATCCTACTTATTCTTTCTAAAAATTATTTATTTTTTTATTTGGGAAATAATTTTTAATTTTTAATAATTAAAATTAATTTTAAACAGTTAAAACTAAATTAGCTCACAGGGGGCATTTAAATTAGGCTCTAGTTTAGGCAAATGTATGAGTCTTACAAGATTGTTACTTAACTTATCGTAAATAATTTTTTATTGCTTTTATTGTATTATTATTATTCAAAATATTGAATTAAACTTATATCATTTATTTGCTTATTGTTTTTTTTTATTTTTGACTAATCCTAATTATATTTTTTTAAAATTTTATAAGTTATAATAAAATCACTGAAGAAGGAACTTAAAGATTAGTTTAAGCTTTAGCAAGCTGTAACTCACTCCAATATTTTGAACTCAAACTTATGTAAAATTAATTTATATATTTTTATGATGAGTTTTATTTTAAGAATATTGAAAATTAAAAAATTTCAGATAAAATTTAACTTACAAATCCTCTTGTTTTTTTTTAATTAAATTGTAAATTTGAATAACTTTTAATAACAGAAATTATTTTATGAAAAATTTATAAAAGCGATAATAATAAAACTAGATTTTTTTAAAATAATTTTTTTCTGTCATGATCATGTATGTATCTGTGACAAAGATTTCAGTTTATTCTAAATAATATACATTTTATTTTTTCCTTATAAATTAATTTAAAATTATGTACAAATGCATCAATAGGAAGAATAAAATTGGGGGATAAAATTTATCAGCTATAGGCTCTGCTTTCACAAAATACCTTAATCTCTCAAAATTAACACTTATCTTCAAGTATTTTGAAATTAATTATTTTATAATATAAAACAGATTAACCGATAAATAAAAATGAATATTATTTTAATTTATTTTTCAATTTTATTATTTTTATATAAATATTTAATTTAATTAATAATTCTTTTAGCTTAAAATTTTCTTTTTCTTTGCTGATAAATCATAAAAGTTATTACAATATTTAAAAGTGAAAATTAAATTGGTGATCATGGTGCTTATGAGTTAGTTTCTGCTTTATCAAAAAGTGATAAAATTGTGCGTTTAAATCTAAGTTTTTAGTAAAAATTAATTAACATTTTTAAAATTTTGAGTTTTTTTAATAAATTGATTGTTCGATTCATTTATTTTTTAAATTTAATATAAAATCTTTATCCACTCTTTATTTTAATTTATAATCATAAAAATAAATTTAATATTTTAAAAGTAAAAATTAAATTACAAACGAAGGCGCTTATAATATTGGTTAAGCCTTAGCAAAATTCACTAATCTCTTAAGTTTAGAACTCAATTTAAGGTAAAAATTTTTGATTAATTTGCTAATAGCTTTTATTTGCAATAATTAACAAAATATTGAATTAAAAAATTATTTTAAGTGTAATTTTTATTTAATAAAAATTTTATGTTTCATATCTAAATAGTATAAATTAAATTGATTTTAACGGTGCATTAAATTTATGCTCTGCTTTAGAACATATCTTTACTCTCTCAACATTAGTTCTCAATCTTTGGTTAAAGTAAGTTGAATGTTTGTTTGTTTTTTATTTATTTATCAATTCAATTTATTAAAAAAGATATTTTAGAATTTTTGCATAGTTATTTGCTTTAAAAATTTTTTATTCTAATTTTTTACATTTGAAAATAAATAATTTATATTTTAAATTTATTTTTTTTATTTTAAATTCAATTCTCAATAAATATTTTAAAAGGATAGACCATTACAATGACTCATAGAAATTTAAAATAAGAAGAAAAGTTCTTAAATTCAAGAGATTAATCAATAATAAAATATATTTATGATTAAATTCTATCAATCTAACTAGATTATTTTGTTTTAAACTCAGAAAATATATATCAAAATAATATTAACTTGATTATTTAAATTTGTTTTTGAAGAAATAATTCTTAGTTATAAGAATATATAATATTTATATATATATAATTCTCTAGTTTAATATTTATTTTATTTAACCTTACATTTTTAATAAGAAAAGATCTTTTAATCAAATTATATTTTTCTAAAATAAAATAATTTAAAATAACTTTAATTAACACTATTTTGGCTGAAAAATATCTTTTGTTATTATCCAAAGCTTTCTCAAATAAAAAAAGAAATAAATAATTTATCATCTTTACACACCATTTATTACAAAATTTTATCTATTTTAAAGTGAAAAGACAATATCTTTCAGCACAAATTCATCATAGTATATTTTTCTTGCAAAAAAATATATTCGAATAATAAACCATTAAATAATTAGCATTCTACCCTTTCCAAATATTAACATAATTTCATGAAAATATTGGAAATAAGTAATTACATAATATTATAAAACACATTGCTATTTGCGACATATTTTTTATGTAGCTAAGAAGCTACTAGTAAAAATTAAATAGAAAATTTATTAATTAATTGATTTATAATTTTTATGTTATTTTATTTTAATATGTTTTTGCTTACTTTTTAATTTTAAATAAATATTTTTGATTTTATTATTTTTATTTTAATTAAAAAATAATTTAAAAATGTTTTTTTATATAAAAATTAATTTCTAAAAAAAGTTTTAATTTTTATCAATAAAATTTTCCTTTCAATAGTAAACTAAAATAGTATATTTTATCTATTTAATTTATTTTCAATCATTCTGGAAATAAATGGTTGTCTCTCAACATCCACTATAATTTAATTCTTTGATCACAATATTATTTTAATAAATAATTTACAAAATCAAATATTATTTTAATAAATAATTTACAAAATCAAATATTATTTTATAAATAGATTTATTAAATAAAAATGAAATACTTAATTATTATTTTAGATAAATAAATTAATTTAATCATTCAAAACAATGCTTGCAATTCTACTAATTTTTTCATCTTAAGCAGCTTAACTACATTAAATTCTGTATTCATACTATTTTAATTTAAGCAAAAAAATTTAAGTTTTAGAAGTATTTTTTATAGGTTAACAAATTTCATTAATATATTTTATAATAAGTATTAAATTCAAAGTCGGAGTAAGAATAAAAATACTCAAATATCATATTAATAAAATTTAACTATTTTCTTTGTTTATTGTTTGTTAACTTAGATTTTTATTCTTTTTTAAATAAGTAAGTAATAATTATCATAAAAAGTCAATTTACTTTTGCTAAAGATGGAGCTTAAGGACTTGGATATTTTTGCATTTCGAAATAGTAGAGCATAAAAATGATAAACCATTTTAACTTATATTATTTGACCTAAAAATAGCAATAATAAATTAGCAACCAATTAATTAAATTTAAATCCAAACATAGACTTATAATCAAATTCTTTACAAAATACTTAAAGTTAAGGCATATAATTTCTTACAGCATGTTAATGAAGAACACAGTTCTATTAAACCCTCATCTTTTATATCATTTTTACTTAAAGTAATAATTAGAAAATATTTAGTTTTGTTATGTTTTAAAGTGTAAGCATAAAAATATTTATTTTAAGAAGTTTTTTAAGTTTTACTCTAGTGAGAGCGTTAGAATTGACAGTTAAGCACATTATTTTAAAGCAGAACCTATAACAAAAGCTCCTTAAGTCCCAAGAATGTTTGAACTTTACAATAAAAAATAATTTATTGAAAAAAAAAATCTTATTTTAATGTTAATCAAATTCAAAAATTAATTTACAAGAGTAAAAGATTTAATTTGTAAAGCTTTTAGCAGCTTACTAAAGAATTAAGCAAACTCGAGGCACCAAAAGCACTTATATTGTTTTAACTATTAATAAATACATTTAAACATTAAAATAAAATTTATAAATTTATTTGAAAAAAAAACTATTTTTGCTATTTTTTTAACATTTTTTATTTATTTTTGTAAATTAAGAAACAATCTATTCCTTCTTATTTTTGTAGAAATAATAAATTATAAATTTTACGCAATCTATAGTTCTAAGCTTGAGAGTTTATCTAACTTTGATAGACTCTACCCTAAATTACAAATCCCTTCATCATGAGCCTTATTTTCGCTTTTAATTAATAAAATATATTTGCTCAATGAAAAATAAAAATAATTGCTTTTGAATAAACAAAAAATAAATTTTTTTAAAATTAAACATTGAAATACTACATTTGAATTAAGAATTCACTTACTTAAATTATTTCTCATTTTTAGCATTGTTAAAAATAGAAAATTTTAAATAAAATAATTTTAGAAAATTTTACAATAAACTTATACTCAGCATCTAAATTTGAGTGCATTTTGCTAATGAAAAACTTAAGATTGATATTCCTTCAGCATCAATATTATTCCAGCTTTTATATTAATTTTCATTTAGAAATTTAAAATACAAAAAATAATAATAATTACTTTAGTCCAAGATGCAATTGAACGATACTTTTAGATTATTGCAAATGTTATCCCAGCATTATTACACCTTAATTAGAGATTTCGTTCTTACTTTTATAAAAAAAATTTGGTCAAATGAGAAAATAATATTCATCAATTACTGAATACTTAGACTTAATTTTTATAGATTTTTACAGTTTCCAAAAGCAGACCCTAAAGCAGTTGCTCCTTAGACTCCAACTTTGTTAAAACTAAAAAAATAAATTTTATAAAATTATAATGAAAATATTTTAAAGAAATTAATTAAAATTTGAAAATACATAGATAGATATATATTGATAAAATGTATGAAAAGCATAAATATAAAAATAATAATACTCAAGCTAAAAAATAACATTTTAGAGGTTATTTAGGTTTTACAAATTTGAGACTAGCCCTACTGTGCCTTCTCCATTAATTTTATTCTGTCTGTCTCATATAAATTAAAAATATTTATAAAACTAATATCAAAAGAAATTTAAATAGATTTATTAATTGGTCAACTTTCAAAATCAGAAGTAAAAAATTATTGCTTACGAAATTCTTAATTTTAGAGATTATAAATTCAAACAATTTACTAGACAAGAACCTATTGCTATAGCCCCTTCGTCACCGATTTAATTTCTTCTGAATTTAAAGATTTTAAATTTAAATTGAAGAAATAATTATAAATTATTATTTTCTACATGAAACTGAGAGACAAAATTTAGATATTATTAGATTTCTTAAAAACATTTGTTATATTGATTATGTCTTAATTACTTATGCTACTCCAGCTTTTATTAGTTATAATTATATAAGAAAATATTATTACTAATTACAAATAAATAAGTTTTCAAAAAAATTAATAAATATTGATGAGCATATCTAATAAAATTGATAAATAAAAAATTTTTAAGTTATATTGAATTTTTTTCAAATCTTAGAAAAATAAAATTTAATAAATTAGAAATATTTATATGTATTTATCTACATTTTTTTTTTCTTTAAAACTATAAAATTTAATAAATAAATTAATTTAGAAGTTACTTACTCAAGATTAACTTTAACTTTAGAAAAAGATTAAATGCAAGTATTTAATATCTTTTTATATGAAATTAATTTTTAAAAATTTGTTAATCTCATTTTTAGCATTAATTTACTTAATCTTATGTTTTAAACTTAATTGTTTATTAATCCATTTTTAATTTTTTATGTTTATTAGTTAGATATCTTAATTTATAAATTTTATTAAAATAAAAATTATTTAGCTTAAAAAAAAATTTTTTTGTATTGTTTTTTGAAAAATTATTAACAATAAATTTAGCTTTTTTTTCTACATAAATTTAGCTTTTTACTAATAAGCCAAAAGTTATTTTTATTTGTAATAATTTAAATTTATAATAAATAATATTATTTAAAATGAAAATAAACTTTATATTTTACAATAAACTTTAAAATATTATCTCCTTTTTACAACAACTAAATAAATAAATAAAAAATCAAATAAATTTATTTTTATCTTAATTGAACTTTATTTTTCTTTTTAACTCTCAACTGATTGAATATCAAATCAATATCTTTTGATAATTAATTAATTAATTAGTTTTTGTATAGTCTTAAATGAGCTCTCATATTATTTATTTAATATATAAATAATTGTTATTAATTAAATTGTATCATTTTTATTCTACTTTAAGAAATATACCTTCTTTTTAAAATTGCTGAACATATTTAAATGTGGGAGTATTTAATTTAAAAATTAATATAGATATTTAAAATTTCAAAAATTTAAAATAGGTAAAGATTAATAAATAGTTGATTCTTTATTTTAGTTTTAGGGGGAAATTTTTAATGCACAATTAATTTATTATCATTTAATTTGTTAAAAATAATTTTATTTCAAATTTAAATATATCTGATAATTGAATTCTGCTTTTATATTATAAAATTTTAAAGAGGAAAATTTTTAATTCACAATTAATTTATTATCATTTTATTTAATAAAAACAATTACTGTAAATGCTCATTAATTAAGGCATTCCCTAAGTACCTTTTTTGCCCAAAAAAAAGTGCCACACACCATAATCGAAAAAAAAAAAAATTAAGAAAAAAATGCCTTAATTAACGAGCATTTACAGTATATCTAAAATTTAGTAACAATTAAAATGTTTAATTTAATTCTGTTTTATATTATAATATATAAAAGTGGAAAATTTTGTATACATTAATAATTTATTATCATCTAAATTTTAACAATAGGTTTATATAAATTTAAATATTTATAATTGAATTATGTTTTTATATTTTAATATAAAAAAATTAAGCTTTAAAAAAACATAAAAGGACAATTTATATTGATTTTATTTTAATAATTTAAATTCGCTTTATATAAGACGAGCACAAAATTATTTTCATTTAAGTTCTGGATATGAGTTATGCTTGTAGAATTATATTTCATCATCTAAAATTTTCATAACGTTTAAGCATGTTTCCTCTTTGAAAGGAGGAGCAACAACTTAAACATTTACTGGAAGACCTTCAGTATTTTATTTCATATAAAAATCTACTCTTTTAGCTGGTAATTCTTTTATTCTGGAATTATTGAAATGTTGTTCTTCCTTCTAAACTTTGGTTACTGGCAAAACACCTGTTGATATTTTAGAATATTAAAAAGGAAATTAATTAATGAGTAAGTAGAAGTAAATTATATTAAATTTAATATTTTTGTTACCACAAGGGAAGTTCAAGTAGTTCCAAATAAAAGTGTATAGACAAACGGGTGTAGAATCTAAAGAACTAGAATGAGGGAGAGCAGGTGCTCCAAATGAAGGGCAAATAATTGCTTCTATTTCATGGTCATCAAATAATCTCAAGTAATCCTATTGTAATTAACCAATTTTGTATTGTAGTTTATTTAACTCCTCAACCTGTAATCTGTTTGTTTAAGGTAACAATTCAGCAAATGATTTCTCTCCTAACATATAAAATAGCACACTGAGAAATCTTTTAATCAAAGGGGGAGTTGAAGCAAAAATATCAATCATCAAATACTCTTTTACAGTGTCTTTTGATTCATTAAAATAAAAAAATGAATAAATACTTGATAATATATATATTTGTTAATTATAAATTAAATAAAACTGATAAAAAATTATTTAATTAAAATAATATTTTTACCTTCTTGACTCAATAAATCATAAATTCCTTAGAAGCTATCTGATAGCAAGAATTATATAAATCCATTTTTAATGGAATCAACATCTGGCAAATCAACTTCTACTAGTTGATGGCCTTAAGCTCTAAGCTTTTCGACAGCGATTTCTACAGCTCTTTGGTTAGCGAGAGTGCAATCAAATGACTTAAGAGTTTTAAAGTAGCCAAATCTTCTTTATTTTTTATTATTGCTTAGTTCTGTTTCGTTAATCTGCTATGTTGGGAAAAAGGGGTCTCTTTCATGTAACTTGAATTTCTATAAGTATTAAGGATCGCTCAATTATCTAAAAAATAAGATTAAATCATCAACAGATTTGCAAATAGGTCCAGATGCGCACTAATTAATAAGTGAAAAAAAAGATTTAATATTAATTTACTACTTCTAAAATGTATGTGAAATAAGTAAATAAAGATGTCAAAAGAAACAGATTGCTTTTTACCAGAACAGTTTTTTATCCATTGAAAGCCTTTGAATAGAAAGTATGACCAGACATAATTGTTCTTTAAGCAGTTGGCTTAAATCCATAAACACCACACATTGCTTTTTATTATTAATAAAAAATTGTAAGCACATTTAAAATTTAGGCAACTAAATAGTTTGTAGATGCAATAAGTAATTAGAGCAATCAAAATTTTTCATCAGAAATTAATTAAATTTTTTATAATGTGAGGAAAATATTATTATCAAGATTTTATAAAAAATACTTAATAAAATTGATGCGTCATAAGGAAAATAAAAAATTGATTATTTCTTCTTTCTTTCTATATTCAAATCTTTTATAATTTTTATAGAGATTTTTTCTAAATTTTTTTTATTTACCTGCAGGAATTCTAATAGAACCGCCTATATCACTTCCCATTCCACCAGGAGACATTCTAGCTGCAACTGCAGCACCTTCTCCACCAGATGAACCTCCAGCGTATTTTGTTTTGTCCCAAGGATTTAAGACTCTTCCATAAACATCATTTACAGACTCATAAATCATAGCAGCTTAAGGAACATTTGTACGTAAAAAGGGAATAGCTCCTCCAGATTTTAAGAGCTTAACACAAAATCCATCCTCTTTAGGAATGTGATCTAGTCTAAAAATAGATCCAATTGTTGCAGGATAACCTTTTTTGGCATACAAAAATTAAATAAATTTTAAATTTATAAATAAAAATTCATCATTTTAGAAGGGTTTTTAAAATATTTTTCTTTTTAAATAATCAAATAATTTAGTATTTTTAAATATAATTTAGGTAGATTTTATTTTAAATTCAATTTAATTAGTTCCTCCTTCAAGTTTCTATTTAAAACTAATAAACTTAAAAATATATATTTATTACCTTTCTCATCAAAAGTTTCTTTCATAGAAATAGGGATACCAAATAGAGGGAGTGAGCACAATGGAGAATTTTCTTTTCTTAGTTTATCACATTCCTTTGCTGCTTCAATTGCTTCTTCATACTTTAAATGTGTAACTATTCCAAATTCTATGCCATGTTTCTACACTCTTTAAGAAAATATATTGACTAAATCCACACTTTTAACTATTTTTTCCTCAAGCATCTTTTTCAACTAAGTGATATCGCTGTTCAACACTTTATTTATAATGTCTTATGACAAATTTGGAGTGGGTATAATCAAGTTTTTTAGGTCTTAATTCCTCTTCTGAATAAATTTCCTAACTTTGCTCTTTTAAATTAAGATTTTGACTTTTTTTATAGCAGAACGCAGAATAAATGATCCAAACTTAACACCTAAACATGCTCCAATGAAGTAAGCAACATACTTCATGGAAATTTACTTTTCAAGAAAATTAGTTAAATTAAAATCCATCTTTGTTTAGTCTATGATAGAGCTCCTTATAATCTAATTTATTTAAGTGAAACAAATTTTATTGATATCTTTTTTTTATTAAAAAAGTAAGAAACGATTAAGACTTTAAGCAAATCTTAAGCTGCTTATTGCATAACTTACCAATCTTAATTATCACTGATTTCGCAATTGATCAAAATACTATTGATTTAATTCAAACAGTTTACATCTAAAAACGTCAACTTATAATTAAGAATTTATCAGTCTGTCTTAATTTTTTATTACTAAAATTTTGTAAAGAAAAATTTATGAAGATTTATTTGTTTACTTTACAACTTTACTTTGTTTGTCATTTTTTCTTTCATAATTTTATAAAATCATTAAAAGCAATTTAACGTACTTGATAAATAAAAGCTTAAATTAAATAATAAATATTCATTTTATATCTTTTTATGGTAATAATAATTGTGTAAAAAAGCATATTTACCTTAATAAAAGCCATATTTATAACAATAAATAATAAGCTATTTAAAATAATATTTAACAACTTAATTGTTTTATTTGTAAATTATTCTCATAATATTGATATAAATTCATTTTGCTCTTTATAATTTTAATATAGGATTTATCAAAAACTAATTAAATCAAATAAAAAATTATATTTTAAATTTTTGGTATAAATAAATATATAGGGTTACCAGTTCAGTATTTCTAACCAAATAAATACTTTAGAAATGATATTATTTTAAAGATTAAATCAAATAAATTTAATGACTAAAATAAATTGATAAGGAAATAGTTACTTTATTATAGATATCTATCTATATATATTTTTCTTAAATTGTGAAAATAAATAATTTTGTTTAGACATTTTTAAAAAGTTGATATCTTTAAACACATAAATGCATTACATTTAATAATATTTTTTAATATTTGTAAAGAATATATTTATTTATCTATTGTCAATTATAGTTTAGATAATTATTTTTCATTTAAGTTCTGGATATGAGTTATGTTAGTAGAATTGAATATCATCGTCTAACATTTTCATTACATTCAAGCATGTTTCTTCTTTGTAAGGAGGAGCAACAACTTAAACATTTACTGGAAGACCTTCAGTATTTTACTTCATGTAATGGTCTAATCTTTTTGTAGCCAATTCTCTTGTTCTTGAATTATTGTAATGTTGTTCTTCTTTCAAAACTTTAGTTACTGGTAAAACACCTTTTCAAAATAGTAATGATTATTTATAAACATAATTATTTCTTTAAATCAATTAGTTAGTAGAAGTAAGTTTTTAAATAAATATTTAATTTTATATTTTACCACAAGGGAAATTCAAAAAGTTCCATATGAAGGTATAAAGACTAACAGGGGCTGAGTCAATAGAGCTAGAATGAGGAAGAGCAGGAGCACCAAATGAAGGACAGATAATTGCTTCAATTTCATGATCATCGAACAATCTTAAATATTCAATCTATAACTTATTTATGTTATATTATAATTTATTAAGTTCTTCTACTTTAAGTCTATTGGAATTGGGTAATAGCTAAGCAAAAGTTTTTTCGCCAATTAAGTAGAATATAACTGTTAAAATTCTTTTTAAGATAACAGGTGTAGAGGCAAAAAACTCAATAGTCATATATTCTTTCACAAAATCTATTTATAAACAAATAAAAATTAATATGTTTTGCTGTTTATTTAAAGATAAATTTCATTCTAATTTGATATAGTAGGTATATTGATTTTTATTAATTTTTAAAAAAATTAGAATTAATTTATATATTTTTCAAAAATTTAATAATAATTTATTTTATTTAAAAAAATTACCCTCTTTGCTTAATAAATCTTTCATACACATTAACTCATCTGATAATAAGAATTAAATAAATCCATCTCTAATTTACTCTACGTTTGGTAAAGTTATTTCTACTAGTTAATGGCCTTAAGCTCTAAGCTTTTCTACTGAGATTTCTACAGCTCTTTGATTAGCAAGAGTGCAATCAAATTCTTTAAGAGTCTTAAAGTAACCAAATCTTCTTTGTTTTTAATTATTATTGAGTTAGGCTTCATCAATCTACATTAATGGAAAAAATGTGTCTATCTCTTGCAATTTAAACTTTTTTAAATATTAAGGATCACTCAACTATCTAAAGAATAAGATCAAGTCATCAACAGATTTACAAATAGGTCCAGATGCGCACTAATTAAATATATATTAGTAAAAAATTGGTTTAATAGCTAGTCATTACTTAATTATCAAAAATGTTAACTAATCATTTTAATAACATTTTAAATTAATGGTTTATTAATATTTATTTTTATTACTAAAACTGTTTTTTATCCATTGAAAGGTTCTGAATAAAAAGTATGTCCTGACATAACGCTTCTTTAAGCAGTTGGCTTCAATCCATATACACCACACATAGCTTTTAATTAAAATGAAAAAAAGATGTAAGTCAATCTTTATAATGTTTGTTTAATTTAATAAATTTTAAACAAAGTAACCAATTTTTTTGACTTAATTAATTAAAAAATTTTTTATCATGCCTATTAAATCTGAAGATTACTGAGTAAATTAAGACTTAAAAATTTTTTTAAAGCAACATCAATGATAAAATAAAAACTATTTCAAATTTTATTGAATTAGCTGTTTCTAAAATAGATATTTTAATGTTCAAATATTTTCAATATATTATTTCTTGTATCTTAAGTTAATTTATTGTTATTATTATTATTATTTTAACATTTACCTGCAGGAATTCTAATAGAACCACCTATATCACTTCCCATTCCACCTGGTGACATTCTAGCAGCGACTGCAGCACCTTCTCCACCAGAAGAACCTCCTGAATATTTAGTTTTATCCCAAGGATTTAAAACTCTACCATAAACTTCATTTACAGACTCATAAATCATACCCGCTTATGGAACATTTGTACGTAAAAATGGAATTGCTCCTCCAGATTTTAAAAGCTTAGCACAAAATCCATCCTCTTTTGGAATATGATCAATTCTAAAAATAGAACCAACTGTAGAAGGATATCCTTAAATAAAATAAATAAATTATGTAATTAAATATTTTGTTTTCAAAATAAATAGTGAGGGATTTAAATTTAATCTATTTTTTATATTTTTTAAAGTCATATTTAAAAGAAGAATAGATTTTCAATATTATTTTAAATAAAAAATAATTTCCCTCTTTTAAATATTTTATGTAATAAAAAATACCTTTTTCATCTATTGTTTCTTTCATAGAAATAGGAATACCAAACAGAGGAAGTTAACAAAGAGGAGAATTTTCTTTTCTAAGTTTATCACATTCTTTAGCAGCTTCTATAGCTTCTTTGTACTTTAAATGAGTGATAATTCCATATTCAACTCCATATTACTAAGCTCTTTTTGAAAAAATGTTAACCAAATCCTCACTGGTTACAGATTTTGCTTCAAGCATTTTTTTCAAATGAGTAATGTCACTATTCAATACTTTGTCTATGATGTCTTAGGTCAAATTTGGAGTAGGAATTTACAAATTTTTTAAGTTTTGATTCCTCTCTTGGATAAAATTTCTCACTTTTTTCTTTTGTATAAAGATTTTGACTTTTTTTATTGCAGAACGCAGAATATAGGACCCAATTTTAAATCCTAAATAAGCACCCATTAAGTAAGTTACATACTTAACAGGAATTTATTTTTCAAGCATATTACTTAAATCGAAATTCATGTTTTTTTTTTGTTCTAATAAATATAATTAATAATTTTTTTTAATTAATTATTTTCAAAAAGGTAATTGATTTGTTTTCTTATTTTAATCGAGTAAGTCGGGATTAAGATTTTCAGATAAATTTATTGTTAATAATTGCGTATTGTTTGTATTACTAAATAATATATACAAATGACAACTTTATTAAAATTTGCAATTATTTATATTAAACAAATTACATTAAAAAATTTAACTTGAAATTGATTAAAGATTATATCAGTCTCAATTTTCGTTACTTAAATTCTGTAAAGGTAACAAATTAATATTTTTACTTACTCTACTTAAGTAACTCCTAATAAAATGCTAAACAACTAAGAATCATTTTTAGTTTCTCTTTTTAAATGAAGGTATCATTTTCAATCAATACAATTTTTTAAATATTGAATAATATTCTAACACAATTCAAATAAAACAGAATTTAAAATAATTTCTTATATCTTAAAGTAAAACATATTTTTTTTACAGTAAATTTATGGAAGTAAATAAATAAATTTATAGGAAGAATAAAAAGCTTAATTTTAATATTAAATTCTAATGGATAAATTATTTGCGTGTCTTTTAATCAATTTTTAAGAATCTATCAAAAAAGTTTGTTTTTACAAATTTCAATTACATAAAAATTATTTAAAAAATTGACTTAGTAAATTCAATCATATTTAATCATAATGATATCTTTGATAAGTATATTAAAGTAATCTAATTTAAGTTGTATGTATTTATATTGCTAGCCTTTAAATAAATTAACACTATTTTCACTAATCACCACATTTAAAAGTAATTATGATCTTTAAGATGTTTGTATACATATTTATCAACATTTTTTCTTTTTTAAAAATGAAATCAAAGATATTTATCATAAAATCATTCGTTTTTTATCAAAATATTTAAAAATAAATTATTCATTAAAAATTAATATTTCAAATTTTTAGGGTTTAACTCCATCAAAAATATTTTTTTTAATTTAAAAATGCCTAATCAAGAAGAATTTGAAAAAATATTACAAAAGATGCTTTTTTTGATAAAGTTAACATTTATCTGACAGATATAGCCTGTAGCTTTGATTTCTTCCTCTTAACTTAACTCTATGAAGGAGATTTATGTATTCTACCACATGTAGTTATAATAATAATATATATGTTAAATTAATTAATGAAATACATATTTTATATATTTATAAAAATACAAAATTAATTATCTTATATTAAAATGTTCACCTTATTTTCTATTATTGTTAAGATCTTATTTCTGAGTGAGCTATATCCATTGATAATTGCTTGGTAGGTTTTTTTTAAAAAAAATAAAAGTGGTTTAATTTTTTTAAGAATGAAGAATTATAAAAATTGATAATAATTTAATTAAATCATTTAAAAAGCTTTTAAAAAATAAAAAATTATGTAAGACAAACTTTTATTTTAGACTAAATTAAATTATGTGTTTATTTATGTTATTTCAGCTGAAATAAATATTTTTATGAATCATTTAAGCTCTGGATAAGAATTATGCTTGTAGAACTATATTTCATCATCTAACATTTTCATCACATTTAAGCAGGTCTCTTCTTTAAAAGGAGGAGCAACGACTTAAATATTAACAGGAAGACCTTCAGTATTTTAACTCATATAAAAATCAACTCTTTTTGCAGGGAGTTCTTTATTTCTCGTATTTTTTAAGTGCTATTCATCCTTAAGTACTTTTGTAACAGGTAAAACACCTATTTAAATCAAATAAATAATCTTAATTAAGTACAAGTTAAATTATTTTTTTATTTGCATTATTAAAATTAAGTGTAAATATTGCATAATATTAAAATGTGATTACCGCAAGGGAAGTTGATGTAATTCCAAATATAAGTGTAAAGGCATATAGGAGTAGAATCTACAGAACTTGAGTGAGGAAGAGCAGGAGTTCCAAAAGAAGGACAAATGATAGCTTCAATTTCGTAATCATCGAATACCCTTAAATATTACTATTGCAAAACACTAATTTGATATTACAACCTATTGAGCTCCTCTACTTTTAGTCTGTTTGTCTAAGGAAGAAGTTTTGCTGTAGATTTTTATCCTAAAAGTTTAAGTAAAAAGCTGAGAACTCTCTTAACTCCAGCAGGTGTTGAGGTAAAGAAATTTATAGGCATGTATTCCTAGATAGTATCTAATTATTTTTAATAAAAGATATTATATTTTTATTTTAATTCATCAATAAATAAATAGCAAAAGTATATTGTATGGAATAAAATTTAGCATTTAGATAGTGAATTTTTATAAGGCCTTCAATTAGATATTATTTGTTTTTTTGTATTTAATGCACCAAAATTAAAAAAAAATATTTCAGTACTATTTTTACCATTTGATTTCATAAAAATTAATTAGTAAATTTTTAAAATTTTAATAAAATTTATGGAAAATAATTTATTCTTTTTGTAAAAAAATAAGAGATAATTATTTTGATTGTTTTTTTAAAGTTGTAGTAAATTATATTTTAAATTCTACCTTCTTGACTTAGTAAATCATAAATGCCTTCAAAGCCATCTGCAACTAAGAATTATATAAATCCTTCACTAATTGATTCAACATTAGGCAAAGTAATTTCTACTAGTTGATGGCCTTAGGCTCTGAGCTTTTCTACTGCTATTTCAACAGCTCTTTGATTAGCAACAGTGCAATCAAATAATTCTAGAGTTTTAAAGTAACCAAATCTTCTTTGTTTCTTATTATTAGTAAGTTCAGCTTCATTAATCTATTGTAATGGGAAAAAAGGATCTTTTTCAAATAATTTAAACTTTTATAAATATTGAGGATCGCTTAACTGTCTAAAGAATAAAACTAAGTCATCAACAGATTTGCCAATAGGTCCAGTTGCACACTAGATTTATTGATAAAAATAAATATGATACTTAATTAAAATTCAGATCATAAATAATTTTTTTTAGTTAATTAATATTTTTATCTTACAAGTACAGTTCTTTATCCATTAAACGCTTCTGAGTAGAGTGTATGTCCAGACATAATCGTTCTTTGGGCAGTTGGCTTAAATCCATATACTCCGCACATTGCTTTTAAATTAATTTGAAAAATTAATTATTAATAATCTTCCTTAGATGCTTCAACACTCATCAAAAATTCCAAATTTAATTAATCATATCAAAAAAAAAATCAAATTATTTATTCTACTTGACAAGAATTATTCAGAATCAAATAAAAAATCTTTCAGATCGATTGATCAATTTTACAAAAGATTTGAAGTGAATATATTAGAGAAACAATGAACAATATCTGATTAATTTTTAAACAAAAAACTAATTTAAAATATTTACCAGCAGGAATTCTTATAGATCCACCAAGATCACTACCCATTCCACCCGGAGACATTCTAGCAGCAACAGCTGCTCCTTCTCCTCCCGAAGAACCACCTGCGTATTTAGTTCTATCCCATGGATTTTAAACTCTTCCATAAACTTCATTAGCAGATTCAAAGAGCATTGCTGCTTATGGAACATTAGTACGCAAAAATGGAATTGCACCACCTGATTTTAAAAGCTTAACACAGAAGCCATCTTCTTCAGAAATGCGGTTTATTCTAAAAGAAGATCCTACAGTTGAAGGATAACCTTTAAAAAAGAAAAAATTATTAACACAAAAAATTGAAGTAATAAGAAAAGTAAATAAATATCTTCATATGAAAACAACAAGTTTTTGTAAATTAAATTATTGTTTTTAGAAGAAATTTATTTTTGTAAGCAATAAATAAATACCTTTTTCTTCAAATGTTTCTTTCATAGAAATGGGGATACCAAACAAAGGAAGTTAACAAAGAGGGGAATTTTCTTATCTAAGTCTATCACATTCCTTTGCTGCTTCAATAGCTTCATCATACTTTAAATGTGTTATAATTCCATATTGGACTCCATATTGCTATACTCTTTTTGAATAAATGTTGACTAAATCTACACTAGTTACTGTTTTTGCTTCAAGCAATTTTTTCAAATTAGTAATATCACTATCTAATACTAATCTTATGACCTCTTCAGATAAATTTGGAGTAGGAATTTTTAAATTTTAGAGATTAGCATCTCTCTGTTAAATAAATTCTCTAACCTTCTTCTTTTAAATTAATATTCTAACCTTTTTAACAATAGATCTCAAAATGCTTGAGGTCATTTTTAAACCCAAGTATGCTCCGACAGCATAAGCAGGATACTTCAGAGAAATTTGCTTTTCAAATAGTCTTCTAATTTATATCTCCATTACTTTTTTTTGCCTTACTAATAAATAATTGAAATTTTTTAATTATTTTCAGTTTATTTAAAATGGGTTTATTTTTCTTTTAATATTTAAAGATTAAAAATGATATAAAGAATATTCTTTTCTATAACATTATAAGTTAATTACGTAATGTTTATTTGTTAGTATGTCATTCATTATAATCAAATTTATATTTCTTTCAGAATCTTTTTAATCTTATTTTATTTTTTTATGTATTTGTTTGAGCTTCCAATTTTAAAAACGTCAATTTCATTTAGAATTTACTCGCTTAACTATTATACAAAAGACAGCTTTAATATTTTTTCATTTTTTTTTAAATTAAATATTTTTCATGATATCAAATAGATAGTAATCAAATTAATTTTTTGTGTCATCTTTCTTAAAATAATAAATAAATAGATCCATATCTTATTTTTAATTTCAATATACCAAAGCTTTTATTATTTTGTTTCTCTCTGATTATCAAAAAGGTAGTGTTAAATTTGGGACTAAAAGTTTGTAAATTACTAAATTTTAAAATCTTGTTTCACCATATATCAATAGATGTTATAGTAAATAAATATTTAAATAATGAAATATTTCTTAAAAAATATTTCAAGTATAAATATCATAATAAAATTTATGGAGCTATAAAATAGGAATAATTTTTAACATGTAAAAATACTTTCATTTTCTAAAATTATTATTTTTTAATTGACTTGCTTAATTTATCAATAAATTCATTCTAATAAAAATGTATTAAAAGGGTTATTGACTAGTTTAACTTTGATTAATTTTAAACCAAAAAAGAAATAGGTTTTTATTTCTTTTTCCATTTATTTATTTGCTTGCTTTTCGTTCTGTTTTTTATTCTAAATTAACGCTTTGTTTAAGGTAAAAATTTTCCTTTATCAAACACTTTTAGATGCTTCATCAATCGATGACGAAATTATAAAGTGACGATTTTTTTAATGTTTCAATTTACTTTTTAATTTAATTTAACTATGACTTACATAAATTGATACACGAATTACGATTTAAAATTTAAGAGTTTTTTTTGATAAAATAATTATATAAAAATTAAAAAATATTCAATCAATCCTTTTCAACAATTTCTAATTCTTTTTCCTCTCCTTCTAGTGAAGGGAATTCAATTTATTTATAAAACTAGACACCGTTATCAATTATTTTCATAACATTCAAGCAGACTTCTTCTTTGAAAGGAGGAGCTACTACTTATACTGCTATAGGAAGTCCTTCTGTTTTCATTCTCATGTATTTGTCAATTTTTTTACTTATAGAGTCTTTAACTCTTGCATTTTCATAATGCTATTCACCTTCTTCTACTCTGGTTACAGGTATAACACCTATATTTTATAAATTTAATATTTATTTTCTTTATTTGAATAAAGCATTTGTTTTACCGCATGTGAAGTCAAGTATATTCCACATAAATTAGTATGCAACTATATCAGCAACATCAGCTGATGAACCATGAGGTAAAGCTGGAGTAGCATTTGCAGGGCAAATGATGGCTTCTATTTTATTCTCATCAAATACCTTTAAAACTTCTTTTCTTAGTTATAAAATTTAGTAAACGACTGCCTTGTAATCATGAGAATCTATATTCATATCTGCTAGTATGTGGTCTTTTAATCTTTTTTCACCTAAAGCTCCCATTAAAAAGGCTAATACCTTTTTCATTGAGTTTGGAATACTTGCTAAAAAGTCTAGCATTTGATATTCATCAAGAAAACCTAAATATTAATAGAAAAATAATTAATTTATTAAATATATGTGTTAATTTATCAAAAAGGTATTTCTATGAAAAATAAATCAAAAATTTATCTTAATTTACTTTCTCCTTTTAAAATATCTTTTAAATTTTGCATGTCATCGCTGAATGAGTTCTATAAGAATGCATGAATTATCTCATTTTGTTTGGGTATTTCTACTTCTATAACTTCATGTCCTAAATTTCTAAGTTTTTCTATGCTAATATCTACTGCTCTTTAGGCTGCTAAGCATGAGTCTATCACTTCGAGAGTCTTGAAGTAACCAAATCTTCTCTTCTTTCTCGAGTCATTCAAAGCATTCTCATCGATAGGAAGTATAGTTAAATTAGGGTCAATTTGACTTATATTAAATTCTTTTAAAATATTAGGATCACAAAGAGCTTTAAATAGTAAAATAGTATCATCCATTGACTTAGCCATAGGTCCAGCGCAAGCCTAAATAAATAGTTTTTAAATAAAATGAATATTTTCTTTTGTTTCTATATATAATGTAGTTTAAACATATCATTTATATTCAATAAAATATATTTTCCACCTATATGTATTTTTAACTCTCATTCCATCTTTTTTTATATTGACAACACATTTTTTACATTTATGGTATATTTATTTATTTATCTATTTACATAGTATTTTGCAAAAAAATATTTGATAAGATGTTTTTGCTTTAAGAGCTCTTTTGAAGAAGCTTAGGTTACTATTAATGAAGAGTGCAAATTTTTTGAATATTCAGATAAATATAATGAATTAAGTTTTTATTTTATTGGTAGAGGTTAATTTGTGGCTTAAACAACATTTTAATACATTTTAATAAGGTAGAAAAATGAATTACTTTGTTTATTGTTTGTCCATCAAAAGCTTCTGAGTAGTGAGTAAGACCATTAATTACACATCTTCCAGATGTAGGTTTAAATCCATAAATACCGCACATTGCTTTATTCAAAAAATACAAATAAAAATAGTGCTTCAACATACGTTTAATATATTACCTGCTGGGATTCTTATTGAACCTCCTTGATCACTACCTAAGCCAATTGGGCATAGTCTACTAGCGATAATGGATGCTTCGCCTCCTGATGAACCTCCTGCCATTTTGGTGAGATCCCAAGGGTTTTTAACTCTACCATAGATTCTATTGACAGATTCAAATGTGAAGCAACACTAAGGCACATTTGATCTAACTAATGGGATGGCTCCAGATTTACGCAAAAGTTAAATGATAAATCCATCTTCAACTGGAACATAATTCAAACGCTAAATGCATCCTACAGTAGAAGGATAACCTGAAAATAAATATTTGAAAAATAAATTTTCAATAGCAACAAAATCAAATTAAACCTTTTTCGTCGAAGATCTCCTTTATTGAAATAGGGATACCAAATAAAAGGCCTTAGACAAGAGGAGACTTTTCTTTTCTAAGCTTGTCACATTCCTTAGCCTTCATGATTGCTTCCTCATACTTAAGATGCGTAATTGCTTCCAATTATGGATTAAACTATTAGCATCTCTTGGCAAAAATATTGACTAAATCTTCGCTTGTAACTTTTCCTTTAGAAAGAAGTTTTTTGATAGAAGTGACATCTTCATTGAGCACCTTCTATAAAGTATCTTAATCTAAGCTTGGAGTAGGTATCTAAAAAGCTTAAAGCTAATCATCCCTATTTTTTCTGTATAACTTAGCTTTTTTTATGAGTAATGAGTTCCTAATCTTATGATATATATAAACTATTAGATTCCATATTATTTTAAGGGCTAAATAAGCTGCAAATAGGTATGCTAACTGCAAGACACTGAACTTATAATTGACAATCTTTTCAAAGAAAGATTCAGAGTGCCCGTTTCCATTTGTCCCTGGCGGTACATTAATATATGGGATGTCTTTTATTGTCATTTCCTTCCTAATTATATAACCTATTTATATTTATTCTGCGTAATATTATAAATTTTGCTTTATAATTTAAACAAAAATCTTACAGAAAAAAATAAACTTTATTAACAAGGAATTGCGAATTTATTTAGATCAAATACTAAGTTAGATTCCTGATTTGTTTGATATCTATCTTCATAGCTTGAATAAGACGTTTTTGATTACAAGATCCTTTCTAATAACTAGATAATTAGTCCTCATGTTTGAATTAATTTTTCACCAGAATTTACTCTCTAAAAAGATTAAAAAAATACACATTTTTAATATATATTATCCTATGAAGATAAACAAATATGTTTAAATCTAATTAAATTTTACTAACAAGTTAGTTTGCCAAAAAAACATAAGAAAGTTAAAATTAAATCAATTTAAAAAATCATATTTAAAACAAATTTTGAGCTATTTTTAAAAAAAAATAAGAACAAAGTTGTTTAAATTTATCAAATAATTTAGCGATAAAATTATTGTTTGTTTTTATATTATTTTATTAAGCTAAAATTATTAAAAATTTGAATTAATTTTTTGATGAAATATGAAAAAAATTAATTGAATTGATTATTTTTTTTAACTTCATTTTAAATGAAAAAAGATATTTAGTAAATTCTACACATTCATTAAAAGAAATATTTAAATTAATTATTTCAATTTCATACAGGTAATTTTCTATTTTTATAGAATTAAACTTTATTATCAATTTATTTCATTAAATTTAAGCAGAGTTCATCTTTATTAGGAAGAGTAACAACCTATACATTGACAGGAAGTTTAGCAGTTCCCTTCATATTTTCATTAATAACCCTAGTCATGCTATCTTAAATTCTGCTATTATTGTAGTGCTATTCATCTTCATGAACTTCAGTAATTGGCAACACACCTTTTTTAATATTTTAATTTATATTTAAATTAATCATTCATTAATTTTTAATTGGATTTTAAAATAACTCTTTTTTCAAAGATTTCATTTTTCTTTATCAAAATTATTTAAAAACTATTTGTTATCAATTTGAAGAAGTATTTTTTTGTTTAATAATTTACCTGCAGGGAAGTTGAGAACATTCCAAATGTACAAGTAGGAGGTTGTCAAAACTGTTTTAGCAGAAATTGTGTGCTTTAATGCTGGAGCAGCAAAGCAAGGAGTGATAATTGCCTCTATATTTTAATCTTCCAAGTATTTTAAAACTTGCTTTTTCAAGATTAAAATTTCATCTGACATTCTTAAATAATCTTCTGCAGTAGGCTGCTACTTCATTATACTAAGTATTTTATACTTTCTAGTTTCTCCAACTAATTTCAACAATATTTCAAGTGCTCTTTTTAGGAATTTTGGGAAGTAGAGAGGAGCAAGAGTAGGTTTATAGACTTCAACATAGTCTATTTTATTAATAATAAATTTTATTGAAAAAACTGAAATGAAAGATTCTGCTAATAAATAAGAATAGTAAGTACCTTCATCTCCAAGCTAATCTTCAAATCCTTTTAAATTATCTGATGAGGTTACTTTAAAGAAAATATAAACAAGTCTTTCAATATTTGGTATTTCGATTTCAACAACTTCATGACCAAGTTCTCTAAGAGCATCAACAGTAATTTAGACAGCTCTTTAATTTGCTAAAGTAGCATCAATAGGTTCCATAGTCTTGAAATATCCTATTTTGAGTTTTTTAGAAGTCTACTCATGAAGCAGTTTCTAATCAAAAGGTACATACATCTAATGTAGCAAAGATTCATAAAGTTTCATATTTAAAACCTCTTTATTATTAAGAGCTTCCATGAATAATATGCAGTCATCCACACTCTTAGCTATAGGGCCAATAGAAGTCTAAAATTTTATAAAAGAAATTAATAATTTTTTAATGAATTTTATTCATTAAATTGTAAAAAAAGTAATACAAAAGTGAAATTTTTATTATTTTCATCGTAAAAAATGTGAATCTTATTTAAAAAATAGCAATAAAATTTAAAACAAATACTTAAAAAATGGTCAAATGATTATTTAAAATACAATTTTTTATAACTAAAATTTTTTATTCATAAAGGATTGGTTTTTATATTTGGTTAAAGAAATTTTGAGTGAAATTAAGAAACTTTAAAAATTAAAAAGAAACACTTTCTTTCCAAATCAATAATCAAATCTTTACTAAATTTAGAAGAAATAGTCAAATAAAAATTTAATCAGAGTAACTAACTTTTATTCATATTAAAAATCATAAAAGTGAATTTTATGAATTTCATTTGAATATTCAAAGTAGATTTTTATTTAGATTTATAAATCATAATAAAAATGAAATGTAAAATTATCTCATAAAATATTTTAAAGATATTTATGAATGATAAAATTCTATCGTAAAAGTAAAAATTATCTTTATTAAAATTTGATTTAGTTAAATTGTAAAATAAAAATGATTAAAGAAGAATAAATTTTACTCTAACGTTTGTCTCTCCATTTTATGTTTTAGAGTATCTAGTTAATCCTTGTAAAGGAATTCTTCCACTTGTTGGTTTGAAGGCGTAAATACCATTGAAATCTGTTTAAAAAGTAAAATTAGAATTGCGTAAGGGTTAGTAAATGCGTCATACAGCTAATAAAAAAATAATCAATTTTCAAAAAAAGATTTTTTGTATTTTTGTGGTATTTGTAGATGCATAAATCCTATCTAAATTAAGAGATAATTTAGATTTGAATTTTTATCTATTTTAATCTCAATTCTTAATTTAATTTCATGTTTTCTTGGAGTATTTTTGATGAATTTCTAAAGCAATTTCCAAATTGATCACATCAAACATTAAGTTTAATTATAATAATAATAATAAATTACTTGCAGGAGATCTTATAGAACCGCCAAGATCTGATCCAATACCTATTGGGGAGCATCTTGTTGCTACACACACAGCCTCTCCACCTGAAGAACCGCCTGGATATCTAGTTTTATCCCAAGGATTTAAAGTCCTACCATAAATTCTATTAGCACTTTCAAAGCTCATACCCAATTGAGGTACATTTGTCTTGACAAAAGGAATACCTCCAGACATCTTAATAAGTTTGACTGATAAACCATCTTCTTAAGCAATATAATTTATTCTATTTATACATCCTACAGTAGAGGGCATTCCTATTTCATATTATATATTAACCATTTTAAAACTAAACAAATAAAGCTAAAATAAATAAATGAATGAATGAATAATTTTATATAATTCATCTAAAAACAATCATATTTTCTTCATTTCGTTACTTGAATTATTTTAAATGTATTTTGCTATTTATTTGATGCTAGCTAGAAACATTTTTACCAAACTAACTACATGCTTATATTAATAATAATGCAATTGTTTTTGGAGGAGTTAAAGCTAAATTTCAAAACTTATTTATTTTTTACCTTTGACATCAAAGAAATCTTTAATTGAAATGGGAATTCCATATAATGGCTTTGTGTCGACTATATTGAAGTCTTGCAACCTTTGCTGGTCAAGTTCTCTGGCTAGTTTTATTGCGTTTTCATAATCGAATTCAGTAATGCAATGGAATTATTTCAAACCTATTTTTCTACATCTATGACTGTAAATGTTGACAAGGTCTTCGCTAGAAACTTCGTTTTTCTTAAGCATTTCTTTCAATTGAGCTACACTCGAGTTGAGAATTTGATCCATTTTTTCTTGAGTGAAATTTGGCAAAGTGATTTTTAAAGCCTATATCCTTGCTATTCTGTCTGTATTATATGAGACAGTCTTCTGAATAATTCTTCTGTGCTTTCTGTAGTTATTCAGAATCTTAAAAAGCTGCCATACGGCGCCTACACCAAAGACTATTAATTCATATCTGATTCTTTACTTGACAGTGAATTAGTAGTTGAGTATTTTTTAAACAACACTTTGAGCTTAAGTGGATGACATGAATAGCTTGTTAGTTTAAAATTATATCAATCAATTAATTAATTAATAATTAATAAGTAGATTTTTTAATGTTTTTAATAAAAGATAATTAAAAAGATATCTTATTTCTTTGTTATTTATTTATTACTAAAAATCTTTTTTATTAATCTTCGTTTTTGTTGCTTTTTGATGTGATCAAATATTTTTTATTAGTAATACCTAAATTATATTGTCATAAATCATCATTAAATAAACTATTTGACATGCTTTAGATCTTATTAAATTTGATTTATGTTATATATACAAATATGACCTTTATTTTTACATATTTGACAAATAAATACGTTAATTAATTAATCCATACTTAATTTAATCAATACATATCTTAGTTAAGTAATATATAAATACCATATAGCCTCGAACCAACAAGTATTTTTAATTTCAAAATGGCTTTCGCTTACTCATAATTGTAGTAAATAATAAATTGGTACATTTTCAATTTTTAAACTCATTTAAAAAAATAAATCGTACATTATATTCATTTAACTTTTAATATATAAAAATAAATTTATTTAAATTAAAAATTTAATTATTTACATTTAAATTATTATTCAAGTTTCAAAAAAGGATATTAAATATATTGAATTGATTTAGTGATTCTATCAATCAATAATTTTTACATAAAAAAATACTGAGATGGAAGTGATTAAATAAATAAGAAGAATATAAATTAAATAAACATATTGTAGATTTAAAAATGTAATAAATATTATATAATCAATTCAATTTAAAAATTTTGCATCTTTTTTTAATAATTAATTAATTAGCAAATGAGAATTAAATAACTTAAATTTCTTTATTTTAGGTTATTAACTTTATTACTTTAATACAAAAATACTTAATCAATCAATTTATTTTTTTAAGGATTTTTGCTAAAATTATTTATAAAGTTATCTTTATTAATATAAATGAAGGAAATTATTTTCAATTTAAATAAATTAATGAGTTTGAATAAATTTATTTTGTACTTAATTAAAGAATAAAAAATATATAATCTTTAGCAAAGCAATAAAGCAAAAAAGCAAAAGTGCAAACAACTACAGCTAATAGCAAAAAATGATTACTCACTGATAAAGCAATCGATGTTTTGATAGTATTGATAAAATATGTTAGCTACTCAAGCAGCCAAAGCTCCATGCAATAAAATACATCATAATTAATTTTGTTCATTAAGTAGAAGTTTAATTAGATATTAATTAATATAAGAAAGTTAAAACACTATAAAAATAATTCAAATATTTTCATTAAAGTGTTAATTTTTATTTCACAGAATTAAACTATTCATTTATTTATTATCAATTTATCTCACTAAATTCAAGCAAATTTTATAGTTATTATTAATTTTTACTATGTATGTATGTAGATATTTAGAGCAAATTAAACAGCTCTTTTAATAGATTTATAAATTATCTGATTATTTTTTATTCTTAATTTATTGTAATGTAAATATAATTTCTTTTATATATATGAGAGTTTTTTAAACTGTTTAAAATATTTATGAAATTTATATATAGATAGATATTAATTATAACAAATCATTATTTTAAAAGTCTTGAAAAGATAATTGTATTTTTAATTAATTAATCGATAATGTGTAACCTGCCTTGCCTACCTGCTGGTAACTTGAGCATTTTCAGGATGTGAAAATATAAATTTGTTAATACTATTTGATCAGAAATTATATTCTTTAAACACAGAGTAGCAAAGCTAGGATAAATAATAGTTTCTGTAATTTAATATTACAGCACTTACTTACATTTTATATTAAAAAATTTAATATGAGATTTTAAAATATTCTTCTTCATTTTATCGTAACTTCATTCGACTTATAATTAATTAATTATATGTATTTTAGCTCTTCTACCAATTTAATAAATTTTTGAAGAGCAATCTGAAAAAAAATTTTGGAAATAGTTTGTAAGTATTTAAAAAACTTTTTTAGTTTAGTATAAAAAATTGTTAATAATTAGATTGTTTGATTTGATTTGATTCGATCTCTTAGTAAATGTATATTATTAACAATCTTAAAATTTAATTGGATTTAAATTATACTTTACTTCAGTCAGTATTAATTATGATACTTTAACTAAGTAATTAGAGGAAAAACATAAAAGTATATTTTAAATTTTGTAAATTTTTATGGTATTTTATTTGTTTTTTTATTATTTTAATTTAAATTAACACACGAACATAGATAGATAGTCACATTTAAAGTTTTTTATAAAGGGTACCAATATAATCTTTAAAAAAATGATAATTTTTGATTTGAAAATAATCTGGTCAATTTGTTTATATCTGAAATTTTTTTAGTTCTACTTTTTTTATTTAATATTAATTTTGTTTAATAGGATTTAATTTATATTATATCTTACTTATACAAAAATAAACAAATTAATTAATTAATTAATTAATTCATTACAAAAAGTAAAATTAACTCATAAAAATAGATAAATAATTGATATTCATGTAAGAAAAACAAACACTTAAATGTAATGTTTGTAAATAAATACTTAATTAATTTTAATCTTTTTTTCTTTCTATTTTTAGATTTTTAATTTATTTTTTTTTGAAAAGCAAAAACAGTTTATTTTGAAAAAAAATGAAAGCTATCTAATTTTTTAATTTCTACTTTATGCTATATGTTAAGTAAAATTAAGTTACTTCATCAATTCAAATAATTAGAAGACAATCATTAAATAAAGAAGAAAATTAATCCTAATATTAACTTATATTGAATTTTTATTTGGTCTATTTTTATTTTTTTTTACCTTAAGATGGATGAACGGATGGATTCACATATTTATTTTATTTAGAATATACAAATTACTAAGGAAAAAGTTAACACAATAATAAATTATTGTACAAAACTTATAAAAAATATATTTATAAATTCCAACTGATTAAATAATAAAAGAGGAAAAAGAAAGATTAATTGATTGATTGATTAATAGAAAAATAATAATATAAAAAACAATATCAAATAACATAAACGCAGGCTAAATATTAAATATTTTTTTATTATTATTTATTATTTTATTCAATCATATAATTTATTTTAATTCTTATATAAATACTATTTTAACAGAAATTAACAAACCTTCTTTAAATTCTCATTTCATCTAAGCTATTTATTTATTTATTTACTTACTTACTTACTCTCTATGAAATATTTTTATTTCAAAAATCAAAAAAAAATTCATCAATCAAGTTTGTTAAGTCTAAAAGGAGATAGCTAGATAGATACTAATATTTATAGATAGATAGAAAGATAGATAGATAGATAGATAGATAGATAGATAGATAGAAAATTATATTTTATACATTTAAAAAACTAATTAAATTTAAAAAAATATTTATGAAGATTCAACAAACTCCTGAAGCATTTGCTATTAAAAAAAGCTACTTAGGTTTTGCCAAAGAAAAAGTTAAAGATTTTAGTTATTCGTTGACTTCTATTTTAATGTAGCTTATTAATAATTATCATTCTCCCTTTCACTTGTTAAACAAGTTTGATTAGTTTGATATAATTTAACAATTCTACTATATTTTCATGCATGATCCAACTATTTACTTTATTTATTTATTTCTTTAATTTTGGATTGAAATTAAAATTCATATAATTTGTTGCATAAAACGAAAGCAACTTCCTAAGCTATTTAGATTAGCATCATGCATATTTTGAGTTGAATAGTAGAAATTATAGATACCTTAAGATGAGTTTGATATAATGCGGTTAATTTTTTACTCTTTCAAATTTCATTTATTTGATTGCTTTTTTATTTAATCCATTAAAATAATTAACTAATTATATATGTATGTATGAAATTAATTATAATTAGTTTTAAAAACTAATAAAAATGGAAGTAGAATAAAATCTACATAAGCAAAAAAAAATTATTAAAGTAATGAAAGAATTTCAAAATTTATTTAAAATTTATTTGAGGATAAATGAAAATATTTAAATTTCTTATCCATCCAAAAAATAGATTGATTGATTGATTAATTGATATAAATAAACAAATTTTTAAAATAAAACTGATTGATTTATCTGAGTAAAAAATGACCTTCATAACTTAAATCTAAAAATTAAATTTTATGGTAAAAACAATTTAAAACAATTTGAAATGAATACTTTTATGTAGATGGATTCTTCATATTCTAGCTCTGCATAATTAATTATTCTGATTTAACAGATTTAGTTCATAAATTCTTTTGTTTTGTTTGGTGTCTGTTTATTTAAATGTAAGTAAGTAACCTTTAAAATTCTTTATTTTTTTCTTTCTTTCTTTCTTTATTTATTTATAATTTACTTTTCTTAACTTTTATTACTGAGGTAGAACATATTTTTAAATAACATAAAGTATTTAAATTTTATTTAGCTAGCTTGATTTTAAAAAAATAATATTTTGTTCTAGTAGCTATTAAAATATTTAAAACGAATTTGATTTCCACTTAAATTTCAGTTTTTCAGTTAGTAAAAATTAAGAGTAATCAATATATATAATCAATTTCGTTTAAATATCCATCATCAAATGTTCTTACAATAAATTAAGGAGAGATTAATTTAACTATATATTAATAATGACCAAAATAAAAAATCCGCTCGATTGTTAAATAATAATAATCTAAATTATTCACTTGAAATAAAATATTTCTAATTACTATTTATTGAATCCACTAAATATTCACAATTTTTAGCATATTTCCAAAAAAGTAGATATTTATTTCATAGATCATTTTTATATAATAATATTAAAAATAAATGGCATCAAACTTCACTTAAACATAAGAGAAAGACTAAGTTACAATATTCTTAAACATTCTAAATATTGATTAAACTATCTAGGCATTTTAAATTAATTAATGCACCTATAAAATAATACTTTTGACATTTTATTTTCTATTTGATTTCATTTATATTAACTCAATTTATTACAAAAAAATTTGTCTTGCTTGTTTTTATTTAAATCTCAAAAAAGTCAAAAAGTAAGTACAGTTATTTGCTATAAAAAAAATCAAAATAGATATTTGAAAATTACTAAGTAGAAATTAGCCTTAGTTATGATCCAGCGATGCTAAAAATAACAAAGAGATGGAAGAAATATTTATTTAACAAACATAAATCATTATAACTCATAGATATAAAATTATATTTAAATTTACTTCAACAAATATTATCTGTTTATTTAGTTAGTTAGTTAATTAGCTAGTTTCATAAAGTAGAAATAAATTACTCTAGCTCTAATATCTCTCTATCTATGTTTGTATACATATTTCTTAATACATAGTTAGAGAAAATATACTTAGAGTCTAAGCTAAATCGCATTCAATGAGCAACTTTAGAACTAAATTTGTTACTAATAATATTGATAACACATTTACTTAAAAAAAATAATAATATATTTGCAGAAATACATTCTTTGTTTTCGTTTGTTTTATCTAAATAAACTGAACTTAAAAAAAATTTCATATTTAAAAAAACATTGACATAAATATTTCTACTAATATCTGTGCAGGCAATTATATTGATTATTTTTATTTAAGATATTAGGAGATAGGCTGAGGTCAAATAAACCATTTATTGCATTCTCAACAATGCTTCATAATATATTACAAATTTTATACATAAAAAGGTTTTTGGAAAGTAACCGCTTGCTTAGTTAATTTGACATAAATATCTCAAAGAATAAGTGAAGTAGTACTTATAGCTAGCTATAATGACTATATTTTTTGAATTAATTTTCCAAAAATTGAAGTTAATAAGTATTAACTTTAAAGAAAAGGGTCATTTTTTTATCAACAGAAACAACTCTACTAACTTATCTATTTTTAAAAAATATATATATATATAACTTAACCTAAATAAGTAGATTAATATAATAATAAAATCACAAACAACAAATCACTTATTGGAACAATTAAAAACAAACATAAAGCTAGTGTTTAAAATTGTAATCAATCATATTCCTTATAGAAATTAGATTTTGATAAGTATTTATTACTACTTTTATTCAAAATCTTAAAGAATGTTTTTGGTTTATTTTTTTTGTTTGGTTCAAATAACTTACTTAAGGATATAGAAAAACAGAGTAATTAAGAGTAGAATTATTATTAATCTTCGATTTAATTAACAATCATATGTAACAAATATAAAAATACAATCAGAAGAATAATATTTATCAATCATTATCATTTATTAATTCTTCCTTTTATAATAAGCTATTTATTTGTCTTTCGCATTTTTTTATTTATTTATTTATATTTTTTTGATTTTTACATATTGTTAATTTTCTTTATATAATATTTGATAATTAATTAATTTATTAATTTATTGATTGATTGATTTATGTGTTTGTTTGTTTGTTGTTTGTTTGAAAGATAATTAGGTCTTTGTTATTTTTCAGGCTGCAATATACTTTAAATAAATTAATATAAAGACATTCAACTAGCTTTTAAAAGCATCTTTCTTCTGTAGAATTTATTGGAGTGGTATTCTTTGCTATGAGAAGGGAGAGACTTTGTTATTTTTTAATTTAGCAATCTTGGCTGCTTGAGACTGTATTTGAAAGAGCTTTAGACTACCTCGTTTTCGTCTTAAGACGCTCTTTTTTCATAATCATTGTGGTGAGACAGTAGATCATCACTTGAATCTCTTTCTTTTTCTAATTATTAGATAGTAGTCGTCTACGAGCTGCTCTTGTCTACTGTTGACGAGGACTCCATCATTTAAACTAGCTTGTTTTTGCGCTTTGCTAGAGATTTCTTACTGTAAAGAAGTATTTCTCCCTTGCATAACCTGCAGCTACAGGCATTCTGACATGCGTAACAAACCCAGCAACCTTCTTTATAAGAAACATGATATACAAACCCTGCATCAAAATTCTCTTGGATGCATTTCTCGCAAAAAAAGTTGCGACAACGAGTTTTAGTGCATTTGGCTAGGTTCTGCACTGTCATTTAGCATAAGTGGCACTCTGATTTCATTATATTTTCAAATTTTTTGTAGCAATGTTATAATTTTTATCTTTATTTTTAATCAATTAATTAAGAAATAAATAATTAATTAATTAGTAAAAAGGTAAAAAATTGCTTTTTAATCCTCTACTTTATTACTATTTTCTTATTATTTCTTAGAAAATCAAATATTAATTAATTATCCTACACCTAACTCATTCATTCACTCAGTCAGCTTTTCTATTTATTTATTTATTAATTAATTTACTCGTTTCTCAAAATAAATTGTTATTCATTTTTATAAATTTACCATGAGTAGATGTCTATGTATGTGTAAATATATATATATATTTGTATTTATATTTGTTTGTTTGTTTGCTTGTTTGTTTTTTTGTGTGTATGTATCTTCAATTTCTATTTTACCTCCAACTATTTTTATTATATTTTATTAGTTTACTCCATTCCAAATTTTAAATCTTAACTAACAAATTTCCCATCAGTTCAGTTGATAAATGTTTTTATATTTGGAATTAGAATTTTAACAACAAAATTTGTGTAAATTATGAATTTTTTCTTACATGTTTTGTAATCCAATTGAATTTAGAGCAAAATAAATCCTTTGTGTTTAATTTTGTATTAATTTAATTAATTTTTTAAGCATTTTTATAAATTTTCTATATCATAATTAATCATACTACATAAATTATAATCTAATTTATTTTTATTAACTATTTGCTATAAATAGAAACTTTTTTTATTACCATTTAAATTTATAATTAATGCACAAAAATAAAATTAATATTTTCTAAATTGCTCTAATTTTTAAATTAATTTGTTCAAAAATAAATATTGAAATGAAAATTTTGCAAAATTTTTGAAATAAAAATATTTTCATTTAAATAATTGAATAAATAAAAATATTATTCACTTAAAATTGTTTTTTTAATACAATTAAATATTTTATTAAATTAAATAGAAATAAAATGAATCATTTTTTAATAAAATAAAATATTAAATAATAACAAATAAAAATGAAAAAAATCCTTACAAATGAAATTAAGCAAAAAAAATTAATATACAAACTATTTGTTTTTATTCTAAATTAGATGTAATAAATAAATTAAATAATTATAGAGATAAATAACAAGTTAAAATATTTTAATTTATTAATTATATAGAGAACAAAATATTAAGAAATATTTATTGATGGTTTGAAATACTTATTTCATTAAATTCTAAGATAAAAAATTAGTAAATTTTCACTCATTAGTGAAGACCGCGCTTAATTAACCAAAAATTAAATGTGTTTTCATGCAAATAAAATTAAAAAACAAATATAATTAATGTGCGAATTAGGTTTTTGGAATTTTATTCTTTATTAAAGTTAATTTATTTTGTCTTATAAAATCAAATGAATCAATAAATGTAAATGAGTTTCTAAAAAATGTCTATTTATAATTAAAATTTAGCACTAAATTAACAAGCTTTTATTTTCATATTTAAAATATCGTATTTTCTTATTAATAAAGGTTTTTGAAAAAATATTTTTTTAATATAGCTAATCCTAAAATCAATTTTAAAATAGTTTGTTTCTTTTAATTTTTACCTTAATAAATGAGAATTTACAGTGTAATAATTATGATTATTCATAATAAAAATATTCATAATTATAATATGAAGTTAATTTTTTTTGTGTACCTCATTAAATAAATAAATAAATACCTTATCATAAATTTTTCTTTTTCTAAGTTAGGAATATATATTTTAGATGTATAAGGGCAATAAACTTTAAACTTGTTCATTTGTCTTACTTTTTCAAATACTTAGTTTTTTTGGGGTATAAATAAATCATTTAGAGATATAATAAATTTATAGTCATCTCTTAATTTAAAGTAATCTTTCAAATCATTAAAATATTATTCTAAGTTAAGCTCCTACTAATTAATATATATAAAGTTGTAAATTTCTTACTTATTTTATACAAACATTTTTGTATTTCCAGGTAAAATTACTTAAAGATTTAATCAATTTATAGTCATCTCTTAATATATAGTAAGTTTTTCAAATCAACTAAATATTAATCTAGGTTAAGCTGCTACTAATATATGTAAAGTTGTAAGCTTCTTAATATGTCTTATTTTATCCAAATACTTTAATATTTCCAGGGTAAAATCGCCTAAATGTTAATCAATTTGGAGTAATTTCTTAATTTTCAAAAAAGATTAAAGTTATAGGGATAAGCTCATATTAGCATAGTAAAAAATATTTATTGAAGTCTTTTACTTTATACAGACACACACAATAAGTCTTTGAATTATTAAATCAAGTAAATAAATTTTCATAGACACACGTGAAGATTAATAAAAAATGTTTTATATTTAATAACTAAAAAAAATTAAATAGTTTTCTTATACTATATTAATCAACTTAAAAGTATTTATTTAAAAAGTATATTCATTCCTGATAAATTCAAATTCAAGTTTCTAAGTGAGAAAAATAGAATTTGGAATAGAAAGTCTTTTTAATTAATCTAAAAAAGAACTTTAAAAAGAATTATCAATTCAAATAAAATACATTTATTTTAAATGACATGATTTCTTTTAATTAATAAACTATTAATAGAGTTTTAGCATTAACAAACAAACAAATAAAAAAATATATACTGATAAAATGAAAAAGCAAAAATCTTTTAGTGTAGAAAACGACAAATTAAAAGTAGAAGTTATTATTCTATATTTATACTTCAATTTTATTTATTTTATGATAAAAGGTTTCTGATTTTAAAAATTGTAGTGATCTCCAAATCTTAAAAATAGACTTTTATTCTTGGTATATTTTTTGATACATATTTTACTTTACTATTTATTTTTTATTTACTATAATTTTTATTCTCTACAATTAATTGACCAAACAAATAAATTTTCGGGATTCTTTTTTGAAAACGTTTAGAAAGAAATAAATGAAAAAATGTTTAAATTATTTAAATTAATGCAATGCGGTGAATAAAATAAATATTATTTTAAATATTAATATTAAAATAATTAGCTCTTTTGATGAAGAAGTTTCTTAAAAATTTAGCGAGCTGATGAAAAATTGTTCAAGTATGTAAAAACTAAAAATAAAATTCCATAATTACTATTAATACTATGTCGAAACTTTTTACTCATCTAATTTAGCTATTTGCTTATCTAAGTTAAATAATTTGATCACTTTTTCACTAAATTTTTGCGATTTTGATTTTTTTGATAAAGATCTCTAATCAATATTACATGGTTTAAGTAAATGTTAAAATTTAGAAACTTTAAAGCTAACACTTATGTAAATAATATTCTCATTTTTATTTATTTATTTATTTATTTATTTATTATTTTTAATATATTTTATAAGTTAAAACAATGTTGAATTATATAAAATTTGCCTTTTTAATTGAAAGATATTGTTTTACATGTTATTTTTGATAATTAATAAGTTTAATTTAATTAATAATAAAATGAATTTTATGATATTATTCTTAAATAATGTTATTTAAAAAATTAAATTAAACTTTTATCAAACTAAAAAAGTTAGTGCGCTATTGAGGCAAATTTGAGCTTAGCATTTTAGAACATAAAAAATCTCAAATGCTTGATTTTAAATCTTGGGTAAGAATAATTGAATTTAAAAATTAAATTTTTTATTGATAAATAACTTGCATTTGTTTTTATATAATTTCATATCAAAAAATTAAACTTATTATATAGAGATAATTTTATTGAAGATGCAGGAGCATCTTTTTTAGGCAGTCAATTATCAAAATGTTCAAATCTTTAAAATTTAAAGCTTTAACTTATGTAAGAAAATATTATTTGTTTTATCAACTAACTAATCAACATAAATAAAAGATAAAACTTAGTTGGATATGAAGGTGATATTAAATTAGCTTAAGGATTAGCTAATTGTGAATAACTCAAGACTCTAACAATTTAGCTCTCTCCTAAGTATTAATTTGAAGAGTAAGTACACATTTTAATTATGTTTTAAAGTAAAAAAGTTTTTTTCAAGACTAAACTAAGTCTTGATAATTTTATTTCTTTAAAATCAAAACAATTTAAATAGCTTACTGTAATAATTTTTCTTCAGTGTGAAATTAAAGCAATTTAAACAGAAATTTTTTATTATTTATATAGCGATGACTATTTTTTAAAATTGCAAAGTGCTAATAATAACTGAAAACTAATTGCAGTAAGTTTGTTTATAAAATATTAAATGAATAATTTTAAGATAAGTAAGTAAGTATCTAATAACTATTCAAAATGAAAAAAAATCAATTGAATTTTTAAAAAAATGTTTTTAGAGTTAATAATAGTTATTTATTTTTCAACTTATTGTAAATAATATTGACTTATTTATAATTTTATTTTATAAACCAATAGAAAAAAAGATTTTGATGATACTTGTACTAATTTTTTTAGAGAGCTAAGTAAGAGTAAGAATCTAAAGAACTTGAGAGTATCATACTTGTAATTTACTTATCTATTTATTTATTTATTTATTTATTTGTTTTAATTTTATCTAAGACCTAGTCTTTTAATATTTAAACATTTATTTATTTATTTAAATCTTTGCTATTTAAAGCTATGATGGAATGATTATGAAGGATCTTATCAAAGGATTAAAATGTCTAAAAAATATTTTTACAATTGAGTACGATTTTACGTAAATATTTTTATATTTTCAATTATTTTTTATGTTTTAATTTTTTTAATACTTAATTAATTGCATTTTTTTAAATTATCCTTTTAATTTAAAAGTATAAATGAATGCAATGCTATAAGGGCTAGTTTGATGAAATTAAAATATTTGGTTACTTTTAATTAAAATACTGATTGAGACAAAGTTAAAGTCAATTTTAATATCAAAAAGCTTGATTTGAGAAAAATATATATGAAGCACGTTTTATTTTATTCGTATTGAAATATTTTACAAAGATTAAATAAGCTGATTCTATTTGCTATAAAATCAATTTAAAATGAATTAAATCAACTTTTTCTCATTATAATTTTAAAAAATAATTAATAAATCTAAGCAGCTCAAAAATTAAATAAAATATAAAAACATTTAAGATATTTTTTATGTAAGAATTAAATATTTATTTAAAAAATTAAATACTTGCTTATCTTTGAATAAAATGACAAGATTTATATACATTTTTATTACTTAATAAAATTGAATCTTAATTAATTATTATAAGGAATATTTAGATTTTCACATATTTTTTATTGATTAAAATCATAGAGGTAATTTTCTATTTTTGTAGAATTAAAATTTGTCATCAATTTATTTCATTAAGTTTAAGCATAGTTCATCTTTATTAGGGAGAGTAACTATCTGAACATTTACAGGTAGTTTTGCAGATCCTTTCATTTCTTCATTAATAACCGAAGTCATTTTATCTTTGATTTTGGTGTTATTATAATGCTATTCATCATCTCTAACTTCAGTAACAGGAACAACACCTTTTAGATTTTAAATTTAATTAATATGTTAAATCAACTTTTTACTGCCAATTTAAAATTTGACATATTCAAAAAATTATTATTGTTATCACACTCTAAATCCTCATTAATAAGACCAAAAAAAATCAACTTTTTTCAAAAAATTTTTAATAGATGTATTACAAAAAAATGGTACTTTAGAGCCTATTTTTTTGGTTTTTGTTTTCAGTAATAATGGTAAATTCATTATTATTTTTAATATTATTAATTCGCTTAAGAAATTTTATATTAGTTTAATTTATGTTTATTGATTGGTATTGTTATTTAAATGTTTTCTTAGCAACTAATTATCATATTGATTTAATAACTAAGGTACTAACTAGCTAGTTATTATTCCTTTGATAATTTAAAAAGTACACGTTCAAATTTATTATATTATTTGTTTGATTAATATTTAGTAACATATTCAAGTAAAAACTTATTAGACTTTTAACAATATTTTTACTTTCTTTAAATAAATAATTTATTTATAGAATATACTAAATAGTTTTCATTTTAAAGATATTTTTTTTAAATATTGACTAAAAAATTTTACTAATTAAATTTGTTAGCTTAAAAATAAATAAATAATAAAGTGGTAGTTAAATTTGATTAGTTGAATATTAATGTTAAATTTTATTTAGAAATAAAGTTAAAATAATACCTGCTGGGAAATTAAGTACATTCCAAATGTATAGATAAGATGTGGCTAAACCAATTTTAGCTGATGTATTATGCTTTAATGCAGGAGTAGTAAAGCAAGGCATAATAATAGCTTGTATGTTTAGATCTTCAAGATATTTTAACACTTGCTTTTTCAAAGTTTAAACTTCATCAGAAACTATTAGGTAGTCTTATGCAGTATTTTCTTATTTCATAATGCTTAGTGCTTTGTAATTTCTTTTTTAGCCAGTTAATTTTAAAAATAATTCAATCAGCTTCTTCAATTTTGCAGGACAGTAAAAAGGAATAGTGATAAGCTTGTAAACTTCCAAATAATCTAAATGGTATTAAAATGAAATAAGAAAAAACAATTCAAATTATTTTTGATAAAAAGTAATCAACCTTCATCACCAAGTTGATGTTCATAGCCTTTTAAGCCATCCATGGAGCAAAGTTGATAAAAAATGTAAATTAATCTTTCAATGTTCGGGATTTGAATCTCTACAAGTTCATGTCCTTATTCTCTGAGACCATCTACTGTCATTTAAACAGCTCTTTAGTTAGCCAGTGATGCATCAAACTCATCAAGAGTCTTCAAAAAACCAATTTTTAGCTTTTGTTGATTTTTTCCATAAAGTATTTCTTTATCAAATGGAACGTAGAGTTAATGCAATAAACCTTCATTTAGCTTAATATTCAGCAATTCTTTATGGTTAAGAGCTTCCATAAGCAAAATGCAGTCATCCATGTTTTTGCAGATTGGACCAATTGAAGTCTATTTTGCAAAATTAAATTATAAACTTAAAAATTTTTTAAAAGCATTAAAACTCTTTCTTAAAATTATTTAAAAAAAAAAAAATATTGGGAAAATTATCAAAAAAATTATTTATTTATTCGTCCATTCATTGATTTATTTATTCATTCGTTCATCCATTTATTAACTATTTAATTTATTCGTTCATTCATTTATTAATTTCTTTACTCATTCATTCATATATTAATTTATTTACTCATTCATTCATTTATTTATTTATTCATTTATTCATTCATTTATTAACTAATTAATTTATTCATTCATTCATTCATTTATTAATTTCTTTACTCATTCATTTATTATTAAATATTTAATTTATTCATTCATTTATTAATTTAATTACTCATTCATTTATTATTTAATATATTGATATATTGATTGATTGATTGATTTATTTTTATTACTTTAATTATTGTTTCGCCACGCTAGGTAGGAGCATACATAGATTATACTTATAAAGGTATTCTACCACTTGTTGGCTTGAACCCATAAAGGCCATTGAAACCTATTTTAATAATAAATTATTTCTATAATAACAATTAAAAACAAAAAATGAGTTAGAGAATTTGAATTTTTAAGATATTTGAAATAAATAATTTCTAAAAAGTTAGAAAATTTGGCATTTATATTTATTTATTAATTTATTTATTTATGTTAACTCCTAATTAAAATTAAATGATATCTTTTTAGGTTATTTTTAGATAATTAATTAAGCTTTTTTATTTACTTGCGGGAGATCTTATTGAACCACCAAAATCAGTGCCAACTCCTAAAGGAGAACATCTTGTTGCTACACATACTGCTTCGCCACCAGAAGAACCTCCTGGATATCTTGTTTTATCCCAAGGATTCAATGTTCTACCATATATTCTATTAATTGTTTCAAAACTCATTCCTAATTAAGGAACATTGGTTTTGACAAAAGGAATTCCGCCTGAAATTTTAATTAATTTAACAGTTAAACCATCATCTTATTATATTCTTTCTAGTCTATTGGCACAACCCATTGAAGTAGATATTCCTATTTAAATATTATTTGATAATTAAGTTTAAATAAAATAGAATCAAAACATGAAGGATAAAGTATTTATTGCAATTATATTATCTTTCCATACTTTATTTATGTGATTTATTTATTGCACATTTTAAATTACATTTTCTTATTGCAATTTTTAATGATTTGCTTAAAATTTGGTTATTTTCTTCTTTTAAGCTATTTATTGCGATTTTTCTTAGTTAAAATGGCTTTTTACCTTTGACATCGAAGAAATCCTTAATTGAAACGGGAACTCCATAAAGAGGCTATGAATCTACAATATTTGGATCTTCTAGTCTTTTTTAATCAAGAACTTTTGCAAATTCAATTGCTCTTTCATAGTCAAACTCTGTAATACAATAGTATTCTTTTAATCCGATTTCTCTACATCTGTGACTAAAAATGTTGACTAAGTCTTCACTTGTTACCTCATTCTTCTTAAGCATCTCTTTGAGCTATGAAACAGAGGCATTTAAGATTGATTCTAATTTTTCCTAAGAAAAGTTAGGAAGATTTATTTTTAAACCTGCGATTTTGGCTAATCTAGCTTAATTATATTAATTTATTTTGATAAGAATCTTTCTGTGCTTTCTGTAGTTGTTAAGCATCTTAAAGATCTTAATAATGGCTCCTATACCGAACATGACTATATGATATCTCAGCCTTTGTCTGACTGTGAATTTGAAATTGAGAATCTTCTGAATTATAGTTTCTTATTGAGTTTCCATTTTAGTTATGATGCGCTTTTCCTTAAATATGTTGAAAAGATAGTTAATTACTTAAGATATTTAGTATATTTAAAAATTATTAGTGATCAATTAGAGTTTGTTTAATAATTCTATTAGATCATTTAATAGTATAAATCGTCAAAAAAGATCTATCTAATTAATTATTTTCGTTTATTTCCTTTTTTCAAATTAGCATTAATCAAAATAATTAGTTTCATACAACTCAGAGATTAGTTTATGACCATATTTTCCAAACATATTTCTTTTTAGTTTAGTTTATCAGGAAAGATATGGTGAATTTTTACTACTTTTTAATTAATTCCAATACATTAACTCTCTTTCAAATAGTCAAGTAAACACCAACTGTAACATAAAAATAATTAAAAATGTTGAAAACTCAATAAATAGAAATGAATAAATATAAGCTATAAATAGAATTTGATGTAATAACTCTTAAATATATCAAATATTTAATAATAATTTAAAACTTTTCTTCATTAAATGATAAAAAACAAAGAGAAAATAATAATAATAAAATAATATAATGAATAGTAATATGCTTAAAAAATAAAAAATGATAATCTTTAAAACAAAAAATATATAAAATATAGTAATAAAAAACAATAAGGAGTAATTAAGTAATTAATAGATATTTATTTGATAAAAATATCTAAAAATAAACCATTGAAAACAATCATGTTTACTAATAAAAAATTATTTGATTAATAAATAGAAATATCAGATCTATTCAGTAGTTATCAGAATAAATTGAAGTATATTTAGTTTCATTTTGGAAAATTAGGTTTAAAATATGAATGCAATCTGATTAAGCTATGATTTGTAGTTACCATTTTATTAGGTATAATTAACATTAATTAAATAGACAGTATTTACTAAAGATTGTTTTATTTATCAAAATAACATAGCTTTTTTTATTATAAATAAAAGTTAATTAGAATAATAAAGATTTATTTTGCACATTTTTCAATTTTAATTTGATTAAAAGAATTAATAATTTATTGGTTGAATATTTATTTGTATAAAAAAGTGAATAATGAATTTATAAGTTGAATATATGTATTTATTTATATAAAGTATTTCTGTTTATGCAATATGCAATTTAGAGTACGTAAAAAGATATATTTATATAGAACTTCTAAATATAAAAATTGATTGATTGGTTTATTTATTTATTTATGATTTTTTAGATCATAATTAAAGTACTAAGTAATTTTATTTATAATATTCTTCTTCTTGATTATCAGCATGTGTTTCTTCATTAAGTATTGGCTATATGTTTTTTTATTCTTTTTGTGAGTAGCTTCAATTTATGTAAAGAAACTTTTTAAAAAATAAGCTCAAAGGCTAATTTATGCACTTATTTTTTAGTCTAAGTTTTCACTTTGTAGTTAGTGTTGTTGATAATTTTAGAAGATTTTTCATAGAAAGTAGTAAGTATTTATGTATGTATATGAGTATAGTGATTTTTAATATAGAGTAAATCTTTATTTTTAAAAGTGAAATGTTGTATTTTGAGGTTAATTGATTTATTTTAATTGTTTCTTAAAAATTGGGTTTTTCATTAATTTTTAAATGCGAAGTTCTACTATTCATTTGTTTATTTAATTATTTTTAATATAATAGTAATTCATTTATTCATTTATTTATTTATTTATTTTCTCTTCAAATTATTAAAAAAAATATTTTCTTTTAATTTTTAATTCTTTCACATAGGGAAAGAGTGATTTTAATAGAATTGTATTTGGTCGTCTAGTTGTTTCATAACGTTTAAGCATAACTCATCTCTGTGAGGTAAGCAAGTTATTTGAACGCCAACAGGCATTCCCTCGGTGTTTTGTCTCATTCTTGAGTCTAGCAATTTAGAAAATTTATCCTTGACTCTTGAATTGGTGTAATGCTACTCATCTTTTCTGACTTAAGTCACTGGTACGACACCTAATGGATTGATAAATATAAGATTAATAAGGGCTTTGAAAAAAGAATGAATGAATGAATGTAAGTTATTTGCTTATTTTTTAAATTGGATTTATAAAAGAAATATTTTTTATTAACAAAGAATTTTATGAAAGATATTTCTTTCACATCAAAAAATTGTCGAATGAATTTATCCAATAGATTACCTGAAGGGAAATTGACTACATTCCAAATCAAATTATAAATAGAATTGATTGTTGACTCTCTAAACATGTCATGAGCTACAGCAGGGTGAGAAAAACAAGGTGAAATTATAGCTTGAATCTTGTGCTCTTAAAAGAATGAAATAACTTTCTAACGATACTTCAAGATAGAGTCACAATTGCGCAAATACTCAGGTGCTGATAATTTGTAGCCCCATTCAACTGTATCTGCAACTCTATTTTCTCCTAACAATCTAAGTAACTTACAGATTCCTGCTCTCTTCACTTTTGACCATTTAGAACAATTAACTACATTAGTGAATTCTTCTCCAAAATCTAATCATTAAATTAAAAAATTTCGTTAATTTTTTCCATCTAATAATTTTTAATTTAATCATAATCTTCCATTAAATTCATTTAACTCTGCCAATTTTTTATTCATAACAAAACCCTTTCAGTAGAAAGGCAAAAATTAGCTAAATAAGAAAATTTATTTTTGAAAAACTCAAATAGGGTTTCAGAAATTTGAATTAAAAATTCAAGTTTTTTATAAAAAATATTTGTGTTTAAATACAGATTTTCAGTTTAAAAAAGTATTCTTCAAATTTTTTAAACTTTATTTTCAAAATTAAACAGAAAATATTTTATTTTAAATAAGAAAAAATAAATTGCTGGTTTTAACAAATATTTAAAAATCCTTGTTTTAATTAAAACATAAAAATGTAAATTATATTTGCAAGCTCAAATTGGTCGAAGGAAGACCATTTCTTTAGTTTTTTTTAGAATTAATTAAAATGAAAATTGAGAAACTTTCGTTTTAATTTAATTGAGTAAAATTTTGTTTGAGCAATTTTTTAAGACTTAACTTAAAATGCTAATTTTAAGCTGCATTTTTAAGCATAGAAATATATGATGAAAGAAATTTAATGGTAAATAAAAGAATGATGCATTTAATAAATACCTTCGTCTCCTATGATTTCTTAGTAACCTTCTATTTAATCGCAAGAAGAGTGTATATAAAAGTGCTTAGTAAGTTCTTTGGCAAATGGGAAATCTATTTCAATAACTTCGTGACCTGCTTTTCTCAATGCTTCAGCTGCTTCTTCAACAGCTCTCTAGTTACATAAAGTGGAATCGAAGTAGCTCAAAGTTTTATAGTATCCGATTCTGAGCTTTGTGTTGTGATCGTTGTAAGATTTTTCATCGAAAGGTTTAATAACTTCATAAATGTCCTAGAGTGAAGGAGGCAAGTTTTGAATATATTCGACATTAGTAACAGCTTTCATCAGCAAAACAAGGTCTTCAACGGATTTTCCCATAGGGCCTGAAGTAGTCTTTTAAAATAAAAAGGAATTTGAATAAAAATAACTGAAAAGAAAGCAAAAACGGTTATGAATAAATAATTTAAAAATTGTGTGTTTGCTTTTTGTGTGTGAAGTGATTCCTTATGTTTTATTGACAATTAATTGATTTGTTTAAATTTTATGATAGAAATTATCGGATAAGTCGTAATTCACATCATCTAAAAATTTAGAAGTTCATATTCTTTTTCTTTTTTAGTGAAATGAATTAAATTAGTAAATTCAATGATTAATTGAATGAATGAATGAATCTCTCTCCTTACTTTTGAATTATTTATTACTATTAATAATTGATCAAAAACCTTTCTATTAATTAAATTTTCAATCTCCAATTAAAATTTCTTTTTGCTTAATAAAATCAAAGAAACAAAGAAACAAAGAAAGAAAGAATGGGGAGGATCAATCACAAATCACATGAGGAAGAGTAAGATTATTATTTAAAAAAAAACAGTATTGATAAGAAAAATTTATTCATTCACAAAATACAAACGAATTGTTTTTCTATTTCAACCTAGTTCATTTATATTTATTTATTTAGTTGATGTTTCTTTCTACTTTTAAATAGATTGATAGAAAAAGCAGTATCTCTATTTTTTAAAGATCACTGCATTCATTTTACTTATCTGCTGAAATGTAAAAAATATCTAAAAGAAATCTAAAGATAATCAATCCATTTTGGAACTAACTTTTCTTTATTTTTCATTTCATTTTCCTCTTAAAATCTATGCATTTTCTCCCATTCTTTAAATTAAAAAATTTCTAGGAAGCTATTTTCTCTTCTAAAACTTAATGAATGAAAAAAACTTTCATTATCCTTGGCTGTTAAAGTAAATCAAATATTGATTGAATATGCTGCTACTGCTACTAGGCTTTTATAAAACAAACTGTTTCCTTCATTAATAATTTAAATTATCAAGAAATCCATGACTTATATTATGAAAGTAATATTTAAATAGCTTGAAGTAATTAAAAGTTAAGGTATCTAACTAACTAATTAACTAAATACTTAGATAAAATTTAATTCAACCAGCTTTTCTTTTATTCATGATCAGATTTCTTATCTAAATTAAAAAATCTAAACACTCATTTTTCTTTATTCATTCATTTAACTATTTTTTAAACACTCATTCAAATTTAAATGAGTTCTTGATTTTCATTTTTGTTTTTTATTTGTTTGTTTGTTTGTTTGTTTGCTTGTTACTGCTCACTCATTAACTAAATAAATAAAAAACTATTCTTCACACTCATAAGTTTATTTAAAACCCTTTTTATTTTTTAAATTAAATTACTCTAATGATGGTCTTTCCTGCTAATATAGGCGAGTAGTATGTTCCTCCTTGAATTGGTATTCTTCCTGAAGTAGGTTTGAATCCATAAATGCCTGTCATTCCTTTTTCATTTAATTAAATATAAATAAGTAAGTAAAAAAAAAAAATTAATAAATTAAAAAATAAGCTTGGATGGCTGGCCCAAATTAATCTGTTTCATTACAATTTAAAAATTTAAATACTCTTCTTTAGCTTTCAACAAAAAAAACTGGTTATGATTGTGTAGAAATATTTTTTACCTGAAGGAGTTCTGATTGAACCAGCAATATCAGTGCCTAGTCCTATAGGGGATACTCTTGCAGCTATAGCAGCTGCTTCACCTCCAGATGAACCACCTGACATTTTCTTTACATCCCAAGGGTTTTTCACCTTTCCATAAAGTTTATTCTAGCTTTCATAGGAAAAAGCAAATTGTGGGACATTAGTTCTTATAAAAGGAATAGCACCTGATTCTCTTATGAGATGCATAATTAGTCCTTCCTTGTCTTTTATTGCATGGACTCTGTTATATACTCCAATAGAAGAAGGAAAACCTAAATATTTAAATTATTATTTAATGTTTTTTTTCATTTTTGAGTAAGTTATTTCAATAATTTTTTAATTTATTCTAATTATCTAATTAGAAATTTAGAAAAATAATTTTAAAACTTTGCAATTTGAGAAAAGAGATGCTATTAAAGTATATGTGTTTTTATAAGCTGAAAAATAATCAAAAAATAGCAATATTTAATCAAATTTAAAATGGGGATTATTTTAAATCTATGAAAGGTAGAAATTAAAAGACTAATTATTGAAAAACATAAATTTAAATATTACCTTTTTAGTCTATGCAGTCCTTTATGGATATGGGAATACCAAAAAGAGGTTTTTTATCAACAATAGAGGGGTTTTCTTTAATCATCTGATCGTATTGTTTAGCAAGAGTAATAGCTTCTTAGTAATTAACATCAGTAAGCAATTCTAAATCGATTCCAATAGTTATTGCTCTTTCAGTGAATATATTGACCAAATCTTCGCATGTTACTTCGTTGTTTTTGAGCATTTCCTTCAATTAAACCACGGAAGCATTGAGGATTTCTTCAATCTTTTCTTTAGATAAGTTAGTAGAACCTATTTTAGTTGACATAATCTTAGCTTTGTGATTTTTTCTGAATTCTAAGGAATCGTTGTGGATTTTTTAGGCTATTCTCTTCCTTTTTAAGCTCATGAGCCAGGAAACTCCTTAAGAAACACCGTAGCATAGAGCGCAGATGCCAACAACTTTTCTCAAACTCAAAGAAGAGGTTGAGAAGCTTGGAAAAAGCGATGTATGATTTTAGACTAAGGACATGAAATTACGAAATTAGAATAATTATATTACTTTTTTTCTTTTGTTTGTTTGACGAAATGTGAATTTTTATTAGAAATTACTTTTATAAATTTAATAATAACTTTATAATACAAAGAATAGATAGAGATACATACAAGTGATTTCTACCAATTATTTACTGAGCTATTTCTGTTTTATAAAGCTTTTTTGCATCTGTCTGATTATAAGTTTTATAATCAGCATAACAAAAAAAATACAGATCAAACAAATCAAATCAAATCGAAAGAAAACAAAATCAAAATCAAAATGCAAAAATAGAAAAATTGCAATTGTTTTTTTCTTAACTTGGATTAATAATTTTGAATGAGCATATTAGACGTAATTTCTCTCCCGTTGACGATAAAAGTGATTTTATATTTGTATTTTTAAATATAACGCAAGAAAATCGTTGCAAATTTGCTTAGAAGTTTAAACAATTTTGTGAGCAGGAAGCCTTAATCAGATATTTAAAATTTGGAGCTCAGAATTGAGTCTGTTTTGTATTTGGAATACTTTAGATTAATATTTATTTTAAATAAATCATGATTATTTTGGGGGATTGACTGTAACTATTTTGCTTTTTAAATTTTTTATAGATTTAAATTTTTTAATTAACAAGAAAAGAGAAGCATCATGCTTATCAATAATTACAAAAACTGCGTGAAAAATCTAATTTTCTTTCTAAAAATAAAATTCAAAATCCTGCTTATTTCAATAACAAATAAATATATAAATTTATTCATCTACAAATCAATGTTATTGAGCTAGCAAAACTTTTTAAAAAGTAAATAAATAAATATTCACAAGCAATGAAGCTCAAGAGAACATATTACAATTTCATAAATATCATCAAAGAAATTTCTTAATAATAAATTGTTGAATAATTTATTCAATAATCTCCTATAAAAATTTAGTCATCACCTCCTTTTTATTTAAATTTCAATAATAAAAAAGGTTTAATTCATTTAAATGAAAATAATATACATAGGAATAGAGATAATTATGCTTTTTTGTATTTATTTTCTATGAGTGAAATAAATTAAAGATGCAATTAAGATTACCAAATAAAATATAATTTTATTATTTCAATAAATCTTATAAAATTTATAAAGTTAAGTTAAATAATTTGTTTCAGTTGAAAAAAAGTTCTATTTTTATCACTTTTTTATAGTTATAAAGAATTATATCTTTTAGTTATTTACTTCTATGTTGTTTTTTTATAACTATGATTTAAACCAATATGTTCTTAATTGGTTTTAAATTTTCTATTTATTTTATGTGATTATAAAATTATTTTTGTGTGGAAAGCATAATAAAAGCCTTTGATTTTCTAAGAAAGAAAAAAATATATGTTTGGAAAATAACTAAAAACTGAATAAAGTTTTTGTTTGCAATGTTATTTATTAATTAATTAGGTTATTAAAAATAGTATATAAAAATTAGATAGTTTTTAGATAGAAAATAGATGAATTTGAATAAAAATTTGATTTTAATTTTATTGAGATTTATCAATCTGAGTTATTTAAAAAGAATGAAAATAAAAGCAGTAAAAAAAGAGAGAGTAGAAGGTAAAACGATGCAAACTAACATGAATATCGAATTAAATAAATAGCAATTGGTTAGATAAATATTTAGGAGAAATAGAATTGATTGAGTGATTGATTGATGAGTTAATTAATGAATGAATGTTGAGTTAATAAATTAACTAACTAACTAACTGATGGATTACAAGTAATAAAATAACGATAATATTTCTAAATTTATTATTATTATTACGCATTTTTATCACTAATGAAAATAATAATTTGAAATTCTTTAATTTACCAAGAATTTCTAATTAAAATTATCATTTTCAGAGTTTAACTGTGAAGATAAATTTATGAAATTATTTTTATATTTTTCTCACTTCTTTTCAAGCTTGGGTTGAGAAGAATGAGAGAAGCCGATTTTAACCTATTCAACGGAGTTTTAAACTTCTAATCTATTGTATCCAGTGTAGTTTCTAGTCCATAAGTTGCTGGTTTGGTTAATGAAGTCGTTGTAAACCTTGGGATTCCAGTATTAATCACCCTTGTAGAAAACTAAAGATCTTTGAGAGCTCATGCAAGTAACATCAACTAAGCCGTCAGCATCTTGGGCGCTTAAGTCCTTGACACCAGATCTAACAGAGGGAGGTAAATGTTCCAAATGAGCAACTTCGTAAACTTCTTCTTCAGTAGTACCGAAAGGAGAAACTCTAGTGACGAAGAGCAATTCTTTATCCTTAGAGAATTGAGCTCTGACGACGTAGTCCTTCCAGATGTTATTAATGTAGCTCAAAGCGATGTAAGTAGCATAGATGGCGACACCACCGACGGTAGGAATCTATTATTAACAAAAACAATAATTACTTTCATTTCATCTAATTTTATTATCTAAAATCCATTTATTAAGAAAGCAGAGAAAAATCATGATAAAACTAACTGTAAATATAATGAAATCATATTAAAAAATAATCAAATCATTTATATTCATTATTTTCATTTCAATCTGCTTTCATTAACTAAAGACCTCAGATATGCTATTTTAATAAATCTTAATAATTACATGGAGAGCATTGTTGTCCCATAAGAAGTGAGTGTGCTATTTTCATACAAATTTAAATATTAATATAAAATATTTTTAAAGAAATTATAAAATTTATCATCAATTAATTGAATTATTATTAGATAATTCATAAAGGGTTTTATCAAAAATGTTTTTAAATAAAAAATTTTTTTTTTCAATTTAAAGCTGAAATGAATTTGTGAATTCAATTTTTTTATAGCTTCTGTAAATCCATTTAAAAATATCTTTGTAAAGCAAATGAAGATGAATTTTACTTAGAAGTAAGGGAAGAAAAGGTTATCGTAAGCATGTTCAAGAGGCATGTGAGTCTTGAAGAAAATATTGTAGGGAACGAAGTAAGCACACCATAAATAACCAACAACAACGGAGTAGTTCCAGAACTTGGCCCATTCAAGTAATCTGGTGTTTTCATATAAAACTTCACCTTCTTCGAAGTTTAAGGAGGCGTTGGGATTGGCATTGGGAACCTTAACGAAGGGTTGGTCCAAGTAGTTGGGGTGATAGATATCACCTTCTAATCTCATTAAACGTTCGAAGGGGTTACCTAAGATTTCAGGGTGACCTAATCTATCAGCAACGTAGTTGTATCTTTAGTCATAGGGAGTGGTAACATCATATTTATAACCCTTGTCGTGGTGGAACTTCTTGGTGACAGGTCTGGAAGCCAATTCCTTGGGCCATTCAACATCGTAGTGGGTCATTTTAGAAGTTTTAGGAGTGAAAACCTATTTATTAATAAATAAAATCGATATTATAACAAATTAAAAAAAAATATGTATTTAATCATCCTAAATAGAATCTTTATCCTTAATGCCTTATCAAAAAACACTTAAATAACTATCATCTTATATTTATTTCAATAAAATTCCAAATTGCTTTCCAACCACTCTTTTAAAGCTCAAATTTATTTATTCTAATTGCTTTTTATAAAGAAATACTACAATCTAAATGAATTTTTGTCAGTTGCTTTTTATAATTAACAATATTCTTTTCAAACGAATTTATTTTGCTTATTCAAACTCAATTTTGCTGCATCAAATTTTATTTCTATCTATTTAAACTGATTGATTGATTTATCTAATTATTAAAAGATATTCTCTTCAAGATCCTTTAAGATATTATTTGCTTTGCTATTAAAAAAAGCTGGTTTTTTGCAATTAAAAACTAGCAGATCCCTATTTAAGAACTATGATTAACGACTAGCAAAATTTTACACTAATTGGATATTTTAGTTAAAGTATGTATTATTAGTATCTAGCAACCAAGATATTCATTCATTTATTTATTTATTTACTTATTAAATCGAATTTTGCATGAAATATGAATAATTTATCCTAACAGGATAAATAACTTCGTTTAAAATATAAATTGCATCTGATAATTTGAAAGGTCTTTTAAATACATTAATGCTGATAAAGATTCGTTCATAACATTTTATTTGTTATTTGTTAGTTAGTTATTTAGCTATTCGATATGAGCTGATTAGTGAAAGATTTTTAGTGGATTTATTGATTTTATTAGCTATTTTGGGTGAAACAATTAATTTCAATAGATAGATATGGAAAGTATTTCTGATGATAGTCAGTTATAGGAGCATTTTGTATGACTTGAAGGCAAGATTCTACTATGATAGTTTTATCTAGATATAATTAGATATTAAATAGTAAAAATTACGGATTGGTCGATCCATCTGTTTTCGTTTCTGTAGGCATCTCTGTAGAAATCGTTGGGATCAGATTAGCTCTTCTTAGAGACAGGAGCTGAGTAGTCTTGTAAACCAGCAGAAATATTCTTGGTAACACCAGGAACTCCTCTTAAGTAAGGTCTATCCATCTTTTGTAAGATGTCGTGAACCTTTCTTTGCATTTATAAGTTTCTCTTGAAGTCATCGATGAGCTTGTTGTGGGAATTAGTTGCAACATCAGCATTGTAATCATCTCTTTCGGATTCAACGTAATCCTTGGACTTGTGGTCGTAATGGCTCAAAGTAGTAGAGGGATGCTTCTTGTAATCCAAATAAGCCCACTTTTCCATGTCGGGAGTTACGTATCTCTAACGAACTTCATTCAAATAAGCTTCATCAGAAGCGGTTAATTTATGATGTTCAGCTCCATGTTGAGAAGCAAAACAGTAGATTTGATTGTAATTCAAAAAGCGTCTAGTGACCTTGGAAAGCATTGCCTATTTTAATAATATGGAATATATTACTTCTTAATTTAAACATGTGCTATTTTCTAGTTGATCCTAGGGAATGGTTGAGCATGTCATTTGACATTGCCCCAACTAATTTTGTCATTTTTGAAATTTTTTATTTATTTAAAGAGAGTCCCTTTCCCTTGTATTTCTATCTTCTTATATATACTAAGTTTTAAAGTAATGCAATAACTCTATACCTTTTTGTTTTCTTCTTTGAATTAATCTTCTTTACCCTTTTTTATTTTTCCTTTTTATATTTATTTTATTATTTATTAATCTTTTTCCTTCCTCTTTGTTAAACATTATCAATCTCATTCATTTTTCATTTATTCGTAGTCTCATCTTCTCTCATAATGCAATTTCTCTAAATTCCATTCTAATATCAATGGACTCCATGCTTATGTATTCAAATTCACTTCACATTTCTTTGCTTTTCTTTCACTCAATACAAGCAAATATTCATTTATTGCCTTCATATTGCTTGAAAAATAAAAGCACTATCTTTGTCAGATTAATATTTATTTATTTCTAATTATTTATTATCATCAAAATCTATTCATTTCATTTCTCTTCTTTTTCTAAGCAAATCATTCCTAATCTATTTATTTAATTAATTTATTTATTTATTTTTCTTTTCTCTCTTCAATTTACATACATACATACACACTCATTTCTTTATTTTAATTAGCTTTTATCTTTATTGTTCTTGGTCAAATTTCAATTTAGAATGAATCCATTTCAAACAAAAGATACATTCTTCAATAAAAAACATATCTTTTTCAAACATTTTTCAATTATCTAAATTGAATTTAAAAGATTTGCTCTTTTCAATATATAATTCATTTATTTATTGATTTTATGTTTAATGAATTCATATTAAATTACACTCCATTTACAAACAAATGTCTTTAAGTTGTAAATATTCTACTTAATTAATTCATTCATTATTAAAATATTTTTTTTAATTTAATAATTCAATGAAAAAATGAATTCTTGTAAAATTTAAAATTTTATTTTAATATAAAACCAGATAAAATAATATTTTTTTATTCACTATTAACCAAAGCAGCCTTTAAAATTTTAATTTCAATTTTTCTAAATATTTTAATGTTGCTATTAAATAAAAGCAAATGAAAAAATAATATTTAGATTTATTTTATTGAGATTTAATAATTTATTATAAAATCAGTAGTTTTTTTTCATTTAATAACATGCTTGCTAATTGTTTTTGTATCTGTTTTTACATTTTTAACTTTTTATAAAAATAAAAAAAAATGAATGAATTATTTATTTATTTATTTAATTAAATAATGAATGATTGATTATTAAGATATATTTATTTTTAGTTTTGATAATATTTAAAATCTGATAGAGTTGATTAAATAATGATTTCATTTATCAAACGATTTCTTAAAAAACTATTTGAGGCTAAAAGCATTAATGACTATGGCTTGCTGCTAGATGAACTTAGAAATTACATTTATTATGATCTTTTTGAGACGAGAAAAATAATTAAAGCAAAAACTCTTGCGAATTGGTTCAAAGGAACAATAATTTTATATATAATTTTTTTGATGTACATCTATTAGAATTTCTAATTATAATCATATATTTATTTGAATTTGCATGGCTCATATGGATTGTTATGGGTGTGTAAGTCGTTTATTTTCCCTGATCCTTAATTTGAAAAGGAAATGACTTTGTTATCTGCTATTGGCGGTGTTGGAATTTTAAGTCTTTATTTAATAATCCCGCATCAAATGATATCTCTTAACATCGAAAATAATTACAATATCAATAGAATTTTACTATGCAGCTTTTTGTTTATTTTTGGGGTTACTCTTATGATGGTTTCTGATTGCTAAAAGTTCTATGAACTAAAATACAAGCCTAAGGATACAAATAATAAAACCATAAAAAGTGGAGCTTTTTACTGCTGCAGAAATCCTAATTATTTAGGTGAAATGCTTTTATATCTCTCGTTTGCTATACTTTCTAATTCTAACTTGTCATATTATATCCTATTCTTTATTTGGAGTACAGTCTTTCTAGTAAATATTTCTTGCAAAGAGTTTTCTTTCATCAGGAAGCCAGATTGGAACACATATAAGAAACACAGTTGGATTTTATTACCTAAAGTATTTCCTGATAGTAGTTTATACTCATCTATATTTTACATTATAATTGGTGGTGTAATCTACATAACTAAAGACTTTTTCAAAGCCTATTGAAAAATTGCTATAAAAACCAAAAATATATTTAAATATGTTAAAGCTAACTTAATATCTATTTAAAATTACTTCAAAAATATTAAAAAATAATATCAGTTTTCTATTTTAAAACAAAAATTTAAATCTATTAAACATTTAAAACTGTTTATTTTTGTTTAAAGAAACCAAATAATTTGTAATATTTTTCTAATTTACCAAGCTTAATCAATTAAAAATAATATTTAGAAATCAGTTTAAAATAAATACTTTGAAAATTATAAAATAATACTTAAAATATTTAGATGATTAAAATTTGTTGTTGTTAATATATTTATTGAGGTTATTATTTATTTCAAATTTTGAATATTTTACACACAAAAAAAAAGGATTTTAATTTAAAAATAATTATATAATTTAATCGATTCCAAAAATCATTTTGAATTTAAACAAAAACTTTGATTGATTAATTCATTCTTGAAAAAGATTTTATATTTATTTTTATTTCTCTCATTAATTTATTTACAAATCCAGTATTGTAAATTATATATTAAAAATTATAAATAATTATAAAATAAATACAAATTTTAAAGATTATTCCAAAAATTAACACTTTCTTTTAACTATTTAAAAAAAATAAAATAGAAAATGCTTTGGCCTTTTTTATTGCTTTATTAGATAATTTAATTTATAAATAAAATGAAAGAGACAAAATGACTTTAATACATTTTTATTCTTAATCCTTTTTTATGATTGAACAAATTTTTTATTTGAAGGTTCAATACTTGCTAAATAATTTAATAAGCTTTTAATTTAGTTTTTATTCATTTTTGTTTGGAGTATTTTACAATGTAATTTTAGTAAGTAAATAAATAAGGATTAGTTTTTGTTTGTTTATTATAAATAGTAGACTCTTTCTAAATGTTATTTAATAAAAATTTTATACAATCAATGAATAATAATTAATTATTTTGCGTCTAATTTAGTTTTTATCAAATTTGCAATTTTATATAAAAAAGAGTATCATAAATATAGTTTTATAATGGAGTAGCTCAAGCAGAAATTAAAGGAATTAGGAAATCCTTATCATTTATTAGAGCTAGATGATAAAAAGCATCATAGCAAGAAAGACATTAAATCAGCTTATAAGGCTATGGCTTTAAAGTATCACCCTGATAAAAACTCTAGTGATGATGCTTAAGAGAGATTTCATAAGATATAATTAGCTTATAAATTGCTTAGTGATCCGGAATAAATGAAATAATTAGAAGAGATTAAATAAACAACTTTCGACTAGCAAAAAAGAGTAGATGAAATGAATACTACGCAAAGAAAGTTTTATGATGACTTGCTGAAGAGGGAATAAGAATTTAAGGAACAAGAAGAAGAGAGAAAGAAATAATAAATGAAAGACCTACTCAAAAGACATGAAAAATAGAAAGAGAGGGAATAAGAAAGATAAGAAGAAGAAAAGCAAAGACAGTAATAAAAAGAAGAAAAAATAAGGTAGGAGCTAAGTAATCAAGAGTTTCATTCAAAAATTAACTCAATTAAAGTTAAGTGGAGCAAGAAAGATAAAGTTTAATATAATGAAAAAATACTTAACATGCAATTTAGATAATATGGACCAATAAAACATATAACAATCTTAGACTCAAAAAGAAGGGCGGTTATAGAATTTTTGACAGCAACTGCTGCAGAAAATGCTGCCAAAGAAAACTCAACTCAAAACAACAGCGATAGTTCTGATAATGAAAACGAAGAGCTCTAAATTTAAACTCACTTAAAAGTTAAATTTCTACTAAAAGAGAAAGAGCGTAAAGAAATGATCAATTTAATCGAAGTTAAAACGAAAGAAGCTAATAAACCAAAAGATATGTCCTTAAATACCAATAACTTAAATAAAATTGCAGATATATTATCTAGAGGAAGTATCTCTAAAGACCAAAGAAAGAATATTATTAACAGTAGTGTTAGCGAACTTAAAAGATAGCAAGAAAAAAAAAAGTACATTGAAGAATCTCTATAGAAAGATGACTGACTGAATCAATTAATGAACAAACTGCTAAAAGAACAAACTAAAAATAAAATAAATGTATATAAAATAAAATGACAATTAAAATTATATAATAATCGAATAAAATAAGATAAAGGAAATTCATGTAAATATATTTATTACTAATTTATACAAGGATAAATTTTATCAAAACTAATTATATTAAACAACAATATATATAACAAATCATCATTTATTAATCATCAAATCTTTGCTCTTAAAAATGCATTCGCAAATTATGCATTAATTAATTTAAAATTAATTTATCTTAAATTAATCTATTTATTTAAACTAATATCATACAATAAATAGTATTAAAAAAGTGTATTTTTTATGTGTTTTTAGCTTTTTAAATAATATGTAACTATTAATTTATAATCATTCCAAATTTTAAAACAAAAAGAACTTCCTCCCTTAACATGAAATTTAAAATATTCTTATTTTGTTTTGAGTGCTTAATTGATAAATAGTAACATTGAATATACTGTTTCTTTTAGAATATATAATAAATTAAACACCAACTTAGTAAATAATTTAATTTTTAATTTTATAATTTTCTACTTTAATAAGAAATTATAATAATAATGCTTTTTTAGATTAAAAACCTTTAAATCATAAATAATATGTAAATTTTAAAAACATGTTTCATAACAACAAAATTATAATGGAAATTAATTGGCATGAAAATGGGATTTCATTTTAATATTTTAAAAAAATATTTATTAAAGGCTTTAATATATTTGATTTAATTTTTCTGATCAACTTAAGGCTGTATTTATTATTTGGCAAACTAAAATAAGAACGTTATAAAGAAGAGGAATTAGTATATTGAAGCAAATCTTTTATTAAGAAAAAAAGCTGTATTTAGCAAAGCAAGTAAAAAAATTAGATAAAGTTTGATAAAAGCTCTAAAAAAGTTTAGGTTGTCAATAAGATAATGAGTGTTAAGTAAACAAAGAAAGAAATAGCTAACCTAGTGGTTAATTGTCGCTCTTAAAAAATCAGTATTAAGAAGTTTTTCGATTTAATGAAGGTTTAACAAAAGCATTACACTGACTTCTCCTATTCAGGAAATGGTGCGTTTTCATTTGTGCTAAAATCAACCAACAAAAAGACAGGTTAAATCGTAGCTCTCAAAGTGACTGAATGCAATGATAACGAAATAAATGGTATGAAGGAGATTGAAGAAGAATATAGACTGCTTAGATAATTTTCTAACTGTAAGTACATCGTTTAGGTATTTAATTGTTTCTTTTTAACTGAAGAAGAAAGTTCAGATGAAGATAGCAGTAATGATGAAGAAGAAGAAGGAAAAAAAAATGTTCAAAAGAGTATCAAATAACAAAAAAACCAAAAAAATCTGTTCTTTGTTGTTGAGCAAGAGTTCTGTTAAAGTAAATAATTTTCTCCACTATTATTGTTTTAAGAGTTGCATCGAACTTTAAGAGTAGATTTAGTAAAGCAACGCTTTAATTTTGCTGCTTTTTGTTGATTTTGATTTTGATAAGACTTTATTTGAAGATTTTCTTTTGATTTTGATCATTTTAATCAAAATTAATTTAAAACAAAGAGAGTTAATACAATATTCTAATTAAAAAACTTGAGACTTCTTATATCTTTCTTTGATAATTTGATTTTTCCATTTTCTTATTTCACCATTTTAATAGAAGTGAATATTGATTGATTGGTATATTTTAATAATAATTGATTGTTCCATTTATTTATCAAAATAATTAATATTTATATCATTCATATTGCTTGATTTCTCATATTTTATTAATAAAAAATTTTAATCAAATTTACTTTGATATTCCTTTTATTTATTCACTTTATTAGCCTTAGACTCTAAGAATTCATTCATTAGGTATTCATTTTTTATTATTTTCAATATTTATTTTTTTTTATTTTTAAAACTAATAAATTTATGGAACAATTTTTATTAAACAAATCAATCATTTTTCTTTTTAATCTATTATTTGATTAAATCTTTTTTTGTAAAATCTTTATTCAATTACATAAATTTAATGATACAAAAAATTAAAAGTTTTGAGAAAGGAATAAACTAAGCAGTTATTTTCACTTTTTTACAACCTTAAATTTATAAAAGGATTAGACTTCGCCTTCTAAAAAAAATATTATTTAAAAGCTTAAAATACTGCTAGTCATGAAATAAAAATATGCCAACTATGTAGACAGGTACAGATAGCGATATTCCATTAAATAATTTTTATGATTTTAAGTTAATTTTTTTATTCTATATTTTTATAGTTTTTATCAAAACTTTAACAAATTTTTGGTATCATTTAATTGATAAATTTTCTCAAATTTTTATGCATTTAACTTGCATTAATATATTTTTTAAAAATTTCCAAAATTTTATAATAGTTACTTTCATTTTAATCAATTCTCTTAAAAATTATTGAGTCATCACATATATTATTTTAATTAATTTTAAAAAAAATAACAATCTTCCAATATATCAAACCACACCTAAATCTACTCATTAGATGTTAATCAAAATATTTTTTTATAGAAAGGGTAACTAAAATTTCTACCAATTTCATTTTATTTTATCAAAAATAGCAAATTTGGAAAATTTCTTCACTCAATGCAGATTAAAAAAATCTTACCCATGCTAACAATAGAAAGAAGTTATGACAATTTAAATGCTTGATTCTATAGCCTATCTTCACAGATTTGATTTACTTCATAGGGATATCAAACCATCAAATTTTCTTCTTTCATTAGATGAGAAGGAAATTCCTACTGTCAAGATATGTAATCAAAAAAATAAATAAATAAACCAACAATTAATTCTTCTATTTTAATGATTTCTTTGATTTTTTTATTTGAACCTTAAAATAAAATGAAATGATTTTTAATAATTAAAGAGAATCAGATTAAATAAATTAGTTTATTAGTTATTAAATCTTCTAATTATTAATATTCAATTTTAAATCTTTTAAATAACTAAAATAAATTGAAAACTCATCATTTTTAAACACGAATTAAATACTTTTGATAATCTAAGCATCTTTTATCTAAACTATAATTCAAGCGAATTGTATTTTAATTAAAAAAAATTAAGACTTTTTATAGCGTTTACCTAAATTATTTCATCCAAATTGAAAAAAATATATAAATAAATAGAAGATAAAAAATGTTTAAATAATTCAACTTAATAAATTTAATTTATTTTGAATATAAAATAAAAATTAGGTGATTTGTCTTTTGCTTCTGCTCTTAAGAACAATAAATCCATAATTACAGTTTCTAAAATTGTAACTTAAACTTACAATAAACATTTAATTTAACTTTAGTCTAATAAAATACTAAAAGAAAGGAACTTAAGCTTATTTTGCTCCAGAAGTAGAAAAAGGCATTTACAAAAAAGGGGTATATTAAATATTATAAATAATTTAAACAAAAATATTTTATTTAAAAAAAAAATTATAGTCAGACATTTTCTCATTAGGACTAGTTTTGTTAGAGTTAGATAATATGTCAACTTTTAACTTTAATGACACTACAAATGAAGATAAACTAGAAATTAAATTTGCTAAGATTTTCCCTAATTATTAGATTGACAGACAATCATATATCTATAAGATAGCTAACTAATGTCTAAATTACTCTGTAGAAAATCGAAAATAGGCCATAGATTTACTCATTCAGTTCATATAAGAAAACTAAAAATACTTAGCAGTTGAACTTTCTTCTGTAATTAACAGAGTAAATATTTTTATTTTGGTCACTTAATTTATGAAAAAATTTATAAATGTAATTTTAGTCTTAATTGTAGTAGAAATCAGAGCAACTAAGCTAAATTCAAAAAACTATTATAGAAAAGTAATAGAAAATGAAGAGTGAAATCTTAGAACTCTCTTAATCATCCAAAGTAAATCAATAATTTAATATAAGGATATTTTTAATTCATATTTATAATTTTAAAATGAATAGAATCAAAAACATTTCAAAAATTTAATCTAAATGTTTGATGTGCTTCAGTAAAAACCTTTTAAGGCATAAGAATTTGAAACTATTCTAAAGTTACTTTAGAGTATTCCTAAATATGATAGCAATTTTGAATTCATTTCTGTAGGTGCGAAAGGTTTGGTCCTTGGAACTTTTAACAAAACTTTAGGAATTAAAACAGTTTTAAAGATTCAATAAGTTCAATCTAAGCATGAAGTTGTTCAAGAAGTTGGAATCATGAGAGATTGCTAAATGCCTCTTGTCATTAAGTTTTATGGATATTTCTACTTGTCAGTCAATAAAAAAGATGATTTTGTAGTTTATGAGATAGAGAAATGTTCTGGTAATACTTAAAAAATAAATAAACTTATTATCACTCATTTTGTTTTGATTATGTGAAATTTTAATTTATAATTTATTATTTAAAGGTAACTTAAAATAGTATTTGACAAGACTTCAAAAAGAAAATATTGTGCTTACTGATAATCAAAAAATGCAAATTGCTGTATAGATTATTGATGTTGTAAATTATCTAAATTATAATGGAATTGTTCACAGAGATATCAAATTAGATAACATTCTCTATATTGAAAGTTAATCTGATGTTCCTACAATTAAATTAAGTATTTTATTTTACTAATTTAGTTTTCATTTCTATAAATAAATATTTATAATTCTCAATTCATTTTAAATTAGCCGATTTTGATTAATCTAGAAAGGTGCCTTATGAATTGTATTATAGAGATGATGAATTAGTTAAAGACTACTTTCCAGTATAAGGAATTGTAAATTTTTTAGATTAAAAATAAATTTATAACTTAATTTAAAAAAAGAGTGGCACATTAGGGTATATAGCACCAGAATTTTTCTAAAACATTTTTTACACTTTTGAGGTAATATATTTTCAATAAAACATTTAACTTTAATCTACTTACAATTCATTTAATTATTTCTTTCTTTATTTGTAGTGTGAAATATTCTCAGTTGGAGTTTGTCTTGCTCTATTAGATAATTTTGAGAAACTAGAACCTGTTATTTTAAAAAAAGCACAAGATTACTTTTTTGGATTCAAAATACCTTTTGAATAAAATTTTAATGTAAAAGAAGAATTAATAAACAGAAAGAGTTAGATTTATGACATCCTACTACAAACTGTTGTATTTCAACCAAAGTAAAGGAAACCCTTATCTTAGATACTCCTTAACTTTTAAAAACATGGATATTATTATTATTCTCAAATTTTTTCTCAAATTTCAACTGTAATTTTTCATTCAATTTTAACTCTTTTATTATTCATTCATTCTTTTTAAACTCAGGTCACTTCAGATCTTAAATATTTGAAAATACTTTCTCTTGATAACAAGTAAATTTTAATTATTCTATTCAATTTATTTAATCCTCAATACTTTTTAAATTCATTTTTTTTATTATTTTGGTTTTAATATTTTTAAATTATTTATTAAACAAGAAATTAAAAATTACTTAAAGGTGATGCTAGAAAAATCGCTTCCGAAATAGCTAAATGTCCTACTCTCTCTACTTTAAGCCTTTACCTCTAGTAATTTTTTACACATTTTCTCAATTTATAGTTTAAATAAATAATTAAAGAAATCAAATAATAACAAACAATATTTAATTAATTAAGTATTTTGTTCATTTTAATTAAGTAACAACAACATAGGCTCAGATGGGGCGAAAGCAGTTGCTTCCGAAATAGCTAAATGTCCTACTCTTTCCACTTTAAGCCTTGACCTTAGGTAATTTTTTACACATTTTCTCAATTTATAGTTTAAATAAATAATTAAAGAAATCAAAGAATAACAAACAATATTTAATTAATTAAGTATTTTTGTTCATTTTAATTAGGTCTAACAACATAGGCTCAGATGGGGCGAAAGCAGTTGCTTCCGTAATAGCTAAATGTCCTACTCTCTCCACTTTAAGCCTTAAAATCTCGTAATTTTTTACACATTTTCTCAATTTATAGTTTAAATAAATAATTAAAGAAATCAAATAATAACAAACAATATTTAATTAATTAAGTATTTTTGTTCATTTTAATTAGGGGTAATAGTATAGGCTCAGATGTGGCGAAAGCAATTGCTTCCGAAATAGCTAAATGTCCTACTCTCTCCACTTTAAGCCTTGACCTTGGGTAATTTTTTACACATTTTCTCAATTTATAGTTTAAATAAATAATTAAAGAAATCAAAGAATAACAAACAATATTTAATTAATTAAGTATTTTTGTTCATTTTAATTAGGTCTAACAACATAGGCTCAGATGGGGCGAAAGCAGTTGCTTCCGAAATAGCTAAATGTCCTACTCTCTCCACTTTAAGCCTTTACCTCTAGTAATTTTTTAAACATTTTCTCAATTTATAGTTTAAATAAATAATTAAAGAAATCAAAGAATAACAAACAATATTTAATTAATTAAGTATTTTTATTCATTTTAATTAGTAAAAACAAAATAGGCTCAGATGGGGTGAAAGCAATTGCTTCCGAAATAGCTAAATGTCCTACTCTCTCCACTTTAAGCCTTGACCTTGGGTAATTTTTTACACATTTTCTCAATTTATAGTTTAAATAAATAACTAAAGAAATCAAAGAATAACAAACAATATTTAATTAATTAAGTATTTTTGTTCATTTTAATTAGGGATAATAGTATAGGCTCATATGGGGCGAAAGTATTTGCTTCCGAAATAGCTAAATGTCCTACTCTCTCCAGTTTAAGCCTTTACCTTGGGTAATTTTTTACACATTTTCTCAATTTATAGTTTAAATAAATAATTAAAGAAATCAAAGAATAACAAACAATATTTAATTAATTAAGTATTTTTGTTCATTTTAATTAGGAAAAATAGTATAGGTCCAGATGGGGCGAAAGCAGTTGCTTCCGAAATAGCTAAATGTCCTACTCTCTCCACTTTAAGCCTTGACCTCTAGTAATTTTTTACACATTTTCTCAATTTATAGTTTAAATAAATAATTAAAGAAATCAAAGAATAACAAACAATATTTAATTAATTAAGTATTTTTGTTCATTTTAATTAGGTGGAATAGAATAGGTTCAGATGGGGCGAAAGCAGTTGCTTCCGAAATAGCTAAATGTCCTACTCTTTAAGATTTAAGGATTGATTTAAGGTATTTTATATTTGAATATAAAAATTAAAAGCTCAAGGAATAATAATATATAAAAAGTAATAAATAATATTAAAATAAATAGGAGTAATTAAATAAATGGGGATGTTTAGTTTATGAATCTTTTACCAAAAGATATTTATTTAAAAGTTAAACATTGAAATTGAGTAGCTTTTGATAGATTAATAGAAAATAGATAATTTGTAAAATAATATTTAAAGTTTATGCTAAGATATTTTTTTACACGGTTCTTTTATTTTGAATAATTTTATGTTTAGTTAATTGAATTAAGATTGTGAGAAATATAAAATAAAAATAACAATTTTTAAAAATTAATTAGGATTTCAAAAAATAATTTTTCAACAATTAAAATTTATGAACATACTTATCTATTACTATTAATTAAATTGATAAATTTTTTTTAATAAAAAAATTAAATTAATATTTTAAATAGAAACCCTTAAATATCATGATTTAAGTAAAAATTTATTGTTTTAAATTAAAATTTTTTTTTTCACCAAATATTGGTAATATTTCATAGGAAATACTGTATCTTTATTATATAATAAAAACATTTTTTTAATAATATAATAAATATGGCTTATTATTACTGAAAGTCTTAATTACATTTTTTTAAATTTAATATAAAATATTGATAATATTATACTTATCTCAATCAACTTTATTATTAATTTATTAATTTGAGATTAAATTTAAATTGATTATTTTATAATTAATTAATACTTATTTATTTCTACATTAACTTTTTTATTGATAAAATAATTTAATATTTTAATTTGTTTATTAAGTTGTATGTATGTATATCTATATAATATAATAAATATGACTTATTGGACGAAAGTCTTAATTAAATTTTTTTAAATTTAATATAAAATATTAATAATATTATACTTATCTCAATCAACTTTATCATTAATTTATTAATTTGAGATTAAATTTAAATTGATTATTTTATAATTAATTAATTCTCATTTATTTCTACATTAACTTTTTTATTGATAAAATAATTTAATATTTTAATTTGTTTATTATTTTGTATGTATGTATATCTATAATTTTGTTGACTTTCAAATTAATTATGAAATATTTGAATCAAACTAGTTATATTCTTAAAGTAAATCATAAAACTATTCAAAATACTTTATAAATAATTATTAATCAATACCATTTAATGTATACATTTAATCAAATTACTAACTAATTTATATTTCTCAATAAATTAAAATAATCTTTTTATCATTATTTATCACTCTTATTATTTTTAAAAATGTTTTAATTAATAGTAAACACAATTTTAAATACATGATCTAATTTAATTAAGTTCAATTAATTAATAATATAATCATTATAGAATTATTTACTATTTATATTTTAAATCTACTTTTATTTTTATAACTTCTCCCTCCATTTTTGTTATTATGTTAATTTATCTTGTATATTTTAATTATGGATTTATTTTTTAATTTATTATCTTAATTTATTTTATCAATATTTATTTTTATGAATAATTTTATTATTCTAAAAAAAAAAAAATCTAATTTTTGTTAAAATTATTTTTCAATTTTTTATTTTTATTCTCTCAATTTTTTATGTTAATTATTAAAATAATATCTTTCAATTCAAATTTATTAATTTTAATTGTTTTTTGTTTTCTCAAATGTTTCTTTCTAAGTATTATCCATCCATCTATTTAATTTTTATACTAATTTTTTAATTAATTGCTATTCTGTTTAAGCTTTAAAATTTATTATTATATTATTAAGATGAATAAATTAAACTATTTAATTTACTTTATAAATTAATTCTTCTTAGTAAGATTTATCTATGTTAAGTTATTCATCTTTTTAGTAATTTTTGTTTATTAATTCTTTAATTCTTATTTAATATTTTACAGTTATTTTTGGTAATCTTAAAATTACTAATACTCTGTAATTTTTAATCATGTAAAAAGATAAAATTGATTTTTACTTTATCTAATTTATTTAATAATTCTAAAATGTATTTTTCTTAAATATTTTGAATGAATGTTTTCAAATATTATTAAATAATATCAGTAAATTGATAAAAATAAATAAATGAATATATATAAATATTTTATATTTATTTTCAATTCAATTATTTAAATAGGGTAGTGATAATTTAAATGAATGTTTAATAGCTTATTGAATATTAAACTCACTTAATTAATAATAATTTAGATTAATTTAGCTTCAAATTTATTTAGAGTGTATGAAAATCGTACAAAATATCAGAATAAGTAACTTGTAAATTCATTAAATTAATAATAATTTATACAATAAATTTAAAAAATAATTCTCGTCTTAAATAAATTGAATCAATTTTCTTGGAAGGCTTAAATAAATGCAAAAATTTTGATAGTGATGTTTCGGCTTATATCACGGAGTTTACAGTAAATCTCATGAATTTTCTCACCACTTTTAATTTTAATTTTATATTTTTCCTATAAAATCTAATTAAATAAAATAATGAAAATAAAAGTCTTTCTTTTATCTCATTTAATTATTTTATAACTCGCTTCTCTAATAATTATGGATTACAATTAATATTAAATCATTAAAAATAATAAATTTTCATGTTCCCAACTAATTAAAATCTTTTTGTTGTCTTTAAAAACAAAGATAAATTCACCACATAACCCTTTATCCCAATTTAAGATTCATGCCTTATTTTAAACTTCCTGTCTCCCTACGAAGATATGCTTCTTGACCCTAATTACCCTAAAAATAATCTTAGAACTGAACTTCATTCTGACATTAGATATATCAAAGTTGTTGCTTATCTCTCCAGAAATTAACCAGACTATTATTAGAATTTGGCCATGTTACTTAAAAAATGTGAAGACATTGCCTAAGAGATGGATAGACATATTATAAAATGATATTATATTAATTATTGAATGATTTAAATTAATAAATTTTTACTAATTGCATGGTTATACATATTTGTTTTAACTATTAATAATAATAATATTCAGTTTAAATATTTTATTTTACTTAGACATCTTTTAGCATACTAATTTATTTAGCTTTCTTCCAAACTAGCTTTTATAATATCAGTTTATCAATATTTTTTTTAATTTTACTATCTAGTTTCAATACATGTTTGCTATTTTTCATTCTTAATGCTATTGAGGTTCCTAATGATGTCTGATAATTTATTAGCCTATTATTTATTTTTGTTATCTATTTTACCTTTATTCTTTTATAATTTATCTTTTTATGATAATTATTTATACACCAAGTTCTATATTATATAAATCAACACTTTGTTTCCTTTACTTTAAATTTACACTAGGTTCTAATTCCAAAAATTTTAATACTCTTATCTCGCAACCCATTCATTTTCCTAAACAAGGTTTTACAGTGTTTATATATTAATAAAATAAATATTTTTCACAATTTTAAAAAAATAAAATAGAAAAATAGATATACTTTTGTTCTTCAATTTAACTTTATTAGATAATTTATTTAAAAAATAAAATGAAAGATATAAAAGTACTTTAATTAATGTTTATAAATTAAGTTTTTTTTTATGATTGAATAAGTTTGTTATTTTTGAAAACAGATTTTTTATTTGAAGGTTCAATGCTTGCTAAATAAATATATAAGATTTTAAATTTAATTTTTTGTTCATTTTTATGGAGTATTTGCAAGGTACTTTTAATAAATAAATAAATAATTTGCTTGTTTATTATAAACAGTAGGCTCTTTCTAAATATTATTTAATAAAATTTTTATAAAAGTCAATGAATAATAATTAATTATTTTGCTTCTAATTAAGTTCTTATCTATTTTGCAATTTCATATAAATAATAGTATCATAAATAGCTAGCGTTTTAAAGTTTTATAGAGAAGTTACTTAAGCACAAATTAAAAGAAATAGGAAATCCGTATCACTTATTAGGACTTGATGATAAGAAGCATTGCAGCAGAAAGATATTAAATCAGCTTATGAGGCAATGACTTTAAACTATCACACTGATAAAAATATAGTGATATGGCTAACAGCTTTATAAATTACTGGAGATCTATAGCAAATGAAACAATTTGAAGAGATTAAATAAACAACTTTTAACTAGCAAACAAAGTAGATGAAATGAATACTACACAAAGAAAGTTTGATGATGACTTGCTGAAGAGGGTATAAGAATTTAAGTAAATAAGAAGAGTGAAAGAAATAATAAATGAAAGACCTAATCAAAAGAAATGAAAAATAAAAAGTGGTAGAATAAATAACATAAGAAGAAGAAAAGCAAATACAGAGGTAAAAAGAGAAAAAAGGGCAGGATCTAAGTTAGTAATCAATAGTTTCATTTAAAAGTAAACTCAGTTAAAGATAAGCGGAGCAAGTAAGATAAAGTTCAAAAAAATCAAAAAATAATTAACATGTAAATTAAATAAAATGGATTAATAAAGCATATCATAATCTTGGACTCTAAAAAAAGGGCAGTAAAAGAATTTTTAACAGCAATTGCTGATAAATAAAACTCAACTCAAAACAGCAACTAAAGCTATAATAACGAAAATGAAGAATTCCAAAATTTAAACTCACTTAAAATTAGAATTTCTACTAAAAGAGTAAAAACATATAAAAATGATCAATTTAATTAATAGAAGTTAAAGCAAAAGAATCTAATAAACCAAAGGATATGCCCTTTAACACCAATAATTTAAATAAAATTGCAGATATATTATCTAGAAAAAAGGTATCTCTAAAGTCTAATGATTGAATAGTATTAACAGTAGTGTTAGAGAATTTAATAGAAAGAAAAAAGTACTTTGAAGAGTCTCTAAAAAAATGGCTGAATTAATTAATTAATGAAAAGCAAAAAGAACAAATTAGAAATTTAATAAAAAAATAATATTATTAAAAATAAAATGAGAATTAAAATTTAAAAAAGACTATTTTATAATAACCAAATAAGGTGGAAGAAATTCATTCAAAGATAAATTTGATCAAAATTATATTAAGAAATATAAAAAACAAATAATAATAAATTCATCATTTAATCTTTAATCTTAAAAATGTATTTATTGTAATTTATTTATAATATGTATAAATAATTTAAAATTAATTTATCTTCTTTTAATCTATTGTATTATTTACTTCTTTTACAAATATAAAACATATAAAGTTTTACTCATAATTAATTTATAGAGTTATTGAGGAAAATTATATTTTTTCCTCCTTAATATATCCTTAATATAGAATGTTTATGGTAAATATAAAAGAATACTTTTTATTATATATTTATTAATAGAAAAAAATGTTATTTAAAATAAAGTAAATTTAGAACTAAAGAAAAAGATTCTAGTTATAGGATTAATTAGAATAAAAAATATGAAGAAATCTACTAATTATGGATTTTCGATCAAATTTAAAAAATAAAATTAATATCATTGATTTAATATGGAAATATTTTTTTAATTCATTTTATCATAATTTATAAATTAATTTTTAAAATATTTTTTATTTTAACAAAATAATAAATGAAAACTAATTGGCTTAAAAATGGGACTTAATTTAAATATTAAAAATAAATATTTATTAAAGGCTTTAATTTGATTTAGCTAGCCCAATCAATCTAAGGCTGCAAAAATTGGAACGTTATAAAGAAGAGGAATTAGTATATTCAAACAAATCTTTTTATTAAGTTAAAAAGCTGTATTTAGCAAAGCAAGTAAAAAATTAGATAAAGTTTGATAAAAGCTCTAAAAAAGTTTAGGTTGTCATAAGATAATGAGTGTTAAGTAAACAAAGAAACAAATAGCTAGCTTAGTGGTTAATTGCTGCTCTAAAAAAACCAGTATTAAGAAGTTTTTCGAACTTATCGAGGTTTAACAAAGCCATTACACTGACTTCTCCTATTCAGGAAATGGTGCATTTTCATTTGTGCTAAAATCGACCAACAAAAAGACAGGCTAAATCGTAGCTCTGAAAGTGACTGAATGTGATGATAACGACATAAATGGTATGAAGCAGGTTGATGAAGAATATAGACTGCTTAGATAATTTTCTAACTGTAAATACATCGTTTAGGTATTTAATTGTTTCTTTTTAACAGAAGAAGAAAGTTCAGATGAAGAGAGCAGTAATGATGATAGCGAGGAGATCAAAAAACAAAAAAAAGAAAAAAATCTGTTCTTTGTAGTTGAGCAAGAGTTCTGTTAAAGTAAATAATTTTAATTGCTTTTATTGTTTTAAGAGTATCATCGATCAAATAAGGAGTAGATTTAAAATTTAGTAGAGCGGCATTTTAATATTGCTACTTTTTGTTGATTTTGATAAGACTTTATTTGAAGATTTTCTTTTGTTTATGATCATTTATTTTGATCAAATTGAATTTAAAACAAAGAAAGTTAATGCATTATTCTAATAAAAAAATTTGAGATTTCTTATATCTTTCTTTGATAATTTGATTTTTCCATTTTCTTAATTCACCATTTTAAAAGAAGTGAATATTGATTGGTACTTATTAATAATAATTGATTGTTCCATTTATTTATCAAAATAATTAATATTTATATCATTCATTCATTTTAAAAATGATATTGCTTGATTTCTCATATTTTATTTATCAAAAATTTAAATCAAATTTACTGATATATTCCTTTTATTTATTCACTTTATTAGCCTTAGACTCTAAGAAAGAATACATTCATTAGGTATTTATTTTTTGATTATTTATATTTAAAACTAATAAATTTATGGAACAATCTTTATTTAATAAATCAATCATTTTTCTTTTAATTTTAATTATTAATTGATTTAATCATTTTTTTGTAAAATTATTTATTCAAAACATACATTTAATGATACATAAATTAAAAAATTCGAGAAAGGAATAAATGAAGCCATTATTTTCTCTTCTTTACAGCTTTAAATTTATAAAAGGATTTGACTTCGCCTTCTAAAAAAAAATTATTTAAAATTTCATAAAATTGCTATTCCTAAAATAAAAATATTGCCAATTTTTTAGGCACAGAGACAGAGGGCGATATTTCATTTAATTTTTATAATTTTAAGCTAATATTTTTCATTTTATATATATTATTTTTTAATTTTCAAAAAATAACTCTCATATATCAAACCCCCCCTAAATCTACTCCTTATATGTTAATAAAAAGTATTCTTTTAGCTTAAGAGACAACTAATTTTCATTAATTTCATTTTATTTTATCAAAAATAGCAAATTTAGAAAATTTCTTCACTCAATGCAGATTAAAAAAATCATATCCATGCTAACAATAGAAAGAAGTTATGGCAATTTAAATGCTTGATTCTATAGCTTATCTTCACAGATTTGATTTACTTCATAGGGATATCAAACCATCTAATTTTCTTCTTTCATTAGATGAGAAGGAAATTCCTACTGTCAAGATATGTAATCAAAAATTAAATAAATAAACCAACAATATATTCTTCTATTTTAAAAATTTCTTTGATTTTATTTATTTGATCTGAAAAAATAAAATGAAATGATTTTTAAGAATTAAAGATAATCAATTAAATGATTAAATAAATTAGTTTATTAGTTATTAATTATTCTAATTAAAAATTTTCAATTTTAAATATTTTAAATAACTAAAATAAATTGAAAACTAATCATTTTTAAGCACGAATTAAACATTTTTGATAATCTTAACATCGATTAACTAAACTATGACTAAAACGAATTGTATTTTTAATTATGGAAAATTAAGACTTTTAATAGTATTACCTAAAATATTTCATCCAAATTAAAAAAAATAAAATAAATAATTCAATTAAATAAATTTAACTTAAGCCTTACTATTTAAAATTTACTTATTTTTAAACTTAAAAATTAATTTATTTTTTATTTAAAATAAAAATTAGGTGATTTGTCTTTTGCTTCTGCTCTTAAGAACAATAAATCCAGAATTACAGTTTCTAAAATTGTAACTTAAACTTTCAATAAACATTTAATTTAACTTTAGTCTAATAAAATACTAAAAGAAAGGAACTTAAGCTTATTTTGCTCCAGAAGTAGAAAAAGGCATTTACAAAAAAGGGGTATTTTAAAAATTATAAATAATTTAAACAAAAATATTTTTTTTTAAAAATAAAAATATAGTCAGATATTTTCTCATTAGGAATAGTTTTGTTAGAGTTAGATAATATGGCAATTTTTAATTTTAACGAAACTACAAATGAAGATAAATTAGAAATTAAATTTGCTAAGATTTTCCCTAATTATTAGATTGACAGACAATCATATATCTACAAGATAGCTTATTAATGTCTAAATTACTATGTAGAAAATCGAAAATAAGCCATAGATTTACTCATTCAGTTCATATAAGAAAACTAAAATTATTTAGCAGTTGAACTTTCTTCTGTAATTAACAGAGTAAATATTTTTATTTTGATCTCTTCATTTGTAAAAAATTTATAAATGTAATTTTAGTCTTAATTATTGCAGAAATCAGAGCAACTAAGCTAAATTCAAAAATCTATTATTGAAAAATAATAGAAAAAGAAGAGTGAAATCTTAGAACTCTCTTAATCATCCAAAGTAAATCAGTAATTTATAAGAAGGATATTTTTAATTCATATTTATAATTTTAAAATCAATAGAATCAAAAACATTTCAAAAATTTAATCTAAATGTTTGATGTCCTTCAGTAAAAACCCTTTAAGGCATAAGAATATGAAACTATTCTAAAGTTACTTTAGAGTATTCCTAAATATGACAGCAATTTTGAATTCATTTCTGTAGGTGCGAAAGGTTTGGTCCTTGGAACTTTTAACAAAACTTTAGGATTTAAAACAGTTTTAAAGATTCAATAAGTTCAATCTAAACATGAAGTTGTTCAAGAAGTTGGAATCATGAGAGATTGCTAAATGCCTCTTGTCATTAAGTTTTATGGCTATTTCTACTTGTCAGTCAATAAAAATGATGATTTTGTAGTTTATGAGATAGAGAAATGTTCTGGTAATATTTAAAAAATAAATAAATAAATTTTTTATCATTAATTTTCTTTTAATTATGTGAAAGTTTAATTTATAATTTATTATTTAAAGGTAACTTAAAATAGTATTTGACAAGACTTCAAAAAGAAAACATTGCCCTTACTGATAACCAAAAAATGCAAATTGCTGTATAGATTATTGATGTTGTAAATTATCTCAATTATAATGGAATTGTTCACAGAGATATCAAATTAGATAACATTCTCTATATTGAAAGTTAATCTGATGTTCCCACAATTAAATTAGGTATTTTATTTTACTAATTTAGTTTTCATTTCTATAAATAAATATTTATATTTCTCAATTCATTTTAAATTAGCCGATTTTGATCAATCTAGAAAGCTGCCTTATGAATTGTATTATAGAGATGATGAATTAGTTAAAGACTACTTTCCAGTATAAGGAATTGTAAATTTTTTAGATTAAAAATAAATTTATAACTTAATTAAAAAAAGAGTGGCACATTTGGGTATATAGCACCAGAATTTTTCTAAAACATTTTGTACACTTTTGAGGTAATATATTTTCAATAACACATTTTAACTTTAATCTACTTACAATTCATTTTATTTTTTATTTCTTTATTTCTTTATTTATTTATTTATTTAGTTATTTATTTATTTATTTATTTGTAGTGTGAAGTATTCTCAGTTGGAGTTTGTCTTGCTTTATTAGATAATTTTGAGAAATTAGAACCTGTTATTTTAAAAAAAGCACAAGATTACTTTTTTGGATTCAAAATACCTTTTGAATAAAATTTTCATGTAAAAGAAGAATTAATAAACAGAAAGAGTTAGATTTATGATATCCTACTAAAAACTGTTGTATTTCAACCAAAGTAAAGGAAACCCTTATCTTAGATACTCCTTTACTTTTAAAAATAAGGATACTATTATTATTCTTAAATTTTTTCTCAAATTTCAACTGTAATTTTTCATTTAATTATAACTCTTTTATTCTTCATACATTCTTTTTAAACTCAGGTCACTTCAGATCTTAAATATTTGAAAATACTTTCTCTTGATCATAAGTAAATTTTAATTATTCTATTAAATTTATTTATACCTCAATACTTTTTAAATTCATTTTTTTATTATTTTGGTTTTAATATTTTTAAATTATTTATAAAACAAGAAATTAAAAATTACTTAAAGGTGATGCTAGAAAAATCGCTTCCGAAATAGCTAAATATCCTACTCTCTCCACTTTAAGCCTTTGACCTCTAGTAATTTTTTACACATTTTCTCAATTTATAGTTTAAATAAATAATTAAAGAAATCAAAGAATAACAAACAATATTTAATTAATTAAGTATTTTTGTTCATTTTAATTAGTAACAACAACATAGGCTCAGATGGGGCGAAAGCAATTGCTTCCGAAATAGCTAAATGTCCTACTCTCTCCACTTTAAGCCTTGACCTTGGGTAATTTTTTACACATTTTCTCAATTTATAGTTTAAATAAATAATTAAAGAAATCAAAGAATAACAAACAATATTTAATTAATTAAGTATTTTTGTTCATTTTAATTAGTAAAAACAACATAGGCTCAGATGGGGCGAAAGCAGTTGCTTCCGAAATAGCTAAATGTCCTACTCTCTCCACTTTAAGCCTTGACCTTACGTAATTTTTTACACATTTTCTCAATTTATAGTTTAAATAAATAATTAAAGAAATCAAAGAATAACAAACAATATTTAATTAATTAAGTATTTTTGTTCATTTTAATTAGGTTAAACAACATAGGCTCAGATGGGGCGAAAGCAGTTGCTTCCGAAATAGCTAAATGTCCTACTCTCTCCACTTTAACCCTTTGGCTTGGGTAATTTTTTACACATTTTATCAATTTATAGTTTAAATAAATAATTAAAGAAATCAAAGAATAACAAACAATATTTAATTAATTAAGTATTTTTGTTCATTTTAATTAGGGGGAATAGTATAGGCTCAGATGGGGCGAAAGCAGTTGCTTCCGAAATAGCTAAATGTCCTACTCTCTCCACTTTAAGCCTTGACCTCTAGTAATTTTTACACATTTTATCAATTTATAGTTTAAATAAATAATTAAAGAAATCAAAGAATAACAAACAATATTTAATTAATTAAGTATTTTTGTTCATTTTAATTAGGATGAATAGTATAGGCTCAGATGGGGCGAAAGCAGTTGCTTCCGAAATAGCTAAATGTCCTTCTCTTTAAGATTTAAGGATTGATTTAAGGTATTTTATATTTGAATATAAAAATTAAAAGCACAAGGAATAATAATATATAAAATGTAATTAATAATATTAAAATAAATAGGAATAATAAATTGAATGGGGATGTTTAGTTTATGAATCTTTTACCAAAAGATATTTAAATAAAAATTAAACATTTAAATTAAGTAGTTTTTAATAGATTAATAGAAAATAATTAATTTGTAAAATAAAATTGAAAGTATATGTTAAGATATTATTTTACATAAAAATAAAATGTTCATTTATTTTGAATAATTTTGTGTTTAGTTAATTGAATTATGATTGTGAGATATATTTAATTAAAATAATAATTTTTCAACAATGAAAATATTAATTTTTTTAATTATAAAATTAAATTAAAATTTAAGTTTTACAAATAGTTTTAATAATTATTTACTTATTTATATTATATTAATAATATTTTTTTAATGAATGCATAAAATAATTATTCAGATAAAATAAATTAACAAATTTTCTAGAAATTTAGTTTGATGCAAAATTAAATTAGAAAAACAATATAATTAATATATTTCATATAGTAAAAATATAAAATTTATCGTAAAGGATATTGATTATTTTATTTTAAAGTGTTTATAATTTATCATTTTTTCAAGAAATATAAAGAAGAACAGTAAAAATAAAACTTTAATTTTTTAAAAACAAAATATAAATAATTTTTTTAAATATTTCTTATCCAGTTTTGAAATTCATCTTGCCGACTATATTATGTTTTCAGAATTTCAATAAATTAGGTTATCAATCTTCATAAATATTTTGTTTTTATATAACATTTTCAATAATTAAATAATTCAGGATACTGAGATGTGATAATTTATTTCTTGTCTAATCTATAAATAAATTCCTGTGCCTATCAGAATAAACTTGAGTAGGATTAGTTTAAGATGTTACTATATGCCTTACTATAAAAGCATGGAATTTTTATTATGATCTATCCTGACCTATGATTTCATAAGCAAAATAGATATTTTAATAAATTAAATTATGATTTTTTTAATTAATGATTTAAATTAAATTTATTATTTTATTTTTAGCTATTTATTTACATTTATAATTTTTTATTTCTTATAATATTTTTTATTTTTTCAAGCTTAAATCATTTAATAATATCAAAATTTACTTACTTTTTTAGAAGTATTTATAAATCTAAATATTCGATTAAAATCTTGAATTCTGAATCTGAAATGGTAATTTTATTATTATAATAATAGTTTTTTAGGTTTATTTTGATATAAGGTAAATAATTTTTTAAAGAATACTTTACTCATTTCAAATACTTTTTTATTCAAAATAATTAATCTCATTTATTTTTTAAACATTCAATAAAAGTATACTGACTGCTACGTACAATAAATAATTCTTCATATAAATACATCAGATTTTATTTTCTAATGCAAAATGAAAATTAATTTTGAAGTAATTTTATAAAGTCAAAAAGTAAATAATAATAAAACTTAAAATTTAATTCTAAATTCAATTTTATTAGGGATATCTTAATCGATAAAAATTTACCAATATCCTAATAAGAGTGAATTTGATTGCATTTCTTATGAAATAAAATTAAAAGTATTTCCTAAAATTGAATATGTATAAATGCTAAATAAAGAAATATAATTTTAACAAGAATCTATTCTAAATTATCAAGCACATTTTTCTGGAGATTATCTTTTAATTATTATCATTGAGTTCTCTACCTTAATTAATTTAATATTTTTTGATAAGCTTCTTATATTTACATTATATTTAATTTAATTTTATTTTTATTTTAAATATGAAGATTTTTATTTAATTAATTGAAGATTATTTATAATTTTAGTTTGAAAAAATTTTAGAATAAACACTAAATAAATTAAAGCTACCTTTAAAATTAAATAATATCAAAACTATCTTAAAATTAATATTTTATGTGTTAAGCTTTATTATTCATTAATCTACACTTTAAATTATGAAGTAATTCTAAATAATTTCATAAGCTTATATTAATTAATTATAATGAAAATATCAAAATAAATATTAAATTTCTGTTAAAATAACTTTCTTATAAAATGAATTTTTGTAACATTAATAAACTTTTGTAAGATTTATCACACCGACAACAATAAATTCTTTAATCTGTCTGTATTATAAACATTAAATTATTTTTAAAATATTTCAATTTTTTATTCTTCGATTCTATTAATTTTTTATATATATATTTTAATATTTTAAAGTAAAATTGCTAGTTGGTAATTTGTTAATTCATCATAAGCTACATAAATATCTATTTATTAATAATTATCTTTTTACTATTTTAATTATCACTCAATATTTTCGGATTAACAAACATCAAGAATTTTTTCATATTAATCAACAATTTTATAAATTTAATAATCCTATTTTTGTTAAAGTTATTAATTTAACTTTATTAATATTTTTTTTTATGTTTCAAATATTATTTTAATCTATTTTTTAATTTGATTTTATATATTATCTTTTATTTATTTATTTATTTATTTATTTTTAATAGCATTTTATAAAATTTTGTAGATACTAATTATAAATATTTCTTAATTGCTTTTAAAAATTCCAAATAAATTAATCAATAAAGTTTTAAAAAATTTTTAAAATAAGTTAGAATAAATAATAAATTTAAGCTATCTTTAATGTAAAATAAACAGTAAATTACAATTTTTTAATTACAATTGTTAAGCTGTATTAATAATATAAATTAAGAAGCAAATTTAAATTACTTATAATAGAAAATTAATAATTAAATAATCTCTCATTTTTTTAATCTATCTTGGTTTAATATTTATATTTATTTATTTATCTTAAAATCTTTATTACTTACTGATATTCTTCATTACTTAACCTATCAATTTCATTTTTTAATTATTTTGTTTTGATTAATGTTATTGGTAACAATTTTACATGAAACAAAAAGGAATTTTTCATCTGTTCGAACAAATAATTGATAAAACTTTTCAATGTTTAAGTTTATTTATTTATTTTATCTCATTTGTTTTTCGAATATAATATGATTGATTTTAAAGGATCTATAATAATCTAGGCTAATTTTTTTGCATTCAGTTTTTTCATTAATGTAATTCTAAATTATTAGAAATATGTTCTTCCATCTTCAATTAACCATATTAGTATTAAAAGTGTTTATATTATTAATTAATTGGCTTAAATACATTATATTATATTAAAATAATAAATTTTAATAAAGTTTAAACATAAAACAATATAGTTGTTTTAATTGCTATTTTTATTTTATCATGAAATTTAGTTTAATCAGTTTATGTTTATGATAGTTATTCTTTTTTAATTATTAAATTATAAATACCTAGATGTTTTACTAAATCTCTTTCTATTCTTCTTTGTTGTTAATCTAATTCATCTAAATCGGTTTCATATTATAAGTTACAAAAAAAAATGAAAATCCTTCAATTATTTAATTTTTACTAATATTACATACTGTAAATGCTCATTAATTAAGGTATTCCCTAAGTATCTTTTTTGCACAAAAAAAGTGCCCTAAAATTTCATGAATTTGTTAAAAATAAATAATGTAAACATTATTAAAAATTCTTTTTTTCATTGAATTTGTTAATTTTATATTTTACATGCAAAGCTCATTAAAAATAGAAATTATCATTGTTTAGATTGAAGATTGTATTTATATGACTAGCATAGGTGAAAGAAATTTGTTAATTTGTTGGACCTCACTATAGTATCATAAATATCTTTTTATAGGAAGTAGCTTATGCAGAAATTAAAAGAATTAGGAAATCCTTATGATTTATTAGGGTTAGAAGATAAAAAGCGTCATAGCATGATAGAAATTAAAAATCGCCTTATGAGGAAATGACATCACACCAATAAAAGCTCTAGTGACGATGCTTATAGCTTATAATTGTTTGGAGATCTATATCTAATGAAACAATTTGAAGGATTAGATAAACAACATTTAACTAGCAAAAAAGAGTATATGAAATGAATACTGTACAAAGAAAGTTTTATGATGACTTGCTGAAGAGGGAATAAGAATTTAAGTAAATAAGAAGAGAATAAGTGAAAGAATTTTTAACATCAAATATTGATAAATAAAACTCAACTCAAAACAACAGCAATATCTCTGATAACGAAAATGAAGAATTCCAAAATTTAAACTCACTTTAAAATAAAATTTCTACTAAAAAAAAGAGCATATAGAAATGATCAATTTAATTTAAGTTAAAACAAAAGAGGCTAATAAACCAAAATATATAACCTTTAATACAAATAACTTATAAAAAATGAAGGATATATAATCTAAAAGAGGTATCTCTAAAGTCTAATTATAGAATATTATTAATAGTAGTGTTAGACAACTTAAAAGAAAGAAAGAAAAAAGTACATTGAAGAATCTCTAAAAAAAAGGCTGAATTAATTAATTAATGTAAGCCAATAAAATAAAATTAAAATTTAATATAAAATAAGACAAAACTATTTTATAATAATTGAATAAGGTAGATGAAATTAACTTCTTTATTTTTATAGCTTGTTTATTCAAAAGATAAATTATATCAAAATTATTTTAAGAATAAAAAATAATAAATAATAATTAATTCATCATTTAATCTTTAATTTAAAAAATTTATAGTAAATTATAATATGTATTAATAATATAAAATTAATTTATCTTAAATTAATCTATTTATTTAAACAAATGTCATACAATTAGCAATTAACAGTATTTTAATAAAATTTATTATTTATGTAATTGAAGTAAAAAATATGAAGATATTTACTAATTAATTATAGATTTTTGATCAAATTTAAAAAAATAAAATAAAAATGCTTCATTTATTATTGAAAATATTTTTTTAATTCATTTTATCATAATTTATAAATAAATTTTTTAAATATTTTTTATTTTAACAAAATTATAAAGGAAAACTAATTGGCTTGGAAGGTAATGGTACTTAATTTAAATATTTGAAAACCAATATTTATTAAAGGCTTTAATTAGATTTAGTTAGCCTAATCAATCTAAGATTGCAAAAATTGGAATGTTATAAAGAAGAGGAATTAGTATATTGATGCAAATCTTTTTATTAAGTAAAAAAGCTGTATTTAGCAAAGCAAGTAAAAAATTAGATAAAGTTTGATAAAAGCTCTAAAAAGTTTAGGAAGTTTAGGTTATCATAAGATAATGAGTGTTAAGTAAACAAAGAAGCAAATAGCTAGCTTAGTGGTTAATTGCCGCTCTTAAAAAATCAGTATTAAGAAGTTTTTCGAAGTTATAGAGGTTTAACAAAGCCATTACACTGACTTCTCCTATTCAGGAAATGGTGCATTTTCATTTGTGCTAAAAGCGACCAACTAAAAGACAGGATAAATCATAGCTCTCAAAGTGACTGAATGTGATGATAACGACATTAATGGTATGAAGCAGGTCGAAGAAGAATATAGACTGCTTAGATAATTTTCTAACTGTAAGTACATCGTTTAGGTATTTAATTGTTTCTTTTTAACTGAAGAAGAAAGTTCTGATGATGATTGCAGTAATGATGATGAAGAAGAGGGAAAAAATGAGAAAAAAGAAAAAAATCTGTTCTTTGTAGTTGAGCAAGAGTTCTGTCAAAGTAAATAATTTTAATTGTTATTATTTTTTTATGAATCGCATCGAACTTTAGGAGTAGATTTAAAATTTAGTAAAGCGGCATTTTAATTTTGCTGCTTTTTGTTGATTTTGATAAGACTTTATTTGAAGATATTCATTTGGTTATGATCATTTTAATCAAATCTAATTTAAAACAAAGAAAGTTAATGCATTATTCTAATAAAAAAATTTGAGATTTCTTATATCTTTCTTTGATATTTTAATTTTTCCATTATCTTAATTCACCATTTTTACAAATGAGTTTTGATTGGTATGTATTTATTAATAATAATTGTTCCATCTATTTATCAAAATTATTAATATTTATATCATTCATATTATAAAAGATACTGTTTGATTTCTCATATTTTATTTATCAAAAATCTTAATCAAATTTACTTATATATTCCCTTTATTTATTCACTTTATTAGCCTTAGACTATAAGAAATCATAGAATACATTCATTCGGTATTTATTTTTTGATTATTATCAATATTTATTTATATATTTAAAACTAATAAATTTATGGAACAATATTTTATTAAATCAATCATTTTTCTTTTAATTCAAGTTATTCATTGATTTAATATTTTTTTTGTTAAATTTTTTATTCAAAAACATAAATTACTAATCCTATAATTAAAATATCACCAACTGTGTAGGTAGGTAGGTACAGATGGTGATATTTCATTTAATTTTTATGATTTTAAGCTAATATTTTTTTTTTAATTTTTAAAAAATATGGATCGTCCAATATATCAAACCCCCTCTAAATCTACTCATTCGATGCTAATCAAAAATATTTTTTATATTTAAGAGGCAACTAATTAATTTCCACAAATTTCATTTTATTTTATCAAAATTAGCAAATTTAGAAAATTTCTTCACTTAATGCAGATTAAAAAAATCTTATCCATGCTAGCAATAGAAAGAAGTTATGGCAATTTAAATGCTTGATTCTGTAGCTTATCTTCACAGATTTGATTTACTTCATAGGGATATCAAACCATCAAATTTTCTTCTTTCATTAGATGAGAAAGAAATTCCTACAGTCAAGATATGTAATCAATAAATATATAAATAAACCAACAAATAAATTTGATTATTTTCAAAATTTTTCTTTATTTCTTTAAGTTTAAACCTTAAAATAAATTAAAATGATTTTTAAGAATTAGAGATAATCAGACTAAATAAATAAGTTAATTAGTTATAAAATATTCTAATTTAAAATATTTAATTTTAAATCTTTTAAATAACTAAAATAAATTGAAAACTGATCATTTTTTAGCACGAATTAAATATTTTTGATGATGTAAAAATCTTTATCTAAACTTTTACTCAAGCTAATTTTATTTTTAACTAAGGAAAATTAAGACTTTTTATAGTATTTATCTAAAATATTTCATCTAAATTAAAACAAATATTTAAGTAAATACAAAAAAATTTAAATAATTCAAATTAAATAAATTTAATTTAAGTCTTTCAATTAAAAATTTACTTATTTTTTTTAAATTAGAGACAAAAATTCTAAATGTTTTTTAAGTTAATTTTAGTATTTAAACTTTAAAATTAAAATATTTTCTTTTTAAATTAAAAATTAGGTGATTTGTCTTTTGCTTCTGCCCTAAAGAACAATAAATCCAGAATTACAGTTTCTAAAATTGTAACTTAAACTTACAATAAACATTTAACTTAACTTTAGTCTTATAAAATATTAACAGAAAGGAACTTAGGCTTATTTTGCACCAGAAGTTGAAAAAGGCGTTTACAAAAAAGGGGTATAATAAAAATTATAAATAATTTAAACAAAAAATATTTTATTTAAAAAATAAAAATATAGTCAGACGTTTTTTCATTAGGACTAGTTTTGTTAGAGTTAGATAATATGTCAAATTTTAACTTTAATGACACTACAAATGAAGATAAACTAGAAATTAAATTTGCTAAGATTTTCCCTAACTATTAGATTGACAGACAATCATATATCTACAAGATAGCTTATTAATGTCTAAATTACTTTGTAGAAAATAGAAAATAAGCTATAGATTTACTCATTTAGTTTATATAAGAAAACTAAAATTACTTAGCCGTTGAACTTTCTTCTGTAATTAACAGAGTAAATATTTTTATTTTGATCTCTTCATTCATCAAAAAATTTGTAAATATAATTTTAGTCTTAATTAAAGTAGAAATCAGAGCAACTTAGTTAAATTCAAAAAACTATTATTGAAAAGTAATAGAAAAAGAAGAGTGAAATCTTAGAACTCTCTTAATCATCGAAAGTAAATCAGTAATTTATAATAAGGATATTTTTAATTCATATTTATAATTTTAAAATCAATAGAATCAAAAACATTTCAAAAATTTAATCTAAATGTTTGATGTCCTTCAGTAAAAACCTTTTAAGGCATAAGAATATGAAACTATTCTAAAGCTACTTTAGAGTATTTTTAAATATGATAGCAATTTTGAATTTATTTCTGTAGGTGCGAAAGGTTTGGTCCTTGGAACTTTTAACAAAACTTTAGGAATTAAAACAGTTTTAAAGATCCAATAAGTTCAATCTAAGCATGAAGTTGTTCAAGAAGTTGGAATCATGAGAGATTGTTAAATGCCTCTTGTCATTAAGTTTTATGGCTATTTCTACTTGTCAGTCAATAAACAAGATGATTTTGTAGTTTATGAGATAGAGAAATGTTCTGGTAATACTTAAAAAATAAATAAATAGATTTTTTATCATTAATTTTATTTTAATTATGTGAAAGTTTAATTTATTATTTATTATTTAAAGGTAACTTAAAATAATATTTGACAAGACTTCAAAAAGAAAACATTGTGCTTACTGATAACCAAAAAATGCAAATTGCTGTATAGATTATTGATGTTGTAAATTATCTGAATTATAATGGAATTGTTCACTGAGATATCAAATTAGATAACATTCTCTATATTGAAAGTTAATCTGATGTTCCCACAATTAAATTAGGTATTTTATTTTACTAATTTAGTTTTCATTTCTATAATAAATATATATATTTCTCAATTCATTTTAAATTAGCCGATTTTGATCAATCTAGAAAGGTGCCTTATGATTTGTATAGAATGGATGGCGAAATAGTTAAAGACTACTTTCCAGTATAAGGAATTGTAAATTTTTTAGATTAAAAATAAATTTATAACTTAATTAAAAAAAGAGTGGCACATTTGGGTATATAGCACCAGAATTTTTCTAAAACATTTTGTACACTTTTGAGGTAAAATATTTTCAATAACACATTTTAACTTTAATCTACTTATAATTCATTTTATTTTTTATTTGTTTATTTCTTTACTTATTTATTTATTTGTAGTGTGAAGTATTCTCAGTTGGAGTTTGTCTTGCTTTATTAGATAATTTTGAGAAACTAGAACCTGTTGTTTTAAAAAAAGCACAAGATTACTTTTTTGGATTCAAAATACCTTTTGAATAAAATTTTCATGTAAAAGAAGAATTAATAAACAGAAAGAGTTAGATTTATGACATCCTACTACAAACTGTTGTATTTCAACCAAAGTAAAGGAAACCCTTATCTTAGATACTCCTTAACTTTTAAAAATAAGGATACTATTATTATTCTCAAATTTTTTCTCAAATTTCAACTGTAATTTTTCATTCAATTATAGCTCTTTTATTATTCATTCATTCTTTTTAAACTCAGGTCACTTCAGATCTTAAATATTTGAAAATACTTTCTCTTGATCACAAGTAAATTTTAATTATTCTATTAAATTTATTTATTCCTCAATACTTTTTAAATTCAATTTTTTATTATTTTGGTTTTAATATTTTTAAATTATTTATAAAACAAGAAATTAAAAATTACTTAAAGGTGATGCTAGAAAAATCGCTTCCGAAATAGCTAAATGTCCTACTCTCTCCACTTTAAGCCTTTACCTCTAGTAATTTTTTACACATTTTCTCAATTTATAGTTTAAATAAATAATTAAAGAAATCAAAGAATAACAAACAATATTTAATTAATTAAGTATTTTTGTTCATTTTAATTAGGTAAAACAACATAGGCTCAGATGGGGCGAAAGCAGTTGCTTCCGAAATAGCTAAATGTCCTACTCTCTCCACTTTAAGCCTTGACCTCTAGTAATTTTTTACACATTTTCTCAATTTATAGTTTAAATAAATAATTAAAGAAATCAAAGAATAACAAACAATATTTAATTAATTAAGTATTTTTGTTCATTTTAATTAGGTTAAACAACATAGGCTCAGATGGGGCGAAAGCAGTTGCTTCCGAAATAGCTAAATGTCCTACTCTCTCCACTTTAAGCCTTTGGCTATAGTAATTTTTTACACATTTTCTCAATTTATAGTTTAAATAAATAATTAAAGAAATCAAAGAATAACAAACAATATTTAATTAATTAAGTATTTTTGTTCATTTTAATTAGTAACAACAACATAGGCTCAGATGGGGCGAAAGCAGTTGCTTCCGAAATAGCTAAATGTCCTACTCTCTCCACTTTAAGCCTTGACCTTAGGTAATTTTTTACACATTTTCTCAATTTATAGTTTAAATAAATAATTAAAGAAATCAAAGAATAACAAACAATATTTAATTAATTAAGTATTTTTGTTCATTTTAATTAGTAACAACAACATAGACTCAGATGGGGCGAAAGCAGTTGCTTCCGAAATAGCTAAATGTCCTACTCTCTCCACTTTAAGCCTTTGGCTATAGTAATTTTTTACACATTTTCTCAATTTATAGTTTAAATAAATAATTAAAGAAATCAAAGAATAACAAACAATATTTAATTAATTAAGTATTTTTGTTCATTTTAATTAGTAACAACAACATAGGCTCAGATGGGGCGAAAGCAGTTGCTTCCGAAATAGCTAAATGTCCTACTCTCTCCACTTTAAGCCTTGACCTTAGGTAATTTTTTACACATTTTCTCAATTTATAGTTTAAATAAATAATTAAAGAAATCAAAGAATAACAAACAATATTTAACTAATTAAGTATTTTGTTCATTTTAATTAGGTCTAACAACATAGGCTCAGATGGGGCGAAAGCAGTTGCTTCCGAAATAGCTAAATGTACTATTCTTTAAGATTTAAGGATTGATTTAAGGTATTTTATATTTGAATATAAAAATTAAAAGCACAAGGAATAATATAAAATAAAAAGTAATAAATAATATTTTAATAAATAGGAATAATAAATTAAATGGGGAATTTTAATTTGTAAATCTTTTACCAAAAGATATTAAAATAAGAATTTAACATTGAAATTAAATAGCTTTAGATAGATTAATAGAATATTTGTAATTTGTAAAGTAATATTTAAAGTAATTTTAAGATATTATTTATATTCAAATAAAATGTTCTTATATTATGAATAATTTTTATTTAGTTTATTAAATTATGATTGTGAGATATATGTAATTAAAATAACAATTTTTAAAAATTGATTTCTATTTCAAAAAATTATTAATTAAATTTAAAATTAAATTAATACTTTAAATAAGAAAAATTAGAATATTATGATTTAAGTAAACATGTATATTATTTTAAACCTTGTTTTTTTAATTTAACAGATAAATTTATAAATTAAAATTTAAGTTTTACTAATAGTTTTTATAATTATTTATTTATTTAAATTATATTAATAATATTTTTTTAATAAATGAATAAAATAATTAATCAAAGAAAAAAAATTTAACAAATTTTTAGAAACTTAGTTTGATGCAAAATTAAATCTGAAAAACAATATAATATATTTATCATATAGTAAAAATATAATATTTATTTGTAAACGATATTGATTATTTTATAAATAATATAATTTCTCTTTTTTTTAAAGAAATATCAAGAAAGACAGTAAAATAAAAGTTTAATTTTTTGAAAGCTTTAATTAAAATAAATAAATAAATTTAAATTTTTACAAATATAAAATCTGAGGTAGAATATATTCATTTGATTAAACTAATAAATAAATATAATAAGTAAATATGCAACTTACTTCTCTAAATTTCAAATAATGTCTAAATTAAATATTTATGTATCAAGCTTTACTAGTCTTTTCAGTTTCATTAAATTTTTTAATTATCGTTCTAAGTATTATCTGTTTTAAATCAGTTTTAATTAATATTTAAATAAATAAAATATTTAATTTTTAAGTTTTACTAAAATAAAGATTTTTTCATAAGAGCGATCTATAATTTCAAGGTATTTAGATTTTAACAGCCACTTAACCCCAATAATTTTGTATTACTACTGCTAATTATTTTTCATAAAATTAAAATTTTTTTCTTAGTAAATCAAAACATTTCAAATTTATAAATAAAATATTTCACTGTTTAATAAAAAAAATCTATCAAGAATTTCAAAATGCTTATAAAATTGCTTTTAGTAATTAACATCTAAGATAAATTCTTGAAAGCAATTTATTTTTTTATAAAAATGCTTGCTTTTAAGGAAAAAATCTTAAAAATAGAATAAATATAATAAAGTAAAGAAATTAATTTTATACAAATTTGAGCTACACATCGCAAAATTAATATCAAGATTCTTAAGATTTTTGCAATTTTATATTCCATTTAATATTTCTCCTTAAGATTTTTTATAGTTTCTGTTAATAAATTTTTAGTAAAAAACATATTTACTCATTATATTAAATGCTAATTGAAATAAATAAATGATAATATATTTAAAGATTTTTTACTATCTTATGACTAAACTTTTAAGATTTTAAATCTAACCTAAATATAACCATAAATTAGGCATTTTGATATGAGATGTATTCAAGCTAATTAAAAACAAAAATCATTCATGTATTTAAATTTAAAAAATGAGATATTACTTTAAGGTAGTGAGACATTTGCTATATTTAAGCTCATTAAGTATTTCGTACAAACAGGATTTACTTTGAACTTGGCTTTTATATTTTTTTGATGTTAAGTATATATATATACCATTAAAAATTAATTTACTCTTTTAAATGCAAGTGAAAAGAACTAATATGAGCAAACTAATTTAAATGATGACTAAGTATTTTAGGGGTCATATCTTTGGATATAGTTGATTTAATCCTAAGTTATTAATTATATTTTTAAAGAAATAAATAAAAATTTTAATTAAAAATAGTTCAATAAATTTTTCAGTTTCTTTATTCTTTATTTTGTTTTAAATCAATTAATAAATAAAGATAATTTTTTTTCAAAATAAAGTAACAAAAAAAATTTCAAATAAAATAAAAAAAAAATGTTAATTTATAATTTTTATTAATTACTCAATTTATAAATGCAGCTCTTATAAATTTGTAATTTGATTAAATAAATCAAGTGAATTTATATCACTTTCATCTATAATATCTTTTAAAAACACCAATTTTCTTAATTTTTTACATTTTCTTAAATTTTCAGCTAAATCAGCAACATAAGAAGGAAATCTAGCAAACTAGAATCTAAATAAACATAATGTAAATAAAATAAGTAAGATAAATTAAGGAAATACATTTGTATGATTTATAACTCAGTCAGCTATTCTAAGATAGATAATTAAGCATATAAGTTGATAGCTTAAATAGAACTTAAATCACTATACCTTTTTTAAAAAAGTGTTAAAAATATTTATCTAAAATGAATGAGTAAATGATGTTAGTATTTATTCTAAAAAATTTATTACAATTCGAAGGTTAAAATAAAATTTAGAGAAATAATAACTTCACTAAATAAACGCAAAGAATTGTAATCATTTTCACCATTAATTCTAAATATGAGTTTTAAAGTAACTAATTTTTATAATTTTTTTAAATTTCTAGCAAGATTCAGCACAGCTTCACTGTCATAACTTTAAATAGTTATTATAAAAAAATGAATAATAAAATTATATATATAAAACTGCGAAGATATACTATAAGTCAATAGTCAAATCAGACAGAATTTGGCATTCAATCAATTTCACACAAATCTATTCAATTTTAGGAAAATCTTACTAAGTCAAACTTAATTTTTTTTAATTAAGAAAATATTAATAAACTAACATTCATTAATTAATGATGAAATTTACGACAGATGCAATGCTCTCGATTTTGTGAAAGAATTACTATTTAGAAACTTTTGAGTTAATAAAATTATTTTTAATGCTAAATAGTTAAAATATATTAAAAATTACATCGCTTGATTTACTAAGCTCTTTTGTGTAGTGGATTGCATTTTTAGAATTTTTTTACCCCATTTTTAAAAAAGTTAATTCAAACGAAGGAAAACAGTTTCAATTTATTTTTTATTTAATTAATTTGATAAAAAAAATAAAATATAATGTAAATGCTCATTAATTAAGGTATTCCCTAAGTATCTTTTTTGCCCAAAAAAAAGTGCCCCATTTAGTCATTTGTATATATATATTTTTAAAACTTGGAATTAATATAATTGGAAATTAGAGTAAATAAATAAATAATATTTGTTAATTTAAAACTAAAATTATTATTTTTAAAAATAAATTTTGAGTTATGTAAAAAAAATATAAAATAGATAGAAGAAAGGTAGATTTTATAAAATTAATTAAGAGTTTTAGCTATTATTTTTATAAAGAAATTTTTGTTTTTAACAAATCAATTTTTACAATTAAAATTTAAATTAGAAAAAATGTTTGGAGTTGAAAAAAATGTAAAGAAACAAAATAAAATAAAATTTTTAATTTTTTAATGAAATTAACATAGATATTTACTAAAAAGAAGAAAGATGTTTAATTCACTATGCAATTCAGGTAATTAAAAAAAAAATAAATTTAATAATATTTTTTTGAAGCAGCTAAACAGTTGACAACAATGATTTGAATAATCTTTTAACTATGTTAAAGCCATATCATAAGAAGATAGAAATATTTTTTGCGTAAAATTAATTTTAGCTATAATTTATTGTTAATTTTGTAATATAGTGAACAAATATAGTTCAAATCTTCAGCAATACAAAAATTTGGAGAAATATTAATGTCTATAAAAAATATAAATTATCTTCAACTAGTTATCAAGTAAATAATTATATGTTTATAAATTTGGTTTGATATTCATGTTATTATTTAAGAAAATGTGTATTAGAAGGATTAGAAGAGATAGAACAACTGGCTTTAGTGTTACAAAAACTACAAATTTAAGAAATAAACTTGGTTCTTTAGTAAAAAAAATATTAAACTCTTCAAAATTTAAATCAAAAATTAGATATTTAATTCTTCAAAAAGACTTTTAGATAAAATAACAACAAAGCAGTAAATTTCAACCAAATATTTTATAAGTTAAAAAAATTATGCAGAAAAACTTTTTTATAATTTGATTTAATTTTAAAATATGGTATGCATACTTATTCAAAAAAAAAATTATAAATAGAATAATTTTAAAGAGAAAAAATTATTGGTTTTTAATAATAAATTTTGTTGATAAAGATAATTTATAATTTAAATTTGATCTATTGACATACTCAAATATAAATAAATAGAATATATAAATATAATTTTTAAGAGCATTTAAAAATATTATCACAAAGAAATAAAAGTGATTGATTAATCTTTAAGATGTTTATTTAATGAAAAGATAATCGAATTTGAGATAGTAAGGTTATATTAAATTAATATAACTATTTTCTTCCAATAAAACTGTGAAGGATCTATCTTTGGATTTAAGGTAAATATTAAAAATTCTTATAAAAATGAAGCATTACTAATTATCTTTAAAAATAATCTAAGTGTAAATTCTTTAGGACCTACAGGCTGTTCTTAGGTATGTCAATATCTAAAAAACTTTGAAAATATACAAGTTCTCAGTCTTAATTTAGGGTATTTATTATTTTAAAAAATAAAATTAATCTTTAAATATTTAAAGATCAAATACAATTAAACAATCTGGAGCGATCGCTTTAGGTTAAGAGCTTTCTAAACTTTAATCTTTGAAAGAACTAAATTTGAATATATCGTAATTTATTAATTATAAATGTAAGAAATAAAATTAAATTCTTTTATAAAAGTTGCAATAGCATAGGTTAAGATGGAATAAAGTAAATGCTTAATAATATATTAAAAATTACTGCTTTACAAACCTTAGATTTAAATTTAAAGTAAGTTTTTTATAACTTCCATAAAAAGATTAAATTCTATTTAATTTAATTTAACAAAAGTTAAAATTTCTTATCTGATTTTGGAGCTAAGCAGATAGGTGTTGAATTATTTGCTTCTAAATTATAAAAAGTGTCTCTAGATTTAATGTAAGTATTTTTATAATAAAAAAAAATAAAGTAATAAAATTGTAATATCTATTTTTATAAATAAAGGCATAATTCTTTAAGTTAATAAGGAATAATTGAATTTCTAACATAATTAAATTTTTCGTATTCCCTAATTACTATTTCGCTAAATTTAAAGTATAATAAATAATCATTTTAATAAAACAATATTAAATTTATTTATTTATTTATTTACTTATCAAAAGCGAAAATCAAATAAAAAATGACTCAATAAATGTAATACTTGAGAATCTTTCTCAATTGAAAAGAATCAAATTTCTAGAATTACTTTTTAGGTGAAACTAAATTTAATTTAGATAAAGCATAATTTAATTTCTAATTTTATAGTGTTGAAAGAAATACTGATACTGAATAGTATATATAGTTTGGTAGAGCTTTAAAATAATGCCAATACTTAAATGCTTTAAAAATAAATGTCTGTGATCAGTCGTATATTATTAAATGAATATTAACATTAATTTTATGAAAATTAAAAAAATACTTAGAAAGTTTATCTAGCATCTATAGTAAAACAATTCAATTCTAAGGTATATGCTCAAGTCCAAAAGAATGATTTAATGTTATGCTTATTCATGAATTAATGAAGAATCAAAAAAGAGTTCGAATCAATTAATTAACTAAGAAAAACAAATACTTAATATTTATTTTTGTATTTTTTGTATTAAAATATAATGTACAGTAATTTCTCTTTTATTTACATTTATTTAATTATAATTAATCCAAAAAAAATAAAACTCTCCAAATAAGTTAATGGGAATAAAGGAATTTATTGATTCCTTTAATTAATTAGGAGTTAAAGTGTATATAATATAATGAAATATTTTCATTTCCACACATAATATTTATGAATTTGTAGGTTTAAATAAATGAATGAGAGGTTGATAGATTAATAAAATATAAAAAATTGAATTTATATAAAAGAAATTCAAAAAATAAACAAATTAAGAATAATTCTACTAAAAAAATAAGTTTAAAATTATTCATTTAAAAATCAATAAATACTAAATTTTATTTTTATCAATCTAACTCAAGAAGGTTTTTTAAAATAAAATAACAATTTAATTTTAATGTTAGATATATGATATAAAATTAGTTTCTGTAATTCATTCAGTTTTCTTTTCCTATGTATACTATTAAAGCACTGATTAAACTTGATCATATTTAAAAATAGGAAGATAAAGCAATTATTAAACTTTTTACATCATCAATTCAATATCGTCTTTTAATTCTTCATCAAATTATTTACTAATTTTTTCCTTTTTATCTGTAAAGAGTGAAGAAACGGTATTTAAAAATACGTCTTATAATCTAACAACTTCATTTTATTAATTAAATAAACAAAATTATTGCTTTTAAGGATCTTCAAAATCAGTAGATTAAATATTTATTTTTTGCAATTTATTTTTCATAAACTAATCATCATCGAGTATTTGATATAATTATGAATTTTCAAGGGCATTATTTTGACCAATCAATCTAATCTCTGGTTCAATATCTATTTTATTATTTTCATAATCATTATAATAACACCACTAATACAAACAATTTTAATCAAACTAATCCATATCAAAACTTAAAACTATCTTATATTGATGAGAAACTGTTTCTTGTTAGTTTTATTATTATTTATATTTCATAATTAAAACAAAATCTTAATCAAATTAATTTCTATTGTAGTGATTTTTTTGTTTTTCCTTTTATTTTATTTCATAAAGCTAATCAAGTTCAAATTTAATCAACTCCAATATTGCATGATTACAAATTAAAATCTCAAAGAAATAAATATGAATTTAATTATTATTAATCAATATTTTTATAAATTACTTGAAATCGAAGTAAGAAATCTTGTTATCTTTTAAATTTAATTTGATAATTTTCTCTTATTTATTGGTTTTATGTAATATATCATTCATAGTTATTAGAGATTATTTTGTTAGATTGCACTACTAAAAATTTAATATTATTTGTTTGTGATGAAAAGTATTTAAAATATTATCAAATAAACAATGAAAGCCATCATCTCCAACATTTATTTCATTAAAGCAAAATTACAGAATAAAATCTTTGTTTTTAAAGTTAAAATTTGCTATTTTTTTTACTGTAAAGCAATAATTCTTACTAAAAGCTATTAAATTTTTAATAAGCTATTGATAATCTATTGAAATATATTTTTATTTGATATTTTACTCAGTTGTATCACTGTCATTTTAAATTTATTTGCTATCTAAAATATTGATTTTATATTTTAAATCTATCAAAACTTCTGAGCTTTATTCTTGGTCTATGTAATATTAAAAAATGTCATCTCTTTCTTTTAAAGTAGTATCAGTTTGAAAGCAGCTGAATAAGGATTACTCAATTTAATAAGAATCATAATCTTTAAATTAAGTAATAACCTATTTAAAGCACGAGTAACTTTCAATGAGCATGAACTGTTAATAGTAATTCATAATGCACAAATATAAATCATAAAATTTATCTAAAATATTATGTAAATTATTATCATGGTAGTATTATATTTTCAAGTGAGGAAAACTATAAACAATATCGTCATCATCTTCATCGTTTCTATCTTCATCTTCATAGGTAAAAGCACTTTTTCCATAAGATATAACTAATTTCTAGAAATGCATTTTATTTTAAATGGAGGAAATAATTAAATCAATTTTTTCATATTCTTTGTTAATATATTCATGTTTGTTCTTCATATCGATTTTAATTATATTCTATTCTCCTATGTCTAAAAATTTATATTCATCTAGTATTTATCCTCTGTAATCCTAATGTTTTCCTAGCATAAATTGCATATTTTATAAGTCTGTTTCGTTAAGTTATAAATTTAATCTACTTGCATTATCTTTTTCCCCATTAATTTATATTTACTCTTCTTTAATATTTAATTTCATTTCATCTTACATTTTATTTTCAATGTTAGAAATTTATTTGTCAGAGATCAAAAGTCCTTTCTACATTTCTTATTCAGAGCCAAGTACACTTATGCTTAAATCAAATTCCACTTTTTTTGAGCTTTCTTAATTAGATAATTCTGGTTCAAGCAAATAATTTTAATCATTAGCATGAGAAAATAAGAACTGAATTTGATTATTTATTTTTTAAATTTCTCTTAAATAGCTTATAGCTTTTTCATCAAACTAACAATTGATTATAACAACTTCTATCAAGTTATTTTCAATTATCTGAACTAAATATTACCATATTTTTAAATTCATAAAAAGAAAATTTGAAAATTTGATGATAATTTTGCAATTATTTTAAACATAATATGCTAAATAATTTAAAATTATTAAAATATCTTCTTCCATTTCAGAACATAAACTATTTTTAACATCGAAAAGCAACTAGTAATCTTAAGAACAAACATTTTCATCGCCATTCAAATCATTTTAATTTTGATCTATTTTACATAATTTCTAATAAATGTCTTTTATCTTTTATCTACAGCAACTTGCATTTTAATTTTTATTTATATAATCTTCTTTAATTTATTTTAATTATTGCTATTTTAAAATCAATTCTTATGAGAATTCATAAAAAATCTTAAATTTAAGATTGATTGGTGAATTAGTATTTAAATTAATCATTTTAAACATCATATATAAGTGCTTTTATAAATTTGGGTATTAATAATTTACTTCAAAATTTCCTATTTCCTATTTTGCATATTTTTCATGGTAAAAATAAAAATCAATTGTTCTGGTTTAAAACTTATTTAATAATTCAATAAATTGTTATTCTAAATTGTTTTATAATTAAAAGAAACTCATTTCAAATTTTACAATTGAATCGCTTTTATTTTCTGAATTTATTTTAGTTTTAAATTCTATCTAATTTATTAAGCAAATACTTTAAACTTGTAAATATTTTAAATCCTTTTCTAGTATCTCTAAAAAATCGATCAATGCATCATCTTCACACAAGAAATTAAACTCTAAAAGACTACTCTTATTTGTTGCATATTCAATGGAAGGTAGCAAGTTTTTAAGTATTTCAATATTTTTGATATTAATGGAAATGACACCTTTTTCTTTTACTTTAAGATATTCGCACATATTATGCAAATTGTAAGATCCCAATTCGAAATAAAAATTTTAGCATATTTTCTCATGATACAATTATAGTAATTTGTATTTATTATAAATATGTTCATATTCTTTTAGTCCAATCACTGGTTTAATAATCATTTATTCTGAATTCATCTCAATTACACAATTTGATTGATCAAGCAGATATAATAATCTGATACTTTATTAATCAATTTTGTAAACTGAATAACTATTGGTTTCTTCATTGTAAACCACATCATTAGAATAAGTTAATTCCTCTCTGATAATAGCTAGGTTAAGAAAAAATGGAGAGTTTTTTACTGAATTTTCATCTCCAAAAATTTTAATATTACTATCAGCTTTATTTAAAATAGAGCTAATGAGATAGAGCACTAATTTTCTGCTATTTTGCTAACTTTTTTCATATAAAATTAAAAAAATATCATTCCATTTTTTTTCATAAAAGAAATTTTTAAGCTGGCTATCGTTGCAAAATAAAAATAAAAAAGTTATAGCAAGCTGAGTTTTATCACAAAGTTTTGCTTCTTCAGGACTGTTAAATTCTTTAATTATATATCCATCACTATTTGGATCTTTTTATATGTAGGTATTCAAATTATAATTATAACTAAAGCTGGTCAAATAATCTTAGTAGTTTTCTAACAAAACAGCACCTCCAAAATCAATGAAAAAAGGCTCATTTTCATACGAAACAACAATATTCAAAGGCTTTATATCTGAATGAGCTATACCAAGTTCATGCATTTAGTTTAGCTTATTATTAAGAACAAAAAAGTATAATTCAAAGAGATGACTGCACTTAGTTTTTTCTTTTAAAGCATATAAATTAGTTTTACCAGCTATTTGTTAAAACTATCTATTTTCATCTATTTTTGAAATAATATCTAAAGTTATTTTCTTATCTTTTAACATTTACAATATTTTGTATTCTGAGTCAAAATTTTCCGAATCAAGAAGATTTTTTTTAACAATTACAAATGATTTTAATTCACTCTTGTAAATAAGCTCTACAATGGTATTTTTATTTTATAACAATCTGCATAATTCAAATTATTATTGTTAATTGTTTTCTTCATTTTAGTTTAACTTGTTTATTTTATCATTAAACCTAGCTCTTCTTTTTTTTTTAAATACCTTCTTTAAGATTGTATTTTAAGCTTCTTCATCATTCTAAAAAAAATTAACTTAGAATATACTGTTTTCTTTTTTAATTTCTTAATCTTATTCAGGCTTTGAATCTAATTATTAGCTTTCTGTCTATACTTTTGACGTTTCCAAATCATTAATCAAAGAATCTTCTAGCAAATCAGAATTTTTGCATGTATAATCTATTTTTAGAGGTTAATAAATTTAAAACATGAAAAAATAAATTTCTTTCTAAATCTATTTTTATTTTATGTTATGAGACTTTTTTAACTTAAAAGGCTTTTTTTTATGAAATTGAATTAATTAATTTTATCTTTTTAATTTAATAAAAATACTTTTTTAATTCAAATTTATATAAATATTTTAATTACTTTCAATCCTAATTAATTAAGCCATACTCCTACCTCCTTCCCTTCCCCTTAAATTTTTTGTTGAATGTTTCCAATATATAAGTTTAATATAAAGTTAATCAACAGTAATTAAGTAATTAGAGTGTATTTTATTTAATTGAAATTTGTATTAAAGACAAAATTATTATTTTTATTAAATTAGTAATATCTATATAATACTAAACAATTTACTTCAAGGAAAGTAATAATTTAGAAAATTTGTATTAGATAGATTTATAAATTGTTTTTTTATTAGAATAATAATAAATTAATTATTAAAAAATTTAGCTTTATTTCATAATATAGATCACACATATCAATTTCAATTTTCAATTAGAATATTTAAGTTTTACTAAGAAATATGTTTTGCAATTTTATTTATAATTGATAATTAATTATTTTCAAAGATTTAAACCACTTTCTTTGTATTAATAACTATTTTATCAGCTATAGCAATTCTTTTAAATACTATCTAAATAATTATCAAAGAAAATAAATTCTTTGATATTAAGTAGAAGTTTAGGGTTTAAGAAGATTACTGCATTAGTTGCATAATAAATATAAAATAATATATCCTATTTTAGAGTAATTTTACTAAAATTAAGGTTATCTCACTTTAAGATTGAAAGAAACAGATAGAATTTCTAGAATCTTTCATAGAAATAGGCATTTATATTTTCATAATAATAACAATAGTTTAGTATTATGAAAAATTTACTATAAAATAGAAGCTAAAAGTAAACCATATAAGTTAAAGAAAAGGAAGGAAAGCCCAAAATATTTTTAAGTGAATGTAATTCAATAAATATAGAAAAGACAATTTAGTCAAAGATTAATAAAACTTATAGTAATGGCATTCATAACAAGTATTAATGTTAAAATTAATAAATATATGAATCATTCTTTTAGCAAAATGAATTTTAGGGAGATTAATAAGAAAATGCAATAATTTAGAGCGAAGAGATAAAAAATAGTCAAAATGTTTAATTACAATTTTCAGACAACAATATTTAAACCTATACACATTAAGAATAAAATTATTTTTAAAAAAAATAATATATCAATACACATTAACAAGAAAATATTAAATCAGAAATATTTGGCAATTTATAAAGCTTTTATGAAGAAAATAAAAATATACATACTTTGCAAATAAAATATCAAAATTCTTTAGATAAATATATTAATTTATATGATAAAGAACAAACGAATTAAGATTTGACTATTAAAAGAAGAGATTTAACTAAAAAACTAACATAAAAAACAATTTAAAGCTAAAATAGCTTTAATCCTAGTTATCATGATATATAATAATAATCTGTAAAATATTCAGGAGATTATTAGGAATAACCATCAAATATGTTAATTACTAACTAGTATACGAATTTTATGAATAACCAATCATAAAATTAATAACTTTAGATTGAATAAAAATTAAAATAAAAAGGTTATCGCTAGGGTTAACTTATAGCAAAAGGTAGTTTTGGAAAAGTTTATGATGGAAAAATAATTGCATAAGATGAGAATCAAGAAAAAGAATGTGTCTTTAAAGTATTATTTTATTAAAACGACAAGTAGTTATAGGATATAGAGTAAGAAGTTTAAATTATGAAAAAATTTGAGAAAAATATTAATTTTTTATAGATTATTGACGATTTCAAAATAGATGAAGGTATATTTGTTATTGTTATCGAAAAATGCAAATATACTCTTCAACAATAATTAAAAGATTTATAATAAGGTGGATTCAAATTTTTATTGCTTCTTTAAATTATATTTAACCTTCTTGATGGATTGATTTTACTCAAAGCACATAAGATTCTTCATTGTGATATTAAGCCTACAAATATCTTAGTCAAACAGGAAGGGATTCATGTTTATTGTGATTTTGGTATATCTGTAACAATAAATGAATCTGAAAATGGAGTTGATTTTAAAGGATATACTGAATATTATGCGCCTAAAGAATAACTAAAAAATGATAAATAAAAGGCTGGGAATTGGACAGACATATTTTCTCTAGGAAGGACATTTCAAGAAGTACTTAAAGTATACTAATAGATAAATGGGTAGGAGATAAAAGAATTTAATGAATTCGTTAATTAGATGACTGAAGATGATATAAATAAAAGACCTGATTGCTTAAAGATTCATGAAATGTTTTTTAAATATGTTTTAAATTTAAAAGAAAATTTTATAGATAAATTCGAATTTTATAAGCTGTACACAAACAAAATATAACAATTGTTGCTTTTATTTGCTTATGATGAAAATATAGATAGATAATTCTACTCTGATGTTTAAATTTATTACAATAAACTGTTACTTACCTTTTACCAAAATATTCATGACACAAATTAGCCTTACGATCAACCAGAACTAGCAACCTTATTGTACAACCTTGGAAATTGTTATTTTAAATAAAGAAAGCGCAAAGAAGCATTATAATACTTTGAATAGTCACTTGAAATAAGGGAAAGGCTATTTAAATATGATCACATTGATACAGCTAACACTTTATTCAAAATAAGTTATTGCTAATTTGTAAATAATGAGATTAAATTAGCTTACGATTTTTCATATAGAGCTTTGATCATGAGATTAAAACTCTTTAAAAACAGTAATCACCCTGACATCGCTGATTCTCTTAATGATTTAGGATTGCGCTGTTAAAATTTAGGGGATAATAAAAAAGCGATGGATCTTATTTAAAAAGCTATAGATATGTTAGAAGCAATCAACCAAAATAATAATGAAAAATTAGCAATTTATTACAACAGTCTTGCAGTTATTTAACAAAATAATGGAGAATATCTAAAAGCAAAAATTAATCTTGAAAAAGCTAATGAAGTTCTAGAAAAATTTGAAAAAAAAAATATTCCTTATTAGTCACTCATAATTTAAAACATTGGCAACTTAAATAATTTTTTAGGAGATTACTAGAAAGCTGAAAAATATTTATTAAAATCTCTTAATCTAAGAAAAGAAATATTTAAAGAAGACCATTAAGATATTGCTACAAATATGAATTACATTGGTGATAGCTACTTAGGTTTAGGAGATTACTAAAAAGCTTTAGAATTCTATTTAAAATCTCTAAGGATAAGATAGAAAATATTAAATAAAAACCATAACTCAATTGCAACTTCTCTTAACAGTGTTGGAAACTGTTATCTGAAGTTAAAAAACTACAAATAAGCATAGAAAAATTTATTTTAGTCTCTAAATATGAGATAAAATTGTAAAGAAATAAACCCTCTTCACATTGCAATTTCTCTCAATTAAATTGGAGAGTTTTACTATGAACTTAAAGATTATAAAATTGCACTAGAATATTATCAAGAATCTCTTGCTATTGCTAAAAGAGCACTCAGATAAAATCATCCTCACTTTGCAAAGTATTTTTATAATTTAGCCCTTTGCTACTAATAGCTAGGATATGATTTTAAATCTTAGCTTTACTTTCTATTTTCTTATGAAATAAAAAATTAAGCTAATTAATTCATATTAGAAAAAGAATTAAAAATGTCTCCTTATTTATAATTCTATTTGAAATTCTTGCAGTACACAAAAAAATACAAAAAAAAATTTGAAATAAATTGAAATTTTCTAATTAAACAAAAATATTTATTTATTACATTAACTTTATTAACTAATTAAAAATAGCTTATTTATCAACAATATATATATATATCTAAAGAGTCTCATAAAACTTTAATTTTATTCAAAATATATTTTTGGTATGATATAAAGGATATTGAGAATGTGAACTCATTTTAAGAAAATCCAATTTGATCAAATTTACACGTATTTCTTTAAATTTTTATAAAAAAATATTAAAATTATTTTTATGGAATTAGTATTATATATATCTTTTAAATACTAAACAAATTTTACTTCAAAGTAAGAATTTAGAAAACTTTTGTTAGATTTATAAATCTTAATTCTATTTGAATATTAATAGTGCAATTATAAAAAAATATAGCTTTCATTCAATTGTTTTGTTTTAATTCATAAATATATATAAATCAATCTTTAATTAGAATATTTAAGTTTAGATTTACTAAAGAATTAGATTAGATAATTATAATGAATCATTTATTATTTTTATTATAATATATAAATTGATTTCTTTCAATTAATAGCTATTTTTTATCAATTATAGCAACTTTTTAAAATATTATCTAAATAACTAAATAATTATAAAAGAAATAAGTCCTTTGATATTTAGTAGAAGTTTAGGGTTTAAGAAGATAATAGTATTAGTTACATAATAAATATAAAATAGCGTATAAAATTTTAGAGTTCTTTTTCTAAATTTAAGGTTATCTCACTTTAAGATTTAAAGAAGCAGATAAAAAATTTAGAATCTTTCATAAAAGCCAACATTTTTATTTTCATAATAATAACTTTATCTTGCTTTATGAACAATTTACTAGTAAATAGAAGCTAAAAGTAAGCTATATAATCAAAAGAAAAGGAAGGAAAGTCCAAAATATTTTAAAGGTAATGTAATTCAATAAATCTAGAGAAGACAATTTAGTCAAAGGCTAATCAAACTTAAATTAGTGACATTCATAATGAGTTTTAATGTGAAAATTAACAAATAGATACATCATTCTTTTAGCAAAATGAATTTTAGGGAGATTAATAAGAAAATGCAATAATTTAGAGCGAAGTAACTAAAAAAAGTCAAAATATTTAATTACAATTTTCAGATGACAATAAAACCTAAACACATTAAGAATAGAATTATTATTAAACAAAATAATATATCAACATATAATAACCATGTAATTTTATTTAAACATAAGTATTTGACAATTTATAAAGCTTTTATGAAGGAAATGAAAGTATACATACTTTTTTAGAAGATAATAATTATCTAAATAAGTTTAATAATTTAGGTGATGAATAATAAACTAATTAAGATTTGACAATTAAAAAAAGAGATTTAGTTAAAAAACTACTATAAAAAACGATTTAAAGTTAAAATAGCTTTAATTCTAATTATCATGATATATAATAATAATCTGTAAAATATTCAGGAGATTATTTGGAATAACCATCAAATATTTTAATTACTAACTAGTATACAAATTTTATGAATAACTAATCATAAAATTAATAAATTGATATTGAATAAAAATTAAAATATAAAGGCTATCGCATAGGTTAATTTATAGCAAAAGGTACTTTTGGATAAGTTTATGATGGAAAAATAATTGCATAAAATGAGAAGCAAGAAAAAGAATGTGTCTTTAAAGTATTAATTCATTAAAACGATAAGTAGTCATAGGATATAGAGTAAGAAGTTTAAATTATGAAAAAATTTGAAAAAAATATTAATTTTTTATAGATTATCGATCATTTGAAAATAGATATAGGTATAGATGTTATTGTTATAGAAAAATGCAAGTACACTCTTCAGCAATAATTAAAAGATTTATAATAAGGTGGATTCACATTTTTATTGCTTCTTTAAATTATATTTAACCTTCTTGATGGATTGATTTTACTCAAAGCACATAAGATTCTTCACAGTGATATTAAGCCTGCAAATATCTTAGTCAAACAGGAAGGGATTCATGTTTATGCTGATTTTGGTATATCTGTAGCAATAAATGAATCTGAAAATGAAGTCAAAATAAAAGGATATACTAAAAACTATGCACCTAAGGAATTAATATTAAATAATAACTAAAAGGCTGGGAATTGGTCAGACACATTTTCTCTAGGCAAAACATTTCAAGAAGTACTTCAAGTATACTAATAGATAAATGGGTAGGAGATAAAAGAATTTAATGAATTCGTTAATTAGATGACTGAAGATGATATAAATAAAAGACCAGATTGCTTAAAGATTCATGAAATGTTTTTTAGCTATGTTTTAAATTTAAAAGAAAATTTTAAAGATAAATACGAATTTTATAAGCTGTACACAAACAAAATATAACAATTGTTACTTTTATTTGCTTTTGATGAAAATAAAGATAGATAGTTCTACTCTGATGTTTAGATATATTACAATAAACTGTTACTTACCTTTTACTTAAATATGGATGACACAAATTAGCCTTGCAATCGACCAGGACTAGCAACCTTATATTATAACCTTGGAAATTGTTATTTTGAATAAAGAAAACCCAAAGAAGCATTAAAATATTTTTAATTTTCTCTTAAAATAAGGAAAAAAATATTTAAATATGATCATATTGATATTGCTAACACTTTAGTAAAAATAGCTAAATGCTAATTTGCAAATAATAACAATCAAAAAGCTTTAAATTTTTCATAAAGAGCTTTGATTATGAGATAAAAACTTTTTAAAAATAGCAATCACCCTTACATCGCTGATTCTCTTAATGATTTAGGGTTGCGCTATTAAAATTTAGGGGACAATAAAAAAGCGAGAGATAATATTTAAAAATCTGTAAATATGTCAGAATCAATCCATCAAAGTGATAATGAAAATACAGCAATTTATCTCAACAGTCTTGCAATTATTTAATAAAATAATGGAGAATATCAAATAGCAAAAAATAATCTTGAAAGAGCTAATGAAATGCTAGTAAAATTGGGGAAAAAAAAACTTCCTTTTTTCTCACTCATAATTTAAAACATTGGAAACTTATATAATTTTTTAGGAGATTACTAGAAAGCCGAAAAATATTTATCAGATTCTCTTGATCTAAGAAAATAAATATTTAAAGAAGACCATTAAGATATTGCTACAAATATGAATTACATTGGTGATAGCTACTTAGGTTTAGGAGATTACTAAAAAGCTTTAGAATTCTATTTGAAATCTCTAAGGATAAGATAGAAATTATTTAATGAAAACCATAACTCTATTGCAACTTCTCTTAATAGTGTTGGAAACTGTTATCTGAAGTTAAAAAACTACAAATAAGCATAGAAAAATTTATTTTAGTCTCTAAATATGAGATAAAATTGTAAAGAAATAAACCCTCTTCATATTGCAATTTCTCTCAATTAAATTGGAGAGTTTTACTATGAACTCAAAGATTATAAAATTGCATTAGAATATTATCAAGAATCTCTTGCTGTTGCTAAAAAAGCACTCAGATAAAATCATCCTCACTTTGCAAAGTATTTTTATAATTTAGCCCTTTGCTATTAATAGCTAGGATAGGATTTTAAATCTAATTCATATTATAAAAAGAATTATAAACATCTCCTTATTTATAATTCTATTTGAAATTCTTGCAGTACACAAAAGAATACAAAAGAAAATTTGAAATAAATTGAAATGTTAAATTTAACAAAAATATTAATTTACATTTACTTTATTAACTTAATAGCTAATTTATCAACAACATATCTAAAAACCCTAAAACTTACTTTGATTTAATTAAAATCATAATTTTTTGTATATTTAATTTAGTTTATAAATATATCTTATTATATTCTTAACTATCAAGTTTATAATTTAAGTAAATACTTTGTTAGTTTTTAAGAAATAATTATTATCATATTAATTTAAAATAATACACTATCAGATGTACTAATAATCAATTATGATTTAAGTATATTAACATATATTAATAATAATTCTTTTACTTCAAGAGAAAAAAAATTTTTTTATCATATTTTATAATCAAGAAGGTAGTCATTCCTTTGAATTTATAGAGAGGTCTTATTCTACTTAATGTTTATTTATATTATATAATATATTGATAAACATATATAAAAGTAATAAAATTCAAATTATTTACAATTAATTTTATATTAAAAATTTTTAGATTGAATTTATTAGCAAATTAAAAATTTGAAAGAAAAACCTAGATAATATTTCAAAAAAAAAAAAGAAAAGGTTGAAAAATAAAATTTTTTAATTAATTATTAATTTGCTTTTTTATGATCAAAATTAAAATTTTATTCTAAGTTACTAAAATTTTTTAAAATATTTTTTTTTAACAAGCTTTGATTGCTTAATCTTTAAAATAAAAATTTGTAATAAGCAACAAAAAATAAATTAATAAACCAGGAAATTTACTCATTTTAAGAAAATAATAGTATTTAAATATTAAATAGAATAAATGTAAATTGATTTATAATAGCGTTATAGTAACTTAGAAAAGGTATGTAATAAATTAATCACTTATTATCAATTAAGAATATAAAATTTATAAAAAAAAGTTACTTTCTTCAGATTTAACTTGCTCTAATTCTCTTTAATTAGTTTTGAGGTAAAATAAACCATTAATTTTAATTTCTTTAACAACAAATTTTTTTTCCTTATTAATTACATATATTATTTTTTGATAATTAATTTTTATTTATTATAATTAGAAAAAGTGATATTTCTGAAAATTAAGTAAAACATATAGCCTAAAAAATCTCAAAATTAGTAGATATCAGAAGCTTGAAGATAGATTTATCGTAAAAATGAAAATATATTTATTATGAAATAAATTTTCTATTTTATTTTTTATCCTTATCAAAAGATATTATCAAAACTTATTATTTTTTTTTATTATTTTTAAACTAATATTTAATGAAAATAAAACTACTCTTAATAATAAGTTATTAACAAACCAAATTATCAAATAATTTATATGTCTTAAAATTTAAATTAAATATTTATTTTAATAGTGAAAATATTCTTTTAGAGGAAGCAACTAAAAGTCTATCTAAAGCAATAGGATAATGCATAAACCTATAAGAACTAGAACTTATCTTTTTGTATCAATATAACTTACTTTTTATTTATTTTAAGTTTTCTTTTTATTTTATTGATAACAATTGTTTTTACTAATTAATTTTCTTTAAAAATTAATTATTTAAAGCTCAAGCGGAATTGGATAAGAAGGATTAAAAAGCATAGGATTAAATTTAAGTAATTGTTCAAAGTTAATTAGCTTAAAACTTGATTTAATGTAAAAATTATTTATTTATATTTATCTATTGATGAAAAACAAATTTGACAAGATTATTTTAAAAATATTTTTTTTTGTTGTTTAATATTAAAATTCTAAATATATTTATTTTATTATTAAAAAGAAAAAATTCAATTTATGATTAAGGAGTGATAGAGTTGGTAAATGGTCTAAGAAGCTGTTAAAGTTTAACTAATCTATCTATAGATCTATAGTATATCATAAATTATTTGTTTTACTTCCTTCATATCAATCAATATTAATTATTATCAAAAATTTTTAATCAATTTTTATTTTTGGCTATTTAGTGAAAGTAAAGAATTAAAATTCATAAATTAGAGTATATTTTAAATATTTATTAAAAGTATGAATCATGTTAGCAGTTTAGGTCTTTTAGAAATTTTAAAATTTTTAGGTTCTCATAAGAAAATTGAAATATTTACTTTAAATTTACAGTAAAACTAACTAATATTTCTTATTTTTTTTGATTATCTTAATTTTCCTTCTTTTACTTTTTAAATATTTTTTTGATTTTTAAATTAATTTATTTATATACTTTAATAACTTTAAAAATTTAACTAATTATGATACAAAGTTATAATAACTTAGGAGATGAAGAAAAAGCTAATTAATTTGTTTAAACTGGTGAATCAATGTGCTGTTCAAACCTTAAAACAATGAATCTTTATTTAAGGTAAATATTAATCTTTTCATTATAATTAACTTGTTTTTTTCTAAAATTATGTCAAAAATATAAACAAAGAAAACTTCAATTTTAAAAGTGAATTTTGAGATATATTTAAACAAAGATATTTTAAATTTAAAAATACGTTCAAAAGAACTTAAAAAATTTATTTATTTATATATTTTTTTAAAGGAACTATACTTTATTAAATATTTATTTCATTTATTATAGTCGAAGCTATTTTGGAATAATTGCCATAGCTTATATAGCTTCATTTATAGGAAGCTAAATAAATTTAACGAATCTTCATTTTGAAATAATGTAAACTATTATTGATTTTCAATTTTCAATTTCATTTCAAAATAATATTACTAACAGAGGTAGCAAAATATTAGATTAACACAAACTTATTCTTGCTAAAAGTTTAAAAAATTGCTAAAAACTAGTATATCTCTATTTGGATCTATCGCCGTAAATATTTGTTTATTTATTTAAATTATAATCTTTTTATTTTCTTGCTGATGATAACTAAATTGATATAAATTACATAACTAAAGTTTTCAATAAATAAAAAACATATATTAAAATAAATACAAAAATAACAATTCAAAAATCATATAAATTAGATCTTGGTACTCACATTAATCTTTTGAAGGGGAAAAATTATTCAAATTAGTTAATAAAATGAAGAGATTGGTTTAGAAAAAAGTAGTTTTTTGAATCAGAATATTAAAATATTAGTAAATTAATTATAAATTTACAATAAACTAATTACAAGCAAATATTTATTTAAATAAAACATATGTATTCTATATATACTGTAAATCAACATTATAACAATTTGCTTTTTTAAAAATATTTTGTCATTCGTAATAAAAGAAAATTTCCTCCAATTTACTTTTTTCAGGGGGAATTTTCTTCTCAATAAGAAATCTTATGCTAAATAAATTATTTAAATAACCTTTTAAATGTTTCTTCTTTATTTAACTTTATTTAAAAAACAAGGTTTTTAAGTGTTTATTGAGATCAAATTTATCTTTTTTTAATTGAAAATAAAAACTTATTATGAAAAAAACATTGTTAAATGTATAAAAAAATGCTATCATAATTATGAACAAACAACAAGATATTTTAATTTATAAAATAAATTTATTGTTTTTAATATTTTAGGATTAATCAAATTATTTTTATTATTATTAGGATTATCACTTAGTCCTATTTTTAAAGTATTAATTTTCTTACCATTTTATTTAAGCTAGTTGAATAGCAATGAGATAAATTTGTTAGGTGTGCAAATTTAAAACTCAATTAGCTACTGTTTATTTCTAAGAACAAAAAAATCAATATTTTCTATTAATTCTTTTTAAATTGTTTAACATTAAGGTCTATCAATGTTGTATGAAATTTTTGTTAAATTTGGTAAATCTTTAGTTAAATTATTCATAATTCTAATATTTTTGTAGAAAATACAAGTATTATTAATTATTTCTCCTATTTCTTTAGAAAGAATTTCATCATAGTATCTTAAGATGATTGTGAAATATAAATCTTTTCTGCCCATTTAATTTTAAGAAGAGCACTTACAATCCTAATCTTATTTAGAAAACCAATTTACTATTACTTTAGTAGACATTTATAAAATTTTAATGGAATTAACTGAGTCGAAAATGATTTATTTTATATATTCTATTTTTTAATTGCTAAAGCCACTAGCATATAAATGGAAGAAATTATCAATTAAAAGTTGTTTGAGATATTCTTATTATTATTCATTGCTTTCTTTTTAATAAATTTAAGAGATAGATTGATTTACTTTTTCAAATAAATTAATACTCATTTGTGACCAAAATTCAATATTTTTATTTTCCTTTAAAAATTATACCACATCATTCATCTAAAACACATTCAATGAACTTGATATGCAATATCTATTCAGATTTTTTTCTGAAAAAGTAAAAGTAAAACTCTTCATTTTATCATTCATTTATTTTAGTTTTACAGCAAAATCAAAGAATTAATTTAATTCATGCAATATTTTTTAACAATTTAATTATTCATTTTTCTAAAAATAATCAAAATAGCATTCAATTAACTAAACTAATTTGTTGGAATTAATTTAATTTTTAGTTAAAGTATTCCCGTTTTCAAATTAATCTAATTGAAAGAGTCTGAAAAGGATTGAACTTTTATTTAAATATTCAAGTATAATTTGTTAATATAATTAACATAAAGTCTAAATCTATGAATGATTTTCAACTTAATTACATTTAGGCAAATCTTTTACTATAATTGAAGCTCTTTCAGTAAGCTTTAAGTTTTCAGGGAGAATATTCATTTGAATTAAATGCTTAGAATAATTTAACAATTACTAAATTACTTTTAAATAAAATTCTATCTTAGCTTGTTCTTACAAAAAGTCAGTATATTATTAAACATATTAATTTTCATTTGGATTAACTATTAAACTATGTAAAGCAATATTTTCGTCATCAATATTATATATATTCTCCTCTAATTCTTTTATTATGTAAAATCCTTATTAATTATTCACTAAAATATAGCTTTTGATCACTGATTCCATTTAAAAGCTTCTCAGCATATTTTTAAAAAAATTAATTTCTTCATATTTTTTTTGTGCTTCTTCTTTACTTTGGAAACTTTCGATAATCAATTAGTATTTTTAAGGGCCTTCAATTACACTAAAAGCGAAATAACTCTGATCTTCCATGAAAATAGTTGGCTTGAAAATTACTATTTGCTATTTATCTTAGACAATTTATTTTAATATTTCTTTATGAAGTTCATAGATAATTGGTTTATATTTTTTAATCTGATTTAGTAAATCTTCTTATTTTATTTCAAAATCGAATTCTGATTATGTAAAAAGCTTAGGCCAATCCATTTTTAGATTATTATTATTATTTCTTTGGTAAACAACATAACTTTCATTGATTAGATCAGAACCAATAATGTTAATTTTAATATTAAAATATTAATTAACTTATTTTTAGAACACAAAGCAATATAATTATTATTCAAGTGAAATTTGCACTTAATTTATCAAAATTACTGGATTGAATATTCTTTTGTGGTATTCAAAGATTTTGAATAGATAATCTCTCAACTCATCATTTTAGCTTTTTATTTTAGCTTATTGTTTATTCTATTTCTTATTCTAAAATAGTTATAAAGCTATCTAATCTGTAGAATAATCAAAGAATTCATACTCGATGACATATAATAACTCTTAATCCTCCAAAAAGTAGGAATTCAAAATTTATAATACTAAATCTGTTCTAAATAAACTTCTACTTAACGTAATAATATTTATTAATTTTTTAATTCCAAAATTATTTATTTTTTCAGTAAAAACCTCAATTTTTTTTTAGATTTTTTCATTTTTATCAAAAGCAGTCATACCTACGCAATTCATAAAATTTTAGTTAGATCTAAAACTTAATAAATTACCAGAATATGGTTTTAGCAGTCTTTAATAAATAGATTCTTCAAATATTTCTAAATGAGGTCTATTTTTTTGAAGTAATCCTAAAATTTTAGAAATTTCTGATTATTTCAATTATTAACAATTCGATTTTATCATTTTTTGTTGATCTTAATTTATTATATAATTTAATGATTTGCTTTTGACTTTCTGAATTTAAATTAAGCACAGTTGCTGAACCTAAATTAAAAATATACATGGCTACAATTTAACTTAATTCTTTTGTCTTTTCTTCTTATTATTTATAGAATAAAATATTAGAATTTATTAAAAATAAATCAATAAAAATCTTTTATAATAACTTATATAGAAAAAATATTAGTTAATTGATTAACTAAAATTTTGTTTGTTGTAGACAACTCAAAATCTAAATAAAATTTTTATATCTAATTAAATTTATGACTAAATTATTCCTATTGAATTCTTATAAAGAAGTACCGTGTGTGCTCTTGAATAAGGATTATAGTATAAATAATAGATTTAAAAATTTCAATCTTTAAGGTTTTAAAATTTTGGCAAAATATTATTTTAAATTAACTCATTGGAAAATGAAGAGTATGGTTGAAGGGATGGATGACATATAATTGAATAAATTTATAGCAAAAAAATCTTTTATTATTTATTACATCAAAAAATTAAAACTTAATTTATATTGATTTCTGATGAAATTTAACACAATTTCCCTTTCAAAAATTAAAAATGTTGAGTGTATGTCTGTCTGTCTACATTAAACTATTTAATAAAATTCTATATTAAAATGATTGCTTTTTTATGTGATCAAAGTATTTGAATCGTTTATTTTTATTTGACTAACTGACTCACTAATTTATTGGAATATCTAAGATTTATTTTGCTTAGATATTTTTATTTGGCTTATTGACTATATTAGTTGGCTATTCATTTATTTATTAAGATTGATTTTATAATTTGTAAGAATTCAAATGTATTTATTTAAAGCTAAATTTAAAATAAAGATTTTTGTTGTCTACATCAAATTTAATAATTAATTAATTAATTAATAAATAATAAATTCTGAATATTTATTTTTTGTCTACATCAATTATTTATTTTAAAAATTTATTACTTATTTTTCAATAAATTTTATTTACCAATTCAATTTTGATTTGTTTTTTCTAGATTAATAGATTTTTTAAACAAATAAAATAATTTATTCATATTAATTAATATATTTCTTAAATTTATGATAAAATATAAGCAACAACAATAAACATTAAATATTATAAAAATAAATAAGATACCATGATTAAATCAATAAAAATTACAAAAGGATAATTTTTTAATATAAAAGAAATTCAGTTGTTAGTTAGTTGTCTCCTACAAGAAGAATTTAATTAATTTTATATATAAGATTTTTGTTTTTTTTATTTCAAATCAATTCTGATATTTATTTCTATATAAACTAAAATATAAAAAAATTAATTTAGGCAAAAATCCTTTAAGATCGATGGATTTGGCGATAATTTAATATTGAAATGTAGTAATTGACACTTTAAAATTTATAATCAAATTAATGAAAAAAAAATAATAAAATTAAAAGTATAAATAAAAATGATAGAAATTGGCGGCTCAAGATATTTAACATAGATTTAAATTTTTAAAATCTTTGGATTGCTTTAAAAGAATAGACCTCATTTAGAAATATTTAAAGATGATATATATTAAAGGCTATTCGAATTTAGTATTAACAACAATTCAAATAATGTAAAGAGCTTAAGTATAAGTGCTTTTGATAGAAATGAAAATATTTAAAAAAAAATAGAGGTCTTTACTGAAAAATCAAATAATCATTGCTTAAAAAAGCTAATAAACATTATTAAATTATCCAAAAATTTATTTAGATCAGATTTTGTTTTATAAATTTTGAATTCCTACTTTTTGGATGATGAATAATTATTTTATGCCATAGAATACGAGTTTTTTGATTATTCAACTGATTAGATAAACCAAATATCTTAATAAAATACTCCCACAATAAACTAAAATATTTAATTGAGGGATTATCTATATAAAATATTTGAGAATCACGTACAAATTATCAATCCAACCATGTAGACAAGTCATGTATAATATTGGTTTGAAAAATAGGCTTACAGTTTTGTCTTCTAAAAACAACCAAATTAACATTTTAAAGTAAAAATAAACATAATTGGTTTTGATTTACTTGATGAAAATTACTTTGTGAGCTCAAAGATAAATAAAAATCAAATTATGGATTGGCCAATATATTTTTAAAAATAAGAACTTGACTTTGAAATAAAACAAGAAAATTTACTCAACGAAATTAAAAAATATAAACCAATTATCTATGAATAGCATAAAGAAATATTTTAGTAAATTATCTAAGAAAAAAAGCAAATAACAATATTTAAACCAACTATTTTCATGGAAGATTAGAGTTATTTTGCTTTTATCGTAAGCGAGGGTGATGAGAAATATCAATTAGTTGTTGAATACTATCAAAATGAATAAGAAGCTTAATTAAACTATGAAAAAATTAACTAATAAATAAATTTGTTGAGCAATTTTTAAATCGAATCAGCCATCAAGAAACTTATTTTAATTCATAATAAATAAGGAATTTACATAGTAAAATATTTAAATGATTAAATTTATAATTTTGATTATTAAGATTTTCAATTACTCAGTGAATTTATTCACAAACCAATTTTGACCTAAGATGATTAGTTTGAAGTTAACTTTCAATAAGAGCAAAATAAAGTTGAATTTTATTTAAAATTAATTAAGAAATTACTAAATTATTCCAAAGATCTAATTGAAATTGGAATTCACCCAACAAATGTAAAGCTAACTGAAACTACCTCAATTATAGTTAAGGATGCTTACGAGTCTTCTAAGTTTAATAATAACCCTTAATCATATTAAATAATGAGTGAGCTCTATTCATAATTAATCATTGAATACTTACATAAAAGTAAAATTTGTTAAATGTACTTTTAAAAAGACAAATTTTAATTACCGAAATTTAGATAAAAATAAAATTAATCTAACAACTTAACTAAATTAATTGAAACTTATTATTAGAATTTGAAAAATAATGAAACAGAAAATAGTTAATAAATATTAAATAAATTAAACTAGTTCTTTGATTTAGCACTGAAGATAAAACAAATGAATGGTAAATTGAAAAATTTAACATTTACTTTATCAGAAAAGAACATAGGTAATTATTGCCTATAAAATTCTTTTAATTTGTTTAAAATTATGGATGTGATATAATTTTTGAAAGAAAACTAAAACATTGAATTTTGTTAACAAACTATCTTAAATTTAATGGAAAAAATGTTTTGTTCTATTTAACCAGTTTTTTAATCACAGGGAAATGAAATTTCTGAGATGGTAAGACAACTTTTATTTGATAAATTTTTCCATCTAAATGAAAATGGCTTGAGTATTTAAAAAATAGAGTGTATTAAATAAATAGTTTTTGAATAAACAAAAGACATCAACTTATAATATTTAAACCAACTGGAAAACGTAAGTCAGTCTTCCAGAATTTGTTTAGATTGTGCTGATAACCTTTAAAGTTGGATAGGGAGAAAAGATTAGCTTGTTTAAATAATTGAAAGATACTATGATGAAATTCTTTCAAAAGAAATAGGAGAAGTATTCAATAATAATGCATGTATTTGCTATAAAAATGTTAAAATTCAAAATTATTTGACTAGAATTTTACCAAACTTAAAGAAAATCGAATATTGCATCACCAAAAATTACACATGTTAAACAATTTAAAAAGAGTTAATTTAATAAGTTGATTTTTTCGATCTTAAAAATAAGAAATAAGTGGTTGAAATTTAAATTTACATGCATGAAAAGTAGGTTTCAATGCTATTCAACTAGCTTAAAAATAATGGTTAAAATATAAATACATTAAGACTAGGATTTTGCAAAGATTTATATGATTTCTAAAATCCACCTAAACAATATTTATTTTATAAATTAAAATATCTTGTAACTTATTAATAATTATGATTTATTACATTCTTTTTATCTTGTTTTAACTCCTAAAATAAATAAATAAATAAATTAGGGATAACCGAATATTCTGTCAAATATATAATTTTATTTATCTGGTATTTGGTATTTTTTTCAATAAAAATTTTATAACATTTCATAATTTGGTCAAATAATTAACATTTTTACAAACTCCGCTGATTAAATATATCCAATCAGCGGAATTTTAAAACCAGGAACAGCTATATATTTAAATTTATAATTTTATTTATGTTATCAAAATATTTGATAAATTAATATTAAATAACTAATTTATTGATGTAAATAAGATTTATTTTCCTTAAACATTTTTATTTGGATTATTAGTTATTTTAGCTATTCATTCATCTATTTATTCATATTGACTAAATTTTTATAATTTGTAAGAAATTAAAAGTATTTAATTTAATTTAAAGTTGTTTACTCCAAATTAATTTATAATAAATAGTTCAGATTTTCTGTCTACATCAATTATTTTAAAAGTAACAATTTACTCTTTACTAATAAATTTTTTTATCAATTAAATCTTTATTTTTTCATCCATTAATTAATTTTTTTAAACCATCAAATAATTTTTAAAATATTTCTTAAAATTAAGATAAAATATTAACAACCACACTAATTATTTGAAAAAATAAGATAACATAATTAAATTAATAGGAATTAGCTGATAAATTAAAAAGACATTCAATTGTAAATTATCTGCTACAAAAATCTATTATTGGTTATATAAGCTATCCATTAATTTGGACTGACTAATGTTTTATAATTTATAAGAATTTAAAAGTATTTACTTAAATTAAAATTTAAGTTTGTCTGTCTATCTGTCTACTTCAAATTAATTTATAATAAATATTGCAGATTTTCTGTCTACATCAATTATTTTAAATATTAATAATTTTTCTTTACTAATAAATTTTGTTTATCAATTAATAATTCTTTATTTGTTTTCCTACATTAATTGATGTGTTTAAACCATCAAATAATTTTTATTAAATATTTCTTAAAAATAAGATAAAATATTAACAACAACAAAGACTCTAAATTTTGAAAAAATGTATCATAATTAAATCAATAGGAATTAATAGATAAATTAAGTAAGATAAAAAGATATTTGATTGTAAATAAATCATCTCCTAGAAAAATCTAATTAATTTTAATATAAAAGATTTTTTGAATTTTTCAAATCAATTCTGATATTTATTTCTATGAAAACTTTTATACAATAAAAAATTAGATTAAGCAAAAATTCTTTTATATAAAATGGATTGGATTGGATTTGATGATAATTTGCTATTCAAAAGTAAGTAATTTGATTGATTGACACTTTGAAATTAATTAATAATCAAATTAAAGAGAAAAAATAAATTAGATAAAAAGTATAAAAAGTATAAAAAGAAATGATATAGTTTGGCTCGAAATAATAGACATAACCTTAAATTGAAAATATCTTTGAGATGCTAAAAAAAAATAAACTAACCCATTTAGAAATATTTAAAGATACTATTTAATCAAAGCAAATTTACCTTAATTTTAAAAAATTAGAGTGCTTAACTATGGCGGTTTTTGATAAAAATGAAAATATTAAAAAAAAAATAGAGATTTTTGTTAATGAAATGTCAAATAATATTTGCATAGAAAAACTAATAAAAGTTACTAAATTAATCAAGAACTTTTTTAGAACAGATTTTGTTTTATAAATGATTAATTCCTACTTTTTAGATGATGAAAAATTATTTTATGTTATAGAATACGAATTTTTTGATTATTCAACTGATTAAATAAATAAAATATCTTAATAAAAAATTCCCACTATAAACTAAAATACTTAATTGAAGGATTATTTATATAAAATATTTGAACATCACATATAAATGATCAATCCAGCCATGTAGAAAATTCATGTTTAATATTGGTTTGAAAAATAGGATTACTGTTTTGTCTTCTAAAAATAGCCAAATTAGCATTTTAAAGTAAAAATAAAGTTATTTGGTTCGTATTTACTTGATGAAATTTTTTTTGTCAACTAAAATATAAATAAAAATCAAATGATGGACTGGCCAATATATTTTTAAAAGCAAGAACTTGACTTTGAAATAAAACAAGAAAATTTACTCAACGAAATTAAAAAATATTAACCAATTATCTATGAATAGCATAGAGAAATATTTTAGTAAATTATCTAAGAAAAAAAGCAAATAACAATATTTAAACCAACTATTTTCATGGAAGATTAGAGTTATTTTGCTTTTAGCGTAAGCGAAGGTGATGAGAAATATTAATTGGTTGTTGAAAAATATTAAAGTGAATAAGAAGCTTAATTAAACTATGAAAAAATTAACTAATTAATAAATTTGTTGAGCAATTTTTAAATAGAATCAGCTATTAAGAAATGTGTATTAATTCATAACAAATAAGGAATTTACATTGTTAAATAATAAAATGATAAAATTTATAATTTAGATTATAATATTGTCCATGAATTGATTAAATCTACTTTCATACCAATTTTTACCTAAGATGATTAGTTGAAAGCTATCTTTCTATAATAACAAAATAGATTTGAATTTCATTTAAAATTAATTAAGCAATTGCTAAATTATTCTAAAGACCTAATACAAATCGGCATTCCCCCTTAAAATTTAAAGCTAACTGAAATAACATCGATAATAATTGAGGATAATAATTACGAGCCTTCTTAGTTTAATGATGATCCTTAATCTTACTAGATAATGTGTGAGCTCTATTCAAAATTAGTCCTTGAATGCTTGAATAAAAGTGAAATTTGTCAGAGAAATATACAATTTGATTAACATTTTAATGGAAAAAATTTTAACTAAAAATAAATTTAATCTAATAACTTAACTAAATTAATTGAAAATTATTATTAGAATTTGAAAAACAATGAAACAGAAAGTAGTTAATAAATATTAAATAAATTAAATTAATTCTTTGATTTAGCGTTAAAAATAAAATAAATGAATGATAAATTGAAAACACATACTTTTCTTCTATCTGAAAAGAATATAGGCGAATATTGCTTATTAAATTCATTTAATTTGTTTAAAATTATGGATGTGATATAATTTTTGAAAGAAAATTAAAATATTGAATTTTGTTCACAAATTTAATTTAATTTAAAGGAATAATTGTTTAAATCTATTTAGCCAATTTTTTAATATCAAGGAAATTAAATTTCTGAGAAGATAAGATAACTTTTAATCGATAACCTTTTCCATTTGCATGAAAATTGCTTTAGTTGTTAAAAAGTAGAACATATTAAATAAATAATTTTCGAATAAACAAATGACATCAACTTATAATATATAAAGTAACTACAAAATAGAAGCCCTTTTTAAATAGCTTTTTCAAATAGCCTGGATAGCTTCAGTTGCATAGACAGAAAAGATAAATTTGTTTAAATAATTGAAAGATACTTTGATGAAATTCTTTCATAAGAATTAGGAGAAATATTCAACGATACATGTTTTTGCTATAAAGATATTAAAATTCAAAATTATTTGACTAGAAATTTACCAAACTTAAAGAAAATATAATATTCCATCAGTTAATATAATACTTGTTAACTATTTTAAAAAGAGTTAGATTAATAAGTTGACTTATTTGATCTTAAAAATAAGAAATAAGTGGTTGAATTTTAAATTAACGTAGTTTAAAATGATCTTTTAATAGTATTCAACTAGCTTAAAAATAACGGCTAAAATATAAATACATTAAAATTAAAGACTAGCAATCCTTTCAATAGTGAATTTAAAGTTAATTTATTTTATAAGTTAAAATATCTTGTCTCTTATCAACACTAATGATTTCATATTGTTTTATATTTTAAAATTAATAAATAAATAAATACTTTTGATTTAAAATGTTATTTTAATGATTAAAAAATTAATTTATTTATTTATTAATATCAATTATAAAATGAGATAAAAATAAATTTCTATCTGTTTGTTTTTCCTTATTTTTTCTAATAAATATTTTAAAAGACTAAAAACTCTGTCTGCTATTACTTAATATAAACTGAAAGTTTATTATAAAAAAAATTGATTAAAATAAAATAATTATATACAATCAAAAATAAATAAATACTGTTTAATCTCTAAACCTCTTACTATGCCGATTCCAGTATTTTGTACCGAGGTATGGTATTTAATTTATAAAAATTTTAAATAAATAAATAGATAGATAGATAGATAAATTATTTATTTTTACAATTTATATGTAAAATAATGAATGTTTGTTTATTCTTATAAAATATTTAATAATTTATTTTTTCAATTTATAGTGAAAATAATATTTATCCTTATAAAATATTTAAGCATTTTTAAAAAATTATAAATTTCAATAATATAAAAATTAATTCTTTCTTGTGATTGCTTAATTTTATTTAATTTCAAATATCTTATAGATCATAAATTATTTGAGGAATATAATTTTTAGAGTAATCTTTGAAACACTTTTCAAGAGCCTTTAAAGACAGAACATATGATTGGAATTCATTTAATGGTATTTACTCAGGTTCAGATAATAAAGACATTATTATGCTGTTGGTGTTATTAAATATAAAGCCTTTAAACATCCTTGCCATTAATATTTTTGATAAAGTTAAATTTTTTGAATATGACTTAACGCTAAAAATAATATGTGAATTTATTTCCTCTTCAGCTAAAAATAAATCTTGCAGATGATAATAACATTGGATATAGAATGTGCTTGTGAAATTTATTTTTATTCCTTTTTATTTCTATATTTTATTTATGTTTTTATGAATTTTGTAATACTCTTAGCATAAATTATTATCACAGAACGCTTCTTAATTCTATTAGCTGATATCAATATAATTAAGACCATCATTTAAAGTAATTTCAATATCTTAAGTCAATTCCAAATCTACCTGAGATAATTATTAGTTAACAACTTTTAATTAACTATTATCTTTTTAAATAATTACTTTGAGGTTTAACTCCTTGTTAATAATCAAGTACAAATACATGATAAAGTAGATTGAATTAAATACTATTATTATCATATTGTTGATAGAAAATATATTTTAATTAAAATTTTTATCGCTTTTAATTTCTCTTAAAGTTTTCACTCCTGCAAAAACCATAAAAATAGTTAATCTACTTACTTAAGACAAAAAATTAGCAATCTGCATTTACTTTTATCTGTATAGAGTATCTTCAAAAACGATATTATTATGTAAAATATTCAATATTATGGATATATGAGTATACCCTGTTTAAACTTTTTTGAAGAAGTAAAGAATAAAAATATATTAAAAAGCCATGATAATAAAATTGTAATATATTAATCTTATTCCGTGTTAGTCTTCTAAGTAAGAGAACGAAATTAATGTTAAATGAAAAGTAAAGATGCCAATAAAATTTTTAGCTAATTTGTAACCAATTTATTATTTCATCCATATCGAGAAATATGATATTTATAAGAAGTAAAATATAACTTGAGCCAAGTAAAAGTAGTAAGCAAAAAATCTATAATTTAATTCTATTTCTTCATTTTAAAGCAACTTTAGGTAAAAAAAGAATATGAACTAAATAATATTTTGAATAACTCCTCTAGAAACAACAAATCTAAAAGCCATGCAGATTAAACTTGATTAGCATATATATTTAGCAAATACAGCGTAAATCCAACCTAAATTTAATAGATCAAACACTAAATAAGTTAATTTTTCTCTATCTGTCTAAATTAACCCTGAAATTATAATGATTAGTTTATCCAATGTAAACAAAACCCAGAAAGTAATTGCATAAGAAATTTCACCGCAATAGTAGAATTTAATACTTAATACGATATTTATTATATCAGAAATATACAGCAATCCTAAAAGTGCAATAAACCATATTCTAGTTTTATCTAATTCTACATAAAATTAAGCGTCCATAATTATTATTTAATCTTTACTTGTGAATAAATATTTATTAATAAATTTTTTTAAATAAATAAATAATATAAAAACTTGATTTTAATATATTGTTTGTTTTTATCCAATTGACATAGACGCAGATAATAATAATAATAATACAACTTAAGAAGCTTTCAGATTACAGATAGATTGATCAAATTAAAATAGTCAATATTTAATTAATTTTCTATTAGACTATTTAATTAAGTAAATAAGTGTCTACAATAAATATTAAAATATGTTATATTCTGTTTTGTAAAAACTTATAAAAAAAGAATATTTAGAAATTTTTTTTTTGTTACTGCTTATTAATCAAAGGATTTTTAATAAATCAAACATAATTGTTAAATTTCATGCATATACTATATATTTATTAAAATAAGTAAGTAAATAAATAAATCAGTATGTAAGTAGTTAAAATTTAACATTAAAAATGTATTTCACAAAAAATAATTAATATTGTATTATTTAGATAATCAACTAACCATTTATAAAACTTTATGATAAAAATAAATTGTGATAGCAAAATGAATTATATTTTAGAATTCAATTTTATTGAGTATTTTGTTGATCAAAGTTGATCTTCCTAAATAAAATACATTTGGCTAAGAAAGAATTAGGCTTTGTTTTTAGAATTCTGACAGATATTTAATCAATTAAAATTATAACCATTATTCCTGCAAACCAAAGAAGAATCCAAATTTGAGATTAATAAGTATTAATTTTTAGTAAATCTAAAGTTATGAAAACAGCTAAAGAAATTGCGATTACTTCAAAGAAAATGACTATAAACATTGAGCCACATCTACAATTTATAATGTGTTTAGTGCAGCATAAAAAAGCAATTATTTTTATTATCAAAGGAATTGAAAAGGTCAGCAACCAATATAATACCATTCCTATGAGGAATTCAACGATTAAATAATCATTCATTGTATTTTACTTGTCGTAATTATAACTAAAAGCTTTGAAAAAATAAATTGCAAAGCTAAAAAATTAATTATTACATGTCTGATTCTATGATTATTATCAAAGTTTTTAAAAGAATAATTACCTGCTTATGTTAGTTGATATCCATAGTATTTAATCTATGCCTTTTAATATATTTACTAGTTCGAATCGGTTTAGTTATTTTGTGTCAATTATTCATTCTAAATTATTAATTACTAAATCCTATTATTTAAAGAATTTCTATGGCTTAAACGTAATTAGTTCTACTAATTTGCTTATTAAGTATTGATTGGAGGTGATAAGCTAATTGATTATGCTTCTAAACAAAAAATTGGCTACTCTACATTCATTTGTTGACATTCTACTTTTTATGCATTTTCTAAAGCCGCATCATCTCTTGGAGCTTAGAAATTATGAGCTTATTAAATAGGATAGCCAACCATTAATTAGATTGGTGAACCATCATTCATTACATTTTAAATAATGGAGCTCTTTTTGATATTTGTTTAGGTAGAACAAACAAGATTATTTTTATATTTTTATGAAATATTAATCCATGTATATTATAAAATCGATACAAATAACAAATTCAGGACAGATATGACTATACATGCAGTTTATTCATCTGAATTTACTTCATTTTTATTAGTGCAATCATTTTATACCTTGTGAGGATCTTAATCTTATTAGCATTTAAGGCATGTGTTAGAGTTTTTATCAAAAGTAATACACATGTTTTATGGACAATTAGATTGACTCTAACTCTATTTATTTTCAAGAGATTGCAAAGAACGTTAAATTCTGCTTAAATCTTTAAAACTATTGTCTGCAGAGCAGAAGTTTTTAACAAAAAATGAGCAGATTAGGATAAAATAATAGATTTTCATAGTTTTTTTAATTTATTGCTTTTTTATTAATTTAAAACTATCTAAATTATTTTGTTATGTCTATCCTTAATATTATGACTAAATAATAAGTAATTAAGTAATTAATAAGTAAATTATTTGCCTGGTGAAAAACCTATTCCTAACATTTTCAAACAAAATATTAAATAGCAATTACTTAATTTTTATTAGTATGACTTATTTAATTAAACAAATAGCTATTTGTTTAATATGTCAAAGCTTTTTATGCTTTTCTCTCAGAAATTTTAGCATAATAAACTAACTCTATTTATAAAATATTTAATATTAAAATCAGTCTCACAATTATTTAAATAAAATAAAATTCTAATATTTTTAACAAAATAATTTTAATTAATACTTTTTTAAATATTTGATTGTTTAAAATAAGTAAAAAATATTTATTTAATTATTCAAATTTAAAATGAATTTCTTTTAATTATTTTAAAGAATTATTTAATTATATTGAATTATTTTAAATTCCTTTGTAAAAATATTATTAAAATATCTCTAACTTTTTAATTTGTAATTTGTTTTGTTTTTGCATTTTGAGAATAAAATATTTTACAATTCATTTTATTATTATTTTTGTAAAATAAATCATTAATTAAAATCTTCAAATATATTTAAATAAATTTTATTTATTTATTTAATTTTTTATTTATTTATTGCTTATTATCTTTTAAGTTTTCTAAAAAATTCTTAAAAGTTGTTTGTATCATTTATAAACATTTTTAATCACTTGTTTTATAATAAAACTTTATACTGTAAATCATCGTTTATTCACTAAAACTAGTTCCAAAAGGCAAATAAGTTAGCAATTCACAAAAGTAAAAATTTTGCATTCGATTAATGACTACTTTTGGATTAAATTTTTTTAAAATGTTTGATATTCAAAATAATATAAAAATATAATAGTACCGTAATTTCTCGATAAAAAAATCAGTCCTAAATCAGAGAACAAAGTCAAAAAATTTAGAGAATTTGATAACCAAAATTATTTAAATAATCTTAGCTCTATAAGAGTGAGGTAACACATTAATAAGAAATAGCCATTAATTAGCTCATGATAATTGTTTAGAATTTTTAATTATATTTTATTTATTTAAAAAAAATAATTTTAAGTAATTAAAAATGCTTATTTTTTTGTTTGATTTTAATAATATTTTATTCTGTATAATATAAAATAAAAAGAATCAACTTTGATTAGAAGATTATTAGGGAAATGAATTTTATATTAAACTATCTTTAATGCCATATGAATGTTTTGAGACAAATAATACATGGTCATATTGTTGAAAACTTATTATTATGAAATTGTTAGCTATGGAATTAATCTATTAAGAAACAAACAAAATTTAACAAAGTAGAATCATAGAATGATAATAAATACAAGGTTAGTAATAAACAGCCTGATTTATGTATAGAAGAATTTAATTTTATTATCAATAAAGCTGATTGTATATATATTTAATTAAAGATTTAAATTGAATAACTGACTATTTGACTGATTGACTGGTTGACTACTCCTACTTTTACTTTGGATTAAACTAAAAATATTTCAATAAATTTTTTATTCTCTCTATAGAATCAACAGGAATACTCAAAGTTGACTTATAAATAATGAGGAGTAGAAAAAGTACAGATGAAAAGAGAGATTCTTCTACTGGTTTAGCTAATTACACTGAACAAAACAGAAAGATTATGTTTGATATTTCGCCTAGAAAAAAAAAAAGATCTTCGATTGATTAAAAAGAAGTCAATGGATCTCCAACAGAAAACAATAACAAAAGAATTGGTTTACTTCAACCCTTGAAGCTGTTATAAGAGTAAATATAAAAGAGATAGCAGAAAGTTTAAGAAAGCATTGAGGAACACAAAAAGATAACTTCATCTAACTAAATATTAAAATCTTCATAAAAAATAGCTGGAAATGATAAATCGATGAACTAAACGAATCAATTTTTTGGCTCAAAGTTCGAAAATACATTCAGAAATTTATAAAAATCACCAAATAATAATTAAAATGCAGCTTTAAAAATCAGTCCTCCTACTTCTTCTTTCAAGCTGGGAATAATATCACCACCTAAAAATTAAACTTCTACTATTGAGACAGACTCCATTATGTCTAGAAATGATTTAGGCAATAGTAAACATGAAATTAAAAGCAAAAAGACTAAAAAATTACAGAACATATTCAGAGTAATAACTATGATGAACAAAAAGATGAAGATTAAAAAGAAAGACAAAGACACTGTATTTTTCAATAGATACATCAAAGAATATGAACATGTTGACACATATTTTAATGTTAAGCAAGTATTTTAGTAACTGAATCCTCTCAATAAACCTACTCCTTCTATTGTTAAGAGAGGTGATGATTTAGGAGATAAGAAGGATATCAAGAATAAGGATTACTCTAAGGAAATAAATGATCCTTTTGAAAATTAAGCTTAGCTTATAGAAGAGAATGAAGATGATAAAAGCAATTCTTCTAGCGAAGAAGAAGACGAAGATACAAAAATAAATGAAAAACATAATTCTTAAAAAGGTGAGAAAAGTTCTTCATTAAACTCGAAGTCATAGTCATAACCTTAAGGAATGTCTCTTTTGAAAAGGCTTTTTTAGAAGAATAATAATTAGGCTCCTTAGAATAATTTTAAAAATAACTCTGAGTCACGATTTGCTTAAAAGAAAGCAATGAAAAAAGTAGATTTAGAAGAATTAAATACACAAAAATTGATGAAGTTACTGCAAAGTTTGTAAAATTCTTATTAAATAGAGGATATTAAAGTGAAAGAAGATGAAGAAGAGAATTAAGACGATTTATTTTATGATAGCTTGCACAAATAGTTGATTAAAGCTTTAAGTTAAGAACCGAATGGACATGAAAAAAGCAATAATTAATTAAACTTTTGGTAAGAAAGAGAGATTGAAACGATAAATTTCTAGATCAAAAAGGCTCACGAGCACAATAGGAAGGTAAGTGACATGAGAAATTCGTATAATTAAAGTTTGATTGAGAATAAATACTTAGAGTTTAAAAAGAAATCAGATCAAGCATTGAAGCTACTGAAAAAAGGAGGATACAAAATTTATAGGTCTAAACTAAAACAAATAGAAGAAGAAGAAAAAATGAATAGGCATATCATGGAAACAATTGAGAGATTTGAGCAATTCAATTAAAAAATAAAGTATAAGCCGATGCATCATTAGCATTTTTCTCATAAATCAATTAACTCATAGAAATAAATATCTGCTGTTTTAGATAATCAAACAGAAATTAAAAAGAAGAGTCATATGGTTGCAGATAAAATGATGTAGGAATTCATGTCAAAAAATAGAAAAAGCATAGTTTGTTCATCATTACCATATAGCATTAGTTAAAGTAAGACTTAAAATTTTAACAAAGGTTAAACATTAAATTTTAGTAAAACCATCTAATTTCCCAAAGAAAATAATAACTCAATTTAGAAAAATGAAGTTAGTTTTTAGTTAAATAAAGAAAACTTACCTCTTATTGATAAGAGACGCTCAAGCTTAACCAGCGATTAAAGCAAGTTAAGCAGTCAGTATTCAATTTGCTAATCTAAAGTTAATCCGAGGAAAACGATTGGTTTTAAAGATTTGCAACAGAGCCCTAGTTTCTCAAAGCGATCGATTGATTCAAAGATAACCTAAAAAAGCATATAAGAAATATATTTAACTGAATAAAAAATAACAATTGATGAAAAAGAAGCAAAATAACCTGAAGAACACTTAAAAGGAGTGGGAACCTTAGACTTTAATCTGATTAATTCATAAATTAAAGACGATTATATTTTATAAAATAAAAGAGATAGTTTTCATTCTAAGATATAGAGTCCATCTTCAAAAGAAAAGAAAAGCTCTAATAAAACAATTTAATTTAAAGAAAATATTTAGAATAATAATAATATGTTTTTATCCACTAATCTTTCGCCTACAATTAATAAGACACATCACAATCATAGTAAAAGCCTTTAACAAAATTCTTCTCCATTTAACAAATAAAGCAATCTTAAAAAAACGAATAGCTTCGCAATAAATAATTCTCCTTTAAACTAAAATTAAAAGCAAATGAACTTTTCAACTTTAAGTAATAAAAATTCTTCTAATAACTAAACCCATAAAAGAAGAAACACAATAATGAATGTATTTGCCCTCAATAAAAAATAATCATCAAATGCTAGCTAATTTAGTAATCAGCAAAGCCCAAAAATTAATAAAGTGAATGAAGAAAATATGCCTTTGATAAGCTCTTTTGGTTAGTAGAGTCCTAAGTTTGTTTAAATAGAAAATATTAAGCAACAAGAAGACACTGTATAGTTATTAAGAAGAAGAAGCAGCACTTAACATAAAACTGTAATCATATCTAGTCCTTCTTAAATACAAAGGAAAGTAAAAAGAACAAACACTGTGCACTTCTAAGAAAATGACTCAGATTCACCTAAGGTTAGCAATTTTTCTAAGGAATTGAATGCTTATAAACTGTAAGAATAGTTAAAATATTCACCTTAAGTGGTCAAAGCTAAATCTCTTATAAGTTAAATATTTAAAAGGCCTGAAAAATTGCAAATAGCACAAATAAAAGAAAAAGAATTTTTCCCCTAGCTTGATTTTTACAGATAAAAAAGTTTCCAAAATTTAGAAGACACTTATCATTAAAACCATTAATCATTCTGCACAGCAGTTGAAAAAAGAAACAAGCGTATTTAAAATCAATACAGTCTTCTTAAGTAGAAAGTTGTGGGAAACTCACAATCATTATCTGAAACTCCCACGAGTAGCTCTAATTTTTATAATTCTACAAGTCATAGTTAGAATTAAAAATCTAATTAGCCCTCAACTTTTTACTCATCAAAGTCACCCCTCATTCTGTTGAAAGATCATTTGAGAAAAGTGTCTGCATTCTAACAAAAGTATTCAAACAAAGTGCAAACTCTTCTATATGACCTAGATTTTGCCTAAGAAGAAAATACCTTTGTGAAAGGCCAAATGATTAGAACTGTGAATGATTCTTGTAAATCTTACGAATAAATAACTAGTTAAATCTCTCCTCAACTTGAATGCATACGCGATTTATTTGAGTAATCAACTCAAGATACAAAAAACAAAAAACCATTCATTTAAAAAGCAACCATTTAAAAAAAAAAAATCTGATTATATTTCAATTTTACTAATATAAATCATTTAAAATAATTTATATTTTAGCTATTAATTACATTATATTTGTTTAATTAAAATAAAATAATTTATATTTTAGCTATTTATTACATTATATTTGTTTAATTAAAACAATCAAATTCAATATTAAAAATTAATTGCAAAAAATATTATTTTAAAACAAAAATTATTTCTTACAACAAATTTCATATTCAAAGATTGAAAAAAAAAAATTATTTAGAATTAATAAAGATTTATTTTGTCCTTAAAAATTAGCAACAATCAATTTGAAATGATAAAAGAGTTAAAACTCTAAATTCTGACAAATTTAAAAAGGTAGTAAATTAATTAAATCTAATATACATTTCAATTTCTAATACAAGTTAAATTTCTCTTCAAATTGAATGCAATTTATTTAAGCAATCAACTAATAATACAAAACATAAAAATCATTAATTTAAAAAAAGGCTATTTAAAAAAAATCTGAGCATTTTTCAATCAAACTCATTTATTTTTTATGCTTTAGTTATATTATTATTTAAATTAAAGTAACATTTTTTTAAATTCAATAGTAAAAATTAATTTCTTTAATTAAATATGATTTTAAAACATTGATTATCTATTGTTACAAATCTATTATTATCAAATTTGATTTACAAAAACTGATATAAAATATTATTTAGTATTAATGAGGATTTATTTTTTTCTCAAATATTAGCTACCTACAATAAAATCGAAATAGTAAAAATAATTAAAACTCTAAATTCTCACAAACTTGAATAGCAATAAATTAGATCTAATATGCATTTCACATTTTAAATAAATAAAATATTAATTATTTAAAAAATGAAATTATCTATTTATTTATCTTTTATAAAAAATATATTTTTAGTTTATCTATTTTATATTTTGAGAGTATTTATTTATTCTCATTTCTAACCAGCTTATTATCAAAATTATATAGAAGTTAATATGAAATTTTTGTTGACATTTATTATATCTAATTAGTAGTTAACATATTGAAAATTAAATTATTGGTTTATTCGATTGGTCCTTCCTTCGCTCAAAGAGCAGAGTTATCCAAGGATTCAGGATTTCCATCATAAAACTCTTTTTAATAGTTTACATTTGAATTTATTTATATTGGATTAAAGCTGCTCTAGATATTATTTTAGTTAGAAACTGTATCCATACTGACATTTTTATTCTCAATATCCATTTTCTTACTAGTTTAGCTGCTTTGAGGGGAAGTCACGCTTAGTTCTTAGCTCTTTGATCTCAGTTTTGAAACTTAGCTTAGGTCAATGTAAGAACAAAGATCTCCAACTTTCCAAATAATTTGTTTCTTTTCAAAAATATTAATATTTATGTCAGCAAAGTACTATGATATTATTTTTTCATATTTATTGAGGTGGTGCTTATTTATGAAGAATAGCCCAAGTGAAATCAGAGGGATAAAGAAAAAACAAGAGAAATATGGCCAGCTCAAATCCCAAAAATTGTATACCTTGACTGTGCTGTCAGATTTAGTTACTTAAACATTCACAATAATGCCTACTATAAATAAAGTAAACGCCATAATAGCACAGAAGATTTAGAGAGCAAAAATAATTCTATTGATCAGGAAACGATGACACATATCTTCAATCTCATCTATAACTTCTAAAATTTCCTTCATTTCAATCTTCTATTTTACCCAATCCTTTTCATAATACTTCCTTTGTATAGTTTCTCTGTTAAACTATCCTTTTACTCTACTACGACCAATAATGAATTTAAAATACCCTTTATCCTTCAAAAGTTACTCCATTTCTTCTTATCAAATATTTATTTACTTATTTATTCCTTTTCTATTTATGAAAATTTATCAAGCTAATATTTGACATCTATAAATTACCTATTGCTTTGTAAACTTCGGTTTTTTGTTTGCTTTCTTGCTTGCTTGCTAGTTTGTTTTGTTATATTATACTTTTCTAATTCTGATAATATTGCTTTAATTTCTAACTTTAATTTTTTTACTGTTTGCTGATCTATTCCTTTCTTTGCTAATCAATTTATTAATAAGTTTCTGTTGTGTATGCGTATTCAATTTCTAAAAAATATAGATTAAATAAATATATGTAAGAAACTCTTTAATTAAAAATAGAGTTTTTTTAATTATTTACTTACTTACTAATATTTAGATATAAAAATAGATCAACCTTATGAATAATTCATTTACTAATTAATTCTAAATTTAACTATGTCAATCAATCATTCATTTTTCTTTATTTCTTTGTTTCTATCTATCTCTATCTATCTTTATTTTTTAGATTCATAAATTGATTTATTAATTTATAAATTTCCATTTTGTAGCATTCTAATTGATAATTTATCTATTTATTATATTTTTTCATCTATTTGTAGACTAAATATTAACTTGCTAGATGTTGATTTGATTAATTTATTTATTTATTTACCAATTATTTATCCAATAAATAATTTTTAAATTACTAAATCAATTTAGTTATCGTAGATAATATTTAGTATGCCGATTTATAAATGAATATGCATTCATTTAACAATTTTTGCATTTTACATGATTATGTATGTATTTTTTATTAAGAGTTTTATTCATTTTTCATATTACTAATTCACAAATGAATTAATTAATTAATGGATTATTGATTATTTTTTTTTATTACTTTATTAAGAAAAAGAATTTTTATAGAAACGAATTCATAACTCAAACGTAAATATTGGCAAGAATTAATTATTTATTTGATAAGTAAACAAAAATTGATATAATTAAATTAATTAATTAGGATATTAGTTATAAAGCAATTTAAGTAATTAGGTAGTTAACGAAATATGGTAGACGTAGTATATCTTTAAATAGATGGTTCTCTTCATGAAGGAGGAGGTTAGGTATATAAGTTATTAGTACATTTTATTTGGTATTGAATCATTATCGTGAAATTTAATTAGATAATCAGATCAAGCATGGCTCTTAGCAATATCTTATAAAAGCCTATTCAATTAAAAAATATAAGAGTTAACCGACCAAATCCTGGATTGAATAATTAGCTTATGGGAGCTGTAAAAGATAATTACAAAATCATTTGAATATTACAATAAATTATATTTTTAGATTAAATTGATGAGAGAAATCTCTAAAGCATAGGTAGTAGGTGATAAATAAAAATCATTGAAGATCACTTATGAACCTTAGATGAAAATTAAAAGCGGTATATAAAATAATCAAAAATTAGGTTGAAATAACTAAATAGTTAGTGTTTTATATACAGGAAATTATGCAGGAGGATCTTAGAGTGCAGCTGCCATAAGTCTCATGGTTTAATCTTTAATTCCTACTATGATTTTTGGAAAAGCCTAGTCAACTATTAAACTTTAGGTAGAATATTAAAATTTATATATCAAATAAAGATATGCTTGCATTCCTCTACTAATTTAATAGACTCTTTTAAAACTAACAAATTAGTAAACAAAAAAGAGATAAAATCTTAATTTAATTTAAATTAATTAATAATATTTGCAAAAAAAATAGACATTTAACAATATTATAATTACACTTTTACAATTTCTAAATAATGTTTTTATTTATAAAAATTATTTTAGGGTGGTAGTGATGTAAACAAATCTCCTCCATTTGAAACAATACAAAGAATTCTAAAGCCACTTTTAGAAAAAATGGGAATTCATTTTAATTACAATTTAATCACAGAAGGTTACTACCCAAGAGGTGGTGGATAGATTTAATTAGAAGTATAGCCAATTGCTGATTACATAAAGCCTATTACTATAACAAAACGCACTGTTATAAATAAAATTTATTTGCAATTTATTTTGACTGAAACATGTGAAAAAGCTTAAAAAGATTATTTTAGACCTTTGAGTAAGAAAATTAAATTTATTTAATGAATTGAATGTTAAAGTGGTGTTAAAAAAGCAAACTTAAATTATTAAAAACAGAAAAAGACATAATAAGCTTCTTAGTAAGTAAATAGCCTGGAATTAAAGAGGAAGATATTGAATTTGAAGTAGATGTAAAGCAAATAAAAAACAAAAAATATAAAGAATGTTACTCTATTGTTGCTCATGCATATGGATCTGAAGATAATTATTTTGCTTTTTCTTTTTACAATGATGATGATCTAAAAGTCGAAGTAATTATTTTATTAATACTAATAATATTAAATGATGTTTTTACTAGGATGCATCACAAAAAGTTTATGAAAACTTTGTTAAAGAACTTTCAGAAGGAGGCTGTTTAGATGAATACCATTAAGACTAAGTAATACTTTTATTTATTTATTTATTTATATTTTAACTTTAATTTTTTTTGTTAAAGTTATTATTGTACATGGCATTAGCTAATGGAGAGTCTCAAATTAGAGTAAACCCAGCTATCACAGATCACTCTTTAGCTTGCTTTTACGTACTTAAAGAATTTATCCCAGAAGTAAAAATTGATGTAATTGATGAAGAAGTAGCTGGTCTTAGATCTAAAATTATCAAAATTGTAGGAGTAGGTTTTAAAAACGAATGAACAAGTTTTAAATTAAACTTGCTAAAATAAATTAATAAAAATATTTATTTATTTATAAAAAAAAATTAACATAAATAAAGATATATTTATAATAATTTTGGTTTTTATATTCAATAAACTTTAAATTGTATAATAAAACAAACAAATTGAATGCTACATGTAAAATAAATTAATTAATAATAAACCTCTATACTTATATAATATATAGCCTCTTAGCATATAATTTCCATAAGAGGATTTATTTATATTTTTAATTGAGCTAGAAAGGGTTTTTTTGGTTATATTTTTTTTAAAAAAACTCAAATAAATTTTTTAGAAATAACTCACTTATTTAAAAAATTAGATTTGAAATAATGAATGTAAGAATTAATATTTAAAAAGTAAATAAATCTATTTTATGAGAATTATATAAAAATATCAATTTATTTATTGAAGAATATATTAGCAAAAATAATAATTATTGATAGATTAACAAAACAATGAATGAGTACAAATTTCAAATAGAAATTACAAATAAAAATAAATAATAATTTAAATGGATTTATATAAAATTTTTTTAGCTTTTTGTTATTTATTCATTTTAATCCTGCTTGGTGCAATGCTTTAAAGCCATCGTGAGCAATTATAATATTTTTAATTCCAAGAGTGTTTAATAGAGTGATGGCCATTTTAGATCTGGCTCCGCTCTAACAGTAGATGTAAACTTCTTTGTCTTTTGGTAACTCATGAACTCTAGATCCTAATTCAGCAAGTGGGATAGTTTAAGCAGTATGTCCCTTGCCCTAATCTGTTTCACTTTTGTTTCTCACATCAACAACAAAGTTTTAAGGGTTATTAGCAATTTAAGTGAATTATTCAGCATTCAAAATTTTACTTGTGTTGATTTTTATGTTACCACTATTTTTTATTGCTTAGAAACCTCCATCAACGAATCCAATAATATGATCGAAACCAATTCTCATTAATCTTTTAGCTGCTTCTTCTTCTTAGCCAGGTTCGGTTAAGAGAATAAGAGGGGTTTTAGGATCGATTAAAGTACCAACCCAGACGGCAAATGGAGTATTCAAACCTATATTTATAGATCCATCTATATAACCTTCGTCTATTGAGTTCCTGCAGTCTAACACAAGTCCTTTAGCTTCAGCTTAAATTTATTATAAATTTTCTGGCTTTATGGCATTAAAGTTATTGATCTTTGCATCTTCTAAGTTAGCATAGCCAGTTTTATTCAAACCAGCATCATAGAAGAAATATTAAGGAGGTTTAGGCAATTCGTGAGTGACAACCTAAATGAATTAATCACGACTCATGGGCTACAAAGCATAATTTTTCTTCTTTTGAGTTCCAATATCGCACATATGGCCCTTTCCAATATTCTTACCACATGCTGAACCAGCACCGTGAGATGGGAAGACAATTACATTATCAGGTAAAGGTAATAATTTATTTTTTATACTATCAAAAAGCATACCAGCAAGGTCTTTTTCAGTAATTTATCCAGATTTAACTGCTAAATCAGGTCTGCCAACTTCTCCTAAGAAGAGAGTATCACCAGTATAGACTGAGTGAGGTTAATTTTTGCTGTCTTTAAGTAAAAAGCAAGAACTTTCTGTTGTGTGACCAGGAGTATGTAAAACCTTTAAAAATTATATGAAAAACATTTAATAAATATTTCTTATATTAAATTTGTAAAGTTTGTCATAAAAAATTGTTTCTAAGTTTTAATAGTGTGAAAATAATTTTATTTACTTGAAGTTTAATGTTTCCTAATTAGATTTCTTCACCGTCTTTAGCAACATGGATATCATATAAGGCTTGTGCTCCAGGGCCATAAATAATCTTTGCACCAGTTTTATTAGCCAAACTGATATGTCCTGAGACAAAATCAGCATGGAAGTGGGATTCTAAAATGTATTTGATTTTAGCTCCTCTTCTGGCAGCTAAATCTGTGTATGGCTTTGTTTCTCTCAAAGGATCAATGCTGTTTTTTTAAAAAAAGAGAGTTGTTATTTAGAATTTCTACTATTAAAATTTATTTTAGAAAAGTTATTTATATCTTACATAGCAGCTTCACCATTGGATTCAATATAGTAAGTATAGGAGGCAAGACATCCAGTGAATAGTTACTCCACGTAAAAGTCGTTGTGCTCAATTACTGTAGTGGTATTTTAGCTTTCATTAGATTTAGGAGCTTATTTAGTATTTGCAGAGCATGCTGTTTAAGTTGAAAACTTAAATGAAGGATTGCATTACAAATTAATTTTGTTTAATTTGCTAAGCTAGCTTAAGCATTTTATGTTTCTTGTGCAAATGGATTGTTCTAGTTTGCTAGTGATTTGCTTTAAAAATGCAGTGTTTTTCAAGAAAGTAAACTTTTGAATCATTTTTATCTAATTAATTATTGGTAAATTTATGTTTGGCTATCAAATTATATTTATTTATTTTATGTTTATCTGATAAAAAGATAATTTATACTGATTTTATTTAATAGAATTGTTTGTTAATTATTTATAGGACTTTCTTCAAAGATTTTTATATAATTGTCACGATTCTGGAAATAAATTTCCATCGTCATTTTAAAGGCAGACAAATATAAGGCTGACCCTAAAAAATAATCCATAAAATTTCTAAATTTTTATAGTAAAAACAAAAGAAATCGAAATATAAATTTATTTTTTAAATATTTTAATTTTAATTGATAATATTATTCTAAAAAAGTTATTATAAAAATTTTAATGAAAATTTATTTATTATTTTGGTTGTTTCTTTGCATCATTAATAAGAAGTTCTAAATTAAATTGTATATTTGTTGTGATTCTGGAAATTAATTTCTTTCGTCATTCTTAAAAAACTAAAAACTAACTATGACCTTAAAAAATGATCTATAAAATTTCTAAAATCGCTTTTTTTAAAAAAAATAGTCTAATCTGTAAATTTTATTTTAAGCAGTATTTTGTCTAGTAATTGGCACATTAACTATTAAGAATTAGCTAAAAGAATTATAATAAAGTCAACTTAGCATTTGTATCATTTGTTTATAACAAGTTGTATCAATTAATAATATATTGAAGAATATTAAATTATAATTTATCTATATAAAATATATCAGATTTAATTGAATCTAGTAATCATTAAATTATATTAAATAAATTGCCTCAAATCATCAATATAAATATTTTTAATTTTAAGTTATAAGTGTTAAATTTGATAATTTTTGTTAGAGTAAGATAAAATATTACAAAAACCTAATTTAATCTTATTTAAATAAAACAATTATTTCAAGTTGGAAATTGAGTAACTTTATTTAATTTTTTCTAAATGCATTTTCTTCAATTATCTAAAGCTATTTGTTTTAATAAAATAGCATTAAAAAAAAATATGATCCATAATATTGTATTTGTTTTTGTATAAATTCATGCTATGACAGTCGAAATTCGAAACGGTTGATTTCATTATTTATTTTGATGATTTTTTTGAATTAATAAATCAATAAACTAAAATGCGTTATTGCTTTAAAAAAATCAAATTTACCTATGAAGAGATGTTAACAAGTTTGATTCATTCACGTAAATACTAAAATAAATAAATAATTATTGATTTCTACTCGAAATTATTTCGTTCTGAAACAATGAAATACTATTTTTATTTTGAATTTGATAAAAAATTGTATGTTTGTCTATTTTACTATGTATAATTTCCATAATAAATATATAATTTATTAACCTATTTGATATTAACTAAATCCATAGTAAAAGTGATTAATAAATATCATTAAATACAAAAAATGTTATGCATCTTTCAAACTTATATTCAAGTAATTCAGCAAATAGATCAGAAATATGCATTTGCTTAAAAAAGTCCTCAGAAATAGTTTGTTACGAATATATTTATTCATAATTTTAAGATTTAGTTTTTTTTTTCCATTTGAGTAAGTTTATGACTTTTTTTAACTTCTTAAAATGGAAGTTCCACCTTATTGTTATGAAAATTTTAAAAAGTAAATCAGATTAATTAAGACCGATTATGAATGATTAGATGTATATATTAATTTACTCTATTATGCTATATAAAATATTTATAAAGATAATTTAACAAAATATACTAAAATGATTTATTTTGACTAAATTTTGCTATCTCATTATTGTAGATTTTTAGATGTAAAACATTAATTGTAATGAAAAATAATGTAATTCATCAATATGAGTCAATAATTCAATTAATCAGAGAATTTATGGTCATTTTTGTGTTATCGTTTTATTAATTTAAAAAAGTTAACAATATATAATTAATTATTATTTATCAACTAGAACTGTCAAAGCTGCATGCATTTTAACCTAAAATGCACCAGAATATTGATTTGGTCCATCAATATGTGACTATGTTTAAAAATTGTTTGCAAATAAAGTTAATTAAATTTTAAATTAATTGAGAATGTTCTGTATTATAGATAGTGGGTTTGTAATAAAATGGGAATAATCTTTTATATGGTTGGTATTAAATTTGTTAATAAATAGCTGTGCTTGTTAGACTATTACTAGTCCGCCCTTTATTATAATAAAATAGAGATAGAAAAAAACTATATTTTAATAAGCAAATTAATAAAATTAAAATAGATTGAAAAAGTAAAAGTAATCAGCGTCTTTTTATTAATTTTATAATAAGAAATGAGAGTTTTATTGTTAAATATAAATTAGAAAAGGAGTCAAGAATTATTTCAAATATATTTATGAATGCTTCAAGAAATATTTCTTTTAGAATTATTTCAGGTATTTTTGTAAGAATTTACAAAAACTATTGATAATTAAATTCCAACCATTTGATGATACAAATTATCAACAATTATAAAATTTTATTTAATAACTTAGTAATTTAATTAGAATCATCAATTTATTTTACCCATAAGATGATTTACATCCTAAAATGAGTAATTTAAAATAAATAAATAAATTATAAAAATTATTAAATACTATCAAATATTTGTCTATACTTCCCTCAAATCACATTCTTTCTTTTTTTCTGTAAATTTCTCTTTCACACAAATGGTAGTAGCGAACTAATTAATATAAATCATTTATGAAATGAACCAAGCTTGGCAAGTTAATTTATTTCAAAAATTATTTATTTAAGAGTGCATTAACGATTTATTAAATTTATGCAAATATTTACTTACTTTTAATTGATTTTTGAAATTTAGTTTTGCTTAATTTTTGATAACCATCTGTAAGTAGTATAAAAATAATAATAAATGAGATTTTTATCACATTTTAAATGGTCAAATTCCATGAACACTATCATCAATATATAAGATAGTGGCTAACCAGTGGGATAAAACATGTAGTATGATTGGTATTAGTTAATCTCTAGAACAATTTTTAAATTAGTCCTCATTCATTCAGATTAATTAATCTGTTAAAATCGTTTGCTTATCAATGTACGAAATTATCTTGTCTTTGAAAAATGTAAATCAGATACTAATAATTAATGTGAAGTTTTTTGTCTGTGCTTACTATATGTATACTCATGCAATTTTATTTAACCAAGTAGCGTTAAAGCAGTAAATGTTTATTCTGAATAAAATTTATTATGTGTTTACTATATTTAATATGGATTTATTAGTCTAATCTAAAAAAGGAGTAATTAATTAGAATGAAACAAAAAGATTAGATAATTAATTAATTAATCAATCTTTGGAATGCAAATAAATAGGATATTTATTAAGATCATATGGCTTATAATTTTCATAGAACTAAATAAATCACACAGATATAACAATCTCAAACAAATAAATAAAGAAAGCAAGCATTGCTAAGTTAAGTAAATAAAAAATTATTTAAATACTCAAGCAAAAAATTTTTTTATTTAATTTTATTTAGCATACCAGAGTACAATTCTGATTTAAGTAAATTTAGAGCCAAGTAAGGCAAACAATTGTTACAATTCAATAAAATTTTGTAAATTTAATCACTTTTAATAAGAGATGTAAAAACATCATGCCATGAGATAGAAATAATTCTTTTGATGGAAAGAAGAGTAATGTTAGTTTATGTTTACCAATTTGTGTTAAATTTGAAACAAAAATTTTTAAATTTAGATGGAATATTTTAGATCTAGATTCTTAATTTATTAGTATTAAAATAAAAGTAAGCTGAGTGAGATAAGTAAAGATTAGTTAGAAATTAACAAAATTCTAAATTAATATTTGGGAAATTTTAATGATAGAAGCGCATACTTTTTTTAGGTAGAATCATAAATTTACCTAATTATTTAATAGTGCATCTAATTTTTTCGAAATTTTATTAATTTACAAATCAAGAATATGCATTATCAAGATTATAATGCTATTTTCACTTTTATCTTTGTTATAGCTTGTTATCAGATATATGTATATCATGTATATAAATAGTATATATATTTCTAATTACATGCATACTTACTTACATAGGACTCTATCAATTTTAAAGAAATCTGCATTTTTAAATAACTAACCAATAAAAGATCAATCAAAACTAATGTCATAAAAAGAATAAATCAAAAATCTCTCAAGTTATTTATTTATTTATTAATCAATTGACTATTCGATCGAACGATAGATCAATCATTCAATCAAATAAATAAATACAAAAAAAGAAATTAAAAAGGATATTTGTGTGAGTGGCACAAAAAGAGCAACAAACAAAACAATTAATATAATTATAACAAAAAAAATACAAATAAAAAAAATCAAATTGAAAACAATCAATTTAATTTTAAACACTCAAAACTTTCATTCATTTTCAACCACCTCTAAATAAATATTTTATTCAAAAATCAATATCTACGAGAGCAATCATACAAGCTGCATTTATAGTTAGCATCAAGCAAGCTTAGTTTAAAATAGCATATTAGGAAGAAACAATAAGAAAGCAAAAAAAACTCTATAAAAGCAAATTTAGTAGTAGCTGCTGATTGTTTTTAGCTTTAAGTTAGTTAGTTAGTAGTATTTAAACCAATTATAAGCAGAAATATATATTTATTAAAAAGCACTAACACATAGATTTTCTATACAAAATTGCAACTAATAAGTAATAATATCAAATGGGAACTTGCACTTCGTAATCTAAAAATTAGAGACTAGTTGAAAAAGCAAAGCGTGCCATTGAAAAAGAGGGCTACACCATTCTAGAAATTAAGGATGGCAAAACAACAGACAAAATTATCCCAAACAAGGTTGTTATAGTTTCCAAAGACAATAAAAAATATGCATTTAAAATCCGCTATTTCTAGAACGAGCTGGACAGTTAGGGTATTTCTGCTTAAGTGGGAATCCTTTGTGATTTAAAACATCCCAATTTTGTCCACTTTTAAAGATATTTTATTCGCAATCATATGTTTTTCTTCTTGATGGATTACTATCCAGTAACTCTTCGTTCTTTGCTCTATGAAAGTAAATCAATAACTCAAGAGCATAAATATCGTTACGCTTTAGAGCTCGTTCAAGGTATCAATTTCGTTCATAGTCAAGGCCATACTCATCGCGAATTAAAGACTCAAAATATAATGATTTCTCCTGAAGACCGTATTATTATTTGCGAATTTGGACTTGAATTCGACTCTGATATACATAAAAAAAAGTAAGAAACTTCAAGCCTATCTGATAAGTGGTATTTAGCACCAGAAATTAACTAAAACACCGAATCAATCTATTACTAGCAATCAAAGCAAACAGACATTTGGGCAATAGGAGTCATAATAGCAGAAATATTCGGATTTAAATATGCGAGCGCTTTATCCTCTAATGAAGAGCTAGAAAGAATTAAGGCATCTCTGAGCTCTCAAGAATATGCAAAATGTCTTGGCGAAATGGATTAAAGTGTACAATCAAAAGTAGTTCAAATGCTCAACTTAAACCCTGATAAAAGAGGAGACATCGCTGACTATCTGCCCTTCTTTGAAGAAAAGTACAATCAATTTAATCAAGGCATGCACCAAAATAATTGAAAACAACATTTGCAAATAGTAGACTTAAATTAATCTTTCCATTATTGTTTTAATTAAATAAATGCTTCAGCACAGCGCAAAGAAATTAGAAATAATAAATAAATATGCATAGAATAATAATAAATTTATATACAAACTTACAAGTAAAAATCTTATATTTTAAAATGGCATTATAACCAACCGATCAATATCATTCCATTACTTTTAACAACAATTAAAAACGAAATCCTTCAAAAAAATATCTATCACTCACTCAATTCACTCCTTTTACTCATTAAAGAAATTTGATGATTTTTTTAATGATTATTATTTAATTGCGAAGAACTCTGTTAGATTTTTGATTTCTAATAATGCATTCAGCATAAACATAATAACTCGCTAGAATTATTAATATAAAATAACAAGATCTTTTTGATCCTTTTAGCATTCTTGAATTAAAATATAATTAATATCTTCTTTCTTTCCAATTTCTTTTCTCTCTCAATAATCGCTTCGCTTTTTGTAGAATTTCAAAGAAGATCAATTAAATAATAAAAGCATAATTCAGCCTATTTTAAAGCAACTCGAAGAATCTCAGAAACAGCATAAAATTTACTACAAAGCAAACAAACAAACAGTGTTCCTTAATATAAAAAATAAATAATTTACCTAGCGTTTACATAAAACTAATTTACTCTTTACAAAAACTAATTTCTATCTATCTATGAATAAATAAATAAATAAATATATCAGCTCAACTATTAAATTAAATTAATAATAAATTAATAATTATTTGTGTAGTCTTTTCCCTTCTCAATATTATTTATCAATCAATGATCGAACTCCAATCAAAGAATATAAATTAATTTGCAATATTAATAAATACTTGTTTTGATTATCTTTTATAAATTGATATTTATTTGAATCCTAATTTAATTTTTTTTAATAAAATACTCCAAAATCTAAAAATAAATTCAAATATTGCTGAATTATTTATTTTTTATCTTATCACTAATTAATTAATTATTCCATCAATACCTATAATTTAATTATTAAAATATCATTTGTGGTTTTAATAAGATAGTTACTATGATTTTATAATATCTTGTTGAGTAATTAATTTAATTTGCGCCTGCCTTTATTAATATAGGACAAATAATATATAATTAATTTTTGGGCATTTCGAAATTATTTTATTTGCAAAAAATTTGTAAAGTAAAAAATATTTGCTTCGTTGAAGATTTTTGAGTCACAAATAAAAATACTCACATTAATTCTTTCATGAATTGATTTGCAAATATTTATTTGTTTAAATATTATTCCCCTTAATATATACATATATAACTATTCTATCTTGATATAATTATCTTTATCACACACACATATATATATATATTCTATCTATAAATTAAAAATTTTATTTACTTGATGGATGGATTGGTTAGCTTTATTATTAAAAAGAATAATTTTGTAAAAATTAATAAATCTTATATATTTTGCTATTTTAGTTTGATTAAAATAAAATAATACATTAACATTTTTTACAATAAGAGGAATAAAAATAAAAACCTACTTAACTAACAAAATATTTATTTGATTAGCAATATAAATATTTAAAAATAGCTAATAATAAGCAAAAGATCACATAAGTTTTATTGTTTATATAATTTTACTAATATTGGTTCAGCATTTTATAATAATATTAATTATTTCTTTTCACACACTTATACTAAATTAGAACATTATATATTCAAGTTACTAATTATACAGACAGAATATTCAAGTTAATTATCTTTAATACCTTGCTATAAATAAATATTGATTAAATTACTTATACTAAATATCATTTAATTAGTTCTATTTACTAATTTAATAAGCAATTTTCTCTTTAAAGAAATAAATAAATAAATCATTAATGATATCACTTGAATTTTATTCTATTTTTTTAATTTAATTGTAAAATCATTTTTTTAATTATTTAACTTTTCTTTAAGATTTAAATAAAAGATTAAAATTCAAAAGTTTAATTATGATAATTTAAATTAATAGCTAAGTTAGTTTACTTTTAAATCTAAAATATTTATTTCCTTGATTAAAAAATAAAATGGTCTATATATAGATCAATTAATATTAACTGTATTAGTTGAACATTCAAAGATGTTAAAGAGGTTGAGAAAATAGGGTATATTCTTAAGGTTAAAATTTTTTTTGATTTCAAACTTTTAAAAAATTTTTTTTCAACTTTATAAATTTCATGTAAAATGAATGATATTTTAATTAATATTTTGGAATAAGATTTTATTAATAGAAACACATGACTAAAGTCCATTCTCTTAAAAAAGTTAAGTTATTTATTTGCTATTTTTAATACTTATTAACATATTTATAATTATTGAAAAATAAAAAGAAAAGAAGAAACAAAAGAAATTAAAATTTTTCAAAACAAAATATAAATTCTTCACATATAATTTTTTTTGTATTTTAGAGTTACAAAATATAAAATTTAGTTTTTTTTATCACTTACGATTTTTGATCTCACTTATGATTTCAGATCTTGTTGAATGATCTATTCTATCAATTTCTATTTTCAATGTATTAAACGAATTACGAAAATCAACGCAAGCTTTAGCAGATTTCATTTTATTAGCCAATTTATCTTTAGGTGGTAAAAAGCATAGTAATATTCTTTTGGAAAATGTCCTTGGAGGAATTTCATCAGTTTCATAGCTTACATAAAAAACGTAAATAGAAGATTATTTTTACTCTTCGTTCAAAACTATTTCATAAATATCTTGCTCAGTTGAGTATGTTTCTACTAATTCAATGTCATAATCTAATCCTTACTTAATTTTGAAGCCTGATATTCTATTACTATTAAGATCTATTACCGCCTCTTTTACTTTTTCATCTATTTTTACTGCTTGTCTTGATCTCAATGTTTTTGACTCAACAAGATTTAGAATACTTAAAAAACAAGAAATAAGTATTAATTTTGTGAATATAGACATTATTTTATTATTATGTTCTTTGCTTTTTTTCTTCCTCTGAAATTAGTTATTTAAATATGTTTTTCTTTAAAATTAATTATGTTTTTTTCAAAATCAAGGCATTCGTTTATTTATCAAACAAACAAATAAGCAATTGAATTTTAAAAGGGAATTTTTTAAATAATCAACAAGTTATTATTTTTTTCTTTCAAAAATATATTTAATGTCTTTCTATTTTTTAAGAAACGGATAAAACAAAAACGGCAGTTAATAATTTTAAGTAATTTTAAAAATAATATTTTGTTTAGATAATTATAACATTTAACTTATCGTTATTTTTATTAATATATTAACATCTACCTTATTATTATTTTTTATTTAAATACATATTATTTCAAATGATTTTAAATATTAAAATTTTAATTGTTTAAAATTATAAATCATTTTTAAAACTATTCTGATTAATTGAATGTAATGAATTTAAGTTATATATATATATAAATAAATAAATTATTACTAAGAAATTTGTTAACTATTTTTATTTAACTACCAATTTTTACTAATGGAATTTGTTTTTCAAAATATTATGTTTATTAAATATAAAAATAAATCAATGAATAAATTTATTTATGATTTTAAAATTAATATTTTTTAAGATAATTTCATTTAACTTTTTGGAATTTGTTTTTGAAAACTTTATGTATCATGATTTTAATATAAATTCTATCTCTTCTTTGAACTTTTATATTGTTTTAGTTTATTATTTATTAAATATCTAAGACTTTATGCTTATTTAATAAGGATGTTAAAGAATATTATTAAAAGTAGAAGTTATAAAGAATTAGCATAAATATGAATTTTCTTATTTTAGATTTGTTTTCATAACCTTTTAACATTTATCTTCTTAAAAATTAAGTTAAAAAAAGGAAAAATTCTTGGAGCTTTTTTTTCGATTGGTATTTAGGGAATAGCAAGAGCTTATTTGCTTACCTTACGAAGCAATTTGTTAATAGTAAATATGATACAATTTTTGATCATAGACGCTTGTCATTAATTATTTGACCAAAGTTAATTTTCAAGAAGATTTAATAGATTTCAAATTTGAATATGATCACAATTTAAGCATTTTTCTCTTAAAAATGTTTTAATTTTTTATTAATTTTTAAAATAAAACACCTAAATTTAAATAATTATTGACTTCTAACTTTTCAAAACATTTTTCCAATTTTATAAATTTCACAAGATGCTAAAATTATGTTTTAGTTAGTATTTGAGAAAAAGATTTTATTAAAAGAAAAATTGATGACTATCATCCTTTTCTCTTAAAAAAGTTAAGGTATTTGTTATTTCAAATATTTATTAACTTATCTATAATTATTAAAAAATAAAAAGAAAGGAAGTAACAAGGGAAATTTAATATTTTCTTTTTAATAATAAATTCTTCAGAAATATTTTTTTTTGTATTTAAGATTAAAAAAACAGAAAATTTAGTTTATTTTTATATATTAAACCATATTTTATACAAAAGGATCTTTAATTTGAAAGTTTTTATATCTCATGTATTATATATATCCACTAAGTATATTTTTTGTTATGAAAAGTAAATTTTTATATAAATTAACAATAGATTTACAAATGTTAACAATAATAATTAATTAATTATTATTTATTTAAATTGTAAATAATATCTTCAAGATATCTAATAAAAAATACAAAAAAACTATGCAATTAGGAATAATTTTCTATATTTAGTAATAAACGTTTAATAAAACATAAAACTTACTTTGATTGAATAATTAATTAATCTTAATTCTAAGAATTTTGTAGTTCGTAAATTCTAGTAAATCTAATAAACTTTGAAAATTTTTGCTCAAAACTTAAATATTTTTTTATGTCACAATAACTAATTTTCATTTAATATATCAGAAAACAAATTTTGGTTTTATAAATAATCTTTGATTTTATTATTCTTTGTTCTAAATGTTATTTAAATAATCGCAAATAATTAGCTATGGTTATTTTTTATTATAGTAAAAAAGTGCTGTTATTTGTAAAAAAAATAAAAATCAATAAATATCAAGAATGATGTAATAAATTATTACTGGTTTCAATTCTGAATATAATAGAGATAGGTTTTTAATAAAAATAAATCAAAAAGTAGTTTCTAAATAGTGTTTAGTACTTTAATATTATTTAAAGTTTAAATATATTAAGAATAGTAAAAGATTTAATTAATAAAGTTTATATTAAAGGAAAATAAATTTTTAAAGCATTTGCACAAGAGAAAATTGTCATTAATTTGTTTAAATGATAAAAAGATCAAAGAAATTTTAAATGATTTTTGTTAATCTTTTACATTTAATGAATTGATAATAGTATTATTAAAGATTAACTAATAAAATAAATTATTTTGCATAATAATTCCCTTTAAATTTAGTTAAGTTTTTCATTTCACTGTGTTTTTAAACATTTAATTTATTTTTTACTAAAAAGTATTAAGCAATTTTTTTTAATAATTATTAAATAATTACAAACATAAACAAAAAGTAAAGATTATTTAAATAATAAGTAGAAGTAAATAAGTAAGTAAATATAAATATGGATTTTCTTAGGTTAGATTTATTTTCGTAACCCTTTAACTTTTATTTTAGTAACAATTAGATCAAAAAAGGTTCTATCTTTGGAGCATTTATTTCTGTCGGGATATTGGCAGCAGCTGTTGCTTACTTTGCTTACCTGACTATGCAGTTTATTGATAATAAATTTGAACCAACTTTTAGATCATAGACTTTTGTCACTGATGGCTAAACATAAATTAGCTTTTAAGAAGATCTGATGGCATTCAGGTTTGAATATGATCATAATTTAAGTATTGATGAATACTAAGAGAAATTAAATAAAACCTTCCTTGTGACCTTAGCATATTATGTTGATTTTAATCATGATACCTATTACCCAACACAATTAGATATAATCTAATGCTCAAATCCAGAATTGTATGGCTTTAACTGCATTGATTTTTCTAAAATATCTGACAAATAGCTATTGTTGAACAACAAAGAAGATATTTTCAGTTAAATTTAGTTGCTAGTTTATGATTGCTATGCCACTGATTATCTCAAAACTACAATTCCTTCTAATTGTGCAGACAAATAAGATATAATAAAGCTTGTTAACGGCGATTATGCAGGATTAAATTTAAGATTGTATACTTCTTAGTACAATATCACTTCTAAGCAAAACCAAGTAAATTTTAGAAAAGCATTTATTTACTCAGAATCTGATTAATTTGTTTTTATCACATAAAACATTCAAAATTAAGTAACTAAAGTTTAGTAGGGATTTGTGTTTCAATCTTAAAATGAATATTAAGGACCTATTTAATATAATTAACTGTATTAAATATTTACTAATCAAAATTATTAACCATATATTGAAGTGAATTTACAAATGGATGAATTAGTTTCAGAAATTTAAATCCAATTCCCTAGTTTTGTCCAAGTTTTAGTTCTAGTAAACAATTTGATTGTCTGGATGGTCACTCTAGGATACTTATTCAAAATTTATTCTCAAAAACTAATACAAAGAGATCTGTTTTATGTCTTTTTACAATCTATGTATCAAGACACTTATGAGTAGAACTTGAAAAAAAATAAGCTATTTAATCTAAGTGATGAATGCAAAGATACAGAGATAAATAATGAATTTTTAATTGAATAGTAAATAAATTACTAATAAAAGAAAAAAAAAGATATTTAAATTCCTTTATTTATGACTAAATCAAGACAATATGTTGAGTAAAGCTAATAAAATGATTTGGTTGACTATCAAGAAAAATCCAAATTCTCAAAAGAATTAACTAATATCAAAAACACGTAATCTTGCGAAATATTAAGAACACAATAACCAAACTTTAATTTTGAATAGAGTATACAGAAAAATTTAATACAAACGAAAAAGTCTAAATTAAACCAACAAATTAGAAACGCATGTTCAAATTAGGATAAATAAACATGCTCTAGCTTAGAGTCTTAATTTCACTAATCTACATTAAGAAATTAATGTGAAACAAAACAAAGCGCTTTTATTCCAAAGCTAAATAAAACTTAATATTTAAAAAGCAACTGTAAAAATATTGAGTATTATGCATCTAAGATTAAAGCTATTTAAGATAAAAAAATATTGAATGATGCAAAATCCCTTTTTTTTAAAAAAAAGTAAGATTTCTTTTAAAAAATTAATATTAAACCCTTTATTTAATTAGACGAACACGCCTTTTATAATTATTTGATCTAAAAAGATTATGTAAGAAGAAAGAAATTGATGAAGATTATTATAACTAGCAATAAAAAATAGCAAAAAAAGGAATAGAAAGATAAGTCTACAAAAGCATGTAAATTCTAGAGCTATACAAAGATTTGATATTTATCAAGAAGTCTATTATGGTGCTACTCAAAAAAGATTAAATAGCAGCCTTATAACTAGTGGGATATTCTCAAGATAACCTAATTTAGTAAGGAAATAATATGCATAAAGCATAAAATCAATGTAAAGTTTTTAATTCTAATTTGATTTTGAAGTTATTTTTTTTTTAAATAAATAAATTAATAGATAATTAGCATGTTTAAAAGAATTATTTTGAGTAGAGATTTGAACTATTGAATTCATAAGAATTGTAAAGTGAGTACATCAAAAAATTTATTAAGAAATGTTAGTCAGGCTAAAATTTAGACTAAGTAGATTAAAGAATATATTCTTCCATTTTATGAAATGTTTAGAATTCAAGAATTTATTTTTATAAATAAGTTTATGTGTTATTCTTTTTATTAAGTTATCAATTAATTTAAAATAAATGAAATATTATTTTAATATTTAGGTGAAATTTTTTAATTATTTTTTATAATTAATATCAATTTAATAATTTTTGATTAAGTAACTATTGCTGTTCCTGTATTTCAAATGATTATAAAATTATTCAAGATGATTTTTGTTCTCCAACTAATTTATCTTCTTTATATTATATAATAGGAAAAGTGTCCTCTAGCATTAATTTTTTTTAAATCAAAATTGTTTTCGTTCATGAATTTGTAAGAATAAGATTTTATCAAAAGAAGAATAAATTTCTTCCCATACTCTTAAAAAAGTTAAGGTATTTGTTATTTTAAATATTTATTTATTTACTTATTTATTTATTATTATTGAAAAAGTAATAAGAAAAGAAGAAACAAAGAAAATTTAATATTTTCAAAACAAATAATAAATTCTTCACACATAATTATCTGTATTTTAGAGTTACAAAGTTAAAAATTTAGTATTTTTATCAAAAAAACCAAGGTTAAGGCATCAAAGCTACGATACCCTCTTTTTCAAATCCACTAAAATCATTAAATTTTTAAGTTTTCGCATAATAGTGACTTTTAAAAATAGCGAAAGCTTTTTCCCATCTAACTGATTTAGCACCTTAATCTGCTGGAGATATATAGCATAATATTGTTCTATCGATAGTCATCTATTAAGTGGCTTCAATTTCATAGCTTACGTTTATCATGTAAATCGAAGATTTATCTTAGTCTTAGGCCAAAAGTATTTCGAAAATGTCTTCCTCAACTGGGTATGTTTCTACTAATTCAATTCCATCTTAAGCTGCAGGTTAAATTTTAAGGCCTGATATTCTATATTAATCAAGATCACTTACCGCGTCTTTTATTCTTTAATCAATATATGCGTCTATGTTTCTCAATTTTTTTGACTCAACAAGATTTAGAATGCATAAAAAACAAGAAATAAGTATTAATTTTGTTAAGATAGACATTGTTTAATTATAAAGTATGCCCTTTTCTTATTTTCTTCCTCTCAAATTAGTTATTTAAATTTTTTTTCACTTAAAATTAATTATGTTTTTCAAAATCAAAAATGCATTTTTCAAAATCAAAGGCATTCATTCATTTTTTTATCTAAATAAATAAACACTTGAAATTTAAAGCCAAATTTTTTTAATAATGATCTTCACCATTCTTTTTTTAAAAAACTGAATTGGTTAATATCTTTCTATCTTTTAATAAACGGATAAAACGAAAATAACAGATAACAATTTTAAGTATATTTAAAAAATATTTTATTAAGATAATTATTATATTTAATTTAACTAATTGTTATATTTATTCATCTATTAATATCCATTTTAATAGATTTTATTTTAAAATCTTAACTACTTCTAGTGATTTTTATATTAAAATTTTGGATGTTTGTTTTAGGCTGTCTATCTCTGTATATCTAAACGTCTAATTAAAATCTAGTGGTATGGCAACCTTATAGATATTAATTAGACTAGGTTTTTAAATAAAAAATATTTTTTTTAAATAATTATCTTTTTAGGATTCATTCATGAATTAATTTGCAATTATTTATTAATTTAAATATTCTACCCCTTCTTAAATACATATATAACAATTCTATCTTGATATTATTTTTATCACAAAAAAGGATAGATAAATATTCTATCAATAAATTAAAAAAGTTTGTTTATTTGATGAACTGGTTAACTTTATTAATAAAAAAAATAATTTTAATAAAATTAAAAAATCAGATTTTCCTATTTTAGTTTGACTAAAATAAAATAATCCATTAACATTTTTACAAGAAAAAGAATAAAAACCGACATAATTTAAAAAATATTAGATTAGCAATATAAATATTTAAAATTGTTAATAATACGCAAAAGGTTATATAAGTTGTTATTGTTTATATAATTTATAAACATTGATTGATTGATACAGTATTTTATAATAATATTAATTATTTCTTTTCAGTCAAAAATCTTTTTCTAAATTAGAACATTAAATATTCAAGTTACTGATTATACAAGGCAGAATATTCAAGATAATTATTTTCATACCTTGCAATAAATATTGATTAATTTGCATATACTAAAATATTATTTAATTATTTATTTATATTTATTAATTTCATAAGCAGTTTTGTCTTTAAATAAATAATTAATGATACCACTTGAAATATTATTCTATTTTTTATTTAATTGTAAAATCATTTTTTTAACATGTATCTTCAGTGAATTAAAATAATTGAAAAGAAAAAAAATTAAAGCAAATAAACTATAAATTACTTGGTATTATCATCCAAATTAAAAATGATAAACTTAATTGAATTATTTAACTTTTCTTATAGGTTTAAATTAAAAATCAAAAGTTTAATTATGATAATATAAATTAATCGCTCTTCTTAGTTTTTTTAAATCTAAAAAAAATATATGATCTATATAAATCAATTAATATCCACTGTATTAGATAAACATTCGACTAGGTTGCGGACAACAAAATATTGACAAGGCGATTTTAGTTAAGAATAAGATTTTATTAAAAGCAGAGTGACTTTCTTCACATATTCTTAAACAAGTTAAGGTATTTGTTATTTTAAATATTTATTTATTTACTTATTTATTTATTATTATTGAAAAAGTAATAAGAAAAGAAGAAACAAAGAAGATTTAATATTTTCAAAACAAATAATAAATTCTTCACACATAATTAACAGTATTTTAGAGTTAAAAAATTAAAAATTTAGTATTTTTATCAAAAAAACCAAGGTTAAGGCATCTAACCCATGATAGTCTCTTTTTCAAATCCACTAAAATCATTAAATTATTAAGTAGTTGAATAAAAGTGACTTTTAAAAATAGAGAAAGCTTTTTCCCATATAATTGATTTAACACCTTTATCTGCTGGAGATATATAGCATAATATTACTCTATCGATAGTCATCTTTTAAGTGGTTTCAATTTCATAGCTTACGTTTATCATGTAAATCGAAGATTTATCTTAGTCTTAGGCCAAAAGTATTTCGAAAATGTCTTCCTCAACTGGGTATGTTTCTACTAATTCAATTCCATCTTAAGCTGCAGGTTAAATTTTAAGGCCTGATATTCTATAATTAGCAAGATCACTTACTGCGTCTTTTATTCTTTAATCTATATATGCGTCTATGTTTCTCAATTTTTTTGACTCAACAAGATTTAGAAGAATGCATAAAAAACAAGAAATAAGTATTAATTTTGTTAAGATAGACATTATTTAATTATTATGTATGCCCTTTTCTTATTTTCTTCCTCTTAATTAGTTATTTAAATTTTTTTTTCACTTAAAATTGATTATGTTTTTCAAAATCAAAAATGAATTTTTAAAAATCAAAAGGCATTCATTCATTTTTTTATCTAAATAAATAAACACTTGAAATTTAAAGCCAAATTTTTTTAAAATAATGATTATCATAATCATCATTCTTTTTTTAAAAAACACCGAATTGATTAATATCTTTCTATCTTTTAATAAACGGATAAAACGAAAATAACAGATAACAATTTTAAGTATATTTAAAAAATATTTTATAAAGATAATTATTATATTTAATTTAACTAATTGTTGTTTTTATTCATCTATTCATATCCATTTTAATAGATTTTATTTTACAATCTTAACTACTTCTAGTGATTTTTATATTAAAATTTTGGATGTTTGTTTTAGGCTGTCTATCTATGCATAGCTAAACGCCTAATTAAAATCTAGTGGTATGGCAACCTTATAGATATTAATTAGACTAGGTTTTTAAATAAAAAATATTTTTTTAAAATAATTATTTTTATAGAATTATTTTGAATATCAAAAATAAAAGATTTAAATTAAAAATGCTAATACCCTTAAAAATCATTGCATTTATTTATTGATTTTTATTTTTTTGTGTCTGTCTATATTCAATTTTCTTCTTTTTTAAAAAAAAGCATGTTCAATTATTTGATTTAATTATTTATTTTTTCATTCATTTATAAATGCATACATTTATTTAATATATTTATTATTTTTACAATTTTTACTCTTTTTACTTTTTGTTTTCAGTAAAAGAAGTAGAGTTCTGTTAATTTTTGCTACTTCGATTTTCATCCCAAAAAATTTTGTATTAAATTACTTCACCATATTTACTAATATGTTCTTAATTAGTTAAATTTTAACTAAATACTTTATTTTTGTTTGAAGTTTGCTTGTTATGCAATATATATGATAAACTACCAAAAAAATACTAAAAATAGTTAAACATACTTATTATTCTTCTTCACTTACTGAGTAGTGAAAATTTTCAATAACTACAAAATTTACTATTTTTCGTTACAAAAATGGTAAGAAATAGCTATATTTGCAAAAGAATCAACTAAATTAAATTAAGTCTATTAGCCAATTTTTGAATTAAGGCTCTTAATTTCTCAGGCAATAAACCAAATCTAAGATGAGGTAAGGCAGCAAGAAATTGCTTTTAAAAATTTAGAGTTGGTGAAAAAAGATGTCTACCAGTATAGACCACAAATTAGAAAGATGTCAATGAATAAAATTTTTTAATTAGCATTAATTTTATTTCTTAAGATAAAATTTATTATTATAACTCATAAGGTATCTTGCATTTTTTTAATTATTTATTTTCGAGATCTTAAAAAGAAAATTTTTATATTAATTTATTTTTAGATTAGATTGATTAGTTGATTGATTGATTGATCAGATTGATTTATTGGATTATAAACTGCGATTGGTATTAAAAAATTTCATGAAAATTAAAAACAATGTTTTCGAAAACAAATTTAATAAGATTTTATTAAAAGAAACATGGATGGTAATTATCCTATTTTCTCAAGAAATTTAAGGTATTTGTTATTTTAAATATTTATTAACTTGTTTATTTTTTTGAAAATTAAAAAGAAAAGTAGAAACAAAAGAAATCTAATCTTTCAAAACAAATAATAAATTCTTCACATACTATTTTTTTTTTTGATACAAAGTAGAAATTATACTCAGTCTATTTTTATTAATAGCCATATTTTATACAAAAATATCTTTAATTTCAACCTGATTATATTATATTTATAATATTCTCTTTTTCTAATTAAGTAAAATCATCAAATACTAAAATAATTTTGGTACCATCCTCTTAAAATTCAGAGCAAACATGGGAATATTACATTCTAGCACGCTATGAGTCTGTTAGTGGTATATAGCATATTGTTAAGTAAACGGCCATCATGTCTTGAGAATCTTCTAAAGTATATTTTAGATATGACTTATAAATCGAACATTTTTCTTAGTCTTAGGCCAAAAACACTTCAGAAATATCTTCCACATTATCAGCTGAGTATGTTTCGACTAATTCATGCTCATTTTTAGATCCAGGCTCAATTTTAAAGACTTATATTATTTCAAATTTAACATCTGTTATTGTACCATAGGTTTTCTTATTTACTAATAATGATTTATTTCTTAATATTTTTGACTCAACAAGATTCAGAATACATAAAAAACAAGAAGTAAGTATTAATTTTGTTAAGAAAGACATTATTTAATTATTATGTTATTTTCTTTTTTTCTTCTTCTTAAATTAGTTATTTTCAATTTTTTTTACTTAAAATTGATTATATCTTTTCAAAATCAAAAATAACTTTTTGAACATTAAATTTTACCCAAAAAATAAACACTTGAATTTTAAAACATAATTTTTTAAATAATTAATATCATTATTATTCTTATTTTTTAAAAAGCAGAATCAACCAACATCTTTCTATTTTTTAAGAAACGGAAAAAACGAAAACAACAAACAGATAATAATTTTTGTATTTTTAAAAATAATATTTTATATAGTTAAATTAATTTAGCTTATTGTTTAATTTATACATATACTAACATTCATATTAACATATTTTTTTTAAAAACTTACAATTTCAAGCTATTTACATATTGAAATATTTTTAGGAATAAATTTTATTTAATTTTTGGTAATTTATATTGGAAAATATTTAAGTTATATAAAAAATTTTTTTTCTTCTTACAATAAGATAAATAATAGCTAACGAAGTTTCATTTTGAGAGCTTATGACTTTTTTATCTAATTAATTAGATCTCAAAGAGTTATTAAATAATATGTGTATTTTTTTATTATCTATATGTCAATGAGTTAGATATAATATAAAAAAAAATTGAAATAATGATATGATAGAATCCTATTTTATTACATTTTGCTACCTTAAGTAATGAATAAGTGATAAAGTTAATTTTTTTGTTATGATAGGTAAATTTGTATATAAAGTAATAATAGATTTAGAAATATTAATAATTATAATTAATTTATTTATTATTATTTATTTAAATTTTAAAATAATGTCTTCAATATATCTAATAAAAAATACAAAAACTATGCTTAAACTTATTAATTTGGTTGGAATAATATTATATATTTAGAAAGAAAAGTTTAATAAAGCATAAAATTTACTTTGATTGGATAATTAATTAATCTTAATTCTGAGAATTTTATAGTTTGAAAATTCATTCTAGTAAATCTAATAAACTTTTAAAATTCAGAGAAACATTTTGCTAAAAACTATTTAAATATTTTGATGTTAAATTAATTAATTTTCATTTAATATATCAGAAACAATCTTTTTTATATACATAGTCTTTGATTTGATTATTTTTTGTTCTAAAGGTTAGTTAAATAACCATTAATAAATAGCTATGGTTATTTTTTTATTATAGTTTATCACAAGATATATTTAATTTAATTATTCTTCAATTTTTATTCTTAAGATATCAATAAATATCAAGAATGACATAATAAATTATTACTGATTTCAATTCTGAATATCATAATAGAGATAAGTTTTTAATAAATTCCAAATAGAGTTAAGTAAATTATTAATAGTTAAAATATATTCATACTAGTAAAAGATTTAATTAATAAAGCTTAAATTAAAGGAAAATAAATTTTTAAAGCATTTTTACAAGAAAAAATTGCCATTAATTTGTTTAAATGATTAAAAGATCAAAGAAATTTTAAATAATTTTAAAAAATCTTTTACATTTAATTAATTGATAATAATGTAAAAAAGAATAACTAATAAAATAAATTATTTTGCATAATAATTATCTTTAAATTTAAATAAATTTTAGATTTAGTTGTGTTTTTAAACATATTTTATTATTTTTACTAAAAAGCATTAAGAAATTGATTTTTTATGATTGTTTAGTAATTACAAACACAAACAAAAAGTAAAGATTATTTAAATAATAAGTAGAAGTAAGTAAGTAAATATAAATATGGATTTTCTTAGGTTAGATTTGTTTTCGCAACCCTTTAACTTTTATTTTAGTAACAATTAGATCAAAAAAGGTTCCATCTTTGGAGCATTTATTTCTGTTGGGATATTGTCAGCAGCTGTTGCTTACTTTGCTTACCTGACTATGCAGTTTATTGATAATAAATTTGATCCAACTTTTAGATCATAGACTTTTGTCACTGATGGCTAAACATAGATTAGCTTTTAAGAAGATCTGATGGCATTCAGGTTTGAATATGATCATAATTTAAGTATTGATGAATACTAAGAGAAATTAAATAAAACCTTTCTTGTGACCTTAGCATATTATGTTGATTTTAATCATGATGCATATCACCCAACACAATTAGATATAATCTAATGCTCAAATCCATAATTATATGGTTTTAATTGCATTGATTTTTCTAAAATATCTGACAAAAAGCTGTTGTTGAACAACAAAGAAGATATTTTCAGTTAAATTTAGTTGCTAGTTTATGATTGCCATGCCACTGATTATCTCAAAACAACAATTCCTTCTAATTGTGCAGACAAATAAGATATAGTAAAGCTTGTTAACGGTGATTATGCAGGATTAAATTTAAGATTGTATACTTCTCAGTACAATATCACTTCTAAACAAAATCAAGTAAATTTTAGAAAAGCATTTATTTACTCAGAATCTGATTAGTTTGTTTTTATCACATAAAACATTCAAAATTAAGTAACTAAAGTTTAGTAGGGATTTGTGTTTCAATCTTAAAATGAATATTAAGGACCTATTTAATATAATTAACTGTATTAAATATTTAATAATCAAAATTATTAACCATATATTGAAGTGAATTTACAAATGGATGAATTAGTTTCAGAAATTTAAATTCAATTCCCTAGTTTTGCCCAAGTTTTAATTCTAGTAAATAACTTGATTGTTTGGATGGTCACTCTAGGATACTTATTCAAATTGTATTCTAGAAAATTAATATTAAAAGATATGTTTTATATCTTTTTGCAATCAATGTATCAAGACACTTATGAACAGAACTTGAAAAAAAATAAGATATTTAATTTAAGCGATGAATGCAAAGATACAGAGATAAACAATGAATTTTTAATAGAATAGTAAATGAATTGCTAATAAAAGAAAAAAAAAAATATTTAAATTCCTTTATTTATTACTAAATCAAAACAATATGTTGAGTAAAGTCAATAAAATGAGTAAGTTGACTTTCAAGAAAAATCCAAATTCTCAAAAGAATTAACGAATATCAAAAGCACGTAATCTTGTGAAATATTAAGAACACAATAACCAAACTTTAATTTTTAATAAGGCAAAAAAAAAAATTTAAAAGAAAGGAAAAAAATTAAATTAAACTATAATATTAGAAGCCCATGTGCAAATTAGGATAAATAAACAAGTTCTAGTTTAGAGTTTTAGTCTCATTAATCTACATTAAGAAATAAATGTGAAACAAAACAAAGTGCTTTTATTCCAAAGTTTAATAAAATTTAATATTTAAAAAGCAACTGTAAAAATGTTGAGTATTATGCATCTAAGATTAAAGCTATTTAAGATAAAAAAATATTGAATGATGCAAAATCCCTTATTTTTTAAAAAAAGTAAGATTTCTTTTAAAAAATGAAAATAATAAGTCCTTTATTTAATTAGACGAACACGCCTTTTATAATTATTTGATCTAAGAAGATTATGTAAGAAGAAAGAAATTGATGAAGATTATTATATCTAGCAATAAAAAATGGCAAAAAAAGGAATAGAAAAATAAGTCTAAAAAAGCATGTAAATTCTAGAGCTATACAAAGATTTGATATTTATCAAGAAGTCTATTATGGTGCTACTCAAAAAAGATTAAATAGCAGCATTATAATTAGTGGGATATTCTCAAGATAACCTAATTTAGTAAGGAAATAATATGCATAAAGCATAAAATGAATGTAAATTTTTTAATTCTAATTTAATTTTGAAGTTATTTTATTAAAAATAAATAAATAAATAGATAATTAGCAAGTTTAAAAGAACTTTTTTGAGTAGAGATTCGAATTATTGAATTCATAAGAATTGTAGAGTGAGTACATCAAAAAATTTATTAAGAAGTGTTAGTCAGGGTAAAATTTAGACAAAGTAGATTAAAGAATATTTTCTTCCATTTTATGAAATGTTTATTATTAAATGAATATATAGATAAATGCCATTTAAAAATTTAGTGAATTAAGATCACTATTTTTTTGAATGGCTAATGCATTTTAATATTATTTATATAAAAATAAATAATTTAATATTAGAATTTCATTAATAATATTAATAATTTTAATTTATATTAATCTTTATGATTTTTCAATTAATTTTTTCAATTTAGCCTTTTTTTTTAATTTTCAAAATTTAGTTTTAATATAATCTAGTATTAATATTATGTGTTTGAGGAATTAGAGTATTTGGAGTTAGTAAAAATATGTGTATTAAATGATATTTTTCACTATATTTCATGCAAATCATATGCTATTTATGGAAGATAGTTTTAAGAAAACTATTTAAATGTTTTAGCTAAAATTATTAGTGATAAAATTTAAGATTGAACATTTTAAATTAAAAATGTTGTATCCATACTATTTAACTTTGAAATCATAATTGTATTAGATTGATTAAAGATAAAACCTTTCATTATTCTTTCAATAAGTATAGAAGGTAGAATTGAACTGCAATTCATAGCTTGAAGAATGTCAGAGTTAATTTCCTCATAATTTGTTAACAATTCTTCTAGGTGATAATAGCATTATATAAAATATTTTTTAGGTATATTTACTTTTATCTTTTTTTTTAATTAGATACTATTTATTATTTTATGTAGTTCATAGTAGTATTGACAAAATTTGTTATAGCATATCTCTTCTTAATTTTGTATAGATACATCATAATAATCAAATCCTTCATTCAAATTCAACTCAACTTCTTTTACAAATTTTAAATCAAGTCTACAAAGTTATTCATTTACATGCTACAAACTTTCATTTCGCTTAGAAGAAATCACTTTGAGCCTAAATTATTTCTCAATAATCAAAAACAAAAATAACAAAAAATAAATTGAATTCCAAATTATTATCAGTATGTTATTTACATCAAATATGTTTTAGGAGAAGTTTTGGCTGTTCTAAAATTCTAGCAAAGTTTTATTTATTCCAACATAATTTATAAACAAGACAAATCTACTTAACTAAGCAATATAACTAGTAATATAGAACATCTTATCATAATAAAAAGTAAACTAATAAATACATTTATTTAACAGAATACTCAATAGTGTAGCATCAAAAAAGTTGATTGTTTTATTTTAATTTAAAAAAGACATACTAAAAACCTAAAAAGCTATAATAATAAAGTTAAAAAATATTAAACTTACAAGTCTACCATTGTAGAAGAAAGATGTTAATGTTAAATAGTAAGTAAAAATTGCTGTAAAGTTTTTTGCTATTATAAAAGCATGCTTTTTAAATATGAAATACTCAAAAGAACGATCATTTATCACTAGCAAACAAATAGATATAACTAAAATACAGAATGCTATTTAAAATAAAAAGTTAAAATAAGCCAGATATCTGTAATTCAAAGGAACCATTTCATTTTACAATAATTCTAGATGAAAAAAAAATGTGAACTAAGCAAAATTTTGAATAATTGCTCTGGAAAAAGCAAACCTAAATATTAAAGCTAATCCAGCTAAATTACTCATTTTTTTAGCAAAAATAGGATATATCCAACCAATATTTAAAATATCCAAGACAATAAAAGTTGATTTATAAATGTTTTATTTGTAAAATCCATTAATTAATAATACTAATTTATCTAAACCAAAAATTATCCAGTATGTGTAAAAGTAAGAAGTATCACCACTTAAATAAGATTTAATGCTAAAAGCAATATTAATCATATCGAAAGTATAATTTAATCCCAACACAATTAATATTATTTTGATATATTTTTAGTATGGAGCAATATTTACTAAATCATCCATTTGTTTGTTTTATTTGTTTCTTTATTTATTTTTTCTTAATTGTTTTGTCTAAATTAATTGTGATTTTTTATAAATCAGAAAAAAGTGTTTAATATAAAAGGATAATTTTGATTAAAAATTTGAAAAAAATAGATTTGTTCTAGATAATTATGTTTTGAAAATAATTTGTGTATTATAGGATTTAATATAAAAGAATTTGCTAATTTAATAGATTTCAAAATCTGATAATATATTTCTATATAAATTAAATGAATAGACTCTTTAAATTTCTCAAAAAGTTTCTACAGTAAATTATTTAGCTAAAATAGCTTTTATTGAATAGCTTAAAGAAGCCAGCCATTCTAATTTAATAATTATAAAGATATTTTTTAATAAGTATCGTAAAATAAAAAAATAACCTTTTTAAACACTCTCTATTTAGAAATAAGCAGGAAATAATAATTTTTCAAATAAATTTTAAAAGGTTCTAATATAAAATATAATTAAGTTAGGTATTTTATAAAAAATGTAAAAATAAATTAATATTTTTTTTCATTATAATAATAAATTTAAAAAAACTCAACAGTTTCAAATTAATTTTTTTCCCTCTTCTACTTTTATTTTTTGATTAATGCTCAAATAAATTTTTTTATTTTAATAATAGCTTAAATTGATAATTAATAAAATATACACATTCTTTTAATATTTTAGTTAAGAATTCTATTTTTAATTTTTTGAATTTAATTTGTAATTTAATCATTCATTTTAAAAAGTAAAAAATGTATTTAATATATGATTTAAGAAACTAATAAAATTTGCGTAACTTAAATTTAATGGAAAAAAAAAGTTAGAAAATTTACATTACAGCTCCTTCTATAAAAAAATTTAAGTATTTTTTTAGATATCTTCAGAGATTAAAAATTAATTTATTTATTCTAAAAAAATAAAATTAATCTAAAAATAGAAACTACTCTTATTAGATTTATACGCCTCAAAAATAGGATTTTATATTTTAATAAAGAAGTTTTTATTAAAATTAAATTTGAAAAAATTTAGAAGTGATTTATGATAGATAATATTTTATCTGTATAATTTAACCTTTAAAGCTATATTTAGCTTATCAAATTATAATAGACAAAGTATATAGATTAAATGCTACTGAATGAATTAATCAAACATTTATCTTTACTATTATAAATTAGGTATCTATCTATCTACCTACCTATTACCAAATTATTAATTATACTAAAATTAGATTTTGGATTTTGAAATAAAGCAAAATTAATTGCTTGCTTTAATAATTATTTTTCTATAGAGAAAATTTATAATTTATATATTTTGAATGATAAAAGATTAAACTCCTACTTTTTTTTATAGCGAAAATAAAGATCCAAATACATATAAAAGTGCTCATTTCTTGATAACACAATTATAAACATTATTAATTGCTGTAATTTTAACTGCTTTGTTGTAATTAACTAATCATCTAGCTATTTATCTATTAATCTGCTTTCCTGTATATTTTTTAATCGTTTTTATTTAATATAATATGATCTGGAAACCTAAAAAGGATCTAACTAGATATTATAATTGCTATAACTTTTGTATGTTTTTTCTTGGAGGCTCAATCTTTTGTGTCTCATTTTTTCTCTTCATGAATCCAACTGCATCTCTTACATTTATAAAGGCTAATAATTGCTAAGTTATAGGCCAGTAAAAAAATTATATAGAATAGGCTGAGAAATATTCTATACTTTATATTAACTTCGAGTACTAAGGAAAATAATTTTTAGGATAGGCTTGCTCATCAGATTTAAACTAATCAGATGTTTTTGATGGTCTGGGGCCTTATAAATTCTATTATAAACATGATTAAATCAGGTAATTAATTAAAATTAATTAATTTATTTATGTATCTATTAATTTATTATGTAGTTGTGGATCTGAAGATGAAAGTTTTAAATAACACAGTAAAAATAGAATATTTCAGGAAGATTAAAAAAACGAAGCTAATGAAAATTATAGATTTTTAGGTGCAGATATAGGTGATGATGCTGATATAGATGAAGGTGAAAGTATTGATAGAGGATGTAATTCATTATTTTAATAATATTTAAATAATAATAAATAATAATTTTATACTTATCAATTAGTATTATGCAAAAAGGATTATTTATGGAGCAATGTAAAAATAGCTAGCTGGTTATGTTTACCAAATAATTTTAATATTGCTGATTATATGGAGCCATAATCTTGCTTTGTAAATTTTTTTGAAGGTGAAAGAGCTTTTTAAAGCGGAATAGATAGAGCTCCGATGAGAGACTAAAATAACTTTCCTTTAATTTCTTATGAATAACAAGCTTACTACCCTAAAACTCATTTAATTTGCATCATAATATTTACTTATTATAATTGGATTTTATCACTTAATACAATATTTTAATACACCTCAAACGCAATACTAAAGATTCTTTAAAAAAATAAATTATTAATAGGCTGAGAAAACACAACAAAATCAAAATGTTAATTGTAATAAAAACAATTAAAACTAAATAAAAATAGTTTTAAATAAAATAAAAGAAAATTGCTTTTTTAAATAATTAATAATTATTACATTAATCATATTTACATTAAGTAATTAACTTTAAATACATTTATTATAAAATTAAATCTAACTTCTAAAATATATACTTTAAAATTGATTGACTAAAAAATACCCAGTTTACCTTATTGTAGAGTTATTTATGTATGACTAGTGAAATTAGTGCTTGTATATGACTAAATAAACTTATAAGTTAAAAAATAAATGTTTAAATATTGAAAAATATCTAATAAATAAATGATTAATTTTATTTAGATTTTAAATGGACTTAAAAAATAATTTTATTTTATTTATCAAATTTTCAAAATAAAAAATATTTAAAAAAAATATGTTTATTTAATTTTACAATAAAAATATAGAAATAAAAAACAGAGTTATAAAAGCATCACTTCTAGAAATAATTTATATGCCTTAAAAATCAACATTAGAATGGAGCTGAAGAGTTATTGGCTTTTTCTTGTAATTATTCAACTGATGGGTCTAGTGCAACAATATTAGATGGAGTAGCTTTAACAGCTTCTTTTTAGTTCTGTTCAGGTTCGATTTAAATTGAATGATCAACCTCTACGTTTTGAACTTTTAGCATATTTTATTTTAATTTATATCTCTTGAAAGCACAGAAACCAACAACAACTATAATAACTACAATCAAACCAATAACTACACCAAGGACTATTGCTAATGTTGCATCAGAGCTGGATGACGATTATTTAACTATTGGTGTGTTAGGATTGGCATTCTGACCATAGATACCACCATCAGAATTAGTTGACACATACACTTCTGATGAAATAATAGAATATGTATTTGGAGATAACCCAGAGACTGAATTACTCTAAAGGCCAGCCTAAAGCTATGCAGCTTTATTTACGAGGTCTTAATGTACTATACTTGGGTCTATCTAGCTTGATTATGAACGCTTATCTGTAATATCCAGTATTAGATTAAATCCATTAGAACTTGCTGATGAGGAAGAAGAAGCCTATCCATTTTGCAAGAATCTGCTGCTAGTGGAAGTACCAACAACTTTAATGCGAGAATAATCAGATATTCCTAAGAAAGAGGCAACTGCTGAAATAAAACTGAACTTGTTGTTGTTTTCGAAGAACTGTTAAACAGACATTTAAACACTAACTTTGAGACGAACTGTATCAAGGACTTACACACGAACTAAGCAGTTAGCAGCCCCATTTATTACAAATTGAACAGTATGTGTTTGAGAATTGTATATATTTGCACCACAAGTGTTGGTTTTAGTTGTAAGATCAATATTTTCAGAAGGAAGATAAGGATCGATTGCTGAAGAACCATCAACTGAGACCTCTATGTTATTTGGAACTTAGTACTCCAATATGAAAATAACCCAAATATTAGGTTCTCCGACATTATCGTTTGTTCTCTACTATATTCTGTGTATAATGTTGTAAGGATTTAGACCATTATAAGCAATATTGTAAACAGTGTTGGTAAGAGCAGTAGCGTAGTATCTATTTTCTCTCAAATTTTTAGGTTCACTTCCATCCCATTACCATTCTTTAAACATATTTATCTTATTACTGTATGTTTAATCCAATGATGTTAGCATGCATGGTGCTGTTGATCTTAGGTTATGGTCAGCAGCTTCTGATTACCATTCAAGCTAAACATAATCAGTACCCTTACAAGAATATGCATTATTCCAATTTGGCTAAGCAGTACAGCTTTTAGAAGCTATACCTAAATTGTGTGAAATACCTGTAGTAGGAACACCATTGAAAAGACTACCAGTGAAATCAACATTTAAAACATTTTCTGGTCCTGTACATAAGAAGAGTCCACAGCCACCAAACCAGCCTGCCCAACCAGGGTCAGCTGACATGAAATTAAAATATGCATCTACATTGCAATTAACACATGTAACATTACTGTTATAAGTACCAGCAGTGTGATCTGATGCACTGGGATGAGTAGCCATCATGTGGTTATCTCTACAGTTGCTTAAATTTGCATCTGAATAAGTTTTCTTAAAGTTAACATATTTGACATTTGTTTAGTAAAGAGAAGAGTCGAAAACAGCAGATGTGCAAATGACATCAAATGAAAGAGGAGGCATTATGAGTGGATAATTCTCACCACCTTCTGTAACTACCAAGTTTTAAGTACCTGAACCACCTTAACAGACTTTGGCCTTTTAAGTACTATCATAAGCTGTGGGATCATTAGTTATAGCTATAGCATAAACAGAAGAATTTTAGAATTGGCCTACATTTCTGTAACCCTAATGAGCAAAACGAAGAATGATAGAACGGTTGGATTCGGCAGCTAGAACATGTTCAACGATGATTCCAGGCTATTCAGGATTAACCATAATGCCTTTAACAGAACGAGCAACTGCAATTTTACCTGCCCATTAACAACCTGATAGTGAAGATTTGAATAAAGATCCTACTAAGCATGTTGAAGCTTAGTTACCCCAGATGCCAACACTTGTTGAAATATTAGATACACTACTACAAGGAGTATGTACTAAGGCTAGACAAGGACCTTAAGAACCTTAAACTTAATTATTGTTAATTAGAATATTATCAGCTATAGGATCTTATGTAGATAAGAAGTAAATTGCAGTATTCATGTCATAAGCCATATTACTTGAGTCATAAGAATAATCGCGTTCAAGAGCTGCAACAAAATGGTTATTTGTTAAAGCAATATTTTTTGATTAGTAAAATCTAATAAAAATTGGTTTTCCTCTAAAGAAGTTATTATTTACCAATTTTATATTTGAAGATTACTCTATATTAGTGCAATATCCAGGACAATCATGGAAACTTGAATTAGAGACAACACTTACAATTTAATTTCCATTATCAGAGCCATTATAAAGGAAATCGAGACCACCACGAGAAGAGTCTGCTTAACCGCAGTTCCTCATTTCTACACCATTCCAAGTTGCAATACCACGTAAATGGAGTTATTTCAAATCAGGAAGAGGATTACCACTGCCATCAGATACTATCTCCCAATAATGATTTAAAACTCTGCAACCCCAAGGAATACCTTAGCTAACAGGAGCTCCTACAATCTTAATATTACGAGTGAGATGAAGAACTTGTGCACGAAGATCAAGTTCTTGAGAATAGCTTCCCCAAGTTTCAGAAAGAGTTACACTTAATGCACCAAAGTGATAGAATTAGACTGTAGAGTTTAGGGTAATTGTATTTCCATTTATCGAAAAAATACTAAATACTTCATTTTCCTTTGCATCTAGCTAGGTAGGTGCAACTGCTATTACATCACCTACACTCCATCCACTTGCGCTTACAACATTTATTGATTTATCTCCAGGATTTATGGAAGCAGCTAGACGAGTAGCAGTTGTTGCTGGAGGATTACCAAGTAAGGTAAAATTACCTGTGTTCAAAATAACCTTATTTCCTACATCTAGTTAAGAGTCTACTAAAAATTAGGTTTGCTAATCTCTATCTCCAGTAAGAATAATTGTTAAATTGTTTGTGTATGGAGTACCTGGAGTAGCACCTTCTGCTATGAACATACCACCTCTAAGCCATATTCCATTAGCTTAAACATTAATATTCTTTGTAGGATCAACACGTAAGTTACCTTCAACTATAATCTATGAATATTAGGTTATATCCTAGTCTACAACAACTTCCCAAGGGCAAGGTATATATAAGGTACTGTTTCCTTGAGTATTAAGCACAATACCTGGGTTACCATCAAAAGTAATACCTTACCAAGTAGCAAGATTGCTTATCCTTCTTGAAATTCCATCCTTTTTGCATTTGAAAGGAGGGAGTGGACAGTTAACTAAACAGCTCAGAGCATTAAGATCAACTCTTTCTAAATATTAATTATTTGTAGCTTTAGGTCTTCCATTAGCATTTAAACATAACCACATTGCTTGTCCAGCAATATCATTGTACCAATCGCCATGTTTACAGTTCAGATTCTTCATAGTTGTAAGGGCAGTTGGATCTTAATCTGCTGTAACATTCTAATAAGGTTGAACATTCTTATTGGCAATCATTTAGAAATTTTACCATGTTTCTCTGTAATCCTTAATAGGGAATTTGATTAATATGGTGTCTGCTGCAGTACTACCTGAGTGATAAGGAGAAAGTCCAACACTAAAATGAGTGAAATCAATCTATGATAATTCCCATTGAACTTAGAATATTTAACCAGCTAAGAAGGTACCAACAAAACCACCTGTAAGATCACCAGCAGGATTTAAAATTCTTTATGTCTGAGATACATAGTAATCTGAAATTTAAGCTCCTCCAATAGCCTTACCAGTATTATCACATGGCAAAACAAATAGAGATTTTGCTAAAAAGTCATTAGGATCAGTAGGATTACTAAATTCAATTCTAACTATCTGAGAGCTGCATATAACTGCATTATTCCATTTAGTTTGTTCATCTTAACTTGTAGAGCAGGCAGTCTAGTTAACGAGATGAGGTCCAGCTGGAGTAACCCATACTTGAGAGCCTCTTCCTGTTAATGTTCCATCTAAATCTTGATATATTTCTCTTCTCCAATTATCCCAAAACATAAAGTTAGATGTTGATATATTTTCATAGCTAATTCCTTTAAATAAAGTAAGTTTACCACCCTAAACCCATAACATGAAATTTGAACAACCTGAGCAAGATTTGAAAACTGTCATATTTTGAATGAAGTTAGCAAAATGAACATTTTGAATTCTATAACCATCTGTACGAGGAGTGATAGCGCCATAGGTATTTTGCAAATCGGAAATTAAAGCAGGATTTCCTGTTGATTATCCAACAATAAGAGAATTTTGTAGAATGACATATTCATCAGTTCTGTTAGTCAAGTAAACATTAAAACCTGATTATTTATTACCAACTAAAGTGAAATTATTAAAGACCATATTGCCTACATTCTCAGCTAATACACCGTCTTCATTATTTCTATAAGAAACAAAATTAGACCAAGTGGTTAAGAAGGAGGTATTATTAACAAAGGGATTAGGTTAGCTATCATCTCTATAAGGTTAGCATGGATATTAAAGGTTAGTCAAAACAAATATTCTCAACCCAAAACGATCATATGAGTGGGCAATATTATTAGTAAATTAGCCCAAAGCCATACCTTGAGGACAAATATCATTTCTAGCAGAAGGTCCATCAGGGTGTTCTTTAATTTCATACCAGAAACCATAAAAATCTCCACCTGCTGCTCTGTTATTGAATACATAGTTTAGAGGATTAGTTATCCAATAAGAAGCTGCTGTAATATCAGATTAGAGCATAGACCAAACTTACTTTGTACCTAAAATAAGATTCTACTCAATTATGTTGTTTGTTTCTATACCATCTTCAAGGAAAATGTTGTGACCTGCGCAATTGAAACCAACATTATTTTTGACATGGAGGTAATGAGTTGCATGGATTGTAAGGACTCTTGCAAATGAGTCATGGACTGCATTACCTTCAACTATAGAACCAGAAACATCACCAACCATATGGAAGTGTATAGGATATCTACCAATAATAGCTGGCTGACCTGTACGTCTGAATTCGGCGAATCTAATACGAGCACTTGTTTGCGAACCATGGAGCATTAAATGAGCACCATACTGAGTTTAGACAGAAGAATCATCACCTTCAAAAACTACATTACGAGTTAAAAGACCTACTTCTGCTCTCATATTAACACTGAATAATCCACTAGCATATTACTCATTTGAAACACTAACATGTTAGGCAAGTAAGGGATTAAAGAAACTTATTGTTGCAGTTGTTCCATCCTTATTCCTAACTACATTAGTAATTATACGACGCTCAGCATGACCATCTGCATAATCAGTCGAAGCAATTACTATTTCTTCACCTACTTACCAATCAAAAGCAGAATCTTTAAGGAAAACTTGAATACTGTTATCTCCAATATTAGCAGTTTGGGAAAGCTCTGTCCATGTAACAGCACGCGGTTTACCTTGGATATCAATGCTACCATTATATATAGAAAGACCCTTGCTACCAACTGTGGGGAATTATTAGTCATTTATATTACCATGCATAGTGATCCTTATATTTCCAGTTACAGGTGAACTTTAAGTACCAATTATAACATTACCATTCTATACTAAAATATTGTAAGCTTCTAAATGGATATTTTTGTCATTAGCAAAAATGAGGTTAGCATTAGAAACAACTATTGTGTTTAAGATACCAATATATGGTACATCTATGATTATGCTCTTTCCTTATGCAACATAAACTAAATCACCTGCTATAGGAGCAAAGCTTCCACCCCAAGTATTGGGATCAGACCACAAATAGCCATAATAGAATATAATTCCATTATTTATAGCATTTTATTAGTTTACTTAAACAACCAAAGACGAGCTTACAGTGTTTTACTTCATACCGCTAACGCAAGTAATTGTTGAAGAAGATATAGAGGGATTTTTACAGGCTACGCCATCAATAGTTACAGTTGCAGTTGAACCATTCTCAGGAGCTCTGTCAAGAGATATAGTTATTGAAGTACCGCCATTGATACTACCATAGTTTGGAGAAATACTATTCACAATAAAAGTCTTTGCCTAATCATAAACGACATTATTAGTCAAACTAAAAGCAGGAGAACCATTGACTTAGACTTAAACAGGGCAAGAAAGAGTATTGCCACTTTCAACTTAAGTGCCTTACTTCCACCCAAAGAGTTAGATTTCAACAAGCTAACATTTTGATTAGCCAGTTGAATCATATAATCTAAATTATTAATAAGCAGCCTTTAAATCATTAGTCTTTGAGGGATTTGTAGTTATTAATGTATCAATCAGATACATATTTTTACCCAAATGGAAATCACTTCCGATAGTAAGTAAAGTAACCCAATTTGTACCATCAACAGAAGCTTAGAATTATGTTCCAAAGAAAGCAGAAGCATCACTTACGCCTTGCGATCTTGGGTATAATTAAAACTTACTTAAAACGACCTAGGTGGAACTTCCAAAGTTAAAACCACAGTAACATGAAGATGCATTAGAGCTAGAATAATAGAAAAGTAAATCACCGTCATTTAAATATTAAGAATTTCCATTAGAGTCATCACTAATTGTAGTGAAACCGCTCAAAGGATTTATATTATCTGCTGGGAATTAATAATTGTTTCTTGAAAATGCAGAATAGGCAGGTGGTGTAGATAAAGTTAGAGTAGAAGTTGTCACATCTAATATACTAGCTTAATTACCACAGATTGTTACTCCATTTTAATTGAAGTTTTGAATATTAAATCCATTACCATTAATAATGAATTATTAGCCACCAGCATAGGATGAAGTGACTTGAGCAGAAGTTAGACCAGCAAGAGGGAATACAACTTAATTATTTTAGATAGATGGATAATTATTTGAAGAGTCAAGCAGATATAACTAGTAAACACCAGCAGGTGCATTAGCAAAAGAAATAACTGCACTTGAGCTAGATTAAGAGCTAATGCTTGAAGAGAATATTTATTCATTATTACTTGATTATTACAAATAAGCAGTTTTCAAGTTATTAATTCCTGTACCAGTTATAGTAATACTATTACCGCTAACTTAGATATTAGAAACCTACCAGGTAGCAGCAATAACAGTGAATAAGTTACTGTGAGAGATCCAAGGTATATTTCCTTAGTTGTCTAGTGGAACTAAAGTACTTCTTATAGAAAGAAGTTATTTATTTGACCCAACTGAAGATGGGGGAAGTCTAATTAGAACCTAACCAGTAGAATTATTATAAGAAATGAGTTTTGCTTAAATTCCATTAAATTTGAAAGCAGGATTTTAGTTTGGTACATTACCAGACATGGTGAGGGTTATTTCTGCACCTGCAGAAGAAACAGTATACAGTTATTGATTGGAAAGAGGATAGGTGTATTCAATCACTTAAATTTACACATATGGACTGTCACCATTAGCTGTACGAAGAGTTATAGAATAGTTTCCTTAAGGTAAATTTGGAAGTGTGTATATAACAGCAGTAGAATTAACTGAATTAATTTAAACAGGGATATTTTCTTAGCCTATCACAACAACAGAGAAAGCCCCAGCACCTGTTGGGAAATTATTACCTAAAACAGCATATTGTTTATTGAAAATTTATTAAAAGCTACTAATGGAAGTAACTTATAGTGATAAATTTAGATCGAAAGTAATTTATGGATTAAAAGGAGATGTTTAGTTTATTATTGCTTAGGCAATAAGTTTACCCCAAACTTCAATATTATATGTTTTTTATGTCACTCCTGAGGGGATATGATTTACCATATTAGGAAGTGTGCATGTCAATTATGTAGAAGTTGCAGCTGTTATGATACAGAATTCCGAGTATCCTTCTTAATAAATTATTAAAACTTAGTTATCATTTAAAGCAGAAGTTGCAAAATTTATGCCATTTATAACTAACTAAGCACCACCATAAGCAGAAACTTTACTTAGACTGAATGAATTTAATATAATATTGTATTAAATTATATTATTCGCTCCTGTTGGATTGTTGCTTCCTAATCCTATCTAGACAACTCTAAGCTAGTAATAACCTGGTAAACCTCCACCTAATAAAATCTATGCTGAATTTCCATTTGCTTTAACTACATTTACATTGTATTAAGCATACTTTAATAATTTTCCACTTTAATCAACAGAGTCTAAATAAGCTGTTAACTTGGTTTCATCTGTACCAAAATTGCTACCTGAGACTGTGATAAGAGTTTTATCTACAGGTGAAACTATTGTTTTGTCAATTGTGGTGATAGTTATAGCTCCACTGTTGTTAATATTAATATTTAGTGGGTTGCTAACTAATCCATTGTATGAAACAATAATATTTGCAGTACCTTCTGTAAGACCTAAAGGTGTTATAATCACAATCTAGGTATTAGAAGAAGATTGGATAGTTGCAGAAACAGACCCTATAGTTACAGACAAATTATTATCAGCAGAGGTAGGGAAATATTAACCAATTATTGTTAAAGTAGTACCACCAAAGCTATATATAATATTGGTACTTATTGAAGAAATAATAGGTTATGTTGTTTTTGGATTAACTCCATTTGAGAGCGCAACACCATTTGATGAGTAAAAAACTACTGGTTTATAAATTCCTGCAATCTTTTAAGGATACACTGCAGTAATTACGCCTGAGAAAGGGGAAGAAGGTGAAGTAGTAATTATACATTTAACTCCATTATAATATACTTGGAAATTAGAAACAATAGGAGTAAAACCAACAGCAGTAATTCCAGAGATTGTCAGGATTGAAGCATTATCATCTGTGAAGCTAGAGTATTTTAATGCTTAAGAGTCATTTAGCAAATTGACAACAAGTTGCTAATTAGTTAAGGAAGCGAGAGCCAAAACTCCGTTTACTCTTATATTTGCATAGGGTAAAGTAGAACGTTGAGTTAACAATTCGGTTTCTATAGCTGGATAGTTTAAGTAAGATGAAGAGGCAGCTCTAAGAGTGTCTACTACAAGTGTTATAGTTCCAGGTTCTCCGATTAGTTTAGACTCTGATAAAACACCTTCTATAAGTATAGGACTTGAAAAACCATAGAAATCAAGTATCCACTCTGAACCATCAATAAAATTAAAATTACTAGTGCAATGGATATTAGTTGAATTTAATGATTGCTGTAATGCTCCACATAAGTCTGATTCCCAAATGTTAAAAGGAATATCAGGATTTTGTTAATATTGGAGATAATTTCCATTAATTTTCATACGGAAAGTTCCTGATAATGGTTAACCAGCTGGTACAACAACCATGTAGACAGGTTTAGTTGACAAAATGGAATCAAAATTGAATGTTGGTTAGACATCATAGTTACGATGAGATTAGAAAGTTAGTTCCCAAGTTGTACCAATCTTATTTTTGTTTGAATCTAAGATGTCAGATTAAACACAAGTACTCTGATCTCCAGCATAGAAGGAGAAATGCCAAACTATTTAAGAGCATGGAGTATCTCTATTATATTTTTCAGATGTAATTACCCATATATTTGATTAGGATTTTAGTTGAGTTCCAAAAGGGGATATGAAATTCATTCCAAAGCTACCTTTTTTTGCTGTATTTAAATCTGAAAAAGATATCCTCACTACTTCTTTGGTGAAGGCATAATTAATTTTAAATCTTGATATTTACCCAACTGAATTAGGGTAAATGTTTTATTGATTGCTTTGGTTTACTCCAACAGGAATTCTTACACCGGTGCTGAGATAGAAGTTATTAGAGCTTGAAGCTAGAGCATAAATCTTAAAATAGTAAGGTTGTCCTTATTTTAATGTTATTGTCAAGTTATCTGAGGTGGATTGTTGTAAATCATAAGAAGAGGAGTAAGGATTTCTAAGATCAGTACCATATTATGAAATAGAATTAATGACTGTCATTGTGGACTCATTTGTGCTATCACCATTTAATTGAAGTAAGACTTAAGCATAGTAACTTGAAGATGTATGGAAGTAGTAATTACCATCTCTTGGAGGGTTAAAGTAACCTTATAGGACAATAAATTATCTATTAAGACCATCTTATCTCGAATCATAATTGTAGTAATATTCAGTAGAAGGAATAATTGCTTCTTTAGCTAATTATAATTTGGAAGAATTACTTTTATATTGATTGATCAATCCATAAAAATCCCAAGAAGATGTGTTATAGGCTTATAAATGTACTCCAGAGCCAGACTCATAACGGAGAGTAGAATCAATAATAGGGCTGCTCAAACCTGCTGGCAAGGTACATGTGAAGTAGCCAAAATCATTATTAACTTCGTTAATAGCACAGACAGAGCTATTCCAAGTTACTGTTACATTTGAAGCATTTGAAGGAATATTTGATGCATAAATAGTTAACTAACCACCTTAAGATGTTATATTTTGAGGTGATCCTTAGCCAGTTTATTATGAAACTATCTGTACATCATAAGGAGTGTCGAGAGTAGTAGAACGAACAGTAGTTAAGTGGCTTTATTTGTTTGCTTCACCAGGAAGTGAAATGAATTCAGAAGAATAGAAACCAGCAGGGTGAGAATAATCAATTTCGCAAGTAAGCTTATTGTATGAACCACCATTGTAAGATGTGTCTTCATTCAGTCCCAAATTAAACCTATCACATAAAAGATTACCAACAAGCATTTTAGTGATTTAGTTGGTATTGCTTATTCTAAATGTACCCCACCATTAAAAATCTTCTTTAGGAACAACTGCACGGGGAAAGATGATGTCAAGAATTGGTGTATATGATCCTGAATATGAAAAGGTACACAAAGATGAATCAGACTGACTGCACTGAGAAGTACTTCTGTTGACAACTTAAACTACAACAGGAAGATTCTTTTGTTTAGTGCTATCATAGGCAGGAGTAGTAATACATGAAACAAAAACTTCATTTACACCCATTTCTATATTATTTTAAAAATTGTAAAAATATTATTAATTTATTTTAAAATTAAATTATTTATAAATTATATTTAAAAATGTAATTTTTTTGATTTTTAGATACTTAAATTTAGCGACGCATACAATTGAAAAGAATTGTATGGAAAATTTGAGATATTCTGACAAATTTTAGAATAAAATGGAGAAAATTTTAATTATATTTATAAAGTTAATTTATTGGATAAAATTTTATTTTATTTACCTGGAATAATACATGGATATGGGCCAATAAAAACTTAGTTATTAGAAGACATGCTTGAGTCTTGGCCAACCATTTTAATGTAAAGTCTAGTACCGCCATTTAATGAACCCATTCTTTAAGCATTGTCTTTATCAAGGATAGTAGAGACTGAGAGAATTCTAACTGAATTTTGAACAGCTCCATTTTCAATTGCAGTGGCTTTTGAATATTTAAATAGTAATTATTAATAGAATAGTATAGGCATTATTATTTAAATGAACAAAAATACCTTGAGTGATCAGCAGGCAGAGAAGAAGCCATGAAATTTATTAGGCTCTCATACAAATTTTCAATCAGAATCGATACTATTTTGTAGTTGACTTAGATAGAAATCAGATATTTGTTATCTTTATGTGTTTTAGCTTCTTATTTTTTGAGGTTGTGCTCAAATTTTATTTTATTTTTTGATTTATTTGTTTTTATTAAATATCATCCCTTCTCAAATTGGAAATTTAAACATAACTTTTGAACTTAAATAAAGGGAAATATATTACTTATTTTAATAGTAAAATTAAGATTATATAATTATTCAAATACACTGTCTATCCTCATCAAAAATTAATTACCCCATCTTTTACACTACATTAATTAAAATAGCCTATGGTAATTTATTAATTTTTGAAAATAAATGAATAGGGTGAGTAGTACCAGATGAGAAAATGCAGTACTCTTAATTAACTAAAAATAATTAATTCAGGTATAAATTAAATAAAAAATGTATAAAAAACCTGAAATAGTATGAAAGAGAATTTAATAATTCGAAGTAAAGGTTAGGCCACTTATTAAATTTCCCAGAACTAATAAATAACAATTTTAAAAGCTTAGAGTTCTATTTAAATAAATTCTAAAAGAAAAATATTTAAAATTTATGGCTGATTGATTTATGAATGAATTGTATTTGGATTTTTAAAAATCTTAAAGGAAATTTATAAACTAACAAATAAATTTGCTATAATAAAATCTTACTAGACAACCTAAAAACTCATATAAAAATAAACTAAATTGAATAAATGATAAAATAAATGTAGTTTTATTGATTTCGTAATATCAAAATACTTGTTTTTTTTTTTTTTTCAATAAATAATGAATTTTTCTGAGTTTTTATCATAGAGAGAAAATATTTATTAATTATACTATGGATGGATTGTGGTATAAAACGAAAATAACTAAAACACCATAAATTATTTATTTCTAAAGTTATTTCTAACCGTTAAACACTTGAATTTAATTAAATGGGTAATTATAATAAATATAGTAAACAAGATTTGAACCTTAGAGGGAATTTACAAATCAATCAAACTAAACAAGATAACTGATAACCATCGAATTTGAGAAATTAATTAATTACTCCTCTAATTTTCCAGCGCTTTATTAAGCTTATTTTTACCTTAATAAAATGAGTTAAAATAAGGTAATGTAACACACTTAACAGTTTAAATAGTTGATCGAATTTTTAAAAATATTTAAAAAAAAACTAAATACAATAGAATATTTAAACTTTTTGAAGGAAAAATATTTTTTAAAAATCTTAATTTAAGGGAGATTTTAACTTTCTTACTTTCAAATTACTTCATTTTTTAAATGAGAAATCAATTTTTTAAATTAAACAGGAAATTATTTATATTTATTTTTAAGTAACTGTAATCTTCAATAATTAGTTTTTAATTCGCTTTAATTTCTTAAGTTAATTCCTAAAAATTTGTTTACAATACAAATCTGATACTTATTTGCTGATGTCTTAAGGCTTACTCATATCGGTATTTACATCAGTTACTTAATTTTAAATAAAAAACTTTTGAAGCTAATAAAATGGAAATACCAAAATAAAACTCACAAATAGTATGAAAATGTTACATGAGAAATTTATCTATGCTATTAAAAATGAGTAATTTAGAGAATAATTAAAATAAAATAGGTATACTCATATTTGTTATATTTTTTAATTTTTTGTTAATTCCTGCTTATCTTTTGTTATTTGATTTGATTACTGGATCAATAAATATTAATAATACTAACAAATCTGTCTATTACTTTCAAATAGTTGATTTATCAATGTAAACTTTTTCAAATAATAAAAATTTTCATTTAATAAAATGAAATATTTTATACAAATAGATAAATACTTAATAGTATTTTAATTCAAAAAAAAGCCAATTAGAATCATAAATTATTTAAGTATCTAAATATTTAAAATATTGCATAAATAATTTAAATATAAATTGATCTTTGGCTATTTTTCTAGTCTATCTTTCCCTATAAATCACAAGATTAATCAATATTATTAAACTGTGATTTTTAAAATACATTATTGATGGTAAAAAGTAAATATATCTAATAAATATCAAAACTTACAAAAAACCTGAATTTTATTTATTCACTCTATTTTTTTATTGCTTTACTCTACTTAAAATGTGATAAATAAAATAGAGTTTTATTTTAAGAATGTTTGAAATCTAATGTAAATCTAAAATCAATGCATTTAGGATTTTTTCTGATGGTGTGCGTTATGAGCAAAAATAAAAAAATATTTTTATAATCCATTTTTACTTAAAATACATTTTTTTAAAAAAATTTCAAGATCAATAAATACTCTTAGTAAGAATCTATCTAAATAAACATATTTAATGAGATTTCATAATTATTTTTTAAATTTTAAAAGTATTACTTAAAATAACTATCAACTAAATTTCTTTTTAAAACTAAAATATTTTTTATAAACGAAACTTATCTTATAAATTTATTTTATTTTATATATTAGTTTTTAATGTAAAATTGATTAGAGTAAATATGGTAAATTTTTAATGATAAAATACAAAAATAAAACTTAGGAATCAAATATTAACTTATTGATGATGTACATAAGATCAATTTTTTACTAGATAAGATAAATATAAAATTACACATTTAATATTATTAGTAATAGTTCAAATTAATTTATAATCTTAATAATTAATAGAAACGTCAACTATTTATATGTATTTCAATTTACATCTAATCAAAATAAAATTGATGTATTGATTGTGATTATCACTAAATACTTATTTATAAACAACAGCTGAGTGTCATTTTTGTTATATTAGAAAAAAAAATTTAATAAGCTTTTTTCTATAAAAATATTTTTAATATTCAAATTAACAGTTATTAGTTGGTTCATAATATTTTTTATTTCATCACATAATTTTCAATGTTACTAAATTTTATACTTGATTTATAATATTTTCAACTTAATTAACAAATATATATTACTTTAAGTTGTTTTAATTCGTATTCAAGTTAATTTTTACTTGAATTTAATTATATTTTATCAATAGAAAAGTAAGTGCAAAATCTAATCTTATTATTAATTGATTAGCTAATTAGAGAGGAAAGAAAAAATCTGATTGATTAGTAATAGTTGTGTAATTATGTTTTGTTTGAAATAAATTTGTGACGATAACATAGAAGAAAATACATTGTACTCTCTTCAAAATAATTAATAATTAATGATTAAAGTTTTACCGTATAACGTCTAAACCTCTTACCGTGCCGATTTCGGCATTTTGTATGGAGTTATGGTATTTTTAACCTCTAGACGGCAAAAAATTTGGTACACGCAGTAAGGGATGAGGTTGAGTGGTAATACAGTATTCAATATTTATTTTTATTAATAAGAATTAAGTTTTTGTTAGCTTTTCGAATATCCCTATTTCAGTCTTTTAACTTCTTAAAGTGCTTTATGTTGTGAAATAGATAAAAATTAACTTGGTCACGAGATCACGAGACTGACATGAATTAAATTAAATTAAATTGTAATTTAATAGATCATATTTTACCATAAAATAATGTTTTTAATTAAATCCTCAATAAATCGTGATTTTAATCAAACTCCATAAATTTACATTCAAGTAAATATTTACTTGAAAATAAACAAAAATTTATTAAAAACAAAATATTTGTCTGAAGTCTGTTTGCAATTATTGAAAAGAAAATAAATCGTTTTTGAGGAAAATTTAGACAAAAAGTATGAAAAATAGTACATTTTATTTATATGAAATTCATCCAACTTGTATTTAAGCTAAAAAATCATATTCATTATTAAAATATATAGATGAATGAATAAATAAATACATTTAATTGATGTTTATTTTATTTGTTAAATAAACTAAGTTGTTTAAATGAAATATTTCATTCTTAAATAGATAACATTTATTATTATATAATATAATGAAATAATATTTCTAAATATAATTTATTTAGATAAAAAATAGTAGGAGCAATTTTATTTTTATTTCATGAAACAAATTTTCAAAATCATGTTTCTTTAATTTTAAAAAAATAAAAATATATATATTAAAATCATAATATAAAAAATAGCTTTAATAAAAGCATTATTTTCAGAAATAATTTAAAAAAATATTTTATTAAAAATCAACATTAGAATGGGGCTGAAAAGATATTGTCTTTTTCTTGTAAAAAGTCAGCCGATGGATCTAATGCAATAATATTAGATGGAGCAGCCTTAACAGCTTCTTTTTAATTTGGTTCATGTTCAATTTCAATTGAATGATCAACCTCTGCGTTTTAAACTTTTAACATAATCTATTTTAATTTATATCTCTTGTAAGCACAGTAACCAACAACAACTATAATCACGACAATAAAAGCAATAACTATACCAAGAACTATTGCTAAGGTTGTATTAGAGTCGGAAGATGATTATTTAACTATTGGTGTATTAGGATTGGCATTTTGACCATAGATACCACCTTCAGAATTAGTTGACACATAAACTTCTGATGAAATAATTGAGTATGTGTTTGGAGATAATCCAGAGACTGAATTTTTCTCTAGGCCTGCCTAAAGCTATGCAGCTTTATTTACGAGGTCTTAATGTACTATATTTGGGTCTATCTAGCTTGATTAGGAACGCTTGTCTGTTATATCTAGTATTAGATTAAATCCATTAGAACTTGCTGATGAGGAAGAAGAAGCCTATCCATTTTGTAAGAATCTGCTGTTAGTAGAAGTACCAACAACTTTTATGCGAGAATAGTCTTATATCCCTAAGAAAGAGGCTACGGCTGAAATAAAGCTAAACTTGTTATTATTTTGGAAGAACTGTTTAACAGATATTTAAACACTAATATTGAGACGAACCGTATCAAGAACTTATACACGAACTAAGCAGTTAGCAGCCCCATTTATTACAAATTGAACAGTACGTGTTCGATAATTGTAAATATTTGCACCACATGTGTTGGTTTTAGTTGTAAGATCAATATTGTCAGAAGGAATATAAGGAACAATTGCTGAAGAACCATCAACTGAGACTTCTATATTATTTGGAACTTAGTACTATAATGTGAAAACAACCCAAATATTAGGTTCTCCGACATTATCGTTTGTTCTCTACTATATTCTGTGTATAATGTTGTAAGGATTTAGACCATTATAAGCAATATTGTAAATAGTGTTGGTAAGAACAGTAGCGTAGTATCTATTTTCTCTCAAATTTTTAGGCTCACTTCCATCCCATTACCATTCTTTAAACATATTTATCTTGTTGCTGTATGTTTAATCTAGTGATGTTATCATGCATGGTGCTGTTGATCTTAGGTTATGGTCAGCAGCTTCTGATTACCATTCAAGCTAAACATAATCAGTACCCTTACAAGAATAAGCATTATTCCAATTTGGCTAAGCAGTACAACTTTTAGAAGCTATACCTGAATTGTGTGAAATACCTGTAGTAGGAACACCATTGAAAAGACTACCAGTAAAATCAACATTTAAAACATTTTCTGGTCCTGTACATATGAAGAGTCCACAGCCTCCTAACCAGCCTGCCCAACCAGGGTCAGCTGACATGAAATTAAAATATGCATCTACATTGCAATTAACACATGTAACATTACTGTTATAAGTACCAGCAGTGTGATCTGATGCACTGGGATGAGTAGCCATCATGTGGTTATCTCTACAGTTGCTTAAATTTGCATCTGAATAAGTTTACTTAAAGTTAACGTATTTGACATTTGTTTAGTAAAGAGATGAGTCGAAAACAGCAGATGTGCAAATGACATCAAATGAAAGAGGAGACATTATGAGTGGATAATTCTCACCACTTTCAGTAACAACCAAGTTTTAAGTACCTGAACCACCTTAACAGACTTTGGCCTTTTAACTACTATCGTAAGCTGTGGGATCATTAGTTATAGCTACAGCATAAACAGAAGAATTTTAGAATTGGCCTACATTTCTGTAACCTTAATTAGCAAAACGAAGAATGATAGAACGGTTGGATTCGGCAGCTAAAACATGTTCAACGATGATTCCTGGCTATTCAGGATTAACCATAATACCTTTAACAGAACGAGCAACTGCAATTTTACCTGCCCATTAACAACCTGATAGTGAAGATTTGAATAAAGATCCTACTAAGCATGTTGAAGCTTAGTTACCCCAGATGCCAACACTTGTTGAAATATTAGATACACTAGTACAAGGAGTATGTACTAATGCTAGACAAGGACCTTAAGAACCTTAAACTTGATTATTATTAATGAGAATATTATCAGCTACAGGGTCTTATGTAGATAAGAAGTAGATTGCTGTATTCATGTCATAAGCCATATTACTTGAGTCATAAGAATATTCGCGCTCAAGAGCTGCAACAAAATGGTTATTTGTTAAAGCAATATATGTTGATTAGTAAAATCTAATAAAAATAGGTTTTCCTCTAAAGAAGTTATTGTTTATCAATTTTATATTAGATGATTACTCTATATTAGCACAATACCCATTACAATCATGGAAACTTGAATTAGAGACAACACTTACTATTTAATTTTCACTGTCAGAGCCATCATAAAGGAAATCGAGACCACCACGAGAAGAGTCTGCTTGACCACAATTTCTCATTTCTACACCATTCCAAGTTGCAATACCACGTAAATGAAGTTATCTCAAATCAGGAAGAGGATTGCCACTGCCATCAGATACTATCTCCCAATAATGATTTAAAACTCTACAACCCCAAGGAATACCTTAGCTAACAGGAGCTCCTACAATCTTAATATTACGAGTGAGATGAAGAACTTGTGCACGAAGATCAAGTTCTTGAGAATAGCTTCCCCATGTTTCCGTAAGAGTTACACTTGATGCGCCAAAGTGATAGAATTAGACTGTAGAGTTTAGGGTAATTGTATTTCCATTTATCGATTAAATACTAAATACTTCATTTTCCTTTGCATCAAGCTAGGTCGGTGCGACTGCTATTATATCACCTACACTCCAACCACTTGCACTTACAACATTAATTAATGTATCCCCAGGATTGATAGAAGCAGCTAAACGAGTAGAAGTTGTTGCTGGAGGGTTACCAAGTAGAGTAAAATTACCAGTGTTAAAAATTACCTTATTTCCTACATCTAGCTAAGAGTCTACTAAAAATTAGGTTTGCTAATCTCTATCTCCTGTAAGAATAATTGTTAAATTGTTTGTGTATGGAGTACCTGGAGTAGCACCTTCTGCTATGAACATACCACCTCTAAGCCATATTCCATTAGCTTAAACATTAATATTCTTTGTAGGATCAACACGTAAGTTACCTTCAACTATAATTTATGTATATTAGGTTATATCCTAGTCTACAACAACTTCCCAAGGGCAAGGAATATATAAGGTACTGTTTCCTTGAGTATTAAGCACAATGCCTTGGTTACCATCAAAAGTAATACCTTACCAAGTAGCAAGATTGCTTATCCTTCTTGAAATTCCATCCTTTTTGCATTTGAAAGGAGGGAGTGGACAGTTAACTAAACAGCTCAGAGCATTAAGATCAACTCTTTCTAAATATTAATTAGTTGTAGCTTTAGGTCTTCCATTAGCATTTAAACATAACCACATTGCTTGTCCAGCAATATCATTGTACCAGTCGCCATGTTTACAGTTCAGACTCTTCATAGTTGTAAGGGCGGTTGGATCTTAGTCAGCTGTAACATTTTAATAAGGGCGAACATTCTTATTGGTAATCATTTAGAAGTTTTACCATGTTTCTCTGTAATCCTTAATAGGGAATTTGATTAATATGGTGTCTGCTGCAGTACTACCTGAGTGATAAGGAGAAAGTCCAACACTAAAATGAGTGAAATCAATCTATGATAATTCCCATTGAACTTAGAATATTTAACCAGCTAAGAAGGTACCAACAAAACCACCTGTAAGATCACCAGCAGGATTTAAAATTCTTTAAGTCTGAGATATATAGTAATCTGAAATTTAATCTCCTCCAATAGCCTTACCAGTATTATCACATGGCAGAACAAATAGAGATTTTGTTTAAAATTCATATGGATCCACTGGATTACTAAATTCAATTCTAACTATCTGAGAGCTGCATATAACTGCATTATTCCATTTAGTTTTTTCATCTTAACTTGTTGAACAGTCAGTCTAGTTAACGAGATGAGGTCCAGCTGGAGTAACCCATACTTGAGAGCCTCTTCCTGTTAATGTTCCATCTAAATCTTGATATATTTCTCTTCGCCAATTTTCCCAAAACATAAAGTTAGATGTTGATATATTTTCATAGCTAATTCCTTTAAATAAAGTAAGTTTACCACCCTAAACCCATAACATGAAATTTGAACAACCTGAGCAAGATTTGAAAACTGTCATATTTTGAATGAAGTTAGCAAAATGAACATTTTAAATTTTATAACCATCTGTACGAGGAGTGATAGCGCCATAGGTATTTTGCAAATCAGAAATTAAAGCAGGATTTCCAGTTGATTAACCAACAATAAGAGAATTTTGTAGAATGACATATTCATCAGTTCTGTTAGTCAAGTAAACATTAAAACCTGATTATTTATTACCAACTAAAGTGAAATTATTAAAGACCATATTGCCTACATTCTCAGCTAATACACCGTCTTCATTATTTCTATATGAAACAAAATTAGACCAAGTGGTTAAGAAGGAGGTATTATTAACAAAGGGATTAGGTTAGCTATCATCTCTATAAGGTTAGCATGGATATTAAAGGTTAGTCAAAACAAATATTCTCAACCCAAAACGATCATATGAGTGGGCAATATTATTAGTAAATTAGCCCAAAGCCATACCTTGAGGACAAATATCATTTCTAGCAGAAGGTCCATCAGGGTGTTCTTTAATTTCATACCAGAAACCATAAAAATCTCCACCTGCTGCTCTGTTATTGAATACATAGTTTAGAGGATTAGTTATCCAATAAGAAGCTGCTGTAATATCAGATTAGAGCATAGACCAAACTTACTTTGTACCTAAAATAAGATTCTACTCAATTATGTTGTTTGTTTCTATACCATCTTCAAGGAAAATGTTGTGACCTGCGCAATTGAAACCAACATTATTTTTGACATGGAGGTAATGAGTTGCATGGATTGTAAGGACTCTTGCAAATGAGTCATGGACTGCATTACCTTCAACTATAGAACCAGAAACATCACCAACCATATGGAAGTGTATAGGATATCTACCAATAATAGCTGGCTGACCTGTACGTCTGAATTCGGCGAATCTAATACGAGCACTTGTTTGCGAACCATGGAGCATTAAATGAGCACCATACTGAGTTTAGACAGAAGAATCATCACCTTCAAAAACTACATTACGAGTTAAAAGACCTACTTCTGCTCTCATATTAACACTGAATAATCCACTAGCATATTACTCATTTGAAACACTAACATGTTAGGCAAGTAAGGGATTAAAGAAACTTATTGTTGCAGTTGTTCCATCCTTATTATTAATATATTAGTAATTATACGACGCTCAGCATGACCATCTGCATAATCAGTCGAAGCAATTACAATTTCTTCACCTATTTACCAATCAAAAGCAGAATCTTTAAGGAAAACTTGAATACTGTTATCTCCAATATTAGCAGTTTGTGAAAGCTCTGTCCATGTAACAGCACGCGGTTTACCTTGGATATCAATGCTACCATTATATATAGAAAGACCCTTGCTACCAACAGTGGGGAATTATTAGTCATTTATATTACCATGCATAGTGATCCTTATATTTCCAGTTACAGGTGAACTTTAAGTACCAATTATAACATTACCATTCTATACTAAAATATTGTAAGCTTCTAAATGGATATTTTTGTCATTAGCAAAAATGAGGTTAGCATTAGAAACAACTATTGTGTTTAAGATACCAATATATGGTACATCTATAATTATGCTCTTTCCTTATGCAACATAAACTAAATCACCTGCTATAGGAGCAAAGCTTCCACCCCAAGTATTAGGATCAGACCACAAATAGCCATAATAGAATATAATTCCATTATTTACAGCATTTTATTAGTTTACTTAAACGACCAAAGACGAGCTTGCAGTGTTTTACTTAATTCCGCTAACGCAAGTAATTGTTGAAGAAGATATAGCAGGATTTTTACAGATTATCCCATCGATAGTAACAGTTGCAGTTGAACCATTTTCAGGAGCTCTGTCAAGAGATATAGATATTGAAGTACCGCCATTGATACTACCATAGTTTGGAGTAATACTATTCACAATAAAAGTCTTTGTTTAATCATAAACGACATTATTAGTTAAACTAAAAGCAGGAGAACCATTGACTTAGACTTAAACAGGGCAAGAAAGAGTATTACCACTTTCAACTTAAGTGCCTTACTTCCACCCAAAGAGTTGGATTTCAACAAGCTAGCATTTTGATTAGCCATTTGAATCGTATAATCTAAATTGTTAATAAGCAGCCTTTAAATCATTAGTTTTTGAGGGATTTGTAGCTATTAATGTATCAATCAAATACATATTTTTACCCAAATGGAAATCACTTCCGATTGTAAGTAAAGTAACCCAATTTGTACCATCAACAGAAGCTTAGAATTATGTTCCGAAGAATGCAGAGGCATCAGTTACACCTTGTGACCTTGGATATAATTAAAACTTACTTAAGATGACCTAGGTGGAACTTCCAAAGTTAAAACCACAATAACAAGAAGATGCATTAGAGCTTGAATAATAGAAAAGTAAATCACCGTCATTTAAATATTAAGAATTTCCATTAGGATCATCACTAATTGTAGTGAAGCCGCTCAAAGGATTTATATTATCTGCTGGGAATTAATAATTGTTTCTTGAAAAGGCAGAATAGGCAGGTGGTGTAGATAAAATTAGAGTAGAAGTTGTAACATTTAATATACTAGCTTAATTACCACAGATTGTTACTGCATTTTAATTGAAGTTTTGAGTATTAAATCCATTACCATTGATTATGAATTATTAGCCACCAGCATAGGATGAGGTGACTTGACGAGAAGTTAGGCCAGCAAGAGGGAATACAACTTAATTATTTTAGATAGTTGGATAATTATTAGAAGAGTCAAGCAGATATAACTAGTAAACACCAGCAGGGGCATTAGCAAAAGAAATATCTGCACTTGAGCTAGATTAAGAGCTAATGCTTGAAGAGTATATTTATGCATTATTACTTGATTATTACAAATAAGCAGTTCTCAAGTTATTAATTCCTGTACCAGTTATAGTAATGCTATTACCACTTACTTAGATATTAGAAACCTACCAGGTTGCAGCAATAGCAGTGAATGAATTTTTGTGTGAAATCCATGGTAAATTTCCTTAATTGTCTAGTGGCACTAAAGTACTTCTTATAGAAAGAAGTTATTTATTTGACCCAACTGAAGAGGGGGGTAGTCTAATTAAAACCTAACCTGTAGAGTTGTTATATGAAATGAGAGTTGCTTAAACTCCATTAAATTTGAAAGCAGGATTTTAGTTTGGTACATTACCAGACATGGTGAGGGTTATTTCTGCACCTGCAGAAGAAACAGTATACAGTTATGGATTAGAAAGAGGATAGGTATATTCAATCACTTAAATTTATAAATATGGACTGTCACCGTTACTTGTACGAAGAGTTATAGAATAGTTTCCTTAAGGTAAATTTGGAAGTGTGTATGTAACAGCAGTAGAATTAACTGAATTAATTTAAACATGGATGTTTTCTTAGCCTATCACAACAACAGAGAAAGCTCCAGCGCCTGTTGGGAAATTACTACCTAAAACAGCATATTGTTAATTGAAAATTTATTATTAGCTACTAATCGAAGTAACTTGTAGCGATAAATTTAGATCGAAAGTAATTTAAGGATTAAAAGGAGATGTTTAGTTTATTATTGCTTAGGCTAATAGTTTACCCCAAACTTCTACAGTATATGTTTTTTATGTCTCTCCAGAAGAGATATAATTTACCATATTAGGGAGAGTGCATGTCAATTATGAAGAAGTTGCAGCTGTTATGATACAGAATTCTGAGTATCCTTCTTGATAAATTATTAAAACTTAATTATCATTGAAAGCAGTAGTTGCAAAATTTAATCCATTTATAACTAATTATGCTCCACCATAAGCAGAAACTTTGTTTAGACTGAATGAGTTTAATATAATATTGTATTAAATTGTATTAGTAGCTCCTGCTGGATTGTTACTTCCTAATCCTATCTTGACAATTCTAAGTTAGTAGTAACCTGGTAAACCTCCACCTAATAAAATCTATGCTGAATTTCCATTTGCTTTAACTACATTCACATTGTATTAAGCATACTTTAATAATTTTCCACCTTAGTCAACAGAGTCTAAATAAGCTGTTAACTTGGTTTCATCTGTACCAAAATTACTACCTGAGACTGTGATAAGAGTTTTATCTACAGGTGAAACTATTGTTTTATCAATTGCATTGATAGTTATAGCTCCACTGTTATTAATATTAATATTTAATGGGTTACTGGTAAATCCATTGTATGAAACAATAATATTTGCAGTACCTTCTGTTAGGCCTGCAGGTGTTATAATCACAATCTAGGTATTAGAAGAAGATTGGATAGTTGCAGAAACGGACCCTATTGTTACTGATAAATTATTATCAGCAGAGGTAGGGAAATATTAACCAATTATTGTTAAAGTAGTACCACCAAAGCTGTAAATAGTATTGGTACTTATTGAATTAATAATTGGAAATGTTGTTTTTGGATTAACTCCATTTGAGACTGCAACACCTTTTGATGAGTAAAGAACTACTGGTTTATAACTACCTGCAATCTTATAAGGATACACTGCATTAATTATACCTGAGAAAGATGCAGAAGATGAAGTAGTTATTTTACATTAAACTCCGTTATAATATACTTTAAAATTAGAAACAGAAGGAGTATAGCCAAGAGCGGTAATTCCAGAGATTGTAAGGATCGAAGAATTGTCATCTGTGAAGTTAGAGTATGTTAATGCTTAAGAGTCATCTAGCAAGTTAACAACAAATTGTTAATTAGTTAAGGAAGCTAGAGTCAAAACTCCGTTTACTCTTATACTTGCATAGGGTAAAGTAGAACGTTGAGTTAACAATTCGGTTTCTATAGCTGGATAGTTTAAGTAAGATGAAGAGGCAGCTCTAAGAGTGTCAACTACAAGTGTTATAGTTCCAGGTTCTCCAATAAGTTTAGACTCTGCTAAAACACCTTCTATTAGTATAGGACTTGCAAAACCATAGAAATCAAGTATCCACTCAGAACCATCAATAAAATTTAAATTATGAGTGCAATGAATATTTGTAGAATTCAATGATTGCTATAATGCTCCACATAGGTCTGATCCCTAAATATTAAAAGGAATATCAGGATTTTGTTTATGTTTGACATAATTTCCATTAATTTTCATACGGAAAGTTCCTGATAATGGTTAACCAGCTGGTACAACAACCGTGTAGATAGGTTTAGTTGACAAAGTAGAATCAAAATTGAATGTTGGTTAGACATCATAATTGCGATGAGATAAGAAAGTTAGTTCCCAAGTTGTTCCAATCTTATTTTTGTTCAAATCTAAGATTTCAGATTAAACGCAAGTGCTTTGGTCTCCAACGTAGTAGGAGAAATGCCCTACAATTTAAGAGCATGTAGTATCTCTATTATATTTTTCAGATGTAATCACCCATAAGTTTGAATAGGATTTTAGTTGAGTCCCAAAAGGGGATATAAAATTCATTCCAAAGCTACCTTTCTTTGCTGAATTTAAATCTGAAAAAGATATTTTCACTTTTTCTTTGGTGTAGTTATAATTAATTTTAAATCTTGATACTTAGCCAACAGAATTTGGATAAATGTTGTCTTGATTCCTTTGGTTTGCCTCAACAGGTATTCTTACACCGGTGCTAAGATAGAAGTTATTAGAGCTTGAAGCTAGAGCATAAATCTTAAAATAGTAAGATTACCCTTATTTTAATGATATTGTCAAGTTATCTGAGGTGGATTGTTGTAAATCATATGAAGAGGAGTAAGGATTTCTAAGATCAGTACCATATTATGAAATAGAATTAATGACTGTCATTGTGGACTCGTTTGTGCTATCACCATTTAATTGAAGTAAGACTTAAGCATAGTAACTTGAAGATGTATGGAAGTAGTAATTTCCATCTCTTGGAGGATTAAAATAACCTTATAGGACAATAAATTATCTATTAAGACCATCTTATCTTGAATCATAATTGTAGTAATATTCAGTAGAAGGAATAATTGCTTCCTTAGCTAATTATAATTAGGAAGGATTACTTTTATATTGCTTAATCAATCCCGAGAAATCCCATGAGGATGTGTTATAAGCTTATAAATGTACTCCAGAACCAGACTCATAACGGAGTGTAGAGTCAATAATTGGGCTGCTCAAACCAGCAGGTAAAGTACATGAGAAGTAGCCAAAATCAGTATTAACTTCGTTAATAGCACAGAGAGAATTATTCCAAGTTACTGTTACATTTGAAGCATTGGAAGGAATATTTGATGCATAAATAGTTAGCTACCCACCTTAAGATGTTATATTTTGAGAATATCCTGAGCCAGTTTACTAAGAAACTATCTGTACATCATAAGGAGTGTCGAGAGTAGTAGAACGAACAGTAGTTAAGTGGCTTTATTTGTTTGCTTCACCAGGAAGTGAAATGAATTCAGAAGAATAGAAACCAGCAGGGTGAGAATAATCAATTTCGCAAGTAAGCTAATTGTATGAACTGCCATCATATGATGTGTCTTCGTTCAGTCCTAAATTAAATCTATCACATAAAAGATTACCAACAAGCATTTTAGTGATTTAGTTGGTATTGCTTATTCTAAAGGTACCCCACCATTAAAAATCTACTTTAGGAACAACTGCACGAGGAAAGATAATGTCAAGAATTGGTGTATATGATCCTGAATATGAAAAGGTGCACAAAGAAGAATCAGACTAACCACACTGAGAAATACTTCTGTTCATAACTTAAACTACAACAGAAAGATTCTATTGTTTAGTGCTATCATACGCAGGAGTAGTAATACATGAAACAAAAATTTCATTTACACCCATTTCTAAATTATTTATTAAAGTTAATGTAAATATTTTAATTTTATTTTAAAATGAAAATTATTTATAAATAATATTTAAAAATTTAATTTTTTTTTTTAGATATATAAGCGTAGTGATGCACAAAATTTATAAGGATCAGGTCTAAACTGAAATTAAAATTTATGATTTTTCAGCAAATTTAAGAATAAAATTGAGAAAATTTTAATATTTAGAAAAATCATTTCTTGAATAAAAAATTGTTTGATTCTTTATATTTTTACCAGGAATTACACATGGATATGGGCCAATAAAAACCTAGTTATTAGAAGACATGCTTGAGTCTTGACCAACCATTTTAATGTAAAGTCTAGTACCACCATTTATTGAACCCATCCTTTAAGCATTATCTCTATCAAGTATAGTAGAGACTGAGAGAATTCTAACTTAATTTTGAACAACCTCATTTTCTATTGCAGTAGCTTTTGAATATTTAAAAAGTAATTATTAATATATAAAAAAGTATAGGCATTATTATTTAAATGAGCAAAAATACCTTGAGTGATCAACAGGAAGAGAAGAAGCCATGAAATTTATTAGGCACTCATACAAAATTTCAATTAGAATTGATAAAGCTAACTGAGATATAATTCAGGTATTTATTATTTTTATGTGTTTTATCTCCTTATTATTTTGTTTTTATTATTTAATTTTTTATATTAATTATATTCCCTTCTTAAATTTAATATCTAAATATAAAGCTTGAGTATAGATAGAGACAAATATATTCTTTATTTTTAATGAAAAATATGAATATATAATTATTCAAATATACTGGTTTTCCTCATAATAAATTAATACCCCATCATTATTCTATATTAATTAAAAATAATATGGCACTTTTTTTTGAGCAAAAAAGATACTTAAGGAATGCCTTAATTAATGAGCATTTACAGTATAATCATGAAATAGCATGAACGAGAATTTGATAATTTGTACTAAAGGTAAGATCAATTAGCTAATTCCCAGAACTAATAAATAGAATTTTTTTAAATCTTAGACTTTTTTTTTATTTAAATAAATTGTAAAAGAAAAGTCTTTTCAATTTATGGCTGATTTATTGATTAATGAATTAATTAATTTTTTTTCATTTTTAAAGGAAATTTACATACAGACTGAAAATAAAAATTTATTGTTTATAAATGTCTTACAAGAAAGCCTAAGTATTTAAATAAAAATTCACATCAAATAAACTAAATTTAATAATGAATAAATAAATGCGATTTTATTGGTTCTTAATGTCAAAACAGCTTAATTTTTTTTTCATATTTAAAGAATTTTGTTGAATTTGATCAAAGAGAGAAAGTATTTATTAATTATAAAATGGATTGTGGTATTAAATGAATACAACTAAAAAACCATAACCTAATTTACTTCCAAAATTTTTTTCTAAATATTGATTTCTTGAATTTAATTAAAGAGGTTATGATAACAAATATAGTAAACTAGATTTGAACCTAAGAGGGAATTTACAAATCTATCTAATTAAACAAGAAAATTAGTAACCATCAAATTTGAGAAATTAATAAATTACTCCTCTAATTTTCCAGCACTTACAAAGCTTATTTATACCTTTAATTAAATTAGTTAAAAAAGGTAATGTAACATACTAAACCTTTTAAACAGTTGATTGATTTTAAAAAAATATTTTTTAAAAACCTAAATAAAAAGAATAATTAATATTTTTAAAGGAACTATATTTTATAAATTTCTTAATTTAAAGGAGATTTTAACTTTCTTACTAGCAAATTGCTTCATTTTTAAATGAGAAATCAACTTCTTTAATTAAATAGGAAAACTTTTTATTTGATTTTAGGGAATTGTAATCTTCAATAATAATGAGTTTTTAATTAGCCTTTATTTTTTAAGCTAATACCTAAAAATCTGTTTACAATACAAATTTGATACATATTTAATGATATCTTAAGATTATCTCATATTGGCAACATCAGTCCCTTAATTTTACACAAAAATTTTTTTGAAGATATTAAAATGGAAATACCAAAATAGTACTCAAAAATAGAATGAAAATGTTAGAAAGGCATCTTGCTTTTTATAAAGAGTAATTGAGAGTATAATTAAAATAAAAATTGTATATTCGTATTTGTTTCATTGTTACTTGCTTATCTTTTCTAATTTAATTAAATTACTAAATCAATAATTATCAATAATATTGACAAATCTATGTATTATTAAAGTATAGTTGATTTATAAATATAAAATTTTCAAATAATAAAAGTTTACATTCGATTTTATTTATTAACTATATTTGATTGCAAAAACTTTACTATAATTCTATAGGGTTTAGTTTTAAGGTTTATTGAAAATTGAAAACAAATGTAAGTGTAAAATCAATTCATTTAATTTAATGGGTTTATTTTGATGATATATATATTGAACAAAAATAAATTTTTTCTAAAAATTCAATATTAATAAATTTTCTAAAGTTAGAATCTATCTTTATAGATATATTTTTCATGAGTAATTAGTCACAACTTTAAATTTTAAAAGCATTATTGATTATAAAATAATTATCAATTAAATTTTTTTTAAAAACTAAAATATTTTTCATCAACAAAACATACCCTAAAAAATTTATATTATTTTAATAAGAATTTCTTCATGTAAAATAGATTAGTGTATAATTTGGTAAATTTTTTATAAAAAAAAAATAAATAATCATAATAATGTAAACACTGAATATTTATATTTATATTAATTTGCATATAAATAAAAAATTATGGATGTTTATGATTGTCTCTAAAAATTAAATAATAACAGCTGAATATCATTTTCGTTTTATTAGAGAAATAATTTGTATTCTAATTTTGTAAGATTTAAAAAAAAAAACATATTTTTAATATTTGAAGTAATTGTTATTAGTTAGTTCATTTTTTTTCCCATCTTTAGTTTTAAATGTATTATGCTTGATTAATAAGACAGGTAAAAAAACATTTATTATTAAATTTTTAAAATTTACATTCAAGCTAATTTTTAATAGAATTTAATTAAATTTCATCAAACGAAAAGTAAGTGTAAAATTTAATCTTATTATTAATTTATTAGCAAGTAGAGAAAAAAGAAAAGTTTCTAAATTATTAGTAATAGTTGGGTAATTATGTTTTGAATGAAATGAATTTGTAGTGATACTAGCTAGAAGAAAAAACATTACACTCTTGTTAAAATAATCAATCATTAATCATTCGAAATTTATTCTATATTTATTAAAGAGAGGTAAATTAATGTTAGCTTTCTGAATACTTACAAGTGTTACAAAAATAAAAGAAGCTATCCCTATATTAATAAATTACCCGTTTTAGTCTTTTAATTTCTTAAAATTCTTTATGTTAAAATATAGAAAAAATTAATTTTGGCGATGAGATTGACATGAATTAATTTAAATTATAACCCAATTGATCATATTTTACCATTAAATACCTAATAAAAAATCAGTAAATTTTTTACTTGATATGTTTAATATTAATGCTACTATGTTTTTAATTAAATCAATAATAATATGTGATTATAATCAAGTTCCAAAATGCTGAATTCAAGTGAATATTTGCATGAATATAAAGAAAAATCAATTAAAAATATAATATTTGTGTGAAGTTTGCTTGCTATTATTTAAAAAGAAAAATAAATAATTTTTGAGAAAAAGTTAGACAGAAAGTATGAAAGCAATACACCATATTTATATGAAAACCACAGTTAAATAATTTTATCAAAATTATTCTCTTTCTTAGACTTAAAGAAATAAATATTTTATTTTGAAATTTAATTTGAAATAAGATTATTATATCATTAATTATTATGGTTAAATTATTTTTAAATTAATATTTATTATTTTAATCTTTATCTTTAACATGATAAAGAATGATGGAGAGTTTTTTAAAATATTTTTTTTATGATCTAAATCATTTTTTATTTTTATAAACATATTTTTAAATGATAAATAAATAACGCCCGAACCATAAGTATGGAAACTTGACTATAAGTTGAACTAACAGTTGATATATAATTATGTCACTCAGAGTGTAGATTAAAGATATATCATTTTTTTAGTTTATGATAAAATCTTGATGGAAAATTATAAAATTGTTTACTAAAAATTCCATAGAAATTTCATGAAAAATATAAAAAAGTAATTTATTAAAATCTAAAATATTGGGTAAAAAAGATACCAATCTAAAGATGATTTAATTAATTTGGGATATTTAAATTAAAATACAATCATTTCTGTTATTGAACATACAGAGTAATATAAAGAGGTTATCAAAAATAATGGTAATTATATTAAAAATAATTTAGATGTGAAAAATAGTTATTTATATACTATATTTAATGTAATTTTATTTTTTTAATTTTCATTTATTTTTTTACTTTTTTTACCAAATAACAACATACTTCTTATTTCAAAAAATAATGAGGTGTGACACAATCAAAAATTTTTGTAATATATTTATAAATATTTATTTTATTGTTTTATAAAGGGAGTAATTGAAATAAGTAATTAATCTAAAATTGTTGGTTGATTATAAGCTCTCAAACTAAAATAAAAATTATAAATACATAAAATTAAATAAAATAATCATAATACCTTACATATTTTAGTTTAACAAGTGCATTTTAAATAATTATTTTTGAATTAATCTCCTTTAATTAGTTATTTGTTAAATAAAAACTTTGAAAAAATAATTATATTCTAATAAATTTGTATATTAAAAATTTATTATAAAATATAAAAGTTCAAATTTAAAAAAGTTAATATATAGTTTATTCAATAAAAAATTTGCTTAATTGAGGATGCATTTTTAAAAAATAAAAATAATGTAAAAAATAAAGAACGATACTTCTAAAATTAATCTTTACACGATTAAATGCCTATAAATTTAGGGGATATCTACTAAATATCAATAAAGCAAGATTTTTAATATTTTATTTTTGTGAAAAATAATAAAATGAGTACATAAAAAAATGTAAATGTGAATTTGATAAATGTAATTTTAAAAGACTTACAAACACAAAAACAAAAAGATAAATAATAAAATAGAATAATAACTTTCGTTAATAATTAGCATTTACACTTAAATTTTTAAATATAATTTATTTTTAAGTTAATTTAAATCATTTCACTTTCATTGAATTTTAATATTTGATTTTTATTTTAATTCTTTCAATATGTTTGCTTGTTTGGTTTATTCTTGATAATATATTTATATATATATAATTTATAAATTGATATATAATTATGTTTTAGTATCTCAAAGCTACAAATAGCTATCTATCTATCTTACTTGTTCTACTTTATTGGTTGTTCAAGATACTAATCTATCAGCTAAGTACTTAGCTTCTTTTTCAGGTAGATCAGCATAGAGACGGTCTTGTATTTTTTTCAAAGCGGATTGTCCAACTAAGTTAGAAAGAGAGTCAACTAGTGTTTGATCAAAAAAGGGGTTTCTAATTGTTTTTAATTCACAGCTGCTTTCACTGACCAACTAATCATTACTTTGAATTTCCATGCTATCAGGTATATTTAAGTTATTGCTAAGATGAAGATTGTTATTATTTCCATTAATTGATTTAACAACAGAAGTATTGTTTAAAATCAAGTTAGATTCTCCTTGAAGTTTTTGCTCTTCTAGCTCAATTTGATCCTTATTATCACTATAATTAACAATTTATTCTCCTTTATTGGTTTTAAATATTATAATTTTGTCAGACAAATCAATGGTATCTCTATTTAACAACTTTATTTTTTAATTTTCAATTTCTTGAAGCTTAAATGGGTTAAACATTTCTTATTCGTTAATTGTGCAAAGTTGTATTGGTTTCATTTATTTGTTTAAAATTTTTCTTCTAAAATTAAAATTTTAGGGATCCTTTAAGTGCACGAATAAAATCTTACATCTATTTTTATATTGTTCCTTTAAAGCATATTTGTTATGAGAGTTATTAATGTTGAATAAGTTGGATTCTATTTCTACTGCCAACTTTCTTGCAATTTCATAGGAATCTTATAATAAAATTTTTTTTTCTTCTTCATTTAAAATGCTCTCATTTTCTTCAAATTCTATAAGTCCATAAATTAAATATTCAAAAAACTTCTCACGTACTTCCATGCGTTTCTTTTCAGGACCAGTTGAGTTACCAATAGGGTTAAATTTCTTATATCTGTTCACTAAGCTTTAAATCTTTTCATTTTAAGTCGCACCTAAATTTGAGAATTCAAGAGCGGAGCTAGATTCTTTTTTTTATAAATTATTTTCTTTTTTTGCTTAATTTATTTTGTTCTCATTCTATAATTTTTACTATTTTAATTGTTATTTTTTAAGCTCCTCCTATTTTTTTTTAGCTTCAGCTTCTCTTTTTGCTTTTAAAAAAAACTCCTTGACTTAAGATGTATCAAGTTTCAACTTCGTAGGTTCCATCTCTTCATTAAGGTCATCTTCAACATCTATTTTTTCTTAAAAAATAAAGATTTATTAATAAATTAAAATTATTTGATGAGTCAATTAAGTAAAATAATATTTTACTTAAATAATAATAAAATATTTATTTCTGAAATTGAAACATCTTTATCTGAATGAAATTTTATTTGTTTGTAAATTAATTAATAAATTAATTTATAATAAAAAGATAACAATAAATTTTTCAGACAATTTAAACACTTAAAATCTCCCTAATTAATTAATTTTTCATTCATATTAAAACAAACACCCTCGTCAAATATTTTCCTTCAAATTCTCATAATTATGTAAATTTACTGATAAAAAATACTTAAATATGAGACAATTAAAAAAAACTAAAAATTAAATATAGATAATTAGATTGAAAGATAGATAGTTAATTAGTTAATAAGTTATATCCCACAAAAAACCTATTTTAAAATGATTTTTTATTTAGTTTTCGCTTTAATCCCACACTTTCTTTTTTTCTAATAAATTAATCTCTTTTGAAAACTAATTATATAAAAACTCTTATTACTATCATAAAATATTCCTTTTAAATATTTAAAATGCTAAATAAAATAAATACTCTTATGATATTTGGTAAGTAATCTAAGAAAATTAAAGGCCTTGATTTCTAAAAATTCATTTTTGCTTATAAATACATCAAGAAGAAGTATAAAAACCTTGCTTAGGTATTGATGAAAATAAATTATTTATGATTTTTAAATTCAAATCTTACAATTAAATAAGGGGGATATTTAAAAAAAAAAATATTATTCTGATTTGAAAAATGAATTCTAATAAATTTCTTGATATGAAATATATTCTTATATATAGGAAGGTATTTATTAATTGTTTAGTTATTCATATTTATGGAATAAATTGGAGAGTATCTTTGCTGAATTAAAACAGATACGAAATTCAATAATTTAAAATTGAAGTAAAAAATTAAATTTGAAATATTTGATCTAAATTAAATATAGTATTTATTGAAGGAAGTTTTAAGAATTGTATTTTATTCGAATGACCACGCTAAACAAAAGACGTCCTTGACAAAATTAAAATGTATTTAAAATTTTTATTTGTTTTTTCTTCTCATTAATTATTTATGTTGTTGTTTGAAAGATGAATGAATATTCAAAATTGAATTTAATTAATTGGCTTTTGTTTTTAAAATAAATGATTCATTTAGTTAGTTTGTTTGTGCTATTTTGGTGATATTAAAGTGATTTATTTGTGTTTCTTGAAAATTTGGCGGAAGATTTATTTATTTAAATTTTAATTGCAAAATAAAATGAAAATAGACTTACAACTCACGTTTGACTTTGATTGCTATAGAGTTGGAATGTCTGGTTGATTCAAACTTGAAACTGAACTTCTCTTTCCTAGAAGAGTTTCATCTTTAAGCAAGCTTGAACAACCTTGACATTTAGCGCCCATCTAGAGACAAAAATCATGATAAAATAGATCATTGCAATTAAAGCACATGACGATATTTTCATCAGGATTGACAACTTTATCGCAAATGCAAGGTTTTAATTCTTCTGGAGTTAAGGTATTCTCTTGCATATCATAATACTGTCTAATGACATAGAAAGGTCTCTCTTGAGTGGGCTATTCCCTCATGACATAATCCTTGAATTTGAGCACCTCTACACATCTATCAATGTTTTCCAACTTATCGCTGAATGTACTGCTTGTTTTGAAAAGCTCGAAGTTACCATGGTAGTATTACTTCAATGGGATATCTTTGCTATACACATAAAGACCATAAGTGAATGTTCTGTCACTTTCATCTATTTCTTCTATGCAACCAACTACTTTCTTTTTGTGCTCTTCTGAGTTAATTTAAACATTATCACCAACTTGGTAATCACTGAGGTTCATTGCTTTTACTTAGAATTTATTTTTAACTTAACTATTATTTCAGATATCCTTTGATTTTATTGGGTATTCTGCTACTAAAATTGGGTTTAGCTATGCTTTAAGGGGAGAAAAGATAACTTTTAAAGGTTTTTTATTTTGAGTTTCGATTGTTCTAACTTGATCGATTTAATTTATTTGTTTCTTGTAGGAGTAATGCTAAAGTCAGAAAAGTAAATAAGCTGCACTATAAAACGAACGACTGTAGTACGTAATTCAGTTAAATGAATTTGCTTTTGAATCTTCAAACAAAATAATTTGAGTTAAAGTTGTTGTTTGATTTTGGATTTTTGTTTTTTATTTAGTTTGTTTGAAGTTTAAAAGAATTGTTGTAGAAATACTTTTTAGTTTACTGAAATATGTAATTTAAGATTTAAATTTATTATAAAAGTATATATATCAGTCAAAGATTTTTGAATATTTGTATCGCTGATTAATCAACCAAGCTCTTTTGTACTGTGGGTTCAATATTTCGCTGCTTTCTAGTTAAAAAATTTCTATTTTTCAAAACTTATATCTGCTGATTCTTCTTTTAGCTTGCTACTGTTTCTTATTTCTAAAAATTTATAATTTCTTTTATTTCTAATTAATTGATTCGATTTAACTAGTTTTTAATCTAATTATCACCGCTTAGTTTATAAATTATTATAATCTCTCCTAGCAAGCAAGTATAAATAGACAAATAATTAATTAATTTATTTATTTATTTGACAGATATGCTTTATCAATTTACTTCTATCTTAATTCGTTTGTTATTTCAATTTTTCGAATCTCTTCCTAACAATTTCTTTTATTTATCCTCTTTTACTCCTTAATTTAAAATTTTAAATTGTATCTATCAATTCAATCTTATATAATTACAAAATATATTAACAAATATTTATAATCTTTTATCTCTTATCTCTCCTGCTTGCTCAATATCTTCTTTTACAAAAATATAATATCCTTAAAATTCTAATCTGAAGAACATTCGTTTCAATAGTAAACCAAAATGTTAAAATTAAGTAAACACTTTTTTCATAAAAATCTCCAAAAATATTGACGATAAATATTATTTTTCATGGCATAGAAAGTATTTAAGATAATAATTAATTCATTTGATTTTTTGACTTTACTTAAATGAAAAGAAATAATGAATGAATAAATAATAATTAACCTATTTTTAGAAACTATTTGCGAAATCTTTAAAGAAATTTTTTAATTTATTATAAAACTAATTAGAAATTGGAATTATAACTAAAAGAGATTAATTATTAAGATTATTTTTATAATAAAAAATAATGAAAAGTATTAACTATATTTGATAATATAAATAATATTTTTGAATTTTTTATCTGATATTATCATATTGTGTCTTCATCCTTTATTCATTTAATCAAATATTACTTTTCAAATTTCAAAAAAATAATCAGGATTTTTTCAATTTTAATTCCGCTATTAAATCAAAAAAATACTTAAAAAAATTCAAATCTTTATAAGACGATTATTTTTACTTTAATATCATTTTTATAAAAACAATTCTTACTACTAAAAACTCCAATAAAAAAAACAAAATTCTATTTTAACAAACATCAAATCTTCTATAAAAAATATTTTAGTATTTTATTTCCTAAAATTAAAAGTCTTTGTCATTTATTAAATTTGAAAACTCTAAAAAGTAAAATTCTATCTAAATCCTTTTATTTTCCTTTTTTATCAAATAAAATAAGAGGAAGAAATTGTGATTAAAATGTTTACTATTTATTTATCAAAAACAATTTACCTCACTTCTAAATGTATTTTACATACTTATTTAATAATTTATTAGTTTATAAAAGTTATAAAACCAATTTATATTATGTGTGTAAACTTTATTTTAAACAATTTATCAAAAAAATTGAGTATTTTAACTTGTATTTTCAATAAATATTTAATTAATAAAAGAATAATTAATTGACGAATATAAATAAATACAAATTTCAATGATAAAATTTATCAATAAAATATTTTCATATTTTATGAAAAACCAATTCAACCCATAAAAGAAAACAAAATAAATATATTTATGTATTTTACAGTCTGAATAAAAAAAATTTGAAAAAATTTAGAGCAAATAGAGATAAACAAATAAACCAATTACATTAATTATCAGATAAATAACAAAAAAATAATTAATTTAAATCAAAACAATAATATTTAATGGTTTAAAGACATTCAATATTCTAATTTATTTATTTATTTATGACAAATAAATATTAATTAATCAAGCAATTATTGAATTTTTTGGCTTGTCAAATATTCTCAATATATATTTATTTGTAATTTACATAATAGGTATAATTTCTATTAAAATATTTACAAAAATAGTTTTTAATTTAAATAAAGAATACCATTTGTTCAGAATTTAAAAACATTTGAACAAATATTTAATAAAAATAGCATTAAAAAATTTTAATTTTAGTAAATGACGTTATGCACTTAAAGATAAATAGTTATGACATCTCTTTAAATTTCTAATTAATTACAAAAACGTATTTATTGTCATATTTAATTTTAACTTCTTGCAACTATATTTTTAACTAAAATAAATTTAAATTTTATAATAATAGAAAATTCTATTGTAAATTAGATTTAGAGAAACTCAATTGCTTTCTAATAAATTTAACACATTTAGATTATATAAATTGAATTTTAATGCATAAAATTGATAATTCAAAAGATAATATTGAATAATGTTTATAATATCTACTTAATTATTATTAATAAGCAAATAATTTTTTTATAATACTTTTCAAAGGATATGTTCACGAATTTTCTTAAAAAAGCTGTATTTAAAAATACTGTTGAATAGCAGATAAAGGCTAGTTTCGCAAGTTTAAAAAGTGATTAGAAAGCAAGTTAGATTTCATAGCAGAATTCTAATAATTAAAATGGAGTTTAGTAGACTAAAAAAGGGCAAGAATTAGTTTAATAAGCAAAAATAATTTAATCAAGAAATGACATTCCTCATTTTACAAAATAAGTGAGAGAAAATTATGAAAATGATACCATTTCTTACACAGAACCAATATAAATGAATATGCTAAGAAGAATTCATATACGTGCTTAATTTAAATAATTAGATGAAATTGAACATAGAGATAGATTCATTAAAAGGATGGAATACTTGAGCACAATGTTTCCATTTTTCAAAAAATACTATTTTGACAAAGATGATCTTAATCTACCAGATGACAACGAATATGTTTATGATATAGAAAAGATTAAATTAAAAGATTACATAAAAGACCTTTTATTCAAGCCTGGCAAAGTTGATGAGAGAGATTTATTCCCTTATTTCATGATTTTTGGTTACTTATTTGTTTTTGGTAGTTGGTTCATTTGCGATATACTTATCTTTAAGGTCTTCTATACTACTGATGAAATTTTAGGTATTGATAAAAACAAAAAATATATGAAATCTCAATTAAAAGGTGTAGAATATAATATGGAAATCATAGAAAATAATACCAAAAACCTACTTTTAGAAGAAAGACAGTAATATAAATTAGAAAGCATCTTAAATGAGGTTAAAAAGCACTCTGATATATCTAAACAAGCTAATGCATCAAATTCAGATAATAAAAATATATCTCCTTCTTAATCTCAATGATATTAAAAATGGCAACCCGACTAAAAGAATATAAGAAATAAGTTCTTTAACTTATCTATTAATTTAAAATATTTAGATTTTTAATTTCTAAAAACGCTATTTTAAAATATTATTTTTATATTAATTTTAAAAAAGCAATTTAATTAAATAATTGAAAAAATTTTGTATGAAAATATTTTTTATTTGTATTAAAAAATAGTTTTAAATAATTAACAAATCAAAATATTTAACTTTTATTTTGTTTTTTGTTTGTCTATTTGTTTTGATAAATTGAACTTTATTTGCAAAAAAATTATCATACTGTAAATTTTCATTTATTAAGGCTCCAAATAATTAAGGTTCAATTTTTGGAAAAATAAATGATTTGAATGAAAAGAGCTTTTAAAGTTTTATTTCTTTCTTTTTTTTTAATTTCAAAATATTAATTGTTTTTTTTATTTAAAGCAAAAAAATTTGTTTTGAAAATAAAAATAAAAATCATCTTTCTACTTTTAATAGAATCACATGTAGATCGATCAAATTAGTTCAGATATATAAAAGCAAAAAAAGCCTGAATAATACCTACAATTCAAGTTTTACATAAAAACTTATTGAGATTCAGTTGACACTATTGATGTATCCAGTCAGCTGAATTTTAATACCGTTAGCAAGAGCTTACACAAAATTTATTATTGATTTTAGAAACATAAATAAATCACAGTAGGATGATACATTTTTATAATTAAAAATTAAAAAATTAAAATAAAAAATATTTTTAAGTATAATTTATCCTTTAATTTAAGAAAACTTTTAAAAATATAATATAAAATTTTATTTAGTTGCTTAATTTACTTTTTAAAATATCACAAAACTTTTTTGTAATAAGATTGTTCATATAAATATATTTATTTATTAATTTATTTTACAAAGAATATTCATTGCTGATAAATGTTTTTATTTTCATCTTTGATAGTTTTTGAAGCTTCTAACTAAAGAGTCTAGCCTACAAATGATTCGATTAAAAAGCTAAGACTTTCAGGCTAATCGTATGGTGCTTGGTGGCCAGCATCATATACAATAGCAAAAGTCAAAGTATCAAATGATTTAATTTAACCAATTTCTTTTACTTGGCCAAATGGAGAAGTCATATTAAGATCTAGCATTGGTAATTATGAGAACTATTACTTTCCATACCATTCAAAATTGTTGATAGCATATTAAATACCTGGAGTATTGACTTTAATGTCATTATTTCCATTGTAAATTATTACAGGTAACTTTTATTCTAGAACATTTACAAGAGCTGGAATACCATTAGGTGCAAATACGTCATGCTTTAAAGACAAGTAAATATAAAAGCTAGAGCTATCGAAAACGAAATCTTCGTCGAAACCAAAGTTTTAAATATATTTTTAGCAAAATTACTTTATAAATTCGTTAGGATAAGGACCTGTTTTATAATTGAAAGGATTTTCTAAAGGAACCAATCCATTCATCATAAATGTTTACAAAGCATTATCGTATTCATCTGCTGCTTCTTCATACATATTTTTATCTAAATATTTTTTCATTTTGATTAAAATTTTGCTAATTTTTAAGTAAGTGCTGTGTGAGATGAGTTTATTGTCTAAGCCGAATTAACCAAGTTGATAGAGCTAATGTTAGGGATCTAATAGAGGATTACCTATTGAAATACCTTTAAGAGGAATTTTTAAATTTCCTGTAATTTCAGTTTAATTATTTTATTTAAGAATCTCTGCAGCAATATTTGGAATGTATTTTCCAGCATAGCTTTCACCAGCAATAAACAAAGGAGAGCTATGATAAATAACATCACTGTAACAGCCAGATGTGTATAAACTAAGAAGTCCTTTATAAAATTATTCTGCTACTTAATCTTCGTTAACTGGATTGTATTCATCCATAGCGGAACGAGAAAAACCTACTGCAATAGGTTAGTCGATATAAAGCATGTTGTAGTTTTGAGTCCAAGAATTAGGGTTTTATTCAACAACCATTTCATTGCTTTTATTCAATACTCTATAAGGACCATTTTCAAAGAAAGCTCCATACATACTACTTGAGCCAGGACCTCCTTTATTAATTAAATTGTTTATTTAAAAAAATAGTTTTATAATTTTTTAAATATTTAAAATATTTCTTCTACCAAAATTAAAGATAAATAATCGCAATAAATAAATAAATTAATCTCATTTCTTAAACAATTTAAATATAAATTTAATAAAAGTAAAATTATTATTAAAAAAAATTTCATAATTTAAAATAGAATTGTAATTTATAAAATTAAATTCATATTTTTAACAATATCTAAAATAAAATAAATTGATTGAATAATTTTTTCTCAATAGATTTTTTTAATTTGAAGTAAAAAATTTTGAAAAAAGAGTAAAATTGAATATGAATTATTTATTACCATTTAACCAGATAAGGGTAGGAGCAGCTGCTATTTCTTCTGGTGTAGTTGCATTTTATTTAGAATAAAACACAAAGGCTAAACCAGTAACACTATCATTGAACCCTACATCTAGGTAGCCAGTGTAAAAAGTATGATTAAGAGCATACTTGTCTTAGTATTTATTACATGTAGTATTTCTGCAGCTAGCAAAAGCAAAGCAAATTACTAATAAGTAAATTATTTTTTCTGATTTGCTCATTCCAATCTCAATTTTCTTTAATTTATTATTAAATAATTATATTATCTTATTATGATGCCTTATAATAATTATTGACTTTATAATAATTTTGGCAATCTTTTTAATATGATTAGAAACATTTCTATTCGAATAGAAATTAGGGATATTCTTTTATAATATGCCCATTTTGTGTTGCAATTATTTTGGTTAAATGAAAGAACTACTTTCAATACAATTGTAATAAAAAAAATCACTTTGGAATCATCAAAATAAAACATTTAATTTGGTAAAATTATTTTTAGAAGATTAAAATAAACTAATAAAAATTGACAGACAGACAGAAAGAATATATTTATTAATATATAAATAGTCAAATCTATTTATTCATTTATCTATTTTCAATCCTAAATTTGATATTTTATGAAATGAGAGAAAGACTTGTTATACTCAAATTAATGAAAATTAATTTAAGATTTTATTTACTCGTTTAATCTATTATAACTTTATTAGCATAACAAAAAATATGTATTTAAGTAAAATGCCTTTTTAATTTAGAATAGGTTATGAATACAAATTAATATTAAAGAAATTTAGACATCAATTTAGTGTAAAAAAAAATAAGATTAAATTTTTAAAATCTTATTTAGAAAGTTAGTTTTTTGTTAAAAATTCATGGAATTATTGAATATTTTATTTGATTGTAAATATATTAATACTGTATTCCCTCACCAATTATCAGCTCAGAAATGATCTCTATTAAAGATGATTTATGAAATTTAATTACTTTGTTTATTTAAAAATTTTATCATCAAAACAAAGTCTGTATTTAATATTTATTATTAATTTAAAAATTAAAAATTGAATATTAGTAAAAAAACTAAAAAATATATTCAATTATGATAAAAATTTTGTAATAAATAAATAAATCTAATTAAGAATTTTAAATTAAATTATAATTTTTGAAAATAAATTACTTGCTTTTAAAATAATTTGGCTCTATTAATCTATTTCTTAAATTTTTAAGAATTTATTGTTTACGATAATTGATAGCATTTGAATAATTTGGCTCTATTAATTTATTTCTTAAATATATAAGAATTTATTGCTTACGGTAATGAGTAGCTTTTTGAATAATTAATTAATTTTTTAAGTAGTGTAAGAATTTATTTCTAAGAGAAAAAATGATAATTTAATAATTAACAATAAAAACAAATTATTAAAATAAATTCAAAGACTAAATAAATTATCAAGAGTTAATAATAGTAAGTAAATGAGCAGATCATTTGAAGCTAATTGTAGCGAATTAATTAAGTTTAATTATAAAGAAAGAAAATTTTTGTTGCAAGAAATATAATTTGGGAAAGATATCGATCTTTACTGCTAAGCAAATGCAAATCTTTTAAATATTCTTAACAGCCACAACAGTGAGAACAGCTCAGAAAATTTCTACTAGCTATCAAGTAAAATTACTATAGAAGAAGATTGTAGTGCTTTCTTCAAATAAATATAGCAATAATATAAAACTATTGATAGATTACTTTAACGAAAACTCCATGTGCTGTAAAATCTAAAAATGAAAGGAGTTGAAAGATATAACTAATGGTAATTTACAAAGGATATAAAAGTTGAAGTAAACAATCAAATTTTACATGAATAAAATATCTTATTATTGAAAGATGCAAATATTCAAATTGAAGAGATAAATCCACAGGTAAGTTAAAATATTTAATTAATAGTTTCTATACTAGATTATTATTAAGAGTTGATTTAGAACAAGCTAATAGAACATGAATTCTAAATTATAATTATGAATCCTTTCAAAGTCAACTTAATCAAGCTCTAAAATATTTTTCTTGACAATTTGAATGCTCTATTCTTTATAATTGTTGGCTGTAGAAGTAGAAATTATAGTGTCAAGTCTAATATCTCAGATTTATATGTTTTGAAAAAGGAACTCCCAGACATTAATATATAGATTTTTCAATTATAGTTAACCTTATCTGCAGCATTTAATCATATAAATATGGATTAAAATGAATGTTGTTATTGTTATGATTTATGTGATCCGGGTAGTGATGGATATTCAAGAGTTTTATTAGATTTGAATACTTATTTTTCAAAACTTAGAAATCTTAAATTAGATTTTTCTAGTTTAGAAAAGTTTGAACGAGTTATAGGTTTTGTAGATTTTGACATAAAACTTAACTGTGAAAAATCATAACTCAAGATTTATTGTAATTCAAATATTAATTTTTTCAGAGATGATAGACCTAATATGTTAAGATTGAGTTAAGAATTAAATGATAATTTCATTGATTTTGATGAAAATTTTATTGCAATTACTAACTTTTTAAGTAGTGATTTATTATTTGTGGATAAATAGTATGAAATAATAGTAGAATAGTAAGATTAATTGATTATGAGATTAGTAATTGTTAATAATCTTCAAATTAATAAATATTTTAATCTAAGTCTATACAAATTAATGGTTGATTTGTTCATAGATTGAATAATTACTTTTTAAATTTATATTATAACTTACTTTATATTTTTTTTATTTTTTGGATCAAATTTTATATTAATTATTTGGTTTATCAGAAGATAATTAATTGCTTTTATTTAATTTTTATATTTATTTATTTATTATTCTTTTTACTTACTGTAAAATAAAAGTCTTTATTAATTATAAAAATGAAACAAAATTCACTAGTCAAAATCGTTATAATTAATATTAACAGATTGATAAATATTTTAAAAATTAAGAAAACAAAAGACAATAGGGTGGGTGAATAAATTATATTAGCTCTTTAAATAAGTATCTCAAAAATTGTTGGAGACTAATTTATTTACTTAGTAAATGAAAAAAAATAAATAAAATGAGAAGTTAATTATTTTTTTATAATAAGTATTACACAAATTTATGAAGGCTTACTTACTTAATTATTTACTAATTTAATAAAAAATATAAAATGAGATTAAATTATAACTTAATTAATTACTTAATAGATCTATTTGATGGATTTTTTATAATTAATCTAATTATTTTTTTAATGCATAACTATTATTTCTTTTATTTCTTTTATTTATTTATTTATATATTTTCTTGCTTAATGAAAATACTTTTTTTAGTCCTAATCAATTTTTTTTAATTTCTAAATTCCTTGAAAAATATCTGCTTAAAGATATTTAAAAAAATTCATTCTTTGCTTTTGAGTAGATAAAAATGTAGATTTTTGTAATTTTAAAAATATTGAGTAATTTATTTATTTATTTTTTGAAAATAATATTTATCTCTTGCTGTCTAATTAACTAACTAATATTACTGATAGTTGACTAATTGGTTTTAAAATAGTTTTCTTAGAATGATAGATAGACAGAAGATTAGATAGATAAATATATATTGCAGTTATCTAGCTGATTGATTTGTTTATTGTTAATATTAAAGTCTCTTTTCTTACTTAATTATTTGATTTTTTAAATTAATTGAGGAGTTAATTAATTTTTGAATATAAGTTTGTATATAAATTTATTAATTTTTTCTTAATTAATTAAATAGTTAGTTAATATGTCTTCGTCTGATAACGATAAGATCAGATAACAAATTACATATATTTTATTAAGTCATGTTCAAATTTGATCTTTCTTTTTTTAAGCCAAGAAGTCTCTGAAGGAGGGCTTTGAATCATTCTTAGGTTAAGAAATTGCTTGAATAATTTGTTGTTGTTCAGGTTAACTTAAAGACGAGAAGGCATTGTCTCCCTTTTATTGATGAATTGCTTGGCACATTTCTTTGGCTAGCTTTTTAAGGAGAGCTCTTTTACCTTCAAGACATTTGGATAGAGTTGCTATTAAATTATTGTAAGCATCAACACTTAATTTATCTATATTGTGCTTATTCTAAATGATAATATTGTGCAAAGATTGACATGCTAATTCACAAATGCTAGCATTTTTGTCGAAACACAATTCGCTTAAACCGCCTAAGTTGCAATCAAAAAGAGCTTCATCGTTTTTTTCCATTTAGAGAATGGCATTCTTAGCTTCTTGCTTCAAAAACATCTTATCGCTAATTGCCTTATCGAAAAGCTTTCTAAGAATTATTGGAATAGCTTCTGGCTCTAAAGCTGATAATTTGTTAACTAAAAATATTTCCTTAACTAAAAGGAGAGCATTTTTGCTTAAATTAGAGCGAATAGAATCTATTAATGCGATCACAAGATCAAAAGTCTTTGGAAACACTTTAGTGATAAAATCCTCACTACGGAACTTATTTAATGCACGCAGTTGATCAAGAGCAGTGAACTGAGCTTTCCAGTTATTTGAATTACTCAATTCTCCCTTTATATCAAACACTTTTTGTTTGTTTTATTCGTTGACTTCATCAATCAACTCATAAACAAATTAATTATTCTAAGGCAAATCCTCAAAGGTAATGTAAACTTAAGAAGCTGAGTTTGAACTGCTGCCATCATTAACTGCGTTTGAAGAGACATTCTAAGTCATCTTGAGATCTATATTTAATTCTTCCTTTACTTACTATTCCATCTTTTTTGAACTGTATTTTCCTATGTATGTATTGTTTATTTAGTGCTTATTTATTTATCCTAACCTTTAATAATTAATTAATTAATTAATTTACAAATATTTAATAGATTATTAAAAAAACAAATGATTGAATGAATGATCAATACATAAATAGATTGAATGAATTATCAAACAAACAAACAAATAAATAAATAGACTCAATTAATAAATTCATATAAAAATATGTAAATAAATAGATAGATAGATTGATATTTAGAAAGAAAGAAAGATAGATAGATAGATATCCTTGATATTTTTCATTAGTATTTCTAGTTCTTTTTTCTTTGTAGTATTTTCTTAGAATCTCTGTTAGTATTTGACACATCAAACTGCTAGTTGGTAATTGTTTCTTATTTAATTTCTTATTACTAAATAAATAAATATTTAAATAATTTAAAATTACTTAAAATCTTAGTAAATTCTGAACAATTTGTATGTAAATATGAAAGAAATTAACTAATGATTAAAAGAAGTTAAAATTTGTTCAAAATTTACTTTTCTATATTATTTAATCCTTTATTTATTTATTTCATTCATAAATTTATTTTCGAAACACACATTTTGAATTTTACATTCAGATTAAATAAACTGGCTGAATGACTGGCTGGCTGACTCTATAAATTTTGATTTAAATAAAAAAGTGCCCATTTATTTTTCTTTAAAATATGACATGCAAATCAATTATTTAAAATGAACTTATATGTGATAAAAAGAAATAAAATAATTTAAATTTATTTATAATAATCTTCAGAAAAGAATTCAAAATTATTTAAAAAATAATAAATTAAAAACATCTTCGATATTTAACTAATAAATTTTTTTTATTTAATGTTAAAACTTATTTGCATATTTGAAAATTTCAAAAAATCTAAAACAAGTTTTGTATTTGTTATTAATGATAGATAAAATTAACAATTTTTATAATAATTTAAATTGAATTTCAATACTATTTTACTGTAAAAGCAGCATCTGGCAAATCAATACAAATTTACTTCTTAATTATTTGCATTTTTAGATATTAATAAGCCTTTTTAGGCAAACAAGTAAAAATAAAGGCAATCAAATAAATTGACATATATAAAATATTATAGAGGATCATAAAATATAAGTAAGCTCAATAAATATAATTTAAAATTATAAATAATATTTGAAAATTCTAAGGTTAAGAAAATTATTTTATATTATCTTTTGAATAATAAATAAATAAATTGGTTAATTTGAAGTTTTTAATGATGTAAATTTTTAATTATTTTTTAAAATAACTCTTTCTAAATTTTGAAAAGTTTTGAATTAAGCAGAGAATGTTAAAATCACATACATAATATGTATTTTAAAATACATTTCTCTTTTTTATATTTATAGATGAAATATTTTAATTATTATTTTAAGTAATTTGTTTTTAATTTTTATTAGTAGAATAATTAGTTAATTAATTAATCAATTTATTTTGTATGTTATTTTGTTTGTTTGTTGTTTATGCAGTTTCTAATTTTAATCTAAATGGTAAAAAATTTTTTGTTATTAGTAGCTTTTTATTCATTTTTACTAAACTTATATTCTTTTAAAGTCATTACTTGAATTATTTAAAGCCATTCTTTGTTTATGTGGACTTTCCTTTTCAACTTTTTCTGGCTATTAAGTGTTCTTTGGTGAAATTTATTTTTAATTTTGCTTCCAGCTATTGTACTTTGCATTCATTTATTTCTAATATTTTATAGAAAGATAAATACTAAGGTTAAATGAAGGCTTATTCAATCCAAATTAAAATAAACTTTGGGTTGAAATCATTTAAAATTAAGTGAAGATCTTACTTCGAATTTTGAAAACTCTGTGCAATAATCTATTTTATATTATAAATATTATTTTAATAAGATTTTGTTTTAGTTAAAAAAATATTTCTACCATCAAAATTTTCAATATTTTTCAAAATTTCTATGTCTTTCTCTGGTTTATCTGATTTAAAATCTGTTATAGGTACTTTTTATTTGCTTGGTTCTCTATTCATTTGTAGTGGCATGTCTAAAAATTTAAATAAATCATTTTTTTTGCTGCGCTCTATAACTTGTTGCATATATTATTATTAAACACACACACTTTTATATTTGAATTTGAATGAATTAAAAGTACTTAAAAATTAAATATATTTTGAATAAAGAAAATAAATCAATTTTCCATAAATTTTACCAAAATACTTCTTAAAAAATATTAATTTTCTTAAATAATTGATCTTATAAATACAAAATTCAGCCATTTATTTTAAAAAAAACACTTAAGCAAGCATGCTAATTAAAAAGAATCAAATTTATTTTAAAATAATAATGAATATTTTGCAATCAAGATAATTAAGATGATTAAAAGCATATAAATAAATAAATATTAAATCAAAATGAATCAAATTTTAATCACACATTACACTATTATTTTTATTATGTAATCATTATTATTAACAGTTTTTATATCAATTTTGTATTATTTAAATATCTTTAAAAGTAATTAGCTGAAAATGGTAGGTTTTAATTGTTTGTTTGATAAGCCATTAAGGGTATTTTTCTTGCTTTGAATATTTAAATTTACATATTTATAAAAATATTTGAAAAATGTCTATTTTCTTTGTTCAAATTATTTTGTAATACTACCTACTCTAATATTAATTTAAAGTAGAAGTAATATTTGGAATACAAAGAATTAACAATAATTTTTTATAAAATTTGATATTGTCAACGTAGTAATTAAATAATAATATATTTTAATATAATAAATTAACTTAAATAATCTCAACATTTCATTTAATTTCAAATTATCATTTTAAAAACAGGAAACAAATAATTAATAATAACTTATTTTTTTAATATTAATTTAGAGAAACTCTTAACATATATATGATTTTTGGCTATTATATTCAATAATTATATATATGTTCATTCAACTGTTTGTTATTTGTGGTTTGATTTTTAAAAAATTATAATAACCCGAATTAAAGAAAGAAAGAAACTAAGAATGATTAATTATTATTAAATCCAAATGACAAATAGAAATTTATCACGATAAAAATAGTTTATAACCTAATATTTAGTATAAAAATTAAATCTTTCTTAGAAATTTTGTTAGTGAATTCAATATCACTCTTTGCTAAATTTTATATTTTTAAAAAGAAAATAATTTTTTTATCCAAAACTCAAATAAAAAAATCGATTTAAAATTTATAATGGAGATAGATTACTTACTTGCTAATCGGTTATGTCTTTGATCAATAAATAATTTTTTATTTAAAAACACCTGATTAAGGTAGAATATAAAAATAGCGATATTAAGAAGCATCATTTTTAAATAAGAAAATAAATAATTAAATATTGATCTTTATTGATTTATCATCAATTTTTTATTACAATTTTTTAAGTTTTATAATTCTTACTCTTAAATTGTATTATTTATTTTCTTTGTTTTTTTTTGATAAAAATAGAACTAACTAACTACTTTAGTTTTTTAAAAATGGGACATAACTTATAAAAAAAAGTGTTCAACTTTTGCAGATTACAAGGAACAGTAAAAAAACTTAATAAAAGAGATGATGTACTTTTTTTTATTTGGGAAGAGACGGTGTACTTTGTTTGTATCAGATTATAGGTTGAATTGGCAAAAAAATAAATAAATTAATTGAGCACAGACTGAAATCTATATTATGGCTGATTAATTGGTTGATTGATTGATAGATAAATAGATAGATTGTTTTAATTTAAGAGGGAATTAAGAGCTATTAATAATCAATTAGAAAATTAGTTAATTAGAAAAAGCTTATTAAATTGAAAAAAAAGTAAACATAAAACAAAACAATAAGAAATATTAAGTAATCAAATAAAATCAATAGCTATCCTAAAAATTTATTAAAGATGAATAAATACCTTGTTTTATTAGTTCTTCTTGCATTCGCTAGATAAGCCAATGCTGTATGCGCTGCAAACGCTTCAGGTGTCATTGGTAGCTGTTTATGTAATTAAGGATACTATGGCTCAAATGCAGAAAACGGAGGAAGTTGCACTTAATGTCCAGCTGGTTCAACAACAGCTGCTCCTTCAATAGCAAATGGAGGAAACACTAATTCTAGTGTTGATGTAAGCGTTTGCAACCTATGTTAACTTAACTATTATATGACAACAGCTGCAGCAGCAGCCAATGGTGGAACTCCTGCCAGTGGCGCTTCTTGCTCTTAATGCACTGGAGGTTCTGGAAATACTGTCAATTAAAGCTCTGCTGGTGATGCTAGTTAATGTAATACTTGTAAAGCTAATTATTACATGACTGCAGTAGCCTCTGGCAGTTCAGCAGCTACTTGTTCAGCATGCACCAATGGAAGTGGAAATACAGGAGTTAACTCAGCAGGTAATGCTTCTTAATGCAACATTTGTAAACCAAATTATTATATGAGTACTGCCGCTAGTGGTACTTCTGCAGCAACTTGCGTTCAATGTCCAGGAAATTCTGGTAATCTTACTGGGGCTACCTCTGCAGGAGATGCTTCTTAATGTAATGGATGCTTACCAAACTTTTACATGACTGCTCTTCCTGCAACTGGAAGTGCAGCAACTTGTTCTGCTTGTCCATAATATACATTCAGTTACTTCAATACTTAAATAGGATTTTGTACCTGTTATGACCCTAATGCTTAACCTTTAACTGCTTAAAACTAAACATGCTAATGCTATGTAGGATATTCAGGAACACCTGCATAAACAGCAGGTGCTCCCTCAGGCTGTCTTGTTTGTTTATCTGGCTGGTATTCACCAGGAGCTGGAGCTGCTTGTATTTAATGCCCACCTGGAGCTTCAGCTACTGCAAACCAAGGAGCTTGTGTTTGCAATGATAACAGTACAGGAACTATACCTTGGAGTTCTTCAACTAATGTTTGCTAATGCTAAGCTAATTATTATGGCGATTTTTCTTAAGCACTCACTTACGGAGTTACAGGTACTTGTACTCCCTGCCCTGCAGGTAGTTCATCAGCAATAGGAGCAGCTAAATAATTAACTGATTGCATAGGTGCAAGTTCTGTAGTTAGTTCTGGTTCAACTTCAACTACAGGTACTTCTTCTGGTTCTACTGGTTCATATATTCTTACCTTCGTATCTTTATTGCTTTCATGCTACTTAATTATTTGAAAAATAAATATCTTTTAGAGATTAATTCCTTTATAAATTCTACAAATAAAGTTCTTACACTTCAATGAACTACTAACTAACTTAATTACTGCTCCTTTTTATTTACTTTAATATAATATTAATGGTAGAAGGAAAATGCCTCTTTGTTTGTTTTTCTTATATATGTTTAGTACTAATACGAATTAATCTATCAATCAATCAATTATAAGTTTAATTCTATAATCTAATCAATCAATCATTTTATTATTAAAGATTTTTAATTTTACAAAACTTATAAAAGGTCCTTTTTTTAATTTAATTTAGTTTCTTTCAAATGAGATAATTAATTAATATTCACTTTTTTAAAGACTTTAAATTAATTTCTAATTCTATTTATAGCTGACTTAAATTTTTAACTTCTTCAATAATCTATCTTTAGGAATGAATCTACCTATCTATCTATGAATTAAATTGTCTGTTTCTATTTTTAAATTTTCTTTTTATTTTACTTCTACTTAATTAAATCAAAAATTTATCTATCAGATTATTTACTTAATTTGAATTCTTTAATTTCTACTTTCTTTATTATATCATATTTTTGAGACTCTATAATTTTAATAACATAATTAATGCTTGAAAATAAAAATTCTATGATAAAACTATAATTAATTTCTGATTTTTAAAATATTAAATTAAATTTTTAATGATTTCAAAATAAAATTTTTTATATTTTGATAATTATTTTATTTAAAATTGTGTTTATTTATATCAAATGGAGAATTTAGGTTGAATGATTAGAACAAATAAACAATTTTTTAATCAAAAAGGAATGCACTTAAAAAATATTTTTTTTGAAGAATATCACAATGATTTAAAAAAAAAATACCTTATTTGATATTAGAATTTAATTTTTCTTCATAAAAAGAATAATATAAGAATATAGAATAATATAATATTTGACGAAGGGCAATTAATTAATTAATCTTTCACACATTCTTTTTTTACAAATTTAAAAATATAAATTGAAAAGTTTAAAGTTAGTTACACTAATTTATTAATGAAGCTTACAAAATGTATTAAATGATAGTTAACATTAAAAACAATTATGTAAAAGAAATTTACAAATTGATTTAGTGATTCGGATTAGGGTAGATCTGTCTGATCAGCTGAATTTAATATCATGATCAAAAATATATGAATTAAATTTAGATTTCAAATTGAATTTAATACAACCAATGAATAGGATTTAATTTGAAATTATTATTTGTTTATGCACCTTTAATTAAAAAAGAAAATAGAAAGGAAAGAAACAATTTGTAATAAATATTTAATCATTTTTCTATTTTAGTTAGATAGACAAATAATTAATTAATTCATTCATTCTTTAAAACATGGATGGATTTAACTAATTTTTATTAACCATAAATAAATAATATTAAAAGTAAATTATTAAATTTTACAAATATAAATGAAATATTTACTTATTTTTACATATGTTTTATTGCTTGCAACTAACTTCGTTGAAGCAAGAAACACTACATGCAATAAGTTTGTAGATTAATACGCCCCTTTCAATACTTTCTTCACTGGATACTTAAATCCAGGGTTTGATGACTAAACTACAGGTCTAGGATTTGTTTTTTACTCGAAATAAAATGCTACTACAGTAGAGGAAATAGCTGAAGTTCCTACACTTATTTGGTTAAATGGTGGTCCAGGGTCTCCCAGTATGTAAGGAGCTTACTTTGAAAATGGACCTTACAGAGTTTTGAATATCAGTGGGTAAAAAGTAATTCAAGTTAATCCAGATGCTTGGACTAATAAGTATAATGTCCTTTATATTGATTAACCTATTGCTGTGGGCTTTTCTCGCTCTTTGAATGATACCTATCTACCTAAAAATATTACTGTTGTTGCTCAATAGTTTTATCAAGCTCTTCTCTCTTTTTACTCAGGAAATGGATGCTACAACAATACCTAGCTTCACAAATCTCCTATTTTCATTACAGGTGAAAGCTATGCTGGAAAATATATTCCAAATATTGCTGCTGAAATTATCAAGCAAAATAAAATTGCTGCTGCTACAGGAAATATAGTGATTCCTCTTTAAGGAGTTTCAATAGGAGATCCTTTCATTGATCCCCAACACTAATTTTACTAATTAGGAGAATTCGGAATTTAGAATGGTCTCATCACTGAAGAAACAAGGTAAAAGTTAGAAGTTATTATCGATAAAATGCGTTTCTACATAGATACCAAAGATAACTTTAATGCAACAATGGCTTATAATTAGTCAATCAGCTTTTTCATGGAGAATTCTATCTATCCTTTGTAAAATTTTTATAATTTTAAAATTGGACCTTATCCTGATGATTTTGTTGCTGACCACTGCTAAGATTACATCAAATAATTTGGCTTTGATGAAGATTTTACTTTTGGTAGTACTAATATAAAAATTGCCAAATCTTTATTTATGGATAACTTCAATCCTAATGCCATCCCTGCTCTTCAGTACATATTATCTAATAAATTGCCTGTTATAATCTATAATGGTGATAATGATATCGCTATAACCTCTCTAGGTGTTAAAACATCTATCAATAATTTCTCTTGGGAAGGCCAGTAAATCTTTTCTAGATTACCTATGTCTAATATTACAAACAATAAGAACAAAACAATTGCAGCTTATAAGAATTTCTTGAACTTGCATTTAGCTACTATCTTAGATGCTGGCCATTTAGTACCTTATGACTAGCCCGAAAGTATGAATATTATATTAGACAATTTCATTGATAGTGCTCTCAAAACAACAAAAACAACAACTAAATAGCACTGAGTGAGTATCTCTTTTATGAAAGTAAACATAATAGAAAAACCAACCAATTATATAAAAAAAGTAGAAATACTTTTAAAATTGAATTTTTTATGATACATGATAATTTATATATATATATAAAATTACAAAGAATAAAATAAAATAATTTTACAATTTAAAGTAATTCACTAAATTAATTAATTATTACCAAAAATTTTTAAAATACTAAAATAATATTTTTAAAAATCTTAATGATTATAATTGGATATCATATGAGTTAATAACAAACAGCAAAGATTAAAAAACTATTTTAGATGCTGGTCATTTAGTTAGTACTTTATGACTATCCGAAAGTATGAGTGAATATTATATTAGACAAATTAATTGATAGTGCTCTCAAAACGAAAAAAATAACAACTAAATAGCACGGAGTATATCTTTTATTTATTTATTTATAAATAGAAAACATAATAGAAAAACCAATTATATTAATAAAGTAAAAATATAATTTTTTATGATACATGTTAATTTATAAAAATATATAAAATTAAAAATAAAATAATTTTACAATTTAAAGTAATTCATTTAATTATTTAATTAATTTTTAAAAATCTTAACGATTGATTATAATTGGATATCAAATGGGTTAATAACAGCAAATATTTAAAAAGATAAATAAATAAATATCTATCTATCTACTTACTCTTTATTTGATATTAAACTTTGAAATTAAAGTATTAGTGTAATTTCTTATTCAAATATTTGTAGCCTTTATTTTTATTCATAAGCATTTTTACATTTTTTTGAATGAAAAAAACAAATTAAAATGGATTACATAATTATTTTTAAGAAGCAATTGTAGTGTATTTATTTATAAATCAAATAATATCTATTAAAATAGCTAATTTAGAAAATTTACTAATTAAATTATTAATTAACAACAAACTTAATTTATAATTACTTTTGAATTCAAGTAAAATAAAGTTCAATATATCCTATATTATAAAAAGGCTACAAATAAATATTAAAGATGAAAAGCATGTTTTTCCTTTTTATTATATTAGACTTTATACAATATATAAATGCATAATGCACTAAAAATGCTATCTAAGTTGATACTAATTGCTATTGTAATAAATAGTTTTATGGCAATGGTGCTAACGGTGGATTTTGCTTTCCTTGCCCTTTAGGATCAACTTCATTGGATCCTTCTAATACTAACACAAATAAAGATATTTCTTATTGCAGCCAGTGCTAAAAAAACTATTACATGATATCACCATCTTCCTCTTCTCTTCTTTCTCCTCTTTAATCAGCAACATGTAATCTTTGTCCAAATGGTTCTGGGACTTAAGACATTAATGCTATTTTAGGTATATAATAATGCAATGTTTGTCAAATAAATTTCTACATGATATCTTAATCTACAGCAAATTATGCAGCTCAATGTGGGCCATGTCCCACAGGAAGCGGAAATGATAGAATATAAAATACTGTATCAGGTCCTCAAGTTTGTACTTTATGTTTAGCAAACTATTATATGACTGCATAAAGTAATCCTACAAGTTCTGCTTAATGTTAGGCTTGTCCTTCTGGATCTGGAACTGAAAATGCATCAACAGCTATTGGAAAAGCATCTACTTGCTTAATATGCTAAAAAAACTTTTACATGAAAACTTCTTCTTCAAGTGATAAAGCAGCTGAATGTATCGCCTGTCCAATAGGTACAGGTACTTAAGATATTTAAAAATCAATTAGTGATTAATCAATTTGCAATATCTGTTAAATGGATTATTATATGACTGTTGCTGCAAGTGGTTCTACAGCAGCTAAATGCACTCGTTGCCCTGTAGGAAGCCAAAATCCCTCAAAACCTCCTATAACCACTCCTCAAAATGCTTCAAGTTGCAGTCAATGTCTCAGAAACTACTACATGACGAAAGCTGCAGATACTAGTAATGCTGCTTAATGCACTATTTGCCCTGGAGGTTCAGGAACTAATGATTTTTCAAACTAAGTAGGAGATGCTTCTTAATGCGATACATGTCTTTCAAATTACTATATGCAAACTCCACCTTCAGCATCTAATAGTGCTTAATGTGTTCAGTGTCCTGCTTTTTCTTTTAAAGTCTCTTCATAACTAATAGGTTCTTAATCATAATGCTTTTGTTATGATTAAAATGCTTTACCCTTAAATACAATTAATAAATGTGTATGCAAAAATGGTTACTAAGGTCTAGTAACAAGTTTTTTAGGAGGTCCTTCCGGATGTAAATAATGTAGTTCAGGGTAATTTTCTTTGTATGGTTCATTATGTCAAACCTGCCCTCCAGGCTCTGTTATAACCCCTGATTTAGGAGGCTGCATTTGCAACGATTAAAGCAAAGGTACAGCTCCTTGGGATCGTTCTACTAATTCTTGCTTCTGTTAGGATAATTATTATGGTGATCCCTCAAAAGCTAATGTTGGAGACACAAATTCCTGTAACCCTTGTCCAGATGGCACTGTTTCTAAAGCAGGTAAAGCCAAAAAAGCTAGCGATTGTGTCGTTTAAATATCGACTTCTATCAATAATTCTAAAAAGCTATTATTTTTTGCTAAATTTTTATTCTTCTTAGTCATTTTAATATGATAGTAATATAAATTAAGATATCCAAAATCATTCCTATATTATTTATCTGATAATTTAATTTAATTATTCTGTTTTTATCTTGATTTTTAATATATTTTTTTCAGTTTATTTATATTTATTTGTGTATATCTATTTAACTTATTTATTGATTATATTCAAGTTTAAAACAGGAAATATCTCAAAATTAATAAAATCTATTATAATTATATTCTATAAAATTTACCATTTCACGATTTTATAAATCAAAAATTAACTTTTTAGAAAATAAATAGTCATTTAATTCATTTAAAATTAAGATAAAATATTCTTTGTAGAAAGAATTATGAAAATATTTTTATTTTTTTAAGATATTTAGATAATAAACTTTTAAATAAAATATTTAGTTTCTTCCAATTTAAATAGAAATATATTATTTTAAGATCAATAAAATTTAATATTATTGTTATTGAACCAGAGCGGCAATAAAATAATATTCATTCAATCAGCTAAATTATAAAATGTTTAAAAATATTTTTTTATGTTATTAATATATCATTTAATTAACTAGAAATTTGACATGACAAAAATAATTTTGAATAATAAAAAACAAAATAGTAAATAAAGGCACCATCTTGTTTTATATTAAAATTTAGTTGATATGTTAATTAAAACATAAATAAAAGATAAAAATAGCATGTAGTTTAATATAAATTATAAAATTTAAAAAGTTTTATTTAATTTTAAAAATAAAAATGCGTTTTAAGTTATAAAATTAATTTTTAAAATATTTTTTTGCCAACTTAAAAGAATTAAAAAAATTAATTCATAATTTAATATTTTGAATAAAAAATATATAATTTAAGAAGAAAAATAATAAATAATTCATTTTAGTAATAAATTAATAAAAAAAATAGCAAAGTTACTTATTATTTTATTTATAAAATAATTTAAAATATCTAATAAAGAAGCTAATTAATTTTATATTAAGAATTTATTCAAATAAATGAAATTATTATTTTTAATAAAAATATAAGTTTTCGCTTTTGAAGATTTAATAATAGCTTACTTGATTTTTTTATTAATTAAAATTGTAATTCTAAAATATCTTTTTATCTTACTATTTTAATAATTACTTAGAAATACCATCAATTTTGTTATATTGTCTTTCTTCTGTAATTAGAAATAATTAAATCTTTTTATTTTATTAAATATTTTTTAATTTAATGTTTATGGTTAAAATAAAAATTGCCTAACCCTCGAGGCTTTAACATTAGGATTTGCATTAAATACCTGAAATATTATATTCAAATGTGAAAGTGGTAACATAACAAAAGGAATTATTAACTCAATATTTGAATGATATTTTGATATTAATCATAATTAGTAATTAGAAGAAAAAAAACCAATTATTAATTAAAGAGAGTCAAACAAAAGAGTTAGTTAGAGAGATAGATAGATATTTATTTATTGATTTTACTAATGAATTATTTTAAGTTCTTTTTGTTGATTACAACCTGCAAATATATTGAAGCCTAGTGTTTAGCAAATTAATATTTGATAAATTAATCAGGAACAAATCAGTGTTTACAATGCCCTAATGGAAGCGGTAATTTAACAGGACCTAGTGTAGTAGGAGATATTTCCTAATGCAATGTATGTTAAATAAATTATTATATGATTAGCCCTTCTACTAATACAGGTACTCCTGCAGCTGCTTAATGCGCGCCATGTCCTAGTGGTAGTGCTAATGCCTCTGGAGCTTCAACTCCAGGAGATCCATCTTAGTGCAATATATGTTAAATAAATTTTTATATGACTGCGGCTTCTTCAGCTGGTACATCTGCAAAATGTTTATAATGCCCAATAGGTACTGGAACTCCTACTGGAGCCACAAGTATTGGAAATATTTCTTACTGCAGTATCTGTTTAGCTAATTACTATATGAATTAAGCCTCTGTCTCTGGAACTTCAGCTGCTCAATGTATTATTTGTCCCAATAATAGTGGAAATACTGGAGCTAATATTCCTGGCAATCTTTCTTAATGTAATACTTGTTTAATTAACTATTATATGACTTTAGCTTCTGTTTCTGGAGCTACTCCTTCAGCTGCTTAATGTGCATAATGCCCTTAAGGCACTGGAAATACATCTGGACCTACAACATAAGGAGATATTTCTTAATGTAATTCATGCTAAGCGAATTATTTTATGACTTAAATCGCTGCTACTGGAACTACTCCATAACAAGCTTAATGTTCACCATGCTAAGGTGGTAGTGGAAATACCGTTGGGCCTACAACCGTAGGAGATGTATCTTAATGCAATACTTGTTAAGCAAATTATTATATGACTTAAATGTCTGTATCTGTTGTATCTGGAGGTTCAGGGACTCCTCAATCTGCATAATGCTCCCCATGTCTAGGTGGTAGTGGAAATACCGTTGGGCCTACAACTGTAGGAGATGTTTCTTAATGTAATACTTGCTAAGCAAATTATTATATGACTTAAATGTCTGTATCTGTTGTATCTGGAGGTTCAGGTTCTCCTAAATCTGCTTAATGCTCCCCATGTCTAGGTGGTAGTGGAAATACTCTCGGGGTTACTACCTAAGGCAATGTTTCTTAATGCAATACTTGCTAAGCAAATTATTATATGACCAGCCCTTCTACTGCTACACCTACTCCTGTTGCAGCTGTATGTTCATAATGCCAAAATGGTAGTGGGAATACTTCTGGAGTTACCTCACCAGGTGACCAATCTTAGTGCAATACATGTTAACCAAATTATTATATGACCTCAGCATCTGTAGGAACTTCAGCTGCTATATGCTCTTAGTGCCCTAATGGTACTGGCAATATTTCTGGCTCTACTACTCCTGGAAACGCAAATTAATGTACAACTTGTTAAATAAACTATTTTATGTTATCAGCTGCTGTTCCTGGAGTTTCCCCTCCTTAATGTATATAATGCCCAAATGGAAGTGGAAATACGATCGGGCCAACTATTTAAGGAGATCTCTCTCAATGTAATATCTGTTAAGCAAATTATTATATGACTGCAGTTGTAGTTACTGGACCTTCTCCCTAATCTTCTTAATGTTAGAAGTGTCCGAATGGTAGTGGAAATACTTCTGGAGCAATTAATATAGGCTTAAATTACTGCAATACTTGTTAACCAAATTATTATATGACAGCTGCTTCAACTTCTAGCTCCTCTGCTTAATGCACAGCTTGCCCTTATGGTACTACAAATATTATCGGTGCCTCAACTCCAGGAGATGCTTCAAGTTGTTCAAGCTGTTCTGTTAATTTTTATATGTAATAAAGCTCCACTCCTCCTTCTGCTAGTTCACCTGGAGTACCAGCTTAATGCAGTTAATGTCCTTCTGGTTCAGGAAATTCTAGTGGGCCTACTATAGTAGGTGATTAATCTTAATGTAATATTTGTTAGCAAGCATTCTATATGACTGCTGCTGCTGTTCCCGCCAATAAATCCCCTGCAAAATGTTCTCCTTGTCCTACTGGGGTTTCTGTCTCTGGCCTTCCTACAACTTCTACAATCTAAACTATTACTTCCTGCAATTAATGTTTAATAAATTATTATTTAACTGCAGCAAATACATCATCTGCAGCTGCATAATGCATAGTTTGCCCAACAGGTAGTGGAACTTTATCTCCTAATTCAACAGTAGGAGATATATCTTAATGCAATATATGTATTGCAAATTATTATATGACTTCTCCTGCAATGCTAGCAACTTCTTCAGGCTCTTCAGCTTCAGCTGCATAATGCAGTGCTTGCCCCTCTTATTCCTCTGTTAACTCTTCATATTTAGTCGGTTAAATATCCTAATGTGTTTGCTACGATCCTAATGCAAATCCAATATCAACAACTTAAAATTTTTGTGCTTGTAAAAATGGTTTCTCAGGTTTAGTTGCTTCATATTAAGGAGCTCCTACAGGATGCAAACAATGTCCTGCAGGTAATTTTTCTTATTAAGGATCCCCTTGTTAGCCTTGTGCTTCAGGCTCAGTTTTAAGCGCTGATCAAGGAGGCTGCACTTGTTATGACTCAAGTACAGGAACTTCTAAATGGGATCCTACTACTAATATTTGTTAATGTCAAGCCAACTACTATGGAGATCCATCTAAAGCTACAGCTGGAACAACAGGTTCTTGTTAACCTTGTCCATCAGGTACAGTATCTAAAGCAGGAGCTGCTAAAACAGCTAACGACTGTCTTCAATAATTGTCAGTAACCACTACAAAGTAAAATTAATTAGGTTTTTAAGTATTAATCTTAATTACTTTCTTTATTTTCATTTGAATCTAGATTAACCATAAAAAATATATATTAAATTAAAAAATTCTGATTGATTCTATTAAATGATATTAATTATGAATGACTTATCAAAACAAAATAATTAAAATAATCTCAAATACTCATAAATTTTAAAAATTAAATAAATAATATATAACAATATAAATAATAAATATAAGCTTTTCTTTTATATTTAAAAAATTCATAATAAGTGTATTTATTTATTAACTTTATTCTTTAACAAATTGTTGATATATTTTATCACTTTTTTAAATTCATATGAAGTCATATTTTATTTTATTTAACAATTTTAATTTATCTCTACAATCAAATTAATTCTAAAATATTGTGGGAGGGAGGGATGAAAAAAAATGTCAAAATTTAAATAAATATTTTGATTTTAAAGTGAACAGCTTTGTTGACTTAGAATATCTGATTATAACTATATAGATACCTACCATTCGTATTAATAATTAATTTATTAAAAATAATTGATTATCAATAATCAATTTAACCAAAATATATTTATTTGCTAAATGATAGTTCGTTCTAGCTAAGAATTATTATTAACTTTAAATTATTAAAATACAGAATAAAATTAAATAATTTTTTTGAAATGAATAAAATATGAATGAATATCAATAAAATTATTTTTATTATCTTAAAAATTGTAAATAATTCATATTTAAAATTTATGCTTAACTATTGGCATTACAAATGACAATTAATTATCAGTTTACACTAATAAATTTAATTTAATTATCAAAATATGAAAATATGGAAATTTTATTTATTATCCATTCGTATTTTATTAATAATTAAATATGTTAAAATATGAAAATATTTATTTATTTATTAATTTATTTATTTATTTTAGGTTACAAATAAATAAAAAAATAAATAAATTGGAAATATCTAATCCTCCTTTAACTAAAAATTTATTTCATGTAATTAAATTTAGTTTGTGGTATTAAATTATTTATTAATGTTCTACTAAATTTAATTAAATTTACCTTAACTAATTGGGTTGATTGTAAAAAAATCAAGTTTTTTAAGCAATTAATTTTTTTCAAAACATATTATATGGTAAAGGTTCATGTATTAAGGCCATGATAAATCAAGGCCGGTTTTTTAAAAATTTTACTGGTAAGTAAGTGAAATGTCTAAGCTGAAATCGAGGTGGCCTTAATATATGAACCTTTACAGTATTCAGCTTTAAAATTAGAATTACAATCAAAAGCATTTAATAAATATCAAATAAAAAATTTTTTACTTAACTTTCATAAACAATATTGTAAAGAACGAGTTCATCTTTAAAAATAAATACTTTTAAAATTTACATTTTAAAAATTATTTTTCACTTTTAAAGCTGAGACGATAATTTATAATAAATTACATATATATCTTTATGGTTTTATTTTTTAATATTATCTAAAATAAAAAAATTATTATTATTTGCTTATTTAAAAAATGTTGAAGGGTGTTTTTTTAAATGACTCAATGGAATATTTGAGAAAAAATATTAAAATTCATCTGTCTTAATAAATAGATATTAATCTATCTATGAAAAATAAAGATGAGATAAAACAAATTTTTTAGAGATCTATTCGATATATACATATATGACGATTGTATTAATTAATATCATTAAAAAATATTAAAAAAACCAGTATATTTTATGGAATTATTTGATAAATAAATATTGAAATGACGTACTTGCTTCTATAAAAAGAGAAATGAAAAACAAAAAATTTCATTCAAAAAATAAAAATGTTAGATTTTATTTCAATGTCTTGTTTTTATTAAGAAATATAATTTGGCATAAAAAATTGCTTTTGTTAAAGCAACAAACAAACAACCTCTATTTTGTTTATTCTATTAACTTTGTGATATATATTGACTACATAAAAAGTACAAATTAAGTTAAATATTTAAATATAAAATTAATAACTAATCCAATTATTTAATCAATTATAAAATGATTTTTCTTTTCAAGAATAATTAAATCTAGACAACTTTTGAAAATAGTATGAATTTCAATAATTTTCTATTATTTTTCTTTTATTATTTTTAAATATTTGAAATAATTGTAACTTTATATTTATTAAATTATCATATATAATCCAGTAGTATTTATTTAGCTTCTAATATTTTTCCAATTAAATAATTGATTGAATAATTTAATAAAGTATTTCTGGTGATATTAAAAATCATTTAAAAGAGGTCTTAATGTGAATAAATATTTTGGAAATTAGAATTAACATCAAAAATCACACTTATACTTAAATTCTTTATTTATGTATTCATAAGGAAAAATGAGAAGTAAAGAGTAAGGATAAAGTGGTTAAATATACGCAATTCACTAGATTAATTAAAACTATAAAATTCAATTGAAGGTGTAAGTAATAAATATTTTAAAAATAATTTAAGCAAACTTTGTATTTTAAAAATGCATAGATTTTTATTGGAGATGAATGCTTATTTTTGAAAATTTAGGTTGTCATTTTAAGATATTGACAATATTTGTAATTAGATGCGTATTTCTATTTAGTAGTCTTTATTTGATTTTTAGGATCATTCGTCTTAGCTAATTAATTAATAAATAATGTATTAGTCATTGGCTATTAAGATAGAAAATCAAATATAATTATTTGATGTAAGTTTTAACACCAAATTTAAATCTAAAGATGAGAAAAAATTAATGTAATTCCTTTTCTTAGTAAATTTTTAGTTGAATATAATTTATTATATTGACTGATTACGTAAAATTTCTCTCTGGATTTAAGATGCATCATAAGTATTATATTTTTAAAATATCTTGCACCCTTACTTTTTTCTAATTAAATTTTCTGAAATTTATTAATCAATTAATTAATTAATTAAAAAGTAAACAGATCAAAAAAAAAGCAAAACAAATTAATTTTGTTGCTAAAAATTCGTCTATTTTACTCTAAAATAAGTATGAATATTCTTTTAGTATTTATTGTATTACTTTCAATATCTGCAAATGCTCAACAATGCGCTTCTTATGCGGAGGGAGTTGCAGGCTCTTGCATTTGTATCCAAGGATATTTTGGTACTAATGCTGAAAACGATGGAGCTTGTAATTTATGCCCAATAGGAAGCTACACAGCTCCTCCATCATTTGATGTTGGAGGAAATACAAATTCTAAAGCTGATTTAAGTGTATGCAATATATGCTATAATGGTTATTATATGATTGCAGCAGCTACTCCGGCTTAAGATAATATGCCTGCTATTTCTGCATTATGTAACATTTGTCCTCCAGGAACTGGAAACAACGGAGTTAGTACTGTTGGAGATATTTCATAATGTAATATTTGCTTAGATAATTATTATCAAATTGCTAATGCAATTCCTGCCTCTTAAACAGTAGTTGCCGCAGCTGTAAGCTGCAAAGCTTGCCCTAAAGGTACTATTTCTCCAATAAATTCTTAATCTTCTAACTCTTGTAAATAAAATCCTACAACTGGCTCAAAAATATTATTTGCCTCTCTAACTATTTTAATTTTTTTAATTCTTGCTTGAATTAGATGTTTGTCGTCTGCAACAAAAAGAAATATTTAATACTAATGTAAACTTAACAAATTCTAAAAATTAATCACCACCACCAACATCAATCAATCAATAAATTATTTGTAAATATTTTTTCATTATTTATTAGTATTAATTAACCTATCTATTATTTTAATTAATTAATTATTTTATTATTAAATTGATTTTAATTTCAAGAGCAATCTTCAAAATATTAGTTTTATTTTAATTGGATAAATTCTAAAAAAAATTCAAGATATTTCAGCATATTTAGTGATAGAAGAAATGCTCTCAAATACTCTGATATTTTTGATTAATTATGATATAAAATATTTTTTGAAATTATACTTTAAGAATTATCAAGTCATAATTTTTAAAATATTTTTAATAAATAAATAAATATGTGACTTTAATTAATATTAAAATAGACTATGTATGTATGGTAGAAATTACATCATTTTTTCTTATTATATATTTTTTTTAAATAATGAAGCTAATCTAAATTAAATAAGTGAATGTTTTTTTGTAAAAATTATTTACAAATAAATTAAAAATAAATATAATCCTTCGTTAAATCTTTATCAATATTATTTTATGACTTATGACTGATTGATTATAGGTAGACAGTGTTAGAAAAATAGAAAGATGATTAGATAAATAAATAGAAAAATAAATAAATAAATAATTAGATAGATTGATATTGAGATGAAATAAAATTGATACTTGAAATAAAAAATATAAATTTTAAAAAGAGAATAAATAATATTCCATAAGATAGATTAAGGAAAGGGGTTGAACATTATATACTGAACATTATTTTTTAAAAAGCAACCAAATAAATTTATAAAAAACTTTATGATTGAAAATATTGCTAAAAAAATTCCCTCTTTGATATTTTGCAATTATAAATTTGACTAAAAATTTAAAAAAATTAAAATCACCCTTAATATCCAAATGAAAGTATAGAAGATAAATATATTAATTTAAGAAATTAATTGATTTTAATTTTTGTCCTCAAAGCAAATTCAAATAAGGCATATATATTTTAATTCAAAATTAATAGCAACATAGTTTGAATTTTAAAATATGTGAATTACTTACTTACTATTCTTTGATTTTTATCAGAAACTCCTTGGGAATTTTATTCACCATTTTTATTAAAAAAAACATAGTTAATCGATTATTACTTTTAAAAATGTTTATCTTATGTTACTTGCTGTAATATGAAAAATAGCTTTTAATCTATACTCCAGTACTTACTTACTTACTATTACATATTAGCCAATCTAAAATGTAGGAAATTCTTTATTCAAAAAATAGATTAATAATATAAAAACACTTTGATTAATTATCTATCAAAGCATAGCATGATCTTGATAGAGATTTACTTTTTTCTAATTTTCAAAATTTATCAAATTCTTTGTAAATAAGCTTAAATGAATGAATAACTTCATAATTTAAAAAAAAATTATTAATGATACAAAATAAATTTAAGCTAATTATTATCATTTCATATTAAGCATTTATCAATAAAATAATATATTTTTAAGGGATTTAATTAAGTAAATGAAGTGATGAAAAATAAATGCCATAGTATAGAAACAAACGTCATAAAATGATAGAATTAAATAATTTTTTAAAATTTATAAATACTCTAAAAATAATTTATGTTAGTTAGCCAGCAAGCAAGCAAGCAATTAAATATATATATTTTAAGGCTTCAATTACAAAAATATTAAAAGTAGTTAGTTTTTAACCATTTTTTAAAAACAGATCTGATATATTTTAAAAGAAATCTTTTACATTTTCTTTATATAGTTAGTTGCATGAATATATTTAATTATTTGTATTTTAGAGTATTTAGTTAGCACTTACTTAAATTTAAGTCAAAATATGCATTTAACATTTTTTAATTACAAAATATGCATCTAACTAACAAACAAACAAACATGTACTTACATCTGCAATATCCAATAATTAATTAATTTTGATTTATCCTGACTAAATTTAATTTATAAAAAATCCTGAATTTTTGATAAGAAATTTGAAAATGTTTAATTTAACCAAAATAGATAAACAGACAGACATTTAATTAGACAAAATAAATATTTAATTTAGCAAATTGTAAAATTTACAAAATTTTATATTAATTTTAGTGCATATTTTTTAAGTGAAAAATACAAAAAAATCCTTCTACTTTAAATTGATAAATTTAGAAATTTAATACAAATCTAAAAAATAAATTTTAAATGATCGAAAAAGTAAATTCTCAAGAGTGAAAATATTTAGTAAGTATTTTTATAATTAACTTAAATGAAAGCAAATATTATTCATAAAATATTACTTTGTATATTTATTTATTTCTGGCTTTTGTATAATTTTATGTTTTTACTAAATATTGTGAGAATAAATTAAAAATACATTTGAAAGCAAAATAAATAAGATTCTTCGTATAAATTTGTTTGTATTCAGCGTAAGCAGTAAGTAAATAACAATAATTTGTAAATGGATGGATATAAATAGAGTTTCTAAGAAAACTTACATTTTTAGTTTTATTCTTTTTATCAACTATCTTATTATTTAATTTTTAAATGTTTCCCATTTATTTTGCA